TAAATGAATTATTTTATAATTTGAATTTTTCGGGGCATTTAATATTCCTTACGGATCCTTTCTCTAAAAATGCCTGCTCTTTTCTGAGTTTTATATTTCTCTAAAAAAACCTCTTACGAAGTAATATTTCAGTGACAAAAGCACTTCCTATGCATAAAATATCTAAAAGTGGTGCAGATTACCACAAATACAAAAAACTACTGCTAATGTATATCTTTATATTTTTTTTGTGAGATTTCATAGTGTAACTTGGGAAACTCCTTACTGGGACTGGGGGTACCGACACTGGCACATGGCGGGTAATCAGTCAAGCAAACCTGGGCCTAATGAAGGTCAAACCCGTTGACAGATATACACGTCGTCGTTGTCTCCTCCATCAGCAGCAGTCCAATCATTGGCAACTTCGGAGTGGGCTGGCTTTTTGATCGAAAATAGTTCCAGCTGAGGGCACACAGAAACAAAAGCCACAAAAAATACGTCACGCAACATTCAAATGGGCAAGTGCAGGCGAGGAAGTGGGTTTAAGTGATGTTTTGAAATTAACCCAATTTCCGTGCAAATGACAAAATGAAAATGAAAACTGAAGACAGAAGACAGAAATTCCTTGGCAAAATTCATCGTAATAATAATAAACAGCAATCAGCGAAACAGCCATCTCTCGGATGGCTTTGGCAGTCAAGAGTCCATTCCGAAAGCTAAAAACAATCCGAGTCAGTCATTGTTTTGGTACACAAACTCTTTTTCTGCCTTTGGACTTTGTCATGTGAGAAAGTCGTGCCAAATGCAGATATTTAAGCATTATCGCTGATGATGACAATGATTGTGGATGTTGGAGCGAAATGCTAGGCATCTGAGGCCCGACTGCCGAGCAAATCTATGCAATTTGTGAAACGCCTCCCTTATCCACCCACTCTTATTACAGCTTCATCTCATTATAATGGCATAACATTTTCAGCTCATTTTTCTTTTCATTTCCCCCAGTCTGACGCTCTCGGCTTAATGTTAGTTTTGCCTTGAAAATTATACAAAAAGCACAAAGGGGGAAGCTGAGTTTAGAGTCAAAAGTGTGCCAGCCATGGCTAAAACGAAAATAATGCAAAATCCCAAGCCCTTAATCGAATTAGACGGGGTGGGACTCGGGCTTTGGCAGATGAATAACATTATTTGGCTGGCAATTAGTTGGGGTTTCGTAATTTAGGGTGATTTTTAATTTTTTTTTATCTTGTATCTTGTGGGTGGTGGAGAGTCCTTGTCTATCAAGTTGTTTGTACGGAAAAACTTTCTTTTCTCTAACTTTTCCTTTTGTTCAGGTCAGTTTCAGGTAAATTGCAATAAAAATGTGTTTATTTTAAGGTTAAAAATAATATTTTAATATTTTAAAATTGGATGAATCTTTAAACATATCTGACTAGTTTTGCCAAAGTTCTATAAAAGATTTATTTTTAGAGCTTAACCTTAAGATTTTTAAGATAACAAAAATTTACACCTGGGATTTTGAAAGGACTACTCCGATTCTGTGTCTAATTGTTCTTAAATTGATTTCATTAATTAGAAAGGCGTTTAAATTGTTAGGAAATCTTGAAAACTTTAAGGTACAATTTAAAAGAAAATTTAAAGCTTAAAACTTTACAAAAAAAAACCCTAACCTTAACAATTGGAATAATTTTTTTTAAGAAAGTTACTCACTTTCGGACAAAGTTGTGAAAAGGTAGATTATTTTTAGACATCTTTAAAAAGCGTGTACATATTTTGAAATCTTCTTCCATCAATATATTCTACATACTTTTTTAGAAAACTTTAAGTAATATAACCACTATTTTTGGGATAATTTTTAAATACCTTTTATACATTTTATTGTAGTTCATATTAAACTACTTCGCACAAACTTTTAGTAATAGTGATCTGGCCATTCTTCTCAACTCTTCCTGTCTAAGTATCTAAAGAACCCTACAATTTGGCATTTCCTGCTGCAATATTTAACACAATGATAAAAATACCCCCCTTATTGTTAATAGAAATCAGTTTATTCAGAAATGCTGTCGATCGTAAAGCCAACTAGCCGGCCAACTAACAAAATAGAGTCTGATCTCCGCGAGATTGTGGCGGGGAGTTTGCCAGCCAAGCATGACCTGGTATTTGACCCTTTTTCCCCATTTGCCACACCCACATGTGCATAGCTCCACTCCGCCCCCTGTTCTGCCCCCCTTTGTACAATCAACTTGCATCAGTTCTAGCTCGAAACAATTTAAATAACAACGACAGGGCCGATTGTCGAGAGTTGGTAATGGAAACGAGCCAAGTCTCATTGTGGGGCCTGGGAATTGGCCATCCCTGTCTCTTTTTTTCCGCATCTCTCTGTCTCTGTCGCTGCAGCACATGTATGGAAACCCTTTTAGTGCACTTGTTGCACGGCTCCCCAACCTCTCCCTCCTCCCCCTTGTTTTTTTGTTCTCCGCCCCTGTATCACATCTCCAATTGGAGATTACTGGAGCATGGAATTGTTTGTTGTTGCTGCTACCGCTGATTTGAAATGCAGATTTCTTCTCCTCGTTGCGGCAGTTTTATTTCATTTCATATAAATAGCACATTGATGAGCTCGGGGGCAAAGGGAGACGAGTGTGACCCCATCCTGGGGTACAGTGCGTCTAAAAAATGTATGGGTTTTTGGGGTATTAATTATGGGAATTATAGGAAAGTTCAATTAAAGCCTATCTAAACTTAAATAGTTTCGATTAGCTTTCAGGGGCTTTATAAATATTTGTTTAAAATTTTTAAACTATTCTAGAATTATTTATGAATTAAGGCATAACTTTGTACCATTTGATACAATTTTTACTAAACCTTTATTTAAAAAATGTTTCATGAAATCAAAAATTCATGATTATAATCAACGAGTTTCGTAATCTTCTCTTTAATAATTTTAATCTACAAATACTAATTGCAATGCTTTTGGCTTTTCTTCAATAAGAACTATTAAATATCCCTCCTATGAAATTAAATATATTCATAATATATAGTCTCTTCTCACTATATCTCTACTCTTATGACCCTAACTGTAGAAATACCTATCAAACTTAAGTATGTTAGCTTGCTTTACATCCTGCATACAATACTATACGGTATACCAGTATGTCTGTAATCTAAATATGTGGCATTCTTTAACTGGAACTTGCAGTTGGCCATGGCAATTGACATTTGTTTGTTGCCAACGAAGAAAAGTTTCTACACATGCTCTCCAGTCTCAGATGGAATGGGGTCGAGCCCCGCCAGGCATCTCCTACTCCGGGGGCTTCGACTATCCCATTCTCACCTGGCTGCCGGGCTCTGTGAATTGTAACGCGCATTTTAATTAGATTGTTTGGGCTTAGAACCGGCGCGTTCTAGCCAGGCACTCATGCAAATTGGCTAAGAACGTGGGATATATTACTTCACAAGAATCCAATTATGTCGGGAAGGGTACGGGTCTCGGGTCTGAAAGGCAAAGTTGGAAAATTAAATGCTCCTACCTTTATGTAATGAAACTCCCCATGAGATTGCTATGGAAATGAGCCGCCGGTTGATAATTTTAATTAAAACTTAATAAAAGTACATTAATTGATAAGCAATTCTGCAGTCCAGAGGTGGAATATAATTCTGGGAAGGTTCTCATATGGAAATGATGTAGGAAGGCTCCCTTTCGAGCAATTTTATCTGCTCTGAAAACTGGAAAATTCGGGTTAACTAGCAATATTAAATTAAATTAAAGTTAATATAATAAATATGCACAAATTACATGGCTCATATCCGCTATCATCAATTAGCTGTAATTATATTTATTATATTTTATGTAAAAATTACCAAACCTGAGCTTGAGGCCATTTTTATTTCCTATTTTGGCCTTTGGGGCAGAAATACCTTTTCATCTACCGAGAGCCCGTACCTCCCCCGTACCCTCCTTAAAACTAAAAACTTGTTTAGTCGGTCTCTCCATAATCAATAAATCAAAAGCAGAAAAAAGGAAAATGCATTAATTAACAAGCGTAAAATTGCACCAAATTGAGTTTTTGGAGTGACCGCAGTTTTGGTTTTCCAAGCCAGCCTGTTTCGGGGGCGTGGCTATTTGGAAAACAGCAAATGATAATTTAAATTGTGGAAACAACAAAACAAACATTTGCAATCAAATTCGATGAAAATTCATTATTTATTTTGGACAGTCTCTAAGTAATTTGTCTTTTTGGGCAATTGGGGCGGGAGTGTGGGCGTGGAAATGTGGGATTACATCATGTCTTGGTCCAAATAATTGAGGTCAAATTTAAGACATTTTTTTGTTACTTGAAGAGTAATTGTTTTTGAGGAGTTTTTAGGTTTTGGTACAAAATAAGACAGTTTATGAACTTTTTTTTATTTCAACCCATCTATTTTTTAAAGTTGTGGGTCAAAGTCTTTTAAAAAATGATGTTATAAATGGAAAAAGTAAACCGTGAAAAAAATAAAAACATACCATAGTTATGTGAAAACATGGCCAGCCAAAGACAAACTGGTTCTGCTTCACCAGACTCTCATATAATTTAATAAATGTGGAAAATGTTAAGTATACCAGAAATTTAATGCGCAGCCAGTATAAAGTAAAGTTAAAAAATAAACACAAATTAAATAAAGCCATGGATGGAGAGAAGGGGAGGGAGAGGCGTGATTGAGGAGGGGCATTGTATAAATAATTTTCTCTAATTAATTGTACAACCTGCCTGCTGATGGCAGAGCCTTTCCGCTTTTGGTGGCTTTTGTGTGTGATTTGGCATGAAAGTGTTTGTGGCAGCAACACCATTCCATTCCAGCCATCGCAGACATCTTGGCCATCCCAGTGGCTGGCAACTGGGTGGTTGGCCAACACTTTGACAACATTTTTCGAATTGCAATTTTTTTCGTTTTTGCTCAGCTAATTTAACGGGCATTTTTTGTTGTTTTTGCAAGCATTTCTTTATTTATTCCATATACGTATTTATTTGTGACAACATTTGCAGGATTCCAGCCACATCTTGGCCGCACCCAGCCACAGCCACCACATCTATGACTTGCCACAGCAATTGCAGCAGCAACAACATCTGCAGCACCAGCATCAGCAGCACCAACAGCCACAACAGCACCAACTAAATGTCGAGGCTGTCATATTGCAGAATCAGGTGGATACATTGCATTGGCAATTGAAGCAGGTGAGTAAATAGCCGATCCGGCGAAAGGCACAGCCGTGAAGCCCACCAAACAAAAGACTTAAGACACAAACGTGACGCGGTGACTTGGGGATTTGTGTTCTCAGCAGGAGGAGGAAACTGTGTTAAGTGCCAAGTCTGTAAGACAATCTACTTTGACTACTGCACTGTACTGTGTTGTGCCCTGCTTGGATCAACCTGTTTTCCTGTCTCTCCACTATTTTTATTTAAATAGTTCTCACGCTTAATTTACTGAAATCGGAATGGAAATGGAAATGTACGAGACAGCTAGTGGCGAATGATTCTTGTTAGACAGAGTTCTGGTACAGAGAGAAAAATGCTTGTAATATTATTAGATTCTAAAAGATTACCATAAAATATTTAAAATATAGAGAATGAATAGGTTTGAAATAGATTAGAGCAATTTTAGAAAAATTACATAATATTAAAGTTATAAGTTCTGAATAATTTTCTCTTTCTGTGTACCACTTCCTTTCCCCATAGCTCCTCCTCTTAGGCCCTGAATGTGTTGCCCCATCGTAGCAATTAGGCGGCAGCATTCTTCTTCTGACTTCTGACTTAATTATAGACTCGGAGTGTGGTCGGATGTGTCTCGGCTCTTTTAGATTGCTTTGTTCTGGTCCGTGGCTCTGGTCATCGTGGGGCCTGTCGCTCACATTGTCTTTCAGCCATTTCCTTCGGCAACAGCTGCATTAATTTTATACTTCCTCACACAAAAGGTCTCCTCCTAATGGAGTTTGCCTCCAACTTGGGCGTAAAAGTGAGAAGCCCGCCGCAATTGAATCAAACCATTCCGATTGGCATCTATATGGTGTGTAATCATAAGTTGGGGCATCAATGAAGTGACTTGGGCATTGAGGAAAAATTCTTAAACAGGAATTTTCAGGTGCCTGCATAGGGGGATTGAGATGATTTTGAAGAGCCAGTGTAATTCCTTTAAAATTATAGGAAATGGATCTGATTTAGAGAAGAGGGCTTTCAAAGTGGGACCTAGAAGTAATAGTTGATTATTATAGTTCAGGTGATTAGGGAGTATTCTTAAAAAAATATTAAATAATATATATAAAAATGTGATACCTTTAGTGTCCCTCAGTTCTTAAGTATTTAAAGTGGAATAAACCATAAACCTTCCACTAAATCCAACCTAGTTTTTCCTCAATTTCCTGAGAATTTTCCCCTCCCCACCCATTTCAATGGGTACACTAAGCTGCCCGTGCCCCCAATCCAAAGCAACCTCGAAGATGACCTTCAGCCTTCACGCTTCAACTGACAGATCTCTCTCCCCTGAACACTTTCAATACCAAACCGATTCTATGCAACGCATAATCACCCAACGGATGCTCAGATACTGAGATACTAAGATATCGAGATACTCGGACACAGAAAGAGCGAAAATATTTACGCTTTCATTTCGATTTAATGCGCTTTAAATGAGCCCCAATGAAGTTGACTTGGAAAGCCGAGCCGTAGAGCAAATGTTGGTAGTCTCGGAGTCTCAAAGTCTTGGAAAATTGCAAAAGAAAACAATGCCAGCACAAAAACAAAAACAAAAATAATAAGAAAAGATAAATATTTGTTGCAGTTTGGTCCGTTTCTTGTTTCGCCAAGATATGTGGAAGAAAAAAAAAAGAAAATAAAACTTTAACTGGGTTAGAAGGCAGGAAAACCGTTCGAAAAAGTCCGTTTATATTTTCAGTTTTTAATGAAAAGAAAAAGTATGTGATGGCGTGGGCGTGGGCGGACCAACCGACTGACTGACTGATTGATTGATTGATAGAGTGAGTGAGTAAGTCTGAGCCAGACTCCAATCGATGGGAGGCAACCGAACATAATTTATGCGGCGAAAGGAAGCCAATCGGGAGGAGATTCCAACCAGATTCACGGGCAAACCGGATCAATCCAGGAAGTGCGTTGAATGGGAAGCTGCAGCTGTGCTGGCCGAACAGCAAAAAAATAAGTAAACGAAACCAAGCGTAAATGAATCCTCTGCCGAATTCCACTCATCTGAGCTCCAATTGCTCCGAGAGGCATTAATGGAATTAAACAAACCATAACAAAATCGAAATCAAATAGCCACGAAGAAACACAACAAGAGGAGCAGCTACAGAAGCGGCAAACAATTTCCACATCGTTTTCAAATAAATCTCAGGCATACACGATACATACTCGTAATCCCCCCGAAAATAAAGTGGCTAACACGCAGTAGGAAAACGCCGAAAACGGAAAACGTCCAATGAAAAATTAGCAACAATTTCCAAACATTGCAACTTGCAATTGCAAAAAGCAAGAGAAAAAAAATAAGCAAGAAAATGCAGCGTCAACTTACATAATCATCCCAGACAGACAACTATTTTGGCATCGTGTGAAGCCTTCTTTTGGCCAATTTTCAAATGGCTTTGGCGGTAGGTGGGCGTGTGCCAGGTGATGGCAATCTTAACGCCTTTTTGAGGTCTCTGCCAATTTGGCAAGCGCCGTTCATTCGAATGGCATTTGATAATTAGACAATTTGGCCAAACAGAATTGAAGTTAACCAAAAAGCAGCCACCAGAGCCACCATAGCTAGTGGCCCACAGACCCAAAGCACAAAAGCCGGGAGAGAAATGGCCGGAGAAAGAGGCTAGATAACAAATCAAGTGAAAGTTTTTATAGGCTGATGATGCAGATGATGCCGGCTGCTCCACAAATGTTGGCTGCCAAGATAGGCAAAATCATATACAATTAACATAAATAATAAATTAAAGTCATCGGTTCAAATGCATCGCCGATGAGGTGTCAAGCCAATGACCGGGCACATTGGGTTAAAGCCAAGAAAGTGGCTATATGGGCTAAATGGGTTGGATACAGAAATGGTTATGGTCCTTTATAGTAGGTTTTTAATAGAAGAAGTTATCTTAAAATAGGCATTCAATCTTTATATGGTTTTGTAGAACCTCTGGTTAGTAATTCCTTCTAGAGGAATATCCATTTCCTAAGTTTTAGATGGGAAATCTTAAAAAAGAAAGTTATATTCCTGTGGTATCTTATAGAAGTTCTTATAGAACCTCCCATTAATAAAACCTTTTTAAACATCCCAAGTATCATAGTGAAATTCTTAAAATATGGGCTGCATCTTTGGTTTCTTTTATAGAACCTCTTACTAGTAATTCTTTATGGATAATTTATAATAACATTCCGCATTTCAGACGGAAACCAATTGCGAGATGTACCGTGCCGTAATGGAGGAAGTAGCCCGGTTCTTCGAACGCTACCAGCAGCAACAGCAACTCCAGGCCACCCACCGCAACGGCGAGCAAATCTCCCGCTCCAAGAGCCTCCACCATGTCCACGGCGTGGGAAACAGCTCGCTGCAAAGCGATTCCCGAGACGATGATGCCGCGAGTGCCGGATCCGCCTCGTATCTTCGAGCCCGGAGCAGCACTAATCTGATGTTGAATAAATCAATGCATGCCATGAACGAAGAGCATAATTATGAGACTATAGCGCCGGCTGGGAGCTATAATGCATTTAAGGATTTCACATGGTGAGGAAAAAGATGAAACTCTATGACTACTCAGTTACTGAAACTCTTTAAATTCCTAGGCGCCGCTCACCCAAGAAATCCGGAGGCAGCGGAGGCTGCAAGGCGCGACTCTCCACCCCAGAGGCTGCCGAGGAGAAGCTCAACCAGGAGGCCTTCCGCCTGGCTCGCACCATCCGGAATCTGCTGCACACCTCGCAACAGCAGCCGGATCTGACCCAGCCCCGGCACTCCATTGCCTCACTGCCGGGTGGCAACCACCGACTGTGCAAGGGCAAGACCAGTTCGGTGATGACCCTGTGCACCCCACCACTGCACAACTCCACCAGCATCATGAACGCCACCCTGGAGGCCTCCTCGCCGGCCGCGAAATCGAACGCAGAGCTCATCTTCCTGCGAGCCAACAACATGCGGGACTCGAGGCTCTCGCTGCGCAGCTCCACCGACAGCTCCGTGCATTCCACCATCTCCTCGACGGCCTCCTCCTCCTCCAAGGTGGAGACCGACGAGGAGACCCACAGCAGCAGCACCAGCAGCGGCAACAGCAACAGCAACACCACCACCACCGCCAACAACATAGCCATTAGCAGCAAAAAACCCACCAGCAGCAGCAAGCAGAGCGGCTCCAGCACCGAGGACGAGAGTGGCTTCAGTTCCATCAGCTCCTTCCACGACGTGGGCCTGCCCCTGAGCTCCACCCTGATGAACGGCAGCCAGCGGCGTCTCTCCATGTCGCCGGACAGTCGCAACTCCACGCTGAAGTCGGCCCTCAACGGAGTGGGGCTGCCCACCACCCTCCAATCCCAGACCCAGAGTCAGGTTCAGGCTCAGATTTCCCCCAGCCAGTCGCCCTCGAAGACGTACCGGAACGCAAATCGCTACCAGCGCTTCTCCACCTTGTCCAACGAAGACGCAGCCGCCGTATTGTGGGTCTAGGCTCTAGAGATATTAAGAATATATATAGGATCTGTTTTGGAGGAATCCTTGCTCAATCTTTGCATTGGAAGTTTAGTTTTGAAACGGACCTGCCCTGCCTTTATTTTAGTTTCTCGTAAGCTGCCCCCGAATAGCATTTTAGTTTGTTTTTCTCTAGTGCCTCCGCTTAGAATTTAGTTAATAACTCTTTTGAACTTGTATGTTATCGATTAGTGTTTTTAAGTACCAACCACGCATTTCTATGTTAACAATATGTACATTTAAAGGACCTAAGTTACCAGTATTTATGAATAAAAATTAATTTATGATGACAGCTCGAGACTATTCCGATCTAGTACCCTTTTAGCTAACAATCATCCTCTGGGCAGTATCATTGTTCAGTTTCCTCCCTTCATTTCGATACGTTTCGTTTAGGTCTTAGAAAAATGTGCTAAAGTATTTTTGGTATTCTGTAAGCAATTCCCACTCGGATCGCCACTAAATTCGTTGAGACCACACCAAGCCGTGGTTGAGGTCGCGTTACAAATTGTAGTATCCGTTTAATCCCAACGCCAAGTCGCAGCCATGACCACCGCCCAGGTGCAGAATTTCGAGTCCGCCGTATTCGAGCCAAAGGTGTTGGCAGAGGGTCACTCGGAGATCCATGCAGAACAGCAGCAGCCACACCAACCCCAGCAGAACTGCCATAATCAGGTTACACCACAGATGGTATCGGAACCGAATCTGGAGGGTGAACGGGAATCAGAACAATACGATGACGATGAGGAGGAGTATGATGATGATGACGACATCGTCTACGAAGTGATCGAGTACAGGCATCCCCTGGAGGAAATGTGGACTTTGTGGTATCTGGAGAACGATCGCACCAAGCACTGGAAGGACATGCTGAACGAGATCACCCAGATCGACAGTGTGGAGACCTTCTGGAAATTGTTCTACACCATCAAGCCTCCGTCAGAGCTGAAGATTGGATGCGACTACTCCGTGTTCAAGAAGGGTATCAAGTGGGTTCTACTTTCCTAACTATCTATTGGAAATTATAGCTTTATTTTCAATCCAAAGACCCATGTGGGAGGACGAGGCCAACATCAAAGGAGGTCGCTGGCTGGTCACGGTCGGCAAAAGTGCCAAAATGGAGCTAGATCGCGTTTGGCTGGACATTGTCCTGATGATGGTGGGCCAGGCCTTTGATTACTCCAGCGAGATCTGTGGGGCTGTGATTAATATCAGAGCCAAGAGCAACAAGATGTGTATGTAGTATCCTATCCCTCTTAAAAGTCTCTTATTATATAACTATTTCTGTAGCGGTTTGGACTGCCAATGGAGCCAACGAGATGGCCATCCTCGAGATTGGCCAAAAGTTGAAGATGCTGCTGTATCTGCAGTCGTACAACCTGCACTACCAGCTGCACTCCGATGCCATGTGCAAGATCAACTCGGGCGTCAAATCGGTCTACACTCTCTGATCCGTAGCCGGAAGATGGAGAGGCTCCTCTGCGTTATTTTTTAAGATTTTTATTTTTTATACACCAGATTCGTATGTGTGGAAGATGACATTGGCCAGAGATGTGTTTATGGAACCCGGAAATCGCAAGTGCCGGACAAAATTGTTTGAGAAACGAAATTAAACGAAATTTCAGTGACACCATGTATCTGTCTTTTTGTGTGGCATCTTTTGGGCTGCAGATACAGATACAAGCACTGATTCACTGCCTATCTTTGGGATACATCCCACTGCTTTCACCGAGTCTTGAATAGAAAACATAACTGATTTTAAAAGCTTTGTATTTTAATAAAATCCATACATTAACTTAAACATGGTCATGCTTCGATCGCACTACGGCTTAGGGCCGTAAATGCCTACTCTCAAGCAGATCGTTGAGTTTTAATCCACAATAATAATATAGTTACGAAGGGGCTTTTTTAAAAATTTACTCAGTAAACATTCACAGCTTGTTGCGGTGTGGCGATCAACCATGAATGCGGTCTCTGGTCCACTACTACTGCGACCACAATAGTTGGCGATTACACTTAGCGACGCGACACAAATTGGCGAAAACTATATATACAGCAGGTAGTCCTGGTCGAGCGATCGCTCGGACAAACGGTTCAACATTCTCGAGCTCGACGCCAGTTGCAGCTTAACAATACAATTTACAATCTAAAAAATATTGGACGCGTGATATTTCTGGTTGATTTTGTGAGATTACGAATTCAAACGGGGCAGTCGCAACTCGGAACTCGGACGCTCTTCATCCACGTCCAAGGAATTACAATCATCATCAGATCTGCCGGCGGGTCATGGCAAGACCTCGAACAAAATGGAATACACAATACGTGCTTTAAAGCACGGCGGAGTCATCGTTCAACTCCTTAAATTCGGCCCACAACGGCCTTGTTTTTCCGAGTGGGCTGCACGGAGAGCGGCGGTACCACCAGCATTTCCGACTGCGTCGAGGGCGAGCTGCTCCTCATGCTGGCACAGTCCTCGTCGTCTACTTCCTGCAATATTTACGAAGAATTATTAGCATGTCTTCCTCATAAGACCTGGCTTTCAGACTCACATTAATGTTCGTGCAGCTGGCCAGACGCATTTGGGCCAGTTGGGAGGCAGGCGTTAGCGAGTTGGTGCTGCCAAAGGGCGAGGTCATCATGGTGGAGACGGCTCTTTTCAGCTTGTTGGGTGTCTTGTTGAAGGAGAAGGCGCGACCCACCTACAGAAATAGTTAAAATAAGTAATGGCAGGATTCTTTTTCAAAAGTTGGTCCTGAAACCCACCTTTAGTCGAGTCTTGGCCGCCAGCTTGAAGGCCTTGCTCAGCGTGCTGACATTTACATCGCTTATGTCCACCTCCAGTTCCTGGGAGGTTCGACTAATCAACAGCTTGTCCTGCATTTGAGAGGATAAAATATTAGGAATAATCTTTATAGATTATATTTCCAAGGACCTACCGCATCTGTGCGACACGTGTGAGCCGCTATCTGGTTGCAGAGCTTCTTCACATAGACATGCTTGTCCGTCTCCTCGTCGCTGATCGTAAACGTGTACAGCTTCTCCTTTTCGCCTCGCTGGAGGAGCCCAAAGGCCCGCGGGCTGTCCGAGATGTCGATCACCAGCCGTATGGTGTTCAGCGATATCAGCTTGAGGTGCTTGTGCGTCTTGGCCGTGCTCGGCGACTTGGCGGTGTTGAAGCCGCGCGACCGCCGCTTGCACAGCTCCATGGAATCGGAGAAGAGGTACACGACGAGGCTGTCACCTCGGCCGCTTAGGGAGTCGGAGAGCTCGTTGACCTCGCATTTGGAGATGAACGAGCGGTTGGAGCTCACCAAATGTGGCGGACAACCATCGATATCGTTGAATATATCGAAGATGGCCATGCGCGACTCGGTGCGCCTCTTGTCCTCGTTGATGTGCAGCGTCACCTGCTTGATGGCCTTCAGCGCCTCCTCCAACCGACCGTGATCCGCGTTGCTGCCGTTCGTGTGCTTCAGGATGTCGTTCAGCAGGAGACTGATGCTGGGTAGTCGCTGCACGGGCCTGATCATCAGGTCCTGCAGGCTCTGGCGGCCGCACTCCGGCTTGGTCTGGTTGATCTTCAGGAAGGCATGGAAGCGAGGGTACTCGCGGTCGCAGTACAGCAGCTGCTCCTTCATCTGCTCGAAGAAGTTGACGTAGGGGGGGTAGGCCTTGATCAGCTCGTCCCTGTGCTGGATGATGATGTCGCCGATCAAGCAATCCTCCCGCCAGTTGGCGTGCAGCTTCCGCAGGTGCTCCAGCATGCTTTGGTGCACCTCGTGGATGGGCAGAAAGTTGCCGAAGATGGTTTTGATTTCCGATTTGTTCAGCAAGGGGTCATTGGTCTCCGCCAGTTCTTCCAGCTTGTTTTTGAAGAGCTGTGAAGAGATTCAAGAGGTTAGATTGGGAATTATAGACAATAGATTCTATACCTACATTCAGAATGGTATCCAGGATGCCCACGTAGTTGGACTCGGTGGTGAAAAAGTCCATAAAGTGGTTGAAGCGCATCGACTTCTTGGCGGGCGTGGCGTCACTGGCCTCCGGCTCGGCGTGGTGCAGCTTGTCCACCTCCAGCTTGTCCGGACTGGTGGTGCAGTCGAAGAAGCTGTTGGAAACGGACAGGAGCCCAGCATCCGAGACAGAGGAGCGTCGCTTGCCAGACCCCAGGGGAGTGCCCTCCAGTTGGATGCGCTGCGAGAAACGCTTGCGTTTCCGTTTATTAAAGCTAATGGGTAAGGAGTCGCGACGATCCGTGTTGGGGGTATTCGTGATGCTATCCAGGTACTACAAAATATATATATAATTATTAAATCATATCCTTTACATTTTTTAAAATCGAACTTACATCGCCAAACAGATAGTCCATCTCGTTGGCATAGCCATTCTGGATGGTGTACCAGAACCAGTCTGATTTCAGGATGTGTGTGTGGTTATTCTTGGGCTCCGGCTTCGACACAGTCGTGTGCTCGTCCACCACCTGAACGGCAATAGATTGAGTCGATTAATATATGTACACAGGTAAGGTCTAGCGCGCATTTATTTTGTGCAGAGGATGCGGAAAAAATGTTTTGTTTGCTGCCCAAACAGAGTCAATCAAGCATCTATATACTAGGTCTATATAGATGGTATATACTCGTCTCCAGAGAGAGATATAGCTCGGCGGCAACAGCAAGCACAATAAATTTTGAAACATTCATCCAAATGCAAAAGAAAAAAGGCCAAACAAAACATTTTCGGTGCACATTTTAGGCAGCACTTTGAAACGGCAGAGAGATCGAGAGGCTATATGGAACATGAATGCGAATGCGAATGTTTTAACATTTGTGCAAATATTTTGTTAGTCCATCGAAAGTACAATAATTCCACCCAAATGAAAGGAAATTCCTCTGGCTAGACACCGAGAGGAGTGTTGTGGGTGAGAACTCCATATATACAACATATTGTTTTCAATTCTAGTTGGCATTTTTAACATTTATTCAAGCTGAACGAGAAGGTCTACAACCAAAGAGAGAGTGTGTTGTGAGTGTGTTTTGCAAATTAATGTTATTCCAATATTTATTGTGCTGCTTTGTTTCCAAACAAACATGACTATTTGGGTATATCGTGCTCTGGCAGAGTAGACACCGAAAGGAAACCAAAGTAATTACAAGAGTGTGTGAAATTCCAGACACCACCGCACCAAATTAGATCTTATATGAGTTGTGACTTAAGCTACAGCATAACCATTAAATAACAATTAACAGAATCGATCGGGAGGCTATGGAGGTATGGTATGAGGCGGGGATGACGGATGGAGGGCAGCGGCGTCGCTCCAGCAACTGAAATAATGTTAAAAATGCTCCAACACAGAGGTGATTCAATGGAGTTCTGGCCAAGAATGGTCTTAGAAACAATGACAGAGGAAGTTATTCAGCTTAGCACCCGTTAATATCACAAAAAAAAAGAAACAAGATCCCCCCTTTAATCCTTTGCCGTTTCAAAGCCTCCTGGGGGATTAAACTCTTATGTACCATTGGCAGGGGCTCTTCCTCGGGGGACTTGTTAATGACCTGCACCGAGCTATGTACAGCAGTCGACTGGGTGGGGGATGACGATGAAGATGATGATGGCATGGCAGGCGTGACGGCAGCAGCACAGAAAGCAAATGTATGGGACGAGGTGTCGTTCACGTCCAGACTGGCGGTGGGCGGGGGAATCGGAAGGGGATTCACCAGCGTGGGGGTGGAGGGATTGGTCAGGGTCAGGGCGGACACCACGGGACCGAAGAGGCGCTTGGCTGTCTTCGGGGTGGCCGAGGATCGAATCTTGGGGGCCTTGGGCGTCTTGAAGCCGCTGTCCAGCTGGGTGGAGCACTCGGGAGTGCCGTCGGCGCCTCTCTCCACGCGACGACTGCTGCTCCGGGTGATCCTGCCGCAGAAGCTGCGCAGCTTATCCTTCACAGGCTTCTTGATGGACTCGTTGAGGGTCAGGTTGATGGAGGAGGCCAGCGAGCAAATGGAGTCATCGGCTGCCTCGCTGCCCAGGAAGGTGGAGGCATCGGCCACAGAGCTCCTGCGAGGTCTTAGAGTCTTCATCAGAGGTTCGGCCACAAAGCTCACGGAGCGGCGCAGGGTTCGTGAAATGGACCCGGTGCGGATCAGTTTGGGCTTCTTGGTGCTGGTGGGCAGAGCGAAGGAGTCCACCGACATCAGGGATACATTGTCGAAGCTGTCGCGCTTCCTCTTCAAGTCATTCTCGGTGACGGGCATGTCATCCGTCTCCAGGTCGCACTCGTTGATCGCCTTGAGGATGGGCGATATGTTCTGGGTGGTGCTCTGGAAGTCCAGGACTACGCCCTCCGTCTCTGGGGAGCTCAGGGGCGTGGCTGATTTCAGGCTGAGTCTTACTTTGCTGGTCTTTGGCGTGCTGGCCTGGACATCCTCCTCGTCTTCCTCCTCCAGCTGCTCTGTTTTCACCTCCTTCTTCCCAGCCTCTTCTACATCCTCCTCGTCGGACTCGGGCAACTGGTCATCCCCAGGATTTCCTATATCCGCAGCCTCCACAAAGAGCCGCTCGTCAAAGTGTATGTCGTCCTCGTCGTCCAGGTCCTGGTTCTCCTTCTGCTCCTGGTCCGGGTCCGAATCCGGGTCCACATCCAGTGGTACAACCCCGTCGTCTGTATCGGTGGGGGAGTGCTTCCCATTTTCGATCCCCGCCTGCCCTGCATCCTCGGCCTGCAACTGCTCCTCGTTCCCCTGGCGCTGGCCCGGGGTTTGTGATTGGGATTGGGTTTGGGAGTCGGGTGGGGGGTTAGTCTGGGTGCTTGGGTTAGTATCTGTGCTAGTGCTAGTGCTTGTAAAGACTGCGCCCGTGTTGGGCATCACCTGGAAAACACACGGATTAGGATTTGTGGCTAAAAATCGGCTTCTACCAAAAAATTAATAAAAAGCGAGTCATGCAAACTACAAACTCCAAAGCTACCCAAAAAAAGCTTGCATCTTATGAGGAAATAATAGTAATGGTAGACTCACGACATGCGAGCACTCCGGGTCCTCCAGCTCGGCGCAAACGCCGCCGTTCTCCAGCAGCACATCGACCATGTGTTGGTGCTCCTCGGGCGGGAAGCCGAAGAAGCAGATCTTCTGGCCCTCGAAGGCCTTGAGGCGGTGGGTCTTGGTGAAGGTCTCCTGGGTGGCGTCGAACTCCAGGGAGTTGCGATCCGACCAGGCGGCATACACCCAGGCAGGACGAACCACAGTCAACCGAAAGGTTTTGGCGTACCTGTAAAGGATAAGAGTTAGTCTTGATATTAAATGGAAGAATAGCCACACTTACTGATACTTTTCGCCGCCACTGTGATTACAAATTAGATGCGTGGTCTTTGTGTTGAGGTCCTTCTTGATGCAGCCGCCCATCGAGTGTATGAGGTTGACCAGCTTTGTCTAAAAAATGATAAATATTTTTAATGATTTTTGAAGAGTACCGAGCAAGCTACCACTCACCAGCTCATCCTTCTTGCGTATGCCGGTGAAGCAAGTGACCACGCCGCGCATCGCATAGTTGTAAATGGGGCGAGAGTTCTGGCCCAGGGTCTGTTTCATTTCGGCCGCGTACTTCAAAGCCGGCGGTCCCAGAATGCTGAAATCAAAGAGGGGTAGCCGGCAATTAAATATTTATGTGGCACACTTTTGAGTTATGCAAGGCAATCTGGCTTTTATGTCCCAATTGACCTTGGCAGTTGCAGGCCTGGGTGATGGTGACTGCAGCCATAATTCAATTCGAATTCGATCGATATCGGTGGCGGTATCAGTATCCATTGTATCTCTGATGGATTGCAGTCCGGACACAACCGTCGTGGCATCATCTCACTGGCCGACTGCACCGCCCGATGCGCTTTGCTGAACTTTGACTCGCCGCCCCTCCGACTAAGGGCTTCTTTGTTTACAACACCGGACATCGACAGCTGTTGGGGGAGGACCAGCCATCCAGCCACCCAGCCACCCGCCATTTGGCAAAAGCCGGAAGTTTTTATAAACAAATCAATCGAGCGGAAGCTGACTGCAGCCTGACACACCAGCCTGAGCATTGTTTCACTTGGTGGGCGTGGGCGTGGGCGTGGGCGTGGGATGGGGATGGATGGATGTATTTATGATGCTCGAAATGAGAACATTTATTAATGCCCCTCATCGGGTGGCAATTAAAAATGGAAATAATTGGAGGAACAAGTAATGCCATCCAATTAATTAAAAATCTCTTTAGTTTCTATTTAGACTCACAGCCAACTTCCTTTGAGGAGTTTCTCCCCCACGTCCATAACCACTTGATCTTTCACTTTCTGGGACATTTCACGCGACTTCCTGTTGCTCGTCTCACATTCACTAGACACTACGGGCACTGTGTGCTCTCCTGACATATCATATTCCCGGGCCTGGTTCAACAAAGCCCCATTTCCATATGCACAAATATTTGTCGCCAGCAAACGAATACGATTTTGTCACTTGTTCTGATTCAGATATATACTATAAGCACTTGGCCCGGAGGAGGAGCTGCGCGACAAGAGTTTATGATTCTATCCGGGCAACTAAACAAACACAACTGGCGGCGAGCTGCTTGGGAAAATCATTGAATAAACGACGAGCCGAGCGAGTGGAAAATGGAAATAGAAAATGCCTGACATGCTAGGCCGACACCCCGCCACCACATTCTCCTCCAAGAAGTGCCAGCATTTCTCTCTTTCTCTCGGGAAGTGAGAAATGGAGATCGCCAAACAATGGCAGGTGAACTGCAGAGAGGGGTTCCACTCTCGGGTGAAATTCCAAAGAACAATTAAATAAATTTCTTGCTTTTTTTTTCAGCGAAATGGCAAGGAAAACCCAGGAAAACTCGGCTGCTTAGTCAAAGCATAAAAATGCGACGCGCGTGCTCGACAATCATCTCTTATCTGACGGATCGTTTTGGGGGCATGGGGGCCTGCAGGGGGGTTGGTTGGGCTGCGACCTCCACGGATGGATCGGCCATCTCTTGTAAAGTGCGGCGATCTTTGGGTGTCGCGGGGCACTCGAACTCTACGAGGGTCAACCCTATTGAGCAGTCAATGGCATGTCGTTCGCGGACTCGTTCTCGTTCTGCCTCAATTAATTCGCCATATCACAAACTTATAAATTATATACACTCCCCTATATGCCACCACCCCGACTGGTCCATAAATATTTAAATATATATGCTCATTCCGAAATAAATTAAGATTTTTGTATTTAATTTTTTTATGGGAATAGCAAGAATTTCCGTTTTTCCGAAGCACTTCTTTCAACACTTTGGACTCTCGATTTGACATTTCTACACAAATTTTTATAGAATCTTGGCGCCAAGACATTGCTGCAATATCTGTATTAAGGAGAATACTATTTCCCAAGAGAAGTCCCCAAAAAACAAGAACGATTCATGTTCGATTTCTGTAGAAACGAATTCTATTCGAAATCGTCATGTTTTGCTTTTATTTTTGAGGGAAATGTTGTTTTCTTTCGCGATTCGTCCCCAAAATAGGCAATGAAATGCCGTGAGTATTCCCCCATTATGCGAATGGATCATTCGTGTGAATCAGATGCTATATATCCTATATGGGGGGAACGATTAACAAGATCTTTTGAGGCATCGTGCCGGGCGAGGTTAAGTGGCCGTTAAAGTGCCCTCTTGTGGCGACTTTCTGGGAATTTCTCATTTAAATTGCTTTTCGATTTTCCATTCATTTTTTGTTTACTCGAAATCGGAAGCAGTTACTCTTCATACGAAATAGGAAATATATTTATTTCTTTTGAAAACCTGAGGACTGGAATTTTTATTTGTTTATTTTTGAATTTGAAAAACAATTAACAATTAAACAGATACGGTTTTTTCCATCAAATGACAAAAACAAAACCGACACTAGAGGTGCATATTTATTTAAAAAATAAACACCTCAGTGGAGGAATATAAACTTTTACGTTTTTCCTCCAAAGACGATGTTTCTTTCTCTACAAGAGCATCAATTAAATTTATAGATGAAAGAACTACCATAAAAATAAAGAATGCAGAACATGAAATATTATTACTAATTAGCAGAGAGAGAGTCCCGAAGAAAACAACTCTTAACACCTTCTCTGTTTCTTGTGTTTTTGTTGAAAAATAAATACAATTCGCAAAAACAAAACTGAAACAGAAACTGAAACATGAATGAAAATCTATGATATAAATAATAATTCTTAATGGGGGAGAGGCCCACTACTACGCTTTCCTGTTTTGGGGGGAAAAAAAAACATCAAAAAGGAAAAACAGACGCCCACAGACACCCCACCTAAGACCACTGCTTCCTGTCCTCCCACCACCTCTTCCACCCATCACCCAGGTGACCTCCAAAAGCATAATGCTCGTAAATAAAGGCTAACCATAGTATGGCGAAAATTATTGTTAATCGCTAATGAGACAGGGCAGAGGTTGACCCCCTCTGGGGGTGGCGGAAAAGCGTGCATGTTATTCGGGGGGCCATTACTACGCAGCGGGCAAATTAATCAAGCATGCAAAAAAAATAAAAAAAAAAAAGAAAAACACTAAAAACAGAACCAAATACATACGAATTCTAGAGCTGAGAAGCAAACATTTGCGCAAGTTTCAAATTTGACAACAATTTGTAGGAGAAGAAAAATTAAGTCACGCTGGGCTGCGAGAAGTCGAAGAGGAAATGCCCTACAATTTGTATTAGTATGAATATTTATGTATATGGGGAGGGATTTTTATTTTATTTTTGTTATAAGAATAACTAAAAGCTGGGTATAACAAGTTGAAGTAATACTCTATTAAATACTACTTTATTAAACTCTATTAAAAATTTTTAATTATACGGGAGTTAATTTTTTCAACAAAAAAACCTAAATAAAAATTATTCCTAAATTTTAAACCTAAATTGCAAAACTGATTCTTTATATTGTTATATAATTTTAACATAAATTTAAAAAATGTTTTTATTTATTTTTATATAATTTTAAACATGAATTTAACCCACTAATTATTTACACAATTTTTATTGATACAATTTTATAAACATTTTAACTTCATTTTTAAAACTAATTAGCTACTATTGAAGCTATTACTATTGTGAATATTCATAAACTTTAATCTCAGAATATTATTATCACCTTTTTAAAAGAAACAAGAAAGGAAAGCTAACTTCGGGCGGAGCCGAAGTTTATATACCCTTGCAGCTAAAGTTGGGTCATTTTCGATCGTTCAGTTATATGGCAGCTATAGGATATAGTCGGCCGATCCTAATGAAATTTGGTAGGTTGGATCAACTAACCAAAAATAGAGTCTGTACTAAATTCCAGCTTTCTATCTTCAAAAACACGAAAGTTGGGTCATTTCCGATCGTTGAGTTATATGGCAGCTATAGGATATAGTCGGCCGATCCTTATGAAATTTGGCATGTCGTATTATTTTGCCAAAAATAGCTCTCATGTCAAATTTGAACTCTCTAACTCTAAAAACACCAAAGTTATACCATTTCCGATCAATCAGTTATATGGCAGCTATAGGATATAGTCGGCCGATCCCGGCCGTTCCGACTTATATACTGCGTGCAAAGGAAAGAAGGGTGTGTGCAAAGTTTCAAGACGATAGCTTTAAAACTGAGAGACTAGTTTGCGTAGAAACAGACAGACGGACAGACGGACAGACGGACAGACGGACAGACGGACAGACGGACAGACGGACATGCTCATATCAACTCAGGAGGTGATCCTGATCAAGAATATATATACTTTATAGGGTCGGAGATGTCTCCTTCACTGCGTTGCACACTTTTGGACAAAATTATAATACCCTCTGCAAGGGTATAAATATGAATCTGATAGAATTGTAAATAAAATAAATAATAATAATAATAAAATAAATATAAACAATAATATACAAATAATAATTAATTCTGATAAAATAAACTCACAATTCTTCCTATGATTTCTTTAAAAACATATTACCCTAACTCACACATTATCCATTATTTTCCGCCACTAAATTCTAACAATCATAAGTTTTAATTACCTTAAAAAGTCATAAATTCTAAAATTATACAAGTGATTCATATTTTTGCAATATTTCAAACCAGCAATCAATAAATGCTCATTTAAGTCTTCCTAAAAGCCTCCAATTCATAATCTCTCATGGATTTATGGCCTTTTTAACAGCCTGTAGATAAAGTTTATTATTTTTCACGACCCAACCCAGAACAACAATGAAAGTATCTTATAAGTAGGTGGTATTTATAAAAGAAAGGGTATTCTAAAGAGGGCTAAGAGGTCTAGAATGTAGCGCATGGCTGACGCTGTCAATCTTGGTAAAAATTGGTAAGCATCGAGTGGGAAAATATGGAAAATAGAAGGGGAGGCAGGAGCAGTAGGATGCCCATGCGTTTGTCTCGATTTCAAACTCAATTTGCTGGCGATGATGCTGCTCAGCACTGACGGCGATGATAATGGCTCTTGACTTTGTTCCACCGCTGGGGAAAGTGAGGGGGTGGGGGAGGAAAGGGCACCTACAGCGACCGCCATATGTGACAGATTGGTGTCCACGAGCTTAGTCTAAATTAAGCAACTGTGTGGCTCTTGTGATTTATTAATAGTAGCAGTGACTAGCACTCGTCGGGGTACTAGGGGTACTCACCATTCCTTCTGCTTGTGTATCGCCTCGAAGCTGGCACCCTCAAAGTCGTCCAGTACGTAGAAGGTCCGCCATTCGGCCTCTCCCAGGATGTCCAGGCCCGTCTCGGAGGTCACGATGGGCAGTCCGAAGGACTCGGCTGCCTGCAGCGTTTCCGCATCCTTGCCGACCTCGCCCACCAGGCAGATGCGCGATGCCAGCGTCGTCGAAATGGACATTTCTAGAGTGGGTGGAAAGATAGAAATCAGAAATGAGAAAAACAGGCATTCCGAGAGCTCTTCAAGTCAGAAATAGACTTTGGTGCTAAGTGCATGTCGGCCATAAATCATAAAACTAATGCAGGTCAATGGCAAGGGTCGACCTAGGACTCTATCTGTCAGATAATTTTAATATTTAAAGACTCTAATAAATAAAAAATATTAATAACAGGAAGCAACAAGTATTCTTCCCAACTCTGGAACCGATCCACCTTTTGGGGGAACTTTTGTTTACAGGGGACTGGAAAAAGATGTTTGATTTATGGCCATTTTGTGGATTTGTTTGTTTATTTAATAGAGTGTGGAGGGAGGAGGACTGGGGGCAGCAACCACAGCTAGAAAACTTTGCAAAATAAAATAGAAAATAGAACTAGACTCTGTCCATCATTAGGCGGCCAAATGGTGAGCTGTTGACATCAAATTTTAATTGTGGCGATTTTTCTGGCAGCTACATCCCTCCTCTCCTTGCAAAGATAGATGACCTTCCTAAGACTAGGGATCTAGGAGGGATCTAGAAAATGTTTTCAAGTGCAAAACATTTACCCCCAATCGACATGGACACCACCAGGGCGAAGGGCGCAGCAGCCGGAGGCGGCAACGGCGGCTTTGTGGCATTAATTTTATCCAGAATTGTGCAGCTGTAACCGATGCCAATTGTATCTGGACTGCATTCTCAATTGTATCTATATCTGTGGATGTATCTGTAGATGTATCTGTGCCTGGCGAGACATTCGCCACTTGTGCAATTGAACAAAGTCCAGGAACTGAAGAAGATCTGAACTGCAAACGGCAGTTCGTGTCGTTGCCTCTGACGTATTGGAATTTTTAGATACTCGTGGCTATTCTCCAACCCAGGCGATAAACAATGCAATTTATCTAATGGATAGCGGCGGGATTTATGGGCCTGGGCGGTCCACCGAAATATCTCTGGAATGCCCCCTGGGAGGGCTGTATTTATGGGAAATTCCCCAAAGAGGTAGGCTCTTCCTCCCAGCTACATAAGTAACTAATAGATGACATTCTTTCAATTAAAAAATTTATTTATTTCTTCCGCTTGGTATTCCGGGAACTGCTTCGATTTCCATTAAATAAATATTTCGACAAGTTTTATGATTTCCACTTAAACGCCGGGCCAGAGCGATATGTATACTTTAGTTATTCTCGGTACCTCCCCGGTTTCTGCACCTTTATCAGGTGGTTTTGGCATTTCTGGATGAATCACAAGCCGCTACCCTACTTAGGTTTCTCGTGGCCTGGTTTAAGATACCCCTAACAAGTACCTGAACCCCTTCGGCTTAGCACATATACCTGTGAAATCCTCGTACACCTGACAGAGGGCCGCCTGCCGGAGCTTCGCCTGCTTGACTTCCTCGTCGGCCGCGTACGTGAAATACGAGGCGACCTGTTGCTGGACCGTAACGAGCCTGTTTTTGCCGCCAAAGTGGTTGCCAAAGTTGAAGTGCACGGAGGGCAAGTGCAGCATTTTTTGCCTCGACAAGATCCTAGAGGATCGGCCACTGAACTGATACTGACAACCAGCCACCGAGACCGACTTAAAGCACTGAGGAGGGCATTTTGCATAGCCACAGGGTGTCGTCTGAGGCCGGGGTGGTGCCAAGCCGAGGGTGTGGGAAACGGTGAGAGAGCCCAGTCGCACAGGTGGTGGTCACCATTTTTCGCCATTTGGGTAGTGGGTATTTCCTTCCTCTACCAGGGGACGGCGAGGAAAATCCGCTGGCTGCCTGCCAACCCATAGAGAGAGAGAGAAGAGGGCGGGTACAGTGAGAAAACAGTGAGAATTTCCCAAGAGCTATATGACAAGATTATAAAAGTATCTGAATACTTTTCTCTCAGTGCTTCAAACAAGAGTCATCAAAGAAAAATCTTGTAATAAAATGACGCATCCTTGAGGCAAAGATTCGGAACCGAAGCTGACCTTCTGGCGGGGCATGTAAGCTGCCATTAGCATTGAGGGAACTACAGGCATGTGCGGCCTGTCAACAACATGTGTACAGTGAAGCAACAATATAGCAGATATAGACAACGTCTATGTGCGATCGATCAGAGGGGTAGGTAAAAATCCTTACAAGCGAAGAAGAGCAGGAAGGAGAGGGATGAGGATCTTCCTACCTGAGGGAAGTGCCAGTTCAGGCAGGAAAATGGCCAAGTCAGCTGATATTCGGCTACATTTTCAAGCCAAATTTAATGAGAAAGGAAATCAAAGGAAATCCACAAAAATAAATCAATTATAAAGGCAATTATAAAGACAGAATGTATTCTTTTAATCTGATTTCCTAATTGTAAACTTTTCAGCCAAGTTCTAGCCGATCAAAATTATATACAAAACACAATTTAAAGACAATTTTATTTGTTTATATGTATATATACATATATACGTATATTCCATGGGAAATCTTTTTTTGAAATACAGAATATTTTCACGTGCCTATAAAGGCATTCAACTTTGGTTTTTTTTTGGAAAAAAAGCTATGGAATTTAAACCAAAAGAGGGATAGGTCTTGTTCCTCAAAAAAGGCTAAGCCCTCATCACTGATAACAGGAACTGATCCGTTTGTTGTTGTTTCTCTTCGGCTGTCCTTTCTCACTCTACTCTCTCCGGCAGTTAGGGCTCCTGAGCTGTTACATGTTATTGTTGTTGCTCTCGGTACAGTGCCGGCCAGAGAAAGAGGTAGAAGAAGAGAGTACAACTTTTTGCAAAAACAATAATTTTGAAGAAAAAATTAAAAAAATAAAGAAAAGATCGCCCTGACTCGATGCCATTGCTTTTTTAGTCCGTAAACTCGAAACACAAACGTCTATAGATGGGGTTTAAAATGTATTTATTTGCTGCCAGCGATATTTTTTATGAGGATCTCTTGGCCCCGACTGTGGTTTGCCGGCGCACCCCACACCCCTCCCCGCTCCCCCTCCCACTGCCCACAATCTGACGACATTGAAAAATGAAATATTCTGAGGCGTTTTCGTTTCTGGGGCGGTGGGATGGTTATTAGCACCTGCCACGCCCCTGCCCACCCAAGGCGAGTACTCACCGCACTTCGATTGCTCTTCAATGGTCTCCATATCGATTGATCTTCGCTTGATTGGCGGCCACAAGGCGAATAATTGCGGGACAACAACAAATAAAACACAATAATCACAAAACACGCATACGAAACAGACGCACAGGAGACAAATTTCTCGTTTGTACTCGGATCGTTTATGCTATTTATTTAATAGGTCTGTGGCTGCTGCTGTCGCTGTTTCTGAACACTTTCCGAGACTCATACTTTCCTTGGCACTTTCGAGCAAGCCCAGACGATCATTTCAAACGCGGATCAATTAAAACAAAATGCGAAGCGCACGCACACACATTAAGGCCACTTGCGTTGCGCGCCTTACTTGCAATCGCCGTTTCTCAGAACTGGGCACGTGCCCTAGAACCGGGCCAGGTACTGCAACTAGTTAATTATAAACAATTTAAGCGATTTCACAGCGCCCAGGTCCACGTAAACGGCTGCGCGTCAAAGTCTCAAATCAAATTTCAACGGCCAAGCACGTCCGGTAGGTCTTAAGGGCAGTGTGGCCAGAGTGCCTATATTTACAAATAAAAAATAACTTAAATAGCAGCCCTGGTTAGTGTACTGGTTAGGTTAGGGTAGTGTGGCCAATCGAACATAATATCGATTTATCGATACGTTTAATCGCTAAAGTGCTGCCAATTCAGACAAAATTTAAAATGGAAAACCGCGATTTATATTTAAATTTAGAATTTTTTTTTTATAATACTTTAGCTAAGCTACTTTTGTACTTTTTTTATTAAGCCTAGCCGACTTTGGGCATTAAAAAACAAACCAAATAAGTCCATTCTAAACTCACCATTTAAAACAATTTCACTTAAAAATACAATAATTCTAGCTTTATGTCTAAAATAGTTGAATATTTTCGAGGTTTTTCTTGCCTTAATTATTTTTTATTCCGTTGGTTATAAATACGTTCAAATCATAAGGAAGAACTTTAACTTTAGGTCATAAAATCAAATATTCAGTTAATTAATAAATTTAAATATATGCCGGAAGTCCTGTAATAGACTGTTATAGCCTATGGGGCTGCGGAAACTGTCTTCAACTGTTTCAAAAACAAGTTCCTAAACTACTTTAGACATCAGGCTGAATTCACCTCGATCTGTTTAAGCGATCCGGTGCACTTAATCCGTTTTTTTGCGGATTGAGTCACCATTGCGAACGTCAGTGTCAAGAGCGGCCAATAAAGTCTTGCCAATCAATATGCGAGTCTTCTCGCTCCGGCTCTCCGTTCTCCGCAGCGTGGGATCTGATTTTCGAGTCAGACTCTCGGCGACGATGACGACCAGATGACCATATGAGTGGCTGGAGGCAGTTCTCCTCAGTCATTCGTCGATGTCCGCGCGTTAGGTTCGGTTTAGCTTGTACCGGGAGCTTGTAGTCCACCGTATCTCTCATCTTCGACGACCATCCAGGGACTTGGTTTGGAAACGAAACGAAAACAAAAAAATAGAATCGCCTCGATTATATAAACATAAAACCAATAATTGAGCACATATCTCTCTGGCTGGAGCTGGAGGTATCTGTGTTCGTGTATCTTTATCTGTGTCTGTGGAAGTCCCAGTGCATTCCGGTTTTTTCGAATCGGATCCAAACAACAACAGTGCCGATATATATGTACATATGTCGCTACGTCAGAGTCATTTAAATTCGTACTGAAATACCGACTTGGAAAAAATCCCAAAGCCCATCAATAAGAAATATAAATAAAAACCACGGAATAATTGATGAGTACACCCCCCCGCCAGTGTGCGTGTGATATTCGTTTGTGTGCCCAATCCCCCAATAATAACCAATCTCAGCCGGCCCTCAAAAGTCTGATAACCGAGGCTTAAACCCACTTTCGCTTCCAGCCGCAGAATGCTTCAAATAACAGGTATAAAAAATTAATCAATTAAGCCTTAATTACGGGATATTCCCATAGACTCTTTTACGATTTACTGCACGTGTTGTTATTCATATTTTAGTAATTAATTCCGGACTAATATGGTGGAAGTGCTTGTGTGTTTACTCACAAATATATAATATATATTAAGCATTTAAGGTCGCCCGCGGATCAGCATTATCAGCAGGAAAATTAAATGCTCATTGTTTTCAATCTGGAATTACAAAAATGACAAGTCATTATCAACAAACATTATGTTTAAGCCGGAAATAAAAATAGTTTAGAAAAATGTAAATTTTAAAACATAGTTTAGGATTATAATAAGAACGAACCATTCAACACATAGTATTGCTTATAATAGTATTAAATTTTAAAAAGCATAGATGGGTTAACATAAATCTAAACCAGATTATAATCTCAACTAGACCATGATATAAAGGCCTATAACCTTTAACCTTTAACCTATTTCAGAACGCACTATTTTATGGCTCCCATTAGTTCTAATAGTGGCTGTTTTATGCTCGGCCCAGCAGCAATATCCAGCACTATCGGTGGGCAATCCTCTGGAGGCGCTCACAGATCGCGGCGCCTTCCAACAAGGACCCACTCACGTCCAGTCGGTGAGGAGTAACTTCGAGGACGACACCTTGCGAACCATTTCACAGGGAGTTCAGGAGTTCGCTCTCGATATCCTGCAGCGCATATCGGCCCAGGTGCAAAAGAACAATAGGGACTTTATGATATCGCCCTTCTCGATCTGGTCGCTCATGGTGCTGCTCTATGAGGGCTCCAGCGGAGAGACCTACAACCAGCTACGTCGTGCCCTGCGCATCAATGTCGAAGACGAGAAGCTGCGCGGGGTCTACCAGATATGGAGCTCCTTCCTCAAGTGAGTTTAGAAGTTATTAGGGATTACTTTTTAATTAATCCATGTTTTTGTCCTTTAAAGCACAAATACCCCCACCGTAGAGGTCGCCTCCCTACAGGCTGTTTACACGGATATCTCGGCGCCGATAAACACCGGCTACCGCTCTATTATCAAGAACTACAATGTGCAGCCCATGGAGGTGGACTTCTACAAAGAGGACACAGTGCATCTGATCAACGACGCCACAAACCGCACTACCAGAGGACTCATCCCCTACACCGTACTGCCGCAGGACATTTATGGAGCCAAGATGTTCCTACTCTCCTCCCTCTTCTTCAAGGGCCAGTGGAAGGTGAGTTCGGTCAGTCCTTCTATCCAAACTATTATTAACATTTCCCGATCTCTCACAGTTTCCTTTTAACCAAACCCTGACCAGAATGGAGAACTTCTACAACGAAAACGACGAGGTGGTCGGCCAAGTATCTATGATGGTGCAGGAGGCCAACTTCGCCTACGCTTCCAACATCGAGGGCCTGGACGGCTATGTCCTGGAGCTGCCCTACGGCACTCAGGACAGGCTGGCCATGATCGTGGTGCTGCCCAAGCGCGGCTTCAAGCTCAACGACGTGGCCAACAACCTCAAGACGATAGGTTTGTCGCCGATCCTGCAGCGTCTGGCAGCTTTCAAGGCACGGGCTTCCGAGGACAATGAGGTGGAGGTCATGATGCCCAAGTTTGAGACGACGACGGACTTTACACTCAAGGGCATCCTTGGGCAGGTAAGGCAGGCCAGTTTCGAGTATAACCTTGTCTTGAACTATTTTCTCATTCGCAGATGGGCATTGTGGATCTGTTCGATGAGAACACCGCCAACCTGAGCCGCATGGCCAGCGGATTGTTTGCCAAGATCTGCATCCACTCCACCAAGATCATTGTCGACGAGCAGGGCACCACGGCCGGTGCTGTGACACAAGCTTCGCTTATCAACAAGGCGACGCCTCCGAAATTCCTGCTGAACAAGCCCTTCCAGTACATGATCGTGGAGAAGGCCACCAACCTGCTTCTCTTTGCCGGCCAAGTGCGAAACCCACATACCCCATAGGATCTAAGTTGGATTTTATTGACACGACACAATAACTACCCTATGATAGGTGAAATGGGCTTTATTTCTTGGCTCGACCGGCGCCCTTTTTGCCGCCAACTGGTTGTTGTTTGTCTTTGCTGGCCTTGCTGGAAATGAGGGGGTGGGTTTCTGGAAAATAAGGAGGAGATTCTAAATCCAGATCAAAGAATAATAAGTTATAGACACATTACCATCGGTGGGGGCATCGGGCAGACTGACATCATAGAGTTTCCTGGGGATCAAGTCCTGGGGATCCGCGCCAAGCAGCAGAGCACCGGCTTCAAATCCATCCTGACCCGACCATCCGTCCTCGGGATCCTCCACTTCCGGGGCCATTGGCAGAAATTGTAGCGCATTCTCGTCCTCGCCCTCTTCGTCCGAAGAACAAAAGGCGGCTACCGGTTCCACTTTTTGAACGTCAACTTCAATCTCCTCATCCTGCTGGGCATCGGCATTCAAGTCCACGGACTTGTCATCGTCCGAAATGTCGAATTCAGACTCCCGCTCGTCATATTCCACATTTTCGTCAAGTTCCTTAAAATCCGGGGCAAAAGCAGACCAGTTCTCCACTTGGTTCTGCGCCCAAATAGAGACCAGGCCGGAGCTTATGCTGGCAATAATTGGCCGCACTGGATGCCACACAACGTCGAGCAGCAGTTCACCCTTGGTGCCGTGCAGGATCTTGACCAGATTTCCAATAGACTTTTCCCAAATATAGAGAGCATGTTGTCGAGCACTTCCCGCGCAAATGTACTCGCCATCGCCGGAGAAACAGCATTTCTTCCAGGTAGTTCTGAAGGGACAGGCATGTTTAAAAACTTGATAATCATCGGTTTGTCTCCTTACTTGTTGACCAAGTCCTGCAACTTTTGGGTGGGCTCCGGTTCGCCGTCTTTGCCAAGGGTAATGATTTCCTTTGAGTCGTATACGCGGATGACTCGGTCTGAGGTATTGATAAGAAAGGCGCTGAAATGAAGAGCTTGAGAATCATCATTACAAAAGGTTTTCGGTTCACGTACTCTCCTCTTCGAGCAAATTCAATGCTCTTAACAGCTGTCGCACTCGAAGTTCCTACTATGATGCGGAAACTAGCCACCACCTCGAACGTCTCCACATCCAAGACCAGTATTTTTCCCTTCGCATTTCCAGTGTAAATATGTTTTCCTCGGCGATCGAATGAAGCGACTATATTCAAGTCGCCCTGAGATGTGCGAAAAGTTAGTCTGTGTCAAAATCTTTATAAATATCCAAACATACGTCCGAGTCCACGGGCAGACAGCGATGAGTTCCCCCAATTTCCACCAACACCGCTGCGTATCGCATGGGACAGACTAAGAGACGGTTATCGTTGCGGGGATCGAACTGGACCTTGAGAACCGGCGACGGAAACCTGTACTTGTGTTCCAGCTCGCCGGAGAGTACGTCCCAAATGCATACATTGTTGTCCGTGGATGCAGAGAGCAACTGGAAAGGAATCAAGTCAGTTTAAACTTTAAAGCTGGTCTTAATGGGGCAGAGACAAACTTTGTGGCCATTCCTGGTCCAACTAAGACTGCAGACTGGATGAACATGAGCTGAAATAATCTTGGCGATGCCGCGCGTCAGAAAATCCCAAATCACTATGCGGCCATCATTGCAGCCCACCGCCAGAAGAGTTCCATACTTATTGAAGGCACAGGTCACTGCTAGGGAAATACAGTCAAGCGAGCCATCAAACTCCTCTGGGTAGTTCTGGCCAAAAGATTCTGTCAAAGTTGGCAAGGATTTGGTTAGTATTTACAGATCCTTTAAAGATTAGGCGGGATTCTCACCTAACAGCTCCAAATTCATTTTGTTGACAGTCTTCTTCTTCACTGTCATTCACAGTGAGCAGGTAACTATCGGCTAATCGATTTGGCGATAGGTGACAAAAATTTTATTACTGTTATGTTTGATTACAAAGAAATGATTTAAAATTCTTTTTCAAAATAATGCTCGCCTTTAAGTGGTATAGTCATTAGCACTATACTATTCAAGCAAAGCCAAAATACAATGTATACATTTTTTTATTTATAAATAGCGAAGCATGGTAACTGCGTATAACAGTAGAAAGTTATTTGTATTTGCTTTTATAGATAAAACTTTTCTTGTTTCCGTACAAATTATTACCATAGACAGGAAAATATATATTTTTACCTCATTTAAAAATACTCTTTTTTAAAATAAAACGTGTATAATTTTATACTGAGTTTATAGAAAAAAATACTGAACGCTTTTTGTTATCGATATGTTGCTATCGATGCCGAACGTTGGCAACCCTAGTTTTGTGACTCGATCCAGTTCCGAGTGGTTCCGAGTGGGTTTTGTGCACGTTTTGTATGTGGGAAAATTTATGCATACTTATTTGCCAATTGTGAGAAAGCCAGGATTGTGAAAATGGCACTAACCGCGATAGCAATGATCTGGGCATGTTAATACAGTGAAAATAGACCCGATTCGGAATCGGGGACATTTTGGCCGTGGCACGCGATTGTGTCAACGTCACCTTTGGAGCACGCTCTCGCTCTGGCTGGCGCTCTCATGCTGGCTAATTTTTTGCGTATGCCCTCTCTCGCTCCCTCTCACTCTCTCTGCTGAAAGCTTAATGGTGGAGTGAAATAATCAAATAACCGAGTTTTGAGTTTCTACTTTCGTTCACATCACAAAAATGTGTGTACGGGCCTTTCATGCCAAATTAGTTTCCAACTCCGTTTTGTTTTCCGTTTCGAAGTTTTCCCGCTTTAGTCGATTCCGATTCCGAATCGGAATCCTACCCCCCACCCACCAGGTGCCCCAAAAAGTCAGATTAAGATTCAGAGCGAGAGAGAGAGAGTAAAAGTAGTATGCAATCGCAATAGCCCCGCTCGTTGGTGTGCTTTCCTCTCCTTAGCTTTTCTTTCCCATTATTTGAATTGGCTGTGTGTGTGTGAGCCTTTGTGTACATGTGTATTATTTCCCATATTATCGTTGCAGTGTATTCATCGCCAGCCACGTTAAAAGGAAGAACGTGAATGTGAATACAAGAAGCACAGAAGCAGCAAAATAACAGAAGTGTCGCGGAATAGCAGCCACACCAGTCCAAGCCCAAGCCGAAGCCAAGGCCTGCATAGAAGTCGCCGCCGCTGCTGTCGGAGTCAGGATTAGTCCTCCATCCCCCCACCACGTCCACCACCCACTCACTGTTCACTCAGGCGGGGTAAATAAACCAAGCACCGAGCAAGATGTCTGGCGAGGAAACGTCTGCCGATCGCAATGTCGAGATCTGGAAAATAAAGAAGCTGATCAAGAGTCTGGAGATGGCGCGCGGGTGAGTTTCTATTGTTTCCCATATTTTTCCCCCAATCCCCAACTCTAGTGCGAGTGCGTGAGTGTTTGTGGGGATACACAACTCTCACACTCGTTGGTGGCAACGGGGGTGGAAATGGGTGTGGGTGTGGGTATGGGTGTGCTGCTGGGGGGGCGCCCGAGTCCAACCACCTTTCCTTGTTGTGACCAAAAAAGTGCTCCCCCTTGCGATGGCATTGTTTCCATCCATCTTCTCCAAAGCCGCCGAGCCGCGATCCCCCCCCCCCTACGTGCTAACCCGCTCACTTCTGCTCGGTTATTTGCATGCCAGGCCATGAGCAACACGTTTTCGTCGGGTTATTATCAGTTATAACTAGACTGGGTGAGAGAGAGCGAGTGAGTGAGTGAGCGGGCAGCAGCGCTGTGGTGTGAGTAATGCGCCTCGTGGCCGTCTGCTTGTCGTTTGTTTGTCACTCCACCGCACGTCTACCTGTGCCTATGTGTGTGTGTGTCGAAATGGGCCAAGCTTTGTGGCAGTGCTGCTGCTCTCTCGCTCTCTCGCGGAGTCGACCTGGTCCTTACTGCTCCGCTTACGGTAACAAGGTCAGCGTACAGAGTGACCCCTGCAGAACCTCGACTTACAAACTAAAACAAAAACAAAGTAATATAATAGTAATACTACTTTGTACAGTTATTCTATTAATATAATTTCATTGAAGTTTCTTTAGGAGATTAGCCAAGTACTGTTGCCATGGGAGAAATTGGCTCACATTATAACCGATTCCCTTCTATTTGCAGCAACGGCACCAGCATGATTTCTTTGATTATTCCGCCAAAAGATCAGATCTCGCGCGTCAGCAAAATGTTGGCCGATGAATTTGGAACGGCCTCGAATATCAAGTCGCGCGTCAACCGTCTGTCCGTCCTCGGTGCCATTACGTCGGTCCAGCACAGACTCAAGTTATACACCAAAGGTGGGTCAATCCTATAAGCCTACATATATCTCTCTAATAACTTTTTTTTGGTATTTTTTAGTGCCTCCTAACGGTTTGGTCATCTACTGCGGCACCATTGTCACAGAGGAAGGCAAGGAAAAGAAGGTGAACATAGACTTTGAGCCATTCAAGCCCATCAACACGTCGCTCTACCTCTGCGACAACAAGTTCCACACGGAGGCCCTCACTGCCCTGCTGGCCGACGACAACAAATTCGGCTTCATCGTGATGGACGGTAACGGCGCTCTCTTCGGTACACTCCAGGGTAACACCCGCGAGGTGCTCCACAAGTTCACTGTCGATCTGCCGAAGAAGCACGGACGCGGTGGTCAGTCCGCCCTGCGTTTCGCCCGTCTGCGTATGGAGAAGCGTCACAACTATGTGCGCAAGGTCGCCGAGGTGGCCACCCAGTTGTTCATTACAAACGATAAGCCCAACATTGCCGGTCTCATCCTAGCTGGTAGTGCGGACTTTAAGACCGAGCTCAGTCAGTCTGATATGTTTGATCCTGTAAGGAGTACTTTACCTTATTTTGAATCAAGTTATAATCTCTGTTTGCTTTTCAGCGATTGCAATCGAAAGTAATCAAGCTTGTGGATGTGTCTTATGGTGGCGAGAACGGATTTAACCAAGCCATTGAACTGGCAGCCGAGTCCTTGCAAAATGTCAAATTCATTCAGGAGAAGAAGCTCATTGGTCGTTACTTTGATGAAATTTCTCAGGTGAGTCAACATCCCATCCTACTGTATACCCTTTATAAACCATTGGATTCATTCAGGACACTGGCAAATACTGTTTCGGCGTGGAGGATACCTTGCGGGCACTGGAACTTGGCTCGGTGGAGACACTGATTTGCTGGGAAAACCTCGACATTCAACGATATGTTCTCAAGAATCATGCCAACTCGACGTCAACGACAGTATTACATTTGACGCCGGAGCAGGAAAAGGACAAGTCGCACTTCACTGACAAGGAGGTAAGTTGGATGAGTTACATCTTCTGCTGGAGCGATTTTAATGGAAAATATTGTCTTGTAGAGCGGGGTGGAGATGGAACTGATCGAGTCTCAGCCGCTGCTCGAGTGGCTGGCAAACAACTACAAAATGTTCGGCGCCACACTGGAGATTATCACGGACAAGTCCCAGGAGGGTAGCCAGTTCGTGCGAGGTTTCGGTGGAATCGGCGGTAAGTACTGTGGATTTCATCCACTTGATTAACCTGTAGATGTAGCTGTAGTCGACTATGATGGCTAAATCTCTGTCTCCTTTATCCCTAATGCTGCTTTCCGTACGATCGTCACAACGCTATAATGTAGGCATATTGCGCTATAAAGTAGATTTCCAGTCTCTACAGGCCGACGAGCCGCTGGAGGACGTCGATCTCGATGATTACTAAGCCGCCCGCCAGTCGGGGGCTGCAAACGGGTCTCGATAATGCGTTATATGCAGAATTAAAACCAGTACTCTTTGGGAAACCTCGTAAAGCGAAACGTTCAAATTGATTAGGAACCAATTTACTTGCCACATAGTTTTGTCTATGTTCAGCGTAGCCGTTCAATACCAAATATTTATCACCAATAGGGTCCCCCCCTCATCATTGTCAGTGTCAGTCAGGCGGTGCATTTCCTTCGTCAATCAGATCAGCGGTCTCTAGATATGTGTACCTATGCGATTTATCAAATTTTTTCATTACCAAGTCCTTACTTATTTAAGCAAAAAAAACTAAATTCTTAATTCGCGACTAGTGAGGAGGTAAGCTGGGTTTGAATTCTTGAGAGGATTGGCTCTTTGTTTATGGAACGGGTAACGTACCACTATTAGCTGGAAGAGTTTCGAACGTATCTGCATTTCCCCTATTCAAATTACATCAGAGTGTTATAAGAAAAGTATACAAATCTAATCCATAAAAATTGTAATAAAATTAAACCAGAAATAAAACCACACGCATAATGAGATTCGTAAGCCGTGGTACCAGCACGGGTATGCATTTTGGAAATTATTTAATATTTAAGTAAAGATTAAGGTGAATAAAAGGTGAGCTTTTGATGTTTAGTTTTCTGTATTAGTTGGATTATCTATTTTAGTTTCTTTTGCTTATGTTTTACTCTTTTAGTTTTATTATTTTTTAATCAAAAACATATATCTTACACCCCCTTAACAGGTATCTTACGCTACAAGGTTGACTTCCAGAGTATGCAGCTCGACGAACTGGACAATGATTGCTTCGACCTAGATGATTACTAGATAATGTTGTTCTGTTGGAATTCGTTTGCAACTACCGTCGACCGCAAAACTGAAAACTGCAAAACTGAAACTACATAAAACCAGGAAAATCAAATAGAATATTTTAATAATACGAGCGAAACACACAAACCTTCTTCCATTTTAACGTTGTTGGCGAGAAAAGTAAAATTTAAATTAATGCATATAAATACAACTGATATACTGTTAAATCGAGGAAAGCATATTAAAATGATACCGTTTTACGTGAACAAAACCATAAGAAACATACATGTCTTAATTTTATTTCATAAAGAGGTCCAGATTTAGAGAGAAGACGTGACCAGCAGCCTTACATGTTCTTGAATCTAATCTGGTGTCTGGAATGTATCTATGAAATACTATTGTAGCCACCACCAGCATGACCAGCATGATGGAAAGTGAGTACGATTGGGCACGAGTGAGTACTTTCTATTTGTAGAGACACTCGAAATCGGTTTCTTACTTAGATCTCCAGCCGATCTGGGTTTTTCCTAAAAAGAATTCAGTATGAACAGTGACGAAAGCCTAAACTTGTTTTCAAGCTACTTATACTACTGCAGCGTATACATACTATTAGTATGCAAAACTAAGTACATTTGCAGTTGCGTAAAGTACTCTAAACTGAAAGAAATAAATAGCATTGTTCATTATAACGATGTTCTACTGTAAGGTCTTTATTGGTTGTGGGGTATACCAAGCCAGTTTCATAATAATTTTGGATGATTCTCCAAAAATAGTTGATTAATCTAATCTAATTAACACATATCTTTTGTTTTTAATAATAAATTGATAAAAAAAAGAGATTATAAATTGTGAAATTATTATGGAATATTCTTTTGATTATACTATTACTATTATAAGGTTCACCTTAATAAACACAATTGTATTTAATTTATTTTCGAGTGTATGCCTGCCCAGACGATGGTTTACAACTTGATCAAGATAGTGGGGAATTTCGTCTGGAGAACGTTAAAACACAATCAGCTGCAGCCGGGCCCGATCACTTCCCACTGAATCGTCGTCGAAGTCGGAGGTTCGTTCGTTGGATTCTCGCTGCTCCATAGTGTATACATCCATAGTGTAGCCATGTCTGCCTCCCAGGATCACTCCACAACGATTAACCAAATCCGCGATGGTCTCATGGACGATTGGAATGTCCTGGAGAACGTCTTCCGGCTGCTCCAACGGGAGGACACCTTTTGCGTGGATCCCGAGAAGTGGGGCCAGCACACAATAGTGCCTTTCCTACAGCCGGACCAGCTGAAGGTGAGTGGACGACTGACCCGGTAGCGTCTGCCAGTCCCAAGATAATGGGTTGAGCTGATTAATGGTAAAGAGTTCATACTTGGGGTCGCGCCAGCCAGCCGTTCAAATAGTGCTTTAATTTAATTTCCAAGTACAAATACTAATTGGTAATTGATCATAAAATTTGATTGAAGAGCAATCTAGTTTCTAAGAAACTACAATCTCAAGGGTTGTTTGGAAAGTTTCTTATCTATGAGTACCTTTAAGAATACACCTTTAGAAATAAATCAAAACATTGGTATATATGTTCCAGGAACGGATTAATCTTAAAGTCCGGGAGACGGAAAATCCTAGTCTAGCCGAAATCGAAAAGCTGTGTCAGGAGGTCATCCATTATTCTGTGAAAACCTCGCACGGGCGCTTCCATAATCAGCTCTTTGGACAGCTCGATCCCTTCGGATTGGCGGGATCATTGATCACCGAGGCCATGAACGGAAGCTCGTAAGTCTCCCCCAGCATTTACATATGTCTCCTATCAGGGCAGCTGATTATTGCATCTTTTTTGCAATATATTGCAATTATGGGTTTATAGAACAGATAATGGTGTTACTTCGGTGTAAATTCCAAGTGTTAATCCTCTCCGATACTATAAATATTATATTGCTATACAGTACAGTACTTTTTCCTGATCCGATATTCTATATCCTTAGGTATACCTACGAAATCGCACCCGTTTTCAGCCTGATTGAAACGGAACTGATCTCGACGATGTGCCGGTTGGCAGGTTACAAGAACGGTGATGGAATCTTTAGTCCCGGTGGCTCCACTTCCAACATGTACGGCCTGGTTCTGGCCCGCTACAAGTTTGCTCCCTCCGTGAAAACAGCCGGAATGTTCGGAATGAAGCCGCTGGTGCTCTTCACATCCGATCAGTCGCACTACAGCTTCGTCAAGGCGGCCAACTGGCTGGGATTGGGCAGCGACAATTGCGTGTCAGTCAAGACCAATGAACGGGGTCAAATGCGGTTGGATGACCTGGAGGCCAAGATTGTGGAGGCGAAAGCTCGCGGCGGACAGCCGTTCTTCGTCAATTGTACTGCGGGTACCACTGTACTGGGGGCCTTCGATGACATCAACGGGGCAGCTGATGTGGCGGAACGTCATGGTCTGTGGCTCCATGTGGACGCTTGTCTCGGAGGAGCCATCCTTCTCTCCCATAAGAATAGATCTCTGTTGGCTGGCCTCGAAAGGGCCAACTCCTTTGCCTGGAATCCCCACAAGTCGCTGGGAGTACCGATGCAGTGCTCGCTCTTTCTCACCCGGGAGCAGGATCGCCTTCTAGAGAGATGCAACAGCACGGAGGCGCATTATCTGTTCCAGCAGGACAAGTTCTACGACGTTTCCTACGACACCGGCAACAAGAGCGTCCAGTGCGGTCGCAAAATAGACGCCTTTAAGTTCTGGCTGATGCTGAAGGCCCGTGGATACGGAAAGTACGGTCACCTGATAGACCATGCCATTGACATGTCCAGGTTGCTGGAGGATAAAGTGCGCCAGCGCAGCGACCGCTTCCGGTTGGTGCTCCAGCGGCATGAATACTCCAACGTCAGCTTCTGGTACATCCCGAAGGCGATGCGGGTGACTCAAAAGGAGGAGACACCTGAGTGGTGGGAGCGCCTTTCCACGGTATGTTTGAAATATAAATATTTTTGATGGATCTTAATCACAATTTGTTCCTTTAGGTGGCTCCGAAGATTAAAGAGCAGATGATTTATAGTGGATCTCTGATGGTTGGTTATTCGCCTCTAAAGTCCCAAAATTTGGGCAACTTTTTCCGCATGGTCTTGACTTGTTTCCCCGTCCTAAAAAGTGAAGAGTTGGACTTCATCTTGGACGAGATTGAGAGATTAGGAGAGAAAATTGTTGTATAATTAATTGATTTAATAATAAGAATAAAAGTTTTTTTTAATGGATTTGTACCGAAAAATATAATTGATTATGGTTTAAATGTGCTAAAAAGAAAACAAATATAAAAAAGCTAATAAACAAAATGCGCCAATTTCTTGATTTGAATTTCAAGTAGTTAGATGAGTAATGCCCATAAAATTTATCGACCTATCGATAGACACATTTGTTGGTATCGTTCAATAAAAACTGGCAGCCACACTAATCGGAATTAGTGCATCAGCTGCGATCAAAACAACACAAAATCCATTGCGAAATTATTTAAAATATCAGAATAATCAAACAGCTAAACCATGGGCAAAGCTGAGGTGGGTACGCCAAAGTACCTGGCCAACAAGATGAAGGCCAAGGGCTTGCAGAAGCTGCGCTGGTACTGCCAGATGTGTGAGAAACAGTGCAGGGATGAGAACGGCTTCAAGTGCCACACGATGAGCGAATCCCACCAGCGGCAACTGCTCCTCTTTGCGGATAATCCTGGAAAATTCCTGCACAGCTTCAGCAAGGAGTTCTCTGACGGCTACATGGAGCTACTGCGTCGGAGATTCGGCACAAAGCGTACGAACGCTAACAAGATCTACCAGGAGTACATTGCCCACAAGGAACACATCCATATGAACGCCACCCGCTGGCTAACTTTATCCGACTACGTTAAGTGGCTCGGGCGGACGGGTCAGGTGATAGCCGATGAAACGGAGAAGGGCTGGTTTGTGACCTACATCGACCGCAGCCCGGAGGCGATGGAGCGCCAGGCGAAGGCCGATCGAAAGGAGAAAATGGAGAAGGACGACGAGGAGCGAATGACCGACTTTATCGAAAAACAGATCAAGAAGGCCAAGGCCAAAGAGGGCGAAGATGAGTCTGGGCAGGAAAAGTTCACGGAACTGAAACGAGAAGAGAACGAACCTCTGAAGCTGGACATCCGCCTGGAAAAGAAGTTCCAACCCGAATCAGTCCTTGGCAAATCCGCCCTGACGTCCAAGAGATCTGCCTCCGAAGTAGATGAAAAAGTCTTCAAAAAACCCAAATCTATCTCGGGAGATAGGGACCGGGACAGGGAAGGCAGCCAATCCCGGTCAGCGTTGGACGAAATAATCAAGCAGGAGGAGGCAAAGAAGGAGCGGGCCAATCGCAAGGACTACTGGCTGCACAAGGACATTGTCGTTAAGTTCATTTCCAAGTCGATGGGCGACAAGTTCTTCAAACAGAAGGCGGTAGTCCAGGAGGTGATAGAAAAGTATCAGGCCAAAATAAAGTTCTTGGATACGGGAGAGAAGTTGAAAGTAGATCAGGTATGAAAAGTACAAAATTAAATTGGTTTCTTTATAAAATATATGTTCCCCTTTCTAGGCACATTTGGAAACTGTGATACCAGCATTGGACAAGCCTGTTATGGTCGTTAACGGAGCCTATCGGGGCTCCGAGGCGATACTAAGGAAACTAGACGAACGTAAATTTTCAGTTAGCGTGGAGATCCTACATGGTCCTCTGAAAGGACGAATTGTGGATAATGTACAATATGAGGATATATCTAAGTTGTACTGAAACGATGCTTATACATTTAGGTTTAAGTTTTATATAAGACTTTTTAGGTTTTAAAATGAACTCTTTATCAATTAAACTTTTATAAAAAACTATTGAAAGCAGAATGAAATTTAAATTTTCCCATTCGGTAGCTAAACTTGACCCACCAGCATTTAGGTTAATTAAATATAGTATTTCGATGAACAGACAAAACAAAGCCGTTTTTTCAGAGAGCTAAAGTAGCTATGTAAACACATTTTTTTGGATTCAGTTTGTAAACAACGAGACCGCTATTCAAAATTCGCACACCTTATGTTAAAGCAGCTCCGGAGTCGGCTTAGTTAGGTTCCCATTCGCATTATGCGGATTCTTTGTGCGGTGATTATCCTTTTCCATCTACATGTGGCCCTCCCTGAAAACACAACTGAGAATGCAGAGAGCCGAGCAGCCAGAAGCTGGTGGGATGCAGTTCCTCGGATTTTCACTGACATCTTCACCATGAAGGCGAATGCCCTCACAGCTGCTCCACTCGAGTGGGCCTCCAATACAATTGATGCCATATGTAAGAATCTAAGACCTTTTACATGCAACTTTTAGTTATCTTTACTGTCCTGCAGGTTCATCTACCCTTGTTATAGGCAGAGTTCCCCCTCAGATATCTCCGGATATAAGGAAAATGCACTTCCAGTACATGACTCCGTGTCAGAACTACAGTGTCCCGCTGCTGGAGGCCTCGAAGCTGTGGAGGCATACGAGGTTTTCCAAGGGACGCAAGGTTGTGATCCTGGCAACCGGTTGGACCAACACCGTCAACGAATCCTCCGCCATTTCGATGATGTCCAAGGCCTTTATGTGTCGACAGGATGTTAATTTTGTGGTAACTAGTTTATTATTTTATAACTTTAGATTTTTTAATAAATACCTTACAGATTGTGGATGCGGCCGACTACGTGGATACCCTCTACTCTTGGTCTGCTCTCAACACGGATTTAATTGGTGAGCATATCGGCGTGGGTCTAACCCATCTGATAGAGCTCACTCCCCTGCGAAATATCCACCTAATTGGTGAGTAGGATACCTCGTCGGTGAATCCATTCATGAACTTTTCCTAGGCCATTCCTTGGGAGCTCACATCATGGGCACTGCTGGGAGGACCTTCAAAAGGCTTACTGGAAAGCTGATTCCTAGGATTACCGGCTTGGATCCCGCCAAACCTTGCTTTAGAAGGGAGAACATCTTGCCGGGGCTTTCGAAGGGTGATGCCAAGCTTGTTGACGTTATCCACACCAACATGGGCATTCTGGCAAAGCGTGGTCCCCTGGGCGATGTGGACTTCTATCCCGGTGGAGCTCATCCTATTCAACCGGGTTGCTTGACCATTGGCTGTTCGCACACACGAGCGGTGGAGTACTTTGCGGAGAGCGCCTATCCTGGTCAGGAGAAAAACTTTCTGGGCCACAAATGCGAGTCCTGGGAGAAGCTTCGGAGGAGAGAATGCCTTGCAGGAACCATTTCCCCAATGGGCTACGAAATAAATCGCCAGGCCCGAGGCATCTACTATGTTGATGTCAATGGCTGGCCTCCTTATGGACGAAATGCTGCCCGAAACATTGATCCCAGATCGAGGACCTGCTATCTGTGTCGGCAAACTTAAGGGTCATGTAACTAGAGCATAATCTTAATTTAAAATATGTATTCTTATGTCCATTTGGGACCTTAAAATAAAAACCCACAAAGAAAAAGGTAACTCTTTTTTTATAAACACATCCTTAAACTATTTTATTTGTACACCCATCAGTATTCAATTTCCGTAAGATCTAGATCATCGTTAAATGCCTCTGATATGTCCTTCTGGCTCTGAAGAATTCGCTCCTGCGTCTCGGCGATGCGCCAAAGCTCGTCGTCGTCTTGACCCATCAGCATGGAGCGATCCCCATGGCCCTTGATGTCTGGCCGGGCGCGGGCTTTTGGCGCAGCCGGGCCATTTGTGCGTTTCTGGCGGTTTCCCATCAAGATCTGGCTCTCTTCGAAGTAGTTGTTAGGGTGGTTGATGGTCGGTTCCACGGTAGAATTGTGCGTTAACTGGAAGTACTTGCCACAGCCGATCTGGTAGTGGCCCCGCGATACAAAGTACATCACCTCGTCGATGGCGCTGGGGGATAATCCGTAGGAGGTTAGCTTGCTCTTCAAAGAGCTCGGATCCATCGATTTGTAGGGGCAACCATGGCAATCCCCTGGAGCAGCCATATCCTTGATGATCTTGGCGCAGGAGTAGGGCGTGTAGTTTACCATGGAGCCTTTTTTGCCGTAGTTGTGGTAAATGTTATACTCGTAGCTGCGTGCGAACTTATCCGCATCCATCTTTTTGGTGAACTCTTTTCGCCAGAAGCGCAGAGAGTCCTCCAGCGTTACGCCGATGCCCTTGAGGAATAAGCCGTATTGCATGCGGCCGCCATGCTTGACATGATGCTGGGCCCGGATGTGCTCATGGCACATGCGCATACATAGCGGCATGGAGGTCTTGGAGAGTTGGTCGAGAGACTCTATGGGCACAGCAGCATCCCGGCACACGGTGTAATCCTTGCCGGTGTAGGAATTGTGCAAGGCCTTCAGCATGCGGGAGATGCGCTCATCACCCTCCACTTCTTCAACCAGCCCATTGGCAGCCACAAGGCCTTGCTCGATCTCCTCCTGCTGGCGCGTGCCCACAATCGAAACCAGATCGTGGGTGTTGACATAAGCAAATCCTGCCTTCAGGTAACATCGCCGACCCCGTACTAGATCCAACACCTGGGTGAAGGGAACCTTGTAGAAGTCCAGAAGCTCGATCTTGGCCACACTCTGGCCCGCTGTACTCTCATACAGCCCATCCTTGACCTCGTCCTTTTGAGCCTCGGTTAAGGGATGGATATCGAAGTTGTTGTCGTCCAGGAACTGCTTCACCTCTGAGCTGCTCAGCGCAGCAAACTTGTACCGAAACAGCTCCATTTCGCGCGCCACAAACCAGCGGGTGAGCTCTTCGGAGCGGCAGTAGGCCAGGCGCAGGATAAAATGTGAAATGTAGTCCCGTCGCCTGGTCTGTATATCGGACTCGTGCTTCCCGCCAGCGGGTGAGCAGAGCCGTAAATAGCTGCGCAATCCTTCGCGGGTCAGCTCAGCTCCAACGTATTCTTTCCACTCGTCGGAGAGCAGGCGCAAGTTCTTGGTGCCGGCCCGCTCCAAGATTCGCAAAAGGCGCAGGCGTTCCAAAGCCAGCTCCTCAAACTCCTCAATGTGGATGTCGTCCGTGGGCGGATAGTGGTACATCATTACATTGCTTGGGTACTTGGTCTCCAAGCTGACCACCTCCACTTTTACCTCATGTCGCGGACGTTTCTTTAGGTGGAATTCCATGTTCTTAACTTAAAATATAATTCGTTTATTTCTGTTGTTTTGGCGCGCAAATAATAATTTCTTAAACAGCTGTTGATAGTGTGACCAGCCATATGCAGTAGCCTGCTTTGCTGATCGGAACCGGAACTGGTTCCTGAAGAATATCTCTAAATATGTAGAATATCTTTTTCAACTTTATGGGGAAATACCCCCCTTCAAAAATCCACAAAAGTGCATGGGGCCACTATATGGGCCAGAGCGTTGGCTATAACTTTGGCAATTATCATCCGATTCTTGAGCGGAGTACCTTAAAAGATTCGTGGATCGATTCTCCATAAAACTGCATCAAAATCTAGGCACATCATATTTTTTAGATTTTTTGTCAAATTTTGTGGAGGGTCCCCTTCAAAAATCCACAAAAGTGCATGGGGCCACTATATGGCCCACAGCGTTGGCCATAACTTTGGCAATTATCATCCGATTCTTGAGCGGAGTACCTTAAAAGATTCGGGGATCGATTCTCCATAAAACTGCATCAAAATCTAGGGACGTCATATTTTTTAGATTTTTTGTCAAATTTTGTGGAGGGTCCCCCTCAAAAATCCACAAAAGTGCATGGGGCCACTATATGGCCCACAGCGTTGGCCATAACTTTGGCAATTATCATCCGATTCTTGAGCGGAGTATCTTAAAAGATTCGTGGATCGATTCTCCATAAAACTGCATCAAAATCTAGGGACGTCATATTTTTTAGATTTTTTGTCAAATTTTGTGGAGGGTCCCCTTCAAAAATCCACAAAAGTGCATGGGGCCACTATATGGCCCAGAGCGTTGGCCAAAACTTTGGCAATTCTCATCCGATTCTTGAGCGGAGTATCTTAAAAGATTCGTGGATCGATTCTCCATAAAACTGCATCAAAATCTAAGGACATCATATTTTTTAGATTTTTTGTCAAATTTTGTGGAGGGTCCCCTTCAAAAATCCACAAAAGTGCATGGGGCCACTATATGGCCCAGATCGTTGGCTATAACTTTGGCAATTATCATCCGATTCTTGAGCGGAGTACCTTAAAAGATTCGTGGATCGATTCTCCATAAAACTGCATCAAAATCTAGGGACATCATATTTTTTAGATTTTTTGTCAAATTTTCTGGAGGGTCCCCTTCAAAAATCCACAAAAGTGCATGGGGCCACTATATGGCCCACAGCGTTGGCTATAATTTTGGCAATTCTCATCCGATTCTTGAGCGGAGTATCTTAAAAGATTCGTGGATCGATTCTCCATAAAACTGCATCAAAATCTAAGGACATCATATTTTTTAGATTTTTTGTCAAATGTTGTGGAGGGTCCCCTTCAAAAATCCACAAAAGTGCATGGGGCCACTATATGGCCCAGAGCGTTGGCCATAACTTTGGCAATTATCATCCGATTCTTGAGCGGAGTATCTTAAAAGATTCGTGGATCGATTCTCCATAAAACTGCATCAAAATCTAGGGACATCATATTTTTTAGATTTTTTTCAAATTTTGTGGAGGGTCCCCTTCAAAAATCCACAAAAGTGCATGGGGCCACTATATGGCCCAGATCGTTGGCTATAACTTTGGCAATTATCATCCGATTCTTGAGCGGAGTACCTTAAAAGATTCGTGGATCGATTCTCCATAAAACTGCATCAAAATCTAGGGACATCATATTTTTTAGATTTTTTGTCAAATTTTGTGGAGGGTCCCCTTCAAAAATCCACAAAAGTGCATGGGGCCACTATATGGCCCACAGCGTTGGCCATAACTTTGGCAATTATCATCCGATTCTTGAGCGGAGTACCTTAAAAGATTCGGGGATCGATTCTCCATAAAACTGCATCAAAATCTAGGGACGTCATATTTTTTAGATTTTTTGTCAAATTTTGTGGAGGGTCCCCTTCAAAAATCCACAAAAGTGCATGGGGCCACTATATGGCCCAGATCGTTGGCTATAACTTTGGCAATTATCATCCGATTCTTGAGCGGAGTACCTTAAAAGATTCGTGGATCGATTCTCCATAAAACTGCATCAAAATCTAGGGACATCATATTTTTTAGATTTTTTGTCAAATTTTGTGGAGGGTCCCCTTCAAAAATCCACAAAAGTGCATGGGGCCACTATATGGCCCAGAGCGTTGGCCATAACTTTGGCAATTATCATCCGATTCTTGAGCGGAGTATCTTAAAAGATTCGTGGATCGATTCCCCACAAAACTGCATCAAAATCTAGGGACATCATATTTTTTAGATTTTTTGTCAAATTTTCTGGAGGGTCCCCTTCAAAGATCCACAAAAGTGCATGGGGCCACTATATGGCCCAGATCGTTGGCTATAACTTTGGCAATTATCATCCGATTCTTGAGCGGAGTATCTTAAAAGATTCGTGGATCGATTCTCCATAAAACTGCATCAAAATCTAGGGACATCATATTTTTTAGATTTTTTTCAAATTTTGTGGAGGGTCCCCTTCAAAAATCCACAAAAGTGCATGGGGCCACTATATGGCCCAGATCGTTGGCTATAACTTTGGCAATTATCATCCGATTCTTGAGCGGAGTACCTTAAAAGATTCGTGGATCGATTCTCCATAAAACTGCATCAAAATCTAGGGACATCATATTTTTTAGATTTTTGTCAAATTTTGTGGAGGGTCCCCTTCAAAAATCCACAAAAGTGCATGGGGCCACTATATGGCCCACAGCGTTGGCCATAACTTTGGCAATTATCATCCGATTCTTGAGCGGAGTACCTTAAAAGATTCGGGGATCGATTCTCCATAAAACTGCATCAAAATCTAGGGACGTCATATTTTTTAGATTTTTTGTCAAATTTTGTGGAGGGTCCCCTTCAAAAATCCACAAAAGTGCATGGGGCCACTATATGGCCCAGATCGTTGGCTATAACTTTGGCAATTATCATCCGATTCTTGAGCGGAGTACCTTAAAAGATTCGTGGATCGATTCTCCATAAAACTGCATCAAAATCTAGGGACATCATATTTTTTAGATTTTTTGTCAAATTTTGTGGAGGGTCCCCTTCAAAAATCCACAAAAGTGCATGGGGCCACTATATGGCCCAGAGCGTTGGCCATAACTTTGGCAATTATCATCCGATTCTTGAGCGGAGTATCTTAAAAGATTCGTGGATCGATTCCCCACAAAACTGCATCAAAATCTAGGGACATCATATTTTTTAGATTTTTTGTCAAATTTTCTGGAGGGTCCCCTTCAAAGATCCACAAAAGTGCATGGGGCCACTATATGGCCCAGATCGTTGGCTATAACTTTGGCAATTATCATCCGATTCTTGAGCGGAGTATCTTAAAAGATTCGTGGATCGATTCTCCATAAAACTGCATCAAAATCTAGGGACATCATATTTTTTAGATTTTTTGTCAAATTTTCTGGAGGGTCCCCTTCAAAAATCCACAAAAGTGCATGGGGCCACTATATGGCCCACAGCGTTGGCTATAATTTTGGCAATTATCATCCGATTCTTGAGCGGAGTATCTTAAAAGATTCGTGGATCGATTCTCCATAAAACTGCATCAAAATCTAGGGACATCATATTTTTTAGATTTTTTTCAAATTTTGTGGAGGGTCCCCTTCAAAAATCCACAAAAGTGCATGGGGCCACTATATGGCCCAGATCGTTGGCTATAACTTTGGCAATTATCATCCGATTCTTGAGCGGAGTACCTTAAAAGATTCGTGGATCGATTCTCCATAAAACTGCATCAAAATCTAGGGACATCATATTTTTTAGATTTTTTGTCAAATTTTGTGGAGGGTCCCCTTCAAAAATCCACAAAAGTGCATGGGGCCACTATATGGCCCACAGCGTTGGCCATAACTTTGGCAATTATCATCCGATTCTTGAGCGGAGTACCTTAAAAGATTCGGGGATCGATTCTCCATAAAACTGCATCAAAATCTAGGGACGTCATATTTTTTAGATTTTTTGTCAAATTTTGTGGAGGGTCCCCTTCAAAAATCCACAAAAGTGCATGGGGCCACTATATGGCCCAGATCGTTGGCTATAACTTTGGCAATTATCATCCGATTCTTGAGCGGAGTACCTTAAAAGATTCGTGGATCGATTCTCCATAAAACTGCATCAAAATCTAGGGACATCATATTTTTTAGATTTTTTGTCAAATTTTGTGGAGGGTCCCCTTCAAAAATCCACAAAAGTGCATGGGGCCACTATATGGCCCAGAGCGTTGGCCATAACTTTGGCAATTATCATCCGATTCTTGAGCGGAGTATCTTAAAAGATTCGTGGATCGATTCCCCACAAAACTGCATCAAAATCTAGGGACATCATATTTTTTAGATTTTTTGTCAAATTTTCTGGAGGGTCCCCTTCAAAGATCCACAGAAGTGCATGGGGCCACTATATGGCCCAGATCGTTGGCCATAACTTTGGCAATTATCATCCGATTCTTGAGCGGAGTATCTTAAAAGATTCGTGGATCGATTCTCCATAAAACTGCATCAAAATCTAGGGACATCATATTTTTTAGATTTTTTCAAATTTTGTGGAGGGTCCCCTTCAAAGATCCACAAAAGTGCATGGGGCCACTATATGGCCCAGATCGTTGGCTATAACTTTGGCAATTATCATCCGATTCTTGAGCGGAGTACCTTAAAAGATTCGTGGATCGATTCTCCATAAAACTGCATCAAAATCTAGGGACATCATATTTTTTAGATTTTTTGTCAAATTTTGTGGAGGGTCCCCTTCAAAAATCCACAAAAGTGCATGGGGCCACTATATGGCCCACAGCGTTGGCCATAACTTTGGCAATTATCATCCGATTCTTGAGCGGAGTACCTTAAAAGATTCGGGGATCGATTCTCCATAAAACTGCATCAAAATCTAGAGACATCATATTTTTTAGATTTTTTTTCAAATTTTGTGGAGGGTCCCCTTCAAAAATCCACAAAAGTGCATGGGGCCACTATATGGCCCAGATCGTTGGCTATAACTTTGGCAATTATCATCCGATTCTTGAGCGGAGTACCTTAAAAGATTCGTGGATCGATTCTCCATAAAACTGCATCAAAATCTAGGGACATCATATTTTTTAGATTTTTTGTCAAATTTTGTGGAGGGTCCCCTTCAAAAATCCACAAAAGTGTGCATGGGGCCACTATATGGCCCAGAGCGTTGGCCATAACTTTGGCAATTATCATCCGATTCTTGAGCGGAGTATCTTAAAAGATTCGTGGATCGATTCCCCACAAAACTGCATCAAAATCTAGGGACATCATATTTTTTAGATTTTTTGTCAAATTTTCTGGAGGGTCCCCTTCAAAGATCCACAAAAGTGCATGGGGCCACTATATGGCCCAGATCGTTGGCTATAACTTTGGCAATTATCATCCGATTCTTGAGCGGAGTATCTTAAAAGATTCGTGGATCGATTCTCCATAAAACTGCATCAAAATCTAGAGACATCATATTTTTTAGATTTTTTTTCAAATTTTGTGGAGGGTCCCCTTCAAAAATCCACAAAAGTGCATGGGGCCACTATATGGCCCAGAGCGTTGGCTATAACTTTGGCAATTATCATCCGATTCTTGAGCGGAGTATCCTAAAAGATTCGTGGATCGATTCTCCATAAAACTGCATCAAAATCTAGGGACGTCATATTTTTTAGATTTTTTGTCAAATTTTGTGGAGGGTCCCCTTCAAAAATCCACAAAAGTGCATGGGGCCACTATATGGCCCACAGCGTTGGCCATAACTTTGGCAATTATCATCCGATTCTTGAGCGGAGTACCTTAAACGATTCGTGGATCGATTCTCCATAAATCTGCATCAAAAACTGAGATCATAATATTTTTTAGATTTTTTGTCAAATTTTGTGGAGGGTCCCCTTCAAAAATCCAAAAAAGTGGTGTCACCATATGGCCCTTAGCGTTGGCTATAACTTTGTTAATAGTTATTAATGTTATTTACTAAAGTTTATATTTATAGTTACTAAATTAAGCTTAAGTCAAATTGTAACTAATTTGGTGTGTTATGAACGTTCTTTTTATCAGGTACTTGTTAATCTGACTAGACATATTTAAATAACATTAATTTATATTAAAGAGTTTCTAAACATTAACCTCCCGCAAGCTGATTCCTATGACTTCCAGTGATCTCCTCAAGCGTTTCCAAAACAGTTTCCTGTCATCCGAACTTGGACTAGCATCGTTTTTTCCAACTGGCCATTTAATGTAGGTCTTAACATCCATAAGATATTGAAGGGTTTTTGGCCGCCTTCTTCGGGGTATGTCCTCCAGGAAAACCAGAATCAGGTGCTCCTTACTGACTTCAAAAATTCTTTTGCAATTGTTTATAGGAATAAGTGGTTAAAAAAAACTATTTGTATTACCGAAAAATTACTTACCGATGCTGTGCCAAGTACATTTCAAATTGGCACCAGTGACTCAAAAGGAATTTGGAAGATATAATCAACATTAGTGAGTGGGATCTGTCCATGCAGGAGATTATGTTATCCAAAATGGTCACTCCAATCTGAAACATTAAAATCAATAGCTTAGAACTTATAGGTTTTTGCCTTTAGTATTATTATTACCTGAAAATCGCGTTCGTGGAGGCATATGGATACATCTCCGGCATCCTCCACGTTGGGCAGCAGCTCGTTCAGCACCCAAGGACGATCGTTCTCGCAGTAGCTAATGAATATATCGTAGACGGCATTGGGATCCCGTTGGGAAATGTTGCTGAAGTTGTCCACAGATTCCTTGGAGGCACTGGAGAGCAGGGCAGCGGACTTCAGCGAGGAGTAGTAGTAGTGGATGTGCCACCGTTTCAAATAGACTATGAATCCCAGGATGCAGATGCCCACAAGGGTGCCCACCACAGCAACCACTGTTGTCGTAATGCGATGCAGTTCTTCCGAGATGTCGGCCATGGAGCGGGAATGGCAATTGAGTTGATCCACTTGGAGCTGTTCGGTTTCGTTGAAGCACCAGTACTCGCTGGCCTCGTAGTCCAGCAGTTGGAACTTTAAGGTGAGGTCTGTACTCACCTCCTTCATTTGGTATGGCGTCGGGGATGAACACTTGGAGGCCATGTAGTCCTCAGACAGAAAATGCAATCTAATAATGTGATTCACCCGATTGTACTCTCTGACATTGGTATAGCTTCTTCTCAGCCAAGGAATGTAGCGACTCCGCCAGAGATTGCGGTCTATGTGAAGGGATTCCACTGCCGAGACCAGTTCCTGCCCCAAGGACTCCTGACTGTAGTTGAGCAGCTTGTAGGAGCACTCGGCGTCCTTGTTGTTTCCGGCTGCCACCTCCACCACCGCCCTCAGGTGGCAGTCGCACACGAAGTTGTTATCCCCCAGACTGAGGTAATCCAGGCGCTCAAAGTCCTTGAGCATCTCATTGGTCAGGATGTTGATGGTGTTGCTGCGCAGATTGAGAACCCGAAGGGCGGTGTTGTTGTGGAAGGCGCTGCGATACCAGTTTCCCACATGATTGGAGCTCAAGTCCAGGATCTCCAGCGACTGCAGGGACTGGAACATCATTGGAGTGAGGGCATTAATGTTATTACCCGCCAGGCCCAAAACCTGGAGATTGTTCAGGCTCTTCGACCACCCCAAGTCCTTCAAATTCGAGTTCTCGAAATACAAGTACTTCAGGGTGTCGGCAATGCCATCGAATGCATTGTCTATAATGTTGTAGGACACGAATGGATTCCCGGACAGGTCCAGACCCTCCAGGGCGGTGTTTTTGAAGATCTCACTGCTCAGCATCGGCATGTTGGTGTAGCACAAGCTGAGGAACTTTAGCTTATCCCCCAGATGGGCGAAGGCCACCGCACTATTCCGTGTCATCTTGGAGTGGGACAGATCGAGGTACACCAATTCCGGGAGCATTTTGAAAACATTCTGCTGGATCTTCAAGCCATAGACCAGACTCATGGCCATCTCCAGGGTGGGCAGCTGCAGTTGATAGCTGTAGGTCAGGATGTTGGTGAAGGACATGTCCAGATACTGTAGTCCCTGAATGTGGTAGAACATGTCCTGCTTAATGGTCATAATCTTGTTGGCGGACATGAACAGCCGTCGCAGGTTGGTGACGTTCTGGAAGGCCTCCTTGCTGACGTACTCGATGCTGCAGTTGCTCAAGTCCAGCTCCATAAGACGCGGCATCTTCGGGAAATTCGCCCAGGCAATGGATTGAGCTGCAGAAGATTAGCATAGTTTTATTTTTATAAAATAGTGTATTAAATAAAACAAAAGGTATATGATTTTTTTGCGAGTTTTGGTTTTTAAAAATGTATCTGAAAACTGTGTTTTAAAATGTGTTTTTGTGTCTTACAAGATTTCGTAAGCGACTCGTATCGCTCCTTTAGTAACCGACTGTAATCCGTGTAATTTATGGTGTTGGTTGTGTAAGGTGTTGTGATGTTTTGGAAATATAGGAAGCACTCCCGATCGTACAGATCGCTGGAATTGCTGGCCATGGATAGCTCGCATTTGTGTTGTGCAGTTTCACTTGTCGTTTCAAAGACGTTTTCATTTAAAAATCGCTGAAAAGCTGGAATTTCGGACGATAACTGACCATCAATATGGTGAACATTTAAAATGCAATTTCACAAAATAGTAACATACATACCTTCAGCATCTGGGATCAGCTCGGAAAAGTTGTTTCCTCGCAAGGACAAGAACATCAGGGAGGACCTCATGGAGTGGAGGGTAATGTAGGGGGTCATGCGGAGGTTATTGAAGGCCGCTGAGAAAACTTCCACCCGCCATTGGAAAATGTTTTTTACTAATTTGGCCTCATAGAGTAGAGCAGCATCTTCTTTGAGGTTGCCATGAGATAGATCCAGATATACTTTGTTTACTTTAAATAAATTATTTAAGCTAATTAGTAAGGTATGATAAAAATACTAACAATTCTAACAAAACCAGACCCATTTTTATATATTCATTTAAAATGAAGGTTAGTTTCTATTGGCTAAGAAATCCATTGGCCTTTAATAGTGTTAGGTTAATGATAATAATGAAAGTAAACACAATCATTTATGGTGAACAATCTTAATAAATAACATGGAATTTCTATAAACCCAGACTGATAAGCATTAACTACAAAAATCTGGAAACTTGGAATTCCCTCAAATAAATGCTAGTTGACAAAGAACCATAAGAGGATAGATTAAAATCCTAGAAATATCTGAAACTATTTAACTGCGGTGTCACTTTCTACATTGCCGTCGGACTTTGAAATTCAAAGTTTGAATCAATTTAGTAGTTTTATTAAATACAGGAGCTTTTTGCGATTAAGGGTAATATAATTCTTAACACTTAAGTGGCCCAACGGGTAACAAAAGATTTTATCATGCCGGAAGCATGGAAATATATCACTGTGATTGCTGTAACCAAACCCTAATCACACAATTAGATGTGACTGATTTTTTTCAATGGATATTGCCGAATGATTACCGAACTTTTTGGAACCCAGTTTGAGGGTACCATTGGGATTCATCCACCACAGCACTTCGTCTTTGATAATATCCAGAAAACAGCTATTGCCGTCATCCGACTCATAGGTTTGCATGAACGATTTAAGTTTGGGATTATCACTTTTCGCCCTGGTAGTTGTTGGGATTATTGGGCTTATTTCTGGCTCTTGGGAGGTGGAGAGCTCCATTGATATTATTTTCACATTCCCCAGTAAAAGGGACACGACAAATGCCACATCAAAAATGTATTTTGGTGACATGATTCTTTAAAAAAACACTATTTATTATTTATTCACAAAGTTTTCACACTGTTTTATAATAATTTCCTAATCGGGCAATTAAATTCACAATTTTATTAATTTTATAAATATTTTAGTAACATTTTGTTGCGGATTATTTTTTTTACCACGAAGCACACGCTTAACGCTCCCGAATAAAACTGACAAGCATTTGGCTAAGGCTATTGGTCAGCAGGAATAATTGGTAGCAGCGATATAGTATGTACGACTAATTCTGCCACGATAGGGCTTATCAATTTTGGCAATATCTTCCCTTGAATGGGAACGGGTCCGGGACTATCAGGCCGGCGTATCGGCGTTTCGGTGGCAGAATGCGTTCCGCCCACGCAACGCGCCTCTCCTTATCGGATAATTATCGACTCGTCGGCATAATGGTGATTATGCCCGTACGCCACTTCCAAACAGATCGCTAGTTTTTTTTTTTTTTTGGATCAACCGTGAACTATCTATGGGGTTGGCCTTATCATATTTGTACTAGTCCGGACAACACATAAATTAATGCGAAACTTGAGTTTAAAGCACTTAAGCACCTGGGAATGTTTGTATGTCCAATTGATTTGATTTACGGCAATAACTACAAAAGTCTGATTCCGATAAGGGGCTATTGGCGAATCTAAGATTATCGGTGGATCGGCGACAATGAATGGGTTGGTCGGCTTGGATTGCCCCTTAAACAGGGTCCAGTGCACCTCAAACTGAGTTCTTTGATAATTTGAATAATTTATTAAAAGAGTGCTTATGAACTAATAAGTCGTTTTTAGGTTTTTTGAGGAGAAACCCCTTGTAGATGTCTAGAAATAATGCACACACTTTCTTTATCACGGACTGATAGTGCAGTCCTTTCCATGATTCGTCAGATTTGCTATAAATGGATGGGTTTACGACAGTTTTAAATTGAAGTGTTAATCTAAGATCTGATTATTGACAAAATCAACAAGTTTAAGGCGTATAGGTTTTATAAATAGGATACATTAAGGTCTTTTAAAAGTTATTTTCTTATGAGGACAGGAGGGTATAAAATAAACTAAGTCATTCAAGTAGATACTGGATAGTAGATGGATTTCATATATAATGGTCTTCATAAAGGGAATGTTAATAATATAATTAGTAAACCCCAAAAACCCACAATATTCAATGGAGTTTTTTTTACCTTAAACACTATTTTATTGTTTATTAAACAGATCCATTTCATACATTAAAAACCAATCTTTTTTTTATATTATAATATAAATAAATGGAATAAAATCCTCTTGGTTTTATTTATTTATCCACTAATATTACTAGCCTCCTTTTAACCATGGTAAGTTCTTATTTTCCCCTTTTGAATGGAGAACAAAAATGTAGGAGAGATTGTGGCATTTCTCACTGGCATTCCAGAGGGAGGGGACTTTCTGAACTGTGAGCTCATTTTTTGAGTTTTGAAACAGGTTTTGAGTGATCTCACTGTTCAGTAGAGATCTCTGGGATCTCTTTGGTTAGTTGACTCTCAAAGCCCAACAGAAGCGGTCTCTGAAGCGGATCAAAATATAGTTGTTACCTGGGAAAATAGATCATATATTAGATAGCCAAAACCGAGGGTGCATCCGAAATGCGCAAGTCGCCGGGCAGCCTGGCCTCGGAGGCCTTCTCCAGCTCCAATTCCTCGCTGAGCAACTCGTACAGCGACGTTAGTGACCTGGCCAATTGGGAGGAGTACGTGGCCGCCGACGGGAGTCTTTTTTACTTGGAGTACCTGAAGAGCGAGAAAACCGGTGGGCCGGCAGAGCGGCGGGTGGAGTTTATGCGGCGATCACTGCGCCTGGGAAAGAAATCGTCGCGCCGACAACAACAACAACAACAGCAGCCGCAGCAGCAACAACAACATGGAAATAATGTTCGCCAGTCGGGAAACCACAACCAAAACCAAAACCAGTCTCCCAACCAAGAATCCCAAGTGTTCCAGTTCTCACAATTTAAATCAACTCCCACCGATCCCAAGAAGTTGGACTTGGTGATCACCGCCACGGATCGGTTTCGTTTCGGTCGGCGATCCACAGCCGTGGAATCCATCTTGGGCTTTCGGGTCCTGCCCTTTCCCGACCAGCCGGAGTGCCTGATGGTGGAGGGATTCGTCCACGATCTGAGTGCCGTGCAGCATGGAATTAAGAGGGGTGACTGGTTCCGATCCCTCAATGGCATCGAGCTGTATGCCAGCAACGTCGATGAGATCCTTCAGCAGTTCGTGGAGCCCACCCAGGTATCGCTGGGATTTCAGTCTTGTGGCTCAGGAATCGTGGCCACTCCAGCAGATTCTTCTTTTCATCAAAATCCTCCAGAGGATCAGATATCCAAGGTGGAGAACTTTTCCACGTTTGCGGACAAGTTCGAGGAGATGCTGTTTCCCGAGGGAAGAGAGAACTCCCCAGACTCCGAGTTGTCCCAGCCCTTTGCCATGCTCCTGCTTCCCCCGGAGTGCTATCAGCATGAGCAGCAGCAGGATTCCCTCTACTACTACCCGGAAAGTCCGGAAAACTTTCTGTTCAAGGCCCGAGGAAGCTTCCTCACCCTGCATGCCGTGCTAAGTGAGCTTCACACGCAACCCCTGAGCTCTAGGCTTCTGGTGGAGCAGATTCCCTACCACGTGAACTACCGAAGACTCAACGGGTTCCTCGTTTTGTTCGCCTACGCCGGGGGACTATGCACTGCAGCGGAGTGCAGCCTGCGTTCGGATGAGCTCATCGACTACATACGCTTCTCCCTTCCGGGCTTGGTCCTGGAAAGTTTTAATGCCAGTTCGGGGCTGAGGACCTTTTTGCGACACTTTTGCGAGATCCAGAAGACCAGGCTGAGGTTCAGGTGCCGTGGCCAGACCCGTTTCGAGGAGCTCCTGGGTCAGTCCCGCAGTCTTCCTCTGCCGAAAGAGGCCCAGCTTCGAATTTTCGATGCCCTGAGCGAAATGGAGGCCATGGATTACCGCAACTGGAACGATGAGCCGCTGACCACGCACCGGGAGTTCTTCATTTACGGAAGTGCACTGTACTTTGACGGCTTCTTGGTGGCCAGTCTTCTCCCACCGGAAGTCAGGGTGAGTGTGGAGGGATTCCTGCGCTGCCGGGGAATCTTCGAGATGCTCAGTACACCGGGAATCAGGGTCAAGGAGCTGTACGTGTGGGAGGAGATAGTCCTGCCCAGCGCTACTGGCCGATACTTCCTCACAATTTGCACCCGGAATCACCTGAGCCTGGCTGTCATCCTGAAGATCTTCGATGCTCCGGACATGGCTCCAGATACGGTAGTGGGTCCGTCGCTGTTCTACATTGAGGAGATACAGGAGACCCTCGACCACCTGGTGCAGTGCGGCATCGAGTCTCTGGCCATGTTCTGGTCGGTCTCCAACAAAAGACCCGAGGTGCTGGAGGCCACAGGATCCGATGCCCGGGAGCAGGAGAAGGACCAGTCCAACAACCGTTTGGAATCATTCCTGAAGCAAAAGCTTACGGTTCTAAGCCCATCCGTGGAGGAGGAGCAGCAGCTATGCTCATCGCTGGGCGGCTCCTCCATACACAGCCTGACCCCCAGCGAAGATGACTCCTCCCGCCGTCGGTTGACGCCCATTCATGGTGCTGGAGAGGATTCCGACAGCGGCTCTGACTGGGAGAACTTTGCCGTCCAGCATCCACTCCACTACGGACTGAATCTGAGCTCTGAAAGCCACAACCAGAGCCAAATGACCGAGTCCATGTGGAAGGAGATCAATAACGTGGTACCAGTGAAGATATCCGCCGGGTGGAAGAACTCGGTGCTCCACTACGTCTACATTGACATTGCCAATGGATCCCTGTTTGCTCCGTTCAATGACCCCTCCGAGAGCTGTTCATTTATTTCGGAGATTCGTCAGGCCTGTCACATGATCCACGGAGTATTGGAACGCTCAAAGCTCCATAGGCGTATGCATACGGATTCCTCCAGGGCTCAGGCCAATGCCAACGGACATGGACACAGCCATGGAGTATCGCTGGTCAAAGAGCATGGCATGACCCTGGAAGTGCAAACCAAACCGGAGGGTCAACCTGCCAGAAGCGTACGCTTCTGCGTGGTCGGAAGACTGTTCCAGTCGCCGGCCAAGGAGGTCTATGTGGCCCATCGCTCGGATGTCCCCCAAAACATTGTGGAAATGGCATTCCGTCTCTCTTTCTTCTCCATGGGATGAGAGGGCTTAGAAAATGTTAAAATTTTATTTCATAAAAAGTAAAGTATTCTTGCCTTTAAAGAAAGACTTGAGACCTAAAGAGTTAAGATTAATGAAAAAATAGGATTTATAATTATTAATCAAAATAAAATATAATTACTATCATTTTACCACAAAATCTATGCAAAGTTTATTTAATTTTAAAATTTCTGAGACTCTCAGACTGAGAGAATATAGTATTTGTAAGATCGCACATATAATGCGAATGTGTTTCATTCATTCATATTTCATATTAAAAGATGCCATCAAAAAGTGGACACTATTTTTAGAGTTTGGTGGGTGGGTCCCAGTCTAAATGTAGTCCCACACGCACCAGAAGACCTGAGATGCGCCGAGCAATAAATCCACGTGAATAGAAACCATCTGTCATCGGGCCAACTAGCGGCTCAAGGTGGTGCTCCCCCAAATACTCTGTCTGCCGATTTCCCAAAAATACGACACTATCTTCCGCAGTTCTCACTGGGTGCTCTAACAAAAAGCACACTGTCTGGAAGGCGCTTGTTTTATTAAATTTTATAAACAATCTTTTGGATGGATAGAACACTAGTTTTGGCCATTCTTTGCCTGCTCTGTGCTGGGGCTCTGGCTCAGGTGGATAACAACAGTGGAGGTTTATCCAATATGACCAGCAATCCATCAGATACAGATCCTGAAACTATAAAACTACCCAGTGAAGTTCAAAAGGCAGTATGCACTGTGACTGCTGGAGAGGTCAGGGCCTCGGCGGAGGCGGTAACCACAAAAACCCTGAAAGGCGTCTGTGGATCAGGTAGGTCAAGAAATAGAATATAATTTCTACAATTTTCATTGAAAACCTTATTAAGATGAAATGAACTTGGCCTTCCGTAATCTGGAGAGCAAGCTGTACGAGGAACTGCGTGTGATGAAGCTGATCCTGGTGCACTTGGCCAAAGCTAGTGGTCTGAAAATAAACACGGCATTTACCACCATGGCTCCGGCTACTGCTTCGCCATTAAGGCCTATCAGTACTGCCCCAATGCCAGTCTTTAAGCCTATAGATGCCCCGCCAAAGATGAACCTCCCAAAAGAATTTAAAACGGAAGAAAACGAAGTTAATCCTGATTCGGGAGCCAGGAAGACGCCCATGTTGAAGGACCTGGAGACTGATAACTCTGACCAGGAGTCGCGGGATGAGGAAGTGGGCAAGTTCAACAATACCATGCTGGCGGACAGGGATGTGACGCTCTTCACCTACTATTGGAAGCTGGAAAATGTAACAGAAAGGCTCAAAGACCCAAATCTGAACATCATCCGTAGTCCAGGCTTTAGCATTAAAGGTAATAACTGTCATATATAGAAAAACTATTAATTATAATCATTAAATTCCAGGAAAATTGCTGCAACTTAAATGCACTTTCCATCACATGAACCGTGATCTTCTGAACCTCCAATTGGAATACGCCACCTCGCCTTCGGTGTCGAAATCCGGGAAGTCCAACAACATAATGCTGGATATGGGCGGCATGTTTCAGGAATTTCAGTGGACCGAGGACGTGAAATTGAAGCATAAGCTTTCGATTTTGGACCAGAGCCTTGGAAACCGAAATTCGCAGGATCTCAGCTCCCAGGAACTGACCAAGCTCGGTGTCGGCTTTTCAATGCCCAACAGCGTGCTCCTTGGGAGTACGTACATCAAGCAGAACGCGCTATTAATACAGATTCTTTTATATTTGTGAATGACAGAACAACTTTTGTATCCGGTTGGGCAATTAAAACAAAGAGAGACCATAACCATGTGCTATTGAAAAACTCGCAAACTCCTCCGGTGAAAACATCTCACAGCTTGCTGCGTCCTCCCTTGGCCTTGATGTCTAGGAATGGCAGTGCGATGGGGAACAATTCCTTGCAGGACTTAAAGCTCACAATGTCGTTGATCGTCTTGTGCCGTGACATGTTCGTGATTTCCAGTGGCTCCGTCTCCTCCGTGGCATTCTCGTCGCCTTGTGCACGGGAAATAATGTGCACCGACAGAATGCGACGCTGGTCGCCATCCTTAGCAATGAATCTCTGCAAAGAAATCATATTTTAAAAGTTTCTTCTCTTCGTCGGGAAGTTATCTCACCTTGAAGTAATCCACAAAGTCGGCCTTGGTTATCTGACGAAGAATAGCCACCTCAGCCTCTTCCCGTTCAAAGTGATAGGTCTGCATGGAGATTTCACCATAAAACTGGCTAAATTGTTGGAATATAGTTTTCGGTTTTTCCAGTTTCTTAACGGCCAACGCCTCCTTGTGGCGCTCGAACTCATCCTGTGGCATGTCCTCAATGACTTGCTGAAAATTTTACACACAAATTAGGCTTATAATTACATAAAAAAGTATATTCTTTTACCAGATAGGTTTGTAGGAAGTTCTCAATGCGGTCCTCCACATAGGATGGATGTTTCGCCGACTGAACAATGATGCGGATTCCATTGGCTCCGTTTACTTTTCGCACTCCACTAAATACGATGTAACCCAGCTGCTCCTTGGTGCGCAGGCAATCGTAGCACGGCTCGGAAAGGACCTGCGACACCAGGTTAACCATAATATTTGTGTGATCCGTTTGTGCGCCGCATTGCAGATATAGCTGAGTGCAGGAACTCTTGTGGAACTCGTTCTCCTTTTCAAACAAGTAGCTATCGCCTGAAAATAGTTTCATTAAACTAAAATCCTTTTTAACAACAAATTAAAATAATATCGCACCCGCCAACAGCTTGTACTCCCGCTTTTTAAGCATCTGACGTGCCAGAATCGGAAGCTTCAGGGCATTGGTAGCCTCTAGACGAGTATTTACTCTTCCTGCAATATCCGAAGCCTGTTGCTTTGTCACATTTCCGAAAATAAAGCATTCCGTGTGCAGTCGTTGGAAGAATTCTTTCGCAAAGTTCAACACCCGGTCATAGGTAACAACTTTAAAGAAGAGATTTAGAATCAAGTTCTTTATAATCCCCAAAAAAACACTTACGTTCCATAGCGTCCAAGAGCTCGATATTCGCCCAGGCATTTTCAGTTAACAGCAAAGCTAAATAGTAGATGGAATGCTGATAGGGTTGCTCAGCTTTAAAGTTTTTCAGTGAACGTACGTATTCCTCCTTGAGGATGTCGAAACGTTTCTCGTCAATAGAAAAGTCAAACAGATGATCCAATAGCTTTTCCAGCAGCACCACCTGCTTATCGCTGAAGCCACGAATGGTGAACTGCAAACGAGGGGGTTTCGAGGTTATTATATTGAATAAACCACGAGAGATTAACTTACATCGATACCACACGTTTTTCCAGCCACATTTAGCTTTAAACTGGCCAACTCCGCGTCGTACAAGTACTCGTTCAGCTGATCCTTCAGCAGCATCACCATCATGTGGTTCAAATTACAGTTCAACGGATCCAAGTAGGCGATCGGATTGGACATATCGAACGTCATGCACGCCTTGGGCTTGTTGAACTGGTTGTCCTGCTTGTGCCACACTCGCAGAATGGGAGTGTCTAGTATGATTGTGGGGTGTTTGGGTGCATCAGCGGGAACTTCGGCAATGTCAAAGTTCGTTGGTATGAAGCTGTTGGGCAGAGCCAGTTTCAAATTTTCGTTGAGTTCGCACTTCTCCCAAGCCTGCAAGATTTGAAAAATATAAAAATCCGTAGGATTCTATAGGAATAGTTTTTGTTACCTTCACGGTCTCCTTTGGGACGCGTTCTAGTCCGTACTTTGTTTTGTAGTAAGGCTCCGCTTGGTCGCAATCCGGCTCAAAACTCTGGCTAACGATTGTGATACGACTCTTTGAAGGCACAAGCTCGTCCAGCAAGCTGGTGATTAAATCAGGGCGCCATTCGTTGCTCAAATATGGAGCAATAAGAACTTCCTCAAGGGGGAATATTTGCATGGAGGACACCGCGTGCGTCACCAAGTTCTCTGGCTGCTCCTTCTCTTTGAAGCGGAATCTCATTTCGTTTAGCTTCACGCACTCATCAAAAATCCACTTCTTAGGACCCTCCTTGCGTATCATATTCAAATATTGAAAAATGATCTTTACAATATCATCAACATGCTCCAGACCCTCCTGTGTGAGATCAACCACAATATCAAAGAAGCCAAATCCATTTTGTGTGTTCTGATGACCAGCCATTAAACTGAAAAAGTTTCAAGACTTTAGAAGTGAACCCATGAGAATCTTTTGAAGCTTACTCATTGCACCAACCAAGCCTTCGGAGCTCTGATAGAATGCTTCCCTTGCCCTCGTGGCCAATAAGATGCGTTAAGTAGCTATCGGGCTGAAAGGAAAAATGTTTCCATGGAATATCTGAGAATTATCCTCCCAATTCCTTTACTTACGCTGGACTTGTAGAACTCAGTTAGATCGTCGGTCGTGAAACTGATGGTCAGCGAGCGGATGTCTTTAATAGGCACAATTTTCACCTTTTGTCCATAGCGGTCTTCAGCATAAGGATGACGTGGCCAATCCGGAACGTCTACGTTTTTGTTCTCGATTTCAGAGAACTTTTCCATCACCATTGTCTCCAACTCATCGAGGGATTCTTTAGAAAATATAGACATTCAATTAATAAACATTATATTATCTTCTATAGAAATGGTTTACCTTTTCCAATCACAGCCAGGCACATAATGTTTGCGGAATACCATTGCTTGTGGAACTTGAGCAGCTCATCGCGCACATCGATGTCCTTTGATTTGGGAATTTCCGACAATGTGGACTTGTTCCCACTGCCGAATTTGCTGTAGGCGTGATCTGGTTTAGCCAGGTGCCGGCTAACCTGCTTGATGCGCCACAGGTCACTCGGCAGGTTCTTTTCATGCTCGGAGTTGACCTAAAATACAAATAATTTCTAGAATCATGACAAATCCATCTGATTACTCATACTTACAGCATTAATTTCCCTCTCTGTAGCGCTGGGGGTGAATAAAGGCGCTATAAAGAATTGAGCAAAGCGATCTAGAGCTCCGTCAAGCTTATCCGGTGCCACGTGGAAGTGGTACTTCGTCATGAGGGGATAAGTGGCGGCATTACTGCTACCTCCGCTCTGTGATAGGTAGGTGGTGTATCCATTTTCGTGGGGGTACTTCTCCGTGCCCAGAAAGAGCATGTGCTCGCAGAAGTGGGCCAAGCCAGGCAGATTCGTGGGGTCAGACATGTGACTAAAAGGAGATAACAAAGATGTTTAAATTTTCCTTGTCTGTTTTAATCCAACTTACCCCACTTGGACGGACAGAGCTGCCGCCGAAACATCTGTCTTGGGGTCGCTGATCAACAGAACCTTTAGGCCGTTTCCCAGCTGCAAGCCCCTGTAATCCCGGGTATCCTGTTGTGACTTTTCAATGTTATTTAGCCTGCGCGAGAAAAACATAGGGATTAGGTTAGCTATTTATGTGACACTTGTATTTATCCACCTCAGTAATGGCTCCATGAAATCGGGCTTGGCGGTCACCGATTTTTGCGATGTGGCCTCAGCTGCTACTGCCATCTTGGGTTTGCTGACCGTTCCAATCGATCGATGGGCTATTGTTATTGTGGTCCTTACGCCACTGGACCTGTGCGAGTGCGAAATAAGTGCGGATTAATCGAACCCGCTGGAGGATATTCAATAGATCACTGCCCACCGTCGATTCAAAACCGCTGAAAGGGCAAAAATCGATTTTCTGCACGAAAGATACATTTATCTTGTGAAATACGCGCTAGGATCGTTCGCTTTTTACGCAGCACCCATGCAAATTGTTTGAGACTTGGAAAGTTGGTTGTCTAGCCGGCTGTGTCTTGTTGATAAAATAATTTAATACAATTTCGTTAAAAATAAGTGAATAAGTCTAACTCGTTTCGCAACAACTACAATATACAAATCATATGGTGTTGGAGTTGCCAGATTTTCGAAATTAAAAGAACTAGTTCTCAACATGGAAAGCTTAATTTACAATGAGTCTACGGAAAATCGTCAAAAATAAGGTAATTTTTGTATGGAACAAAAGCTTATTAATATATGTATTTTAAAATACTTTTTAAGTGGTTTTTAAAATAATTGATACTTCATCCCTAAAATGTAACGTTACAAATATAAATATAATACTATCTGGCAGCTCTGCCAAGCTTTACCAAATCGTTGTCTAACACTGGCCACCTGCCGTCAAAGCGACAATTGCGGGCTGTGGGCCGTAACTGAATTTTATAAAGTATAGTAGAGTAAATTGAAGATAAACATTCGCAAATCCGCCAGATACAAGACACTTGGTCATAATGCTTGTCCGTTCGCCGTGAAGTAAGAGATTGTCCTGAAACCGTGACATTTCTGGTGTGTGGGTGAAAAATAAATGCAAATTGTTGTAAAATGCTTTGCAGTGGTGTGCGTGTTGATAAGTGCAATACGCAAAAGTAAGAACATTGAGCGCAAATACGGCAAATACTGATTATTTACGGGCATCAGTTTTGATAGGTAGGTATTGTACGCTTAAGCATGTCTTCCTCAATTCGGCCAGCAGCCGAGCCAGCAATTAAATTAAGTTCTAATCAAATTGTTTACTGACAAAAACAAAAACAATAACCTGCATATGTGCTCCCCAGACACCGTTAACCCATCGGGGGCGAAAAAAAGTGCATATGATGCTGCCGCCTGCCTGCCTGCCTGCCTGAATTCCAGTTTCCGATTTTCCTCATTTTTCTTGACTTGACTTTTTCGCCCTATTTCGCTCGCTGGGTTAATTGTAGGCCAAGTTTGCCGGAGCCGAGAGTGGGGCTCCAAGATCCCCACGCTGTGTTCGTGTTCGTGGCCGTTGCCGTGTTTGTGTGGGTCTCTGCCTTCTCTGCCCGTGTCGCCGTTTTGCAATGGCAAGAGAAAATCAATAAGCTTGCAAAATAGAAGAAAGGAGACATCCGAGCGTCCGCTTGTGGATATGGATATGGAAAAGAAAAAAAATAAATACCTATTGTTATTCGCAGTGATGTAGCTTACTATATATGCTAATTATGCTAAAACGCTGGCGTGCTCTATAAATGCTCGAACCGGAATGCCTAATGACTAATTATTTCGCAAGTTCGCACTTTTCATGACAAATTACTTAGATCCTTTCCCTACAAATCTATTTTTACCAAATCTGCTTAAATTTTACGCAAAACTTTAAGTCACTGAACCAAGAAATCAATTAGCTTTAGTTAAGTGGCTTTGTTGGATCGATTCTTTCAAAAATACAATGTATTTCAAAGGGGTTTTCAATTATTTAAGTAAAGTTAAGTAATAATATAAAAGAGATAGTAATATTTGTAACAAGTAACAATTAATTAGTTTGCATTTTACGTCAATCTCTTATTTGTTTTTTATTGTTATCTTGTATAAATAAATAATCAAGTCTACGATAAACAAAAGTAACCACTGCGTATACTTAATATTAATAGGAAGATAACGGGCAATGACCCTATGAGACTCGACTACCTTCCCTTTTCGTCCTCCTGCGGACATGGCGATCGCATTGGTTGACCGCTTAAGATCCTCTCAATTGAATTGTTATTGTTTTGGTTTGGAAGCACTTCCAAAAATAGACTGCAACTCGACGATGTGGCCGGACGGACAACAATGGCAACATCCCATGCAGCGTGGGCCCCACGCAGAAAGAAGAGTGCTCCGCTCGATGCTGTGGGCCTGAGGATTGATGGTGGATATTTTTAGTGCAGGTCCAATTAAGTTCAATTAGAGACCAAAAGAGCTTATCGCTTCGCATCTGATTTACTGTCCAGATTTGCTTCAACTTCCCCCGTTCCCCAGTAAACAGGGTCAACGTATGGCGACTTGCCGAAATATTATGATTCTTAAAGCGCACTTTGAAGTAAACATGACTATATCTTACATATTTTCTTTAAAAAAAATATATAGTAAAAGAAACCATTTTAGTCGGCGGGTTTAAGTAAAGTCTATGTTATAATTTAAACACCTTAGTGTTTAATAAACTAATTATCACTTCCAAAATATAATGTTTACTTAGCATAGATGATAGATGTTTCGGAATGGGCAATAAATTTAAGAAGTTTATGCAATAATTAGCACTAATATTACAAAAAATCGGTCATAAACTTTAGATATATATTTTATTATTTTTTTTATAAATACATAAAATAAGTGTTGATATTTATTTTCAGATTTCCGACACCAGTGCCGAGGAGCTACCCAAAAATGGACAACGAGCAGCCGCATCAAGAGTTGGTGAAGTGCGTCCTGGTGGGGGATACCGCGGTGGGCAAGACGCGCCTGATCTGCGCGAGAGCCTGCAACAAGCACGTCTCGCTGTCCCAGCTACTTTCCACCCATGTTCCGACTGTCTGGGCAATCGACCAGTACCGCATATATAAAGATGTACGTATATACTCCTTTATTTATAAATCTGAATTAGTTTTAATGCACTTTTCCAGGTTCTCGAGCGGTCCTGGGAGGTGGTTGATGGAGTCAATGTTTCTTTGCGTCTTTGGGACACTTTCGGGGATCATGACAAGGACCGTCGCTTTGCCTATGGACGGTAAGCGATACATAAAATTTATTATTTCATAAAAATACCCATTACTTACTCCTCCAACAGGTCCGATGTAGTGCTTCTTTGTTTCTCGATTGCCAGTCCGATTTCCCTGCGAAACTGCAAGGCCATGTGGTACCCTGAAATTCGCCGCTTCTGCCCAGACGTACCGGTTATACTGGTAGGTTGCAAGAACGACCTGCGATACATGTACCGAGATGAGAACTATCTTTCGTACTTCGGCGAGAAGGGCACCTTTGTTCGGTATGCAAGGCTTTTTATTTTTATTTCTTAATTTTATTGAAATTATTTTGTAGAGCCGCTTTAAAAAGTGATCTGGTCATGCCGGACGAGGCTCGTGCTGTGGCCAAGGAGCTGGGAGTGGCCTACTATGAGACCAGTGTGTTTACCTACTTTGGGGTGAACGAGGTCTTCGAGAACGCCATCCGGTCGGCGTTGATCGCTCGCCGGCAGCAGCGCTTCTGGATGACGAACCTGAAGAAGGTTCAGAAGCCACTGCTGCAGGCACCGTTCCGCCCACCAAAGCCACCACCACCAGAGGTCACCGTTATGGTCGGAAACTATCGGCAGGATATATACAACATGTTCCTGTCGCAGGCTTACACAGATCTCGTCCTGTTGGGCTCGGGTGGCACGAAATTCGCCGTGCACCGGTTCATGCTGGCCGCCGCATCTAACATCTTTCAGCGTCTGCTGAGCACAGAGCTAAGTGACATGGGAGGCCGGAGCAGCAGCGAGTCGAGTATGGTGAGCTCTACGTTTGGAGAAGCCACTATAGCTGACTTCAACGACGACACCGAGTCCTTAATCCGCTACGAAACACGCACACAACGGTAGGTGGTCCTTTTTGTGTTCCTTTTGTTGATTCATTGATTCATTCATTATGTCAGCATGTGGGAGCATTTGAAACGGCGCTCCAGTTATCAGGCCTTACCCCTGATGGAGTCGAAACGGTCCAGCGATCTGTACAGGGAGCTGCATCATCCAGTTCTTCAAAGCATCCGTCTGGTGCACGTGGAGAACCAGCGCGGCGTGAACGGACTCCAGACCATTGTCACCCTCAGCAAACTCATCTCCCCGCAAGCGCTGAACCAATGCCTAAGATTCATTTACACCGGAACCATTGACAAAGATTCCAATAATCTGCAAGTGAGTAACTGGAAGAATTCTTCCATTTCCAAAGTAATCTTGAATCGTCTTTTTAGGAAATAAGAGAAGCTGCCGATCTGTTAGAACTGCCGCAACTAACCCAGGTACTGTCCAGGCCCTCGACTGTCTTGGAGAGCTCCAGCGATGATCCAAGCCCGCACATTTGTCTTGTAAGAAGAACTAAAATATTCATTAAAGGTTTAGAATTGAAAATAATTACTTTTTGTTCCCCAGCGCATCAAAGAAAGCTTAGAGCGACATTGCATTGGTGATGGGTGCTTTAGCGATGTCACCTTTGAGTTGGATGATGGTCTTATGAAGGTAAGTTTACTTTAAACCTGCTCATTAAAGAAGTTAATACAAGTCTTTTTAAATCTAGGCCCATAGGGCTGTTCTGGTTGGCCGTTGTGATGTCATGCGTGCCATGTTGCTGGGCGACTTCCGTGAAGCGCATTCAAATGTGGTATGATTTTTGAAAAAACTATCTTAAATGCCAGTTTAAATAAAATAATAACTCTCCTCTAGATTGTGTTCCCTGGCGTTACAATCTACACATTCCATAAGCTGCTGTGCTATCTGTACACGGACCAGATTCCCCCAATTTCGGCTGTCAAGTGCCTAAACCTATTGGAGCTGGCCAACCGACTCTGCCTGCCGCGTCTGATTAATCTGGTTGAGTGCCGCGTCATCGAAGATCTCACTCTGATTTCCCAAAACGAAACAAATGAAACGGTGGACCACTGTTTAAAGTTACTGGAGCCTGTAAAGGTACTAGCCATTCTCTAAATATAATTAAGTAAAAACAAATCCAGCTTTCGTACCTCTATTGCAGCTGCACAACGCACACCAATTGGCGGAGTGGTGCATGTCGTACCTGTGCGTCAATTACAACATTATTTGTAAGTTTTCACTCAAGGGCCTGAAGGCCCTGCACCAGGATAATCAGGAGTACCTGCGCGAACACCGCTGGCCTCCAGTGTGGTATCTGAAGGACTACGACTACTATCAGCGCTGTCTCAACGAGCTGAACAAGGAGATCAAGCTGAAAACCTCACGTCGCGAGTCGCCGAACGATGACGAGGGCTGTCTCTGCTTCACCGGAGGTAAGTGTTTCAACGGGCGAGGCATTCTACGCCCCCACATCCCAGCACACACTTGACATCCCAGACCCATGACTCCGATCGGAGGATCAGATCAGGAATTCGTTTTAGACCGATAACAATTCTCTAATTGCTAGCAAGGCTCTTTGTGGCCCTTGGATAATGGACAAATCATCTTGGTTTGTATCCGTAGTCAGGTGCCTGGTTCTGTTTTCCTTTCCTTTTGATTTCTTTGCTCATTTACAACGACAACGCCATCATCATGATATTAATGTGCGACATTTGGTCAAAGTATTCTCTTGCTGGCTGCTAGGTAAATCGAAGCGCAGCGAGGCCACTGGAACTGCGGAGAACAGCAATGCCGATAATCAAATCTTCAATAGCGCCGGAAACTCGATCAACCACATCGACTTGGAGGCGGATATGGACTTGAATCTCTGACACCCGGCCCTCGGGCAAGGAAGGTTGGTCCACAAACTATTTTAATCAGAAACTATAGGTAACATCCCCAACTCTCCATAGGTCACTGCGCTTCATCGTGATCCTGCCGGTCCTGATCTGTTTCATCTGTACGATTTTAAGTATTTTGATACTTTTCCAAATCCATACATAACAAACCTCAAGGACACACAATTGGCGAGTCTGCTTTTGACATAACGCAATATATAGGAGCGCAAATTTGCCTTAGGGATTACTGTATAGACCAGTCCAACATAGCTCGACCCAGAACAAAGGAGCATTTTACCAAGTGCTTCGGATTTCTTATATTTATACGCCTATATATACATAGAGATATATTATGCAAAGCATAGACGAGTACATGCACATGCACCTTGGCGACGCGAAACGTTTCGCTCTAATGCCTTACGATATATCGATGTACACCTCACAGGCTCCGAAGGACTTCACAGAGGTGTACGTCCCTATACTTGTACCCTGAACAAAAACATGTATGTATGTATATTTTTGAATTCCTACTTACGGAAACATTTGTCTAGCCATAGCCCTAAGCAAACTTTATGATAAGGACGCATTTTGTACAGAATGATAGAATAAAGCAATTACGAATACACTACGAATTTTCATTCTCAAATTTTCAAATAAATATATTTATAAAAGAAACATTCACCACAAATTTAATAGAACATAACCATGACTCTCACTTCAGCATCTTCAGTTAAGCTGTGGTTACAGTCTTGGTACTCGATGTTGTAACGGACGCATTCTCGACTTCGAGGTCGTCTAGCATGGCTATCAGTTCCTCATCCGTGATAACCACCTGGGGCTTCTGGTTGTTGTTAATGAGCGGCAAGTTGTTGAGCTTCGACGGGGTTGTTTCGCCGCACAATTCCCGCAATTCATTTTCCAGCTGATCTTCGTCCAAGCTCACCGCAGACTCCACAACGCTGTTGGACATGACGTCCTGAACTTCCCGGTGCTGGTCCAGCGTGTCCCGCACATCGGCCAAGACTTCGTCGACGTTATCGTACTTCAAGCCAGATTCGGACAGAACTTTCTTAAGGGTATTGGAACCAATCTTGTAGGCGTCCAACACAACGCCACTGTTCTGAGCCTCATCGACGCTGGACAGCAGAGATTCGATATTGTGCAGAGCCACACTACGCCTTTCTGGAACGTAACAAATAATCGTTAATAAAAATATTTAATTTTAAGTTTATAAACCCACCATGATTCTTTTCGAGGAGATGCCTTTTGCGGAGATATGTTTTGGCCATTTGCCGCTTGTTTTCCTTCAAGTACTGGCGTGCCTTGTCATCGTTTACCTTGATATCCTCTTCCAGGCTCTCCAATTGCTTAAGTAGCTGTGATTGAGTATTCTGAAGGTTGTGCACAGCATGATCTTCCTGGCTTATGTTCAGGTCATCGCCCTGTTTTTCTAAATTTTATATATTTTACTTAATGTACAGAAACACCTTTTATTTTTAATACATACTCGGTATTTTGACCAAATGAATTTGTCTTATTCCCTTCTCAGTTTTAAACTCCAGACCCACGATATGACGAACGTTTAGAGAGAGCAGGGAAACGTATAAATCCGTGTCCGAATGGATACGGATTTGCTGGCTCTTGCAGAAGGATTTAAAGGCATCAAAATGCATTAGTTTTCCAGTGCACTCTGGCAAGGCTTTTTCTACGATTGCGTCGCAAGTGCTCTATAAAATTAAGAGTTTGTATAAGGAATGTTTCTACACTTTCTAGACTGACTTACATTTAAGGCATCTATGTGAATCCATTCTACCAATGTGGAGGCTTCTAGGTCTTCTGCCACCACGCTGTGCTTGATTTTCAGCCAGCCCCAACTTAAAGGTCGTTTCACCAGGCTGTTCACCAGCCAGCCGCTCCAGGAGTTTCCAGGATCATACTCGAATTCGCTGAGGGCTCGGATCTGCTTCCGCTGCTGCAGCTCCAATATCACAGTGTCCAGGCAGGCGGGTAGCTGGTCACCCCGCATAAAGAGCAACTGCAAATCTCTCAGGCTGACAATGGGTCTACCATTGAACCTCAAGTAGTTCCCAATCAGCTCCGTCCAGAAGTTCATCTTTGTATCGTACTCTTGGACGTTCCAGTGCCGTGCTCGAAACGTGGAAAAGCGTTGTTGCATAACAGCGTTGTCCTTCCAGCATGGTGGAAATTTAAATTCGCCATTTTCCGTGTCTTCCCTGCCGAGGGCCATGCTTAAATGCTTTATTTCCCCAGAGTTCTATAAATTGCGCGTCTTTCGGTGGCTTTGTTTTTGTTAGGTTTGCGTCAGCTGTGCATCAGTGTTGGACAAGACTGTATCTAAACTTGTAACTGAAATTCGAATTTAATAATGAAAGGTTTTAATTATAAGCTAGCGATTTTATACAAGTAATCAAATATATTTAAAAATTTAGTTTGGAAATATTATGAAGATATAAATGAAGAACTTTTATCCAATAAAGAGAAAGGGAAAATTAAGAAAATAAATTAAAAAAACGGATTGTATATAAAAAAATAAAAAAATGCAAGACGCCATGTTAGGAGGAAATTTTTTTTAAATGTATTTTAATATCCAAAATAAATTATTTAAATTATATTTTTTTTCGGAATTTAAGCTTTTTTGATAAAACTTTCCAGCACTACCGACTTCGATAGCTTGGATATCGATTCGCCTTTCCGCTTGCATCCCATCCCGAAACAGCTGATTGCATTCAGGCGACTAGATTAACAACTTCTAGCGAAAATTTTGTTTTGAAGTTTTAGCCAAGTGTTTGGGCAATTCGTTTGGGCCGGACCAGTCAGAGGAAAAGACCATCGTTTCCACGGAGCTCAGGAATGCACACAGCCAGGACCTAACTCCGTCGAGCAGGGATTCCCGCAGCATCAATGAGAGCAGCTCCCCCAAGTCACTCCGCCCAACCCTTGCCGTCCATCGGAGCCACTGAGTCACGTTCTTGGACTATTTAGCCACGGTTCTGCTTTCCCTGATAAGATCGCCGGCGCCTTCGTGTTAGAATCTATAGCTGGAAACTTCGCGGGTTGCCGCTGCAACAGACACACATAAATACTCACCAGCTCCAAGTGCGTGTGGTTCTCCATTGTTCTGCGATCAGTGGAGCGGCTCGGTCTGATTGAGACTTGCATATCATCATGACGGAGGAGGACCAGATCAATCTGAGGAATCAACTGGCCAGGGGTAAGTCACGAGTCTGCTTAAATAGGATGAACTGCATCTGGAGCTTTCTGGCTTACAAAATGGGCGTTTAGTTTCCATCTTTATTGCAGATAAGAAAAGGCCGAGATAATATGAATTGTATTTATTGTTTACTAACCAAAATCACAAGATAAGGTGATTCATAGATTTATTTAATCTATGTTGAATAGTCGTATCTTTAATATGCTATTAACTTAAGACTCCATTAAAATATAGACCACATGAACACTGTACGCGACCTCATTACCGTGAAACAGAAAAGATATATTTAGAAATAAGTGAAAAGTAGGTATTTTCCGGTTAGTTCACACCTTCTCTATCTGTGCCACTTTGTTGTATTTCATTATGACCGAAACAATTTACACGATATCATTAAAGGTCATTAAACCGCACTTAAACAGCTACGTCAGATCTCATGCCTTATATGCTTATACGCAGATATCCGAGTGGTCTGATAAGATTTATTGAATAAAGTGTGGGCAGTTTTATTCAAGAATCTAGATTATATGCATATAGATTGGAGAATTACAGACCCGGCGATGATAGGGAGAAGTTAATGGGTCCAAAAGCTATTTGTCCGAATTTGTTTGGAATTTGAACCAATTCTAGTCGTTATCAGGTCTCTTCGCCGTTATCACGCCTTCTGCGCCTGCGAAGAGAGTGAAGCGATGATGGTCACCGTCCGGCCATGAATGGAGGCAAGCTATTGACTATGCATTCGCTAGGAATTTTTCCAAGTTAACCAGAGCCAGTCGCTGAGGTAAATGCAAACCCGAACGGACGTAATACCCACACCCAGACAGCGTAGGGTTCACGCTGGGTCGGCTTGGCTGCCTTTTCACAGTGTTTTAAGTGTGTTTTCGTAATGATTAAGTTCGGTTCGTCTCGACGGCTGTCCGCTCATTAATACGGCGTGTGTATGTGCCCGTATATAGCGGACGGAGTGTGTCTGGATGTATGTTAAGAGCTTATACATATGCGAAAGTCGCGGCGCAGCGCTGCCTCTGTCAATTTTGTCGCTGCCAGCTTCGGGCAGTAAAATTTCATTCAAACGCGTTTCACGTCTGTTTTCGAACGGTCAACATCGGATGGGATCGGATCGCGCGATCGCCCGTCGTCGCCAAAAGTCCCAAACACCAATTCCCATATAGACATCTATGAGTTGAGCAAGCAGTCATCTTCCGCGAAACACCTAACCAATGATCCCAACTAGCCCACAACCTGTGATAAGTGCGCGACTCTGAACTTGTAATCCAATCCAAACCCTCCCGAAAACACAAAACCGAAAATGCAAGTCCCCACGCGCAGTTCGAGGTATTCATTCAATTTGAAAATATTCAAATTGCATAACGATAAGAAACCGAACAGCCCGAACAGTCCGCCAACTTCACCTGTGATCTCAGCGAAAAGAAACTCATGGCGCGCTTCGTGGCGTTCGGCCCTGGGTAGTGGCTCCAAGAGCAAAACGCCAGCAAATGGGTGCGATCTGAACGGGTTGCCTGAGGCCGCGGATGCCGCAGATGCCGCGGAATCTACGCTCTTCGAGCGGAGCAGGTGCTACAGCTCCTCCTCCACCGCCGCCTCCACCTCCTCCGCGTGCAGCGATCAACTGTTTCCCGCCATTCAAATACCCCAAGGCGATGAGCTTATGTGTAAGTTGCTGCCGGAAATCAGGTTACAAAAACACCATCAAAATGAGTATACAAATAAGAGGCGATCGTATACGTTTGTTGACCGTAAAAATTTGTTTTGAATTGAGTTTAATCTTTTAATGAATTAAGAGTTAAAAATAATATTTTATAATTTATAAAGAATCTAATAGAAATGTTCGAAAGCAACAATATTTCGAAAAAAGTATATATAGTTTTATAAATAATAGAGTAAATAATAAATCCATTCATTATAGTGTCTGTAGTTCTATTCAAACTCTAATCAAGTAATTAGTTAATTATAAAAAAACAAAATAGTTACTTTAACTATTCTTACTCATATTTCTTATGGGAAGTTCCATTCTGTCGTAGGAATCTTTTTAAATTGTTTTCCAATCTTTAAAGTAAGTGACTTGATACTTGATACCATCTGAACAATTTGTAGATTAAATATATAGCTATATAGGTATTATAAGCTTGATAGAAGCGTGTGCCTATACTATAATTATTAATTTCAGTCTAATCTTTAACAAAAATGGTGTAGTTTATAGAAAAATAATCCCTCTACGCATCTAATACTTTCCAATCCAATAATACTACGCCTTCCCAGTTTTCTCAATCGAATTTCTATATACAAATTATGAATAATGACTTAAATCACTGGCACTCACTTGACTTCATCCAGTTTTAATATTTCAGGGACTTTTGAGAGTGCTCATAAATAAAGTAAACCTTGTTCCGCTGATTAGATAGAAGTCCGCCGCCAGGGACCCCACGTATCGTGATCCAAGTTTCTCAAGAACGTGTTGTGGGAAATGTATTTTTTTTTTATGGATCAAGTGTTACTCTTCAAATGGTCAATTCCCTGGACAATTGGGGCGTTTCCATCCCAGTCTGGAGCTGGGAGCGATAAGCCATTCCGACTAAAGGGAAGATAAGAAAGGTGTGCGCTCGCCGGGTCGGTTGCCTTGGATGTGGTCCCACCCGATATACGTACTATTCTGCAGTATTTAGGTTTTTACGGCCAATATAGTTATCCGGCAGGCAGTCAGTCAGTTGAAGCCATCGACGTGCCGTGCTTGGTTGTGCGGCCCGAGTACAATGTTTCCGGCTTGTGGTCGGCGGTTGTAGGGAATCCACATTTAGCATACGGGCGTATACACGAGTACCCCTACGAGTTATAGATACTCGTAGAGCCAAACGAAAGCTCCGTCCGTACTCGTGCCTATAATACACCTGAAATACGCATCGCAATCGGGCGATTTCTGTATGGGCTGGTCGACGTCGGCAATCAAAATAAACCGCGTTACCAGTGATTACAAGTCGGTGGTGTTATGTGCAGCTGATTCTACGCTCGACGGAACGGAACCCACACCAAAATATACATATATATACCTACTATACAGTGTACAAATAGTAGCTCCAAGGCTTACATCATGCCGGAGGCCCTGCATTTTACATCGATCTTTGATCTCATAATCAAGAGCGGTGGGTGCAAAATTCAAGTTCAACGCGTTGCCAATTAATGGAAACCTTTGCTCCAAGTTGTAAATGTTTGGTGGAGTAGTTAGTTTGTAACACCCAGCTGGTCAACAAAAGCCAATAACCTAAAAGCACCCCTCTGCTTCGATTCTATGAATGCACGAATAGAAAGTCTGGCTTGTTTGCTGTTCTAATACTGGTGATTTCTTGGATCCCTCATAACCAGCCACCACTGTATATGATAAATAGATAGTGTGAAGTACACGCGATCCAACAACCTGTATTTTGACATAGTTTTGGCGGCGATTCGATCTTGACACCATGAACATGAACCTACCAGCTCGGGGCTTGGTTTCTTTTCGCTCTTGTAATGTTTGGAAACCTGTTGCTTTAAATCCGTGTCAGACTCTGAAGTTTCAAATCAATCAAAGCTATAGAGTTGCAATTTTTAAAAACGATGGCAGCTCTGGCTAAAAATCAATCTAAATATTTTGACATTTGGCTATAATCAAAAAAAGTTGGGCTCTTCGCCATGCTGCTGTGGTGGGCTGCGAAATCCTGGTAGATAATGTTCTTTAAAAAGTCGGGAAAGTGTACTTCCTTTGTGTGTTTTAGAAAAGGTGTGCAGAGGTGTGTCTTCTAAGGACCCTCTAATGTTTTAAATCCAACCAGAAAAACCCCAAAACTAATGAGAAAAATTTGATTTCCTTGCAGCGATGCCATGGTTTGGCATGGATATCGGAGGCACCCTCACTAAGCTGGTCTACTTCGAGCCGAAGGACATTACTCCCGATGAACAGGACCGGGAAGCTGGCATTTTGCGGAACATCCGGCGATATTTAACCAAACACTCGGCCTACGGCAAAACCGGACACCGAGATACGCACCTACAGGTGAGGTGGCTTGCGATTCCGCCCCGGAATGTTGTGTCGTTGAACTATTTTGTAACAAAAGCGATGTGACGCTAATGGCTGGCTCGATTATAATTTAAAATTATATTATCAGTCGGCAGGGCCCTAGTCGCGATATTTTCGCCTCCGCCAGTCAAGAGGGCATCTTGTGCGGGTCACCTGCTGATTTAATGTGGGGGCACACTCGCCATTTTTCAGCTTGACCTTCACACTCCCTCTCGCCCAGGGAGTTCGCTCTTTGTTTACTTAACTAAAACTTAGTGATTCACTTGTATTTTTAGCACTGGCCTTGTTTAAATATTAGTTAATCCATTTTCGAACCGGATGTGGCAGAGAAATGGGTCATACGATGGGTTTTTTTTAAAATATAATTATTATCTATCTTTATTTGTTTAATAAGCTAAGTACTGGGTGCTATTTTAAGCATAAAGCTGAAAAAGAAGGGTAATGCCCCTTTAATTTAGTTAGTATGCCAATTTCGTCATTAACTTAACAAATTAGTACTCAAAAACCTATTAGATTATCCAAACATTTTAAGCTTGGCCGCTAAATTGGGGGTATATAGCCCACGAATTCTTAAATTAAATAAATTAAAATTCCCCTACATTTCCGAAACTCGAAAGCCCACTTTCACCTGCAAACTTTTCGTTGCTAATTTTTCGCTCTTTTTTGCCCAACCTTTGGATACCTGGAATAAATGTGGAATTACATACACTTTGGGTTAATGGTTGACTTTTGTACTTGACTTTTGAATTTTAATGGTTTCTACGGAAAACTTTTCCAATAACTAAAGCTTATGTAAGACTACTTGGTTACAAAAATACAATAAATTATGCCTTTCTTGTAGATGGACAATGTAGAGATTCGCAAAAGACGAGGATCGCTGCATTTCATCCGCTTCCAGACCACTGACATGGGCAACTTCCTGTCCCTCGCCAAGCAGAAGGGCATGGCCGAGCTGGTGACCACGGTGTGTGCCACTGGTGGCGGTGCCTTCAAGTTCGAGCAGGACTTCCGCGACCAGGTCAACATGAAGCTGGCCAAATTCGATGAACTGGACACGCTCATCAAGGGCATTCTCTTTGCTGACCTCCACAACTGCACCGAGTGCTACTACTATGAAAATGCGAGAGATATTCTGTAAGAAATTGAAGTCTATGAGTCTCTTAAAGTGATTTCTGACCTTTTCCTTTGGTTTGCAGGAAAAGTGAGAAGCGGGAGTTCAACTTCTCGCAACCATTCCCGTTCATTCTGGTAAACGTGGGCTCTGGAGTTTCCATTCTGGCCGTCTATGGTCCCGACAACTACAAGCGCATTTCGGGCACCAGGTAAGTGGTTCTTAGAGATCTCTATTTACACAAATACTAATTATTAACTTGAATTTCCTGCTTAGTTTGGGCGGTGGTACATTCCTCGGACTGTGTTGCTTACTCACCGGCTGCACATCCTTTGAGGAGGCCATCCAGCTGGCCACCAAGGGCGACAATCGCAAGGTGGATAAATTAGTTAAGGATATTTATGGCGGTGACTACAATCGCTTTGGTCTTCCCGGCGATTTGGTGGCCTCGAGGTAATACACTCCCAATAGCATGTTTCAATAACTTACTAAAATATCATCTTAATTTTCAGCTTTGGACAAATGCACCTCAATGACAAACGTGTTTCTGTTTCACGGGAGGACTTGGCCAACGCCACGCTGGTCACCATCACAAACAATATCGGCTCCATAGCCAGGATGTGTGCGCTGAACGAGAAGATCGATAAGGTAAGGTTGTATTTTAATCACTGAAGACTGTATTTCATGAAAACCGCATTACAGGTAGTCTTTGTGGGAAATTTCCTGCGAGTGAATCCCATTTCCATGAAACTTCTGGCGTATGCCATGGAGTTCTGGTCGAATGGCACAATGAAGGGACTGTTTCTGGAGCATGAAGGCTACTTTGGAGCACTGGGATGCCTGCTGCAGTTCAATGGAGAGCTGGCAGCCGCCCTTAGTGACGGAGGAGATCACACGTCCGCCCCAGCCACGGCAGATCCGGAACCGACGACGCACACAAGTACGGACGAGCCGCCAGGGAAATCACCTCTCGCGCCGACAAACAAACACTCCACTAGATAGTCTCGGTACAGCACGGCCCATTCGAGAGTGCCCCCTCGATCGTAGTGCATGTACAGTAGACATAAGATCTATTAGGAAACGGCAATGACTTTGATCCTTCGCAGTCTATCTCGGTATTTAACGTACTTTCTTCTCGGCTCTAGTTCTAACGTTGAGGACGCACAAATTGTAAATGCATGTTACTGAAATTACTACTGAATGGATAAAGTGCCTGCTAGCAAGCAACGAATTTTGGCCCATAACCAAGCCGAACCTCAATTTATGTCTTACTCTCGCCCCTCCCAGAATTTCGCCAATAAGTAACATTTTTTCCGGTATGTTACACCCGTAAGCAGTCTTTGTCGACTCGGTAGTTTCTTTCTAGTTTCTTTTCTACAGTGATAGATGTTAGCTCTCGGAAAAGTATTAAAAATACTTGACCACGCAACCGCAATTGAAAGTCTAGCGCGCAAATAAAGACACTGCAGATACTGGACGTTGATGGTATCTTGACCTCTCTGGGCATACCTCTATGTTTTTACCTTAATGTTTGTATACATGATTTAAGTGGATGTTTTAAAGTTTCTTTTTTAGAAAATAAGTTTGTGGTCATGTTATTATAGGATCCAATTGTCGGCAGGTCAATAAAACTTGTTTTAAACAAAAACAAAATTATCTTTCTTCGTATAAAATATTTACTTAATCTCAGACTCTCATGACTACTTATACATCTTTATTGGCCCTAAAAATGGTCATTTATTGAACACTTAAAACAATTTAATTTTACATAAGTGAGTATATGCTCCTCGAGACTCCAATGTTGCTGTAGTCCCTGGTAGTGCCACAGCTGGTTTTGAAGTCAAAAACACGCAGGTTGTGGTCGGTGGCAATGAACAAATAACGGCTATCACAGGCCAGGCTGTATACCGGCGACAGGCCGTTGTGCACCCGCGTGCGTCCCCCGAAGTACAATTGTACAAATTTTGGCATTCTTATGTCGTAAAGATTGACTCGAGAGTGCATGCTGGTGCCGGCCAGCACTCCGTAGAGACCATCATATTCCAGGGAGTAAAACGAGGCGTCGAACGGATCCTCCCAAATGGCCACATCCCGATCCATACGTCGATCGAACATCCTGAAGGTAGTGTCGAAGTTAGCCGTGAATATAACATGCTCGTCTTTTAGCCTAACGTCGTATATGGACATTGTTCTCGAGCCCAGCTCAATTTCCCTGCCGCTATAAAGAAGGAATTTTAAAAAAAGGTTCAAAACGTTTAAATGATATCTTACCTTTCCACGTGAATGGCTCTTAGTGCATGGCGTCCCTTATCAGTATACAGACCACCAAAGAGCCACTGCCCGTCCGCACTCAGCTTCATGCTCTTGAAAGCCCTATCGATTGTCATCACCATGTCGAAGTAGGTTAGTCCAAACTCCTGAGAACGCTCCCACAGCTTGCAGCAGGTATCTGTGCTGGTGGCATATAGGTGATCATTAAAATCGACGCAGTATAAATATTCGTTTGACGAATGCATCCGGTGTTCAGCGATGACATCGCCATCCTCGTAAAGAAAGCATGATCCACAGATACGCCCCGCAAAAATCGTATCTTGTTTCTTCACAAAATCCGAGATATCGGTGCTGGAGGAAGTGGAGATTTCCTTTTCGTACCGCCGGTGCAGTGCATCGTATTTGGATCGAGGGTATTTTCGCAGATAGCTGGCATGTGTTATGTACAGGGCGTCCTTTTCCAGGCACAGTTTTGTGGGAAACATGGGGGCATGGTGGAAATACATACACTGGTTGTAGGTGCCGCCCACCCAGTTCCTGTACACCTGAATTCGCTCATAGTTCGTCAGTTGTTTTTGGTTTCTGCAAGATAAGGACATGGGGATTATTGTTATTAGAGTTATCAGTTCATCCGTACCTTTTTTCAATGCTTGGATGGTTTGCGTGGCCACAAAGCAGTAGATCCTTCGACTTGGCATAAAAAATGGAAGAGTCTATGATGCCTTCAAGATATTGACTGGCTTTGCATAAGCGTAGAAGATCGTCTTCGGAGAGATAGCTAAATATCTTCAACATACAATACGTGTTCAGATCGGTAAGCTTTAATCGGGATGTGTTTCGCATTTTTGGCCAATTAAATAGTGTACGGTTTCTATTAGATGAGTTTCATTCATACAGGTGCAGTTGGAAGTGTCTTAAAACCAAAACAATATAAGTTTAATATTTAAATGATAAATATAAAACACTTATACCTTCAGTCATTTGCCGGATTCTTCGAAGAGTCGTGCAAAGTGTAAACAAAAATCAGCTGGAAGCTCTTGTTCACAATACAAAATCCAAAAGTCGACATTGCCATCCGTACAACAACGTGTTTGTCTTAGATACTAACTAAAAATCACCTTCTTAGAAATTTAGTACTTCTTAATTTTATAAATGAGTGTTTAATGTGCTTTAACTTAAATTGGACCTTTCTCAAGGCGACCTCTAATGTTAATCGATTCTTTTTTCTATCGATACTTCTTCAAATATCGATAAAGTTCCATCTTTTGAAGTACCAGTATTGGTAAACGTAAGAAATAGTAAAATGGCGGCAGTTTTTGATTTCTTTGGTTTCCGTTGATGAATAAGCTTTTTAATTTCGCCAGATTTTTAAACTACATTATATTAATTGTTTAATTTTTTATAAAAATTGTAAACAATTAACTTCGAAAACAGTCATTTGCTAGTCAGATTAACAAATATACTCTGAATTTTTAATAGAACATGATTCTATAAGTTGGATATCCAAAAATAAATAAACAGGAACTGCACATTTTTGAGACAAACAAAAATATATACACAATTTTTGTTCGGTTGGCGTACTTATACTACGACAACAAATTAAAGTTATTTAGAACACAGTTTCCGCAATTAGGCACGAAAATGCCGAGAAATTTGCGCTAAATACCTTAACTGAGCATTTGATTGAGTTGAAATACCGTAAAAACTGTCTAAAGTGTCTAGAAAATTTGTCAAATCTTTTTTTTAAATATTTGCTGACTTTCCTTTTTTTTTTAGACATGCACCTTTGAAGTGATTCAGGTGAAATTTGTTTGCAATTTAAACAAATACCGAGACAAAAATAAAATAGTTAGCATGAAATTCCATTGTGAAAAGCTCTGATTAGAATAAGTTATTCATGGCAACTTGTTTTCATTAAGAGATAATAGCGTTATCACGTTATTAAAAACAAAAGCATCGGAAATTTAGGAAATGGTCATCCATTGTGTCACAACAAAGAAAAGTGTAACGCCTATTTTAGGGTCAGGGAAAGCAGCGTAGCTGACACAGTTCAGCCGTAGGTTTTATGGTTACAAAAGCACTTTAACACTAAGAACCTTAAAAGTGAATCTTAACTAGGCTAGATAAAAGTGTATCCACCAAAGTGCGGTTTGTACTTTCCATTTGTCTGACATCGTCATGTGGTAAAAAGATTTATTGTGGTTTTTTTTATGATTTTTCTGATCTATTTAGTGGGAATCGTGACATTCCCATTAATAAAAACGGCGTATATTCTGGATCTTTCGTTCCTTTTCCATAACGCCAGTTAAAATCTTATCAAACCGCACATGACATTAGGTCTGGCCAATATAATTCCCATATTAGAGGAACCCTAAGCTATCGAATTTATCGTTACCCTTCAAACTAATGATTTATTTTGAGTAAATAATAATTACTGATGACGTTTTTAAAAAATATTGGGATTGTTGGGTTAAAAAGGGGGTATATTCTTTGAAAACTTTTGTAAAGTATGATCCTTTAAGAGGAGGTATTATCCAGTCTTTTCTGGAAAAGTCATTTGGTTCTTTTCAAAGTTCATGCGTGGCACTGAGCTCCAAATATTGATAGTCACAATCTGAAGGTGACGTAGCCGTCAGCAGTTTTCGCGTTTTGCGCAGTTCTCGTTCTCTCGTCGGCAATTTCATAATCTGAGCAAAGTGCTCGGGGCCCCAGGTAAAAATGCTCGGGCCACCAACACTCGAAAAATCGAAAAACAGCAGAGGTATACATGCAAAAGCCCTCGTCACGTCGCCCCACCAGATCACAGTGATGGGTCTCCAGGTGTATAATATTCGCTACAAAAGCACATTAGTTTATTGTTATTGTAGAGCAAAGTCACAAATATTTCCGCAACAAAAGTCACGTTCGCCACCCCGATAAGTTCAAGTCACTTGGCTGCACTGGCAATTTGGGAAATGTACAGAATAATTAGGATTCCCACATCAAATTATTCCCACTTTCAAAAAGCTTGCGATTGTTTGTCATTTAAAGAGGCGTCAACTATTCGATTATCACCTTTGCCATAAAAAATACAAATACAAATATTAAAAAAAAACAAATTAGGAATCAGACATTACTTTTCGCTATAGGGTTCTAGATCTACATAGTTCTAGAAATGTATGCTGGTAAACAACATGACGCATTCTTTTTCAAAATTTGTTGCTCTCTGAATCATTGTTTGTGACTTTTAAAGAATTCCAGAAATATTTCCTTAACTCTAAAAACAGGCCCCCATTAACTACTAATAGATTAAAACACTGCCATGGGCAGTCGGTGTTATTCTTGGTGAGATCAAATTTCAATGTATTATGTTTTTTTTCACGATTTTCACTTACAAGATTTTTTATATAGTAGACGTAATAGAAGCGTAATACAGAAGTATTAAATAATAAATAACAATTTGCATTCATTGCATTTTTAACATGAAAATAATGTGTTTTTAAAGCCCAAAAACGAATCAGGGCGACTGTCCTTTGATAAGATCAACAGCTTTCAAAAAAATTATAAAATGTGTATTGTACATAGGTTGGTATAGGAAGAATCGGTTGCAGAGAGGAGGCTGCGGAGCGGCACGATTCTTGAACGAATCCCGCCGCAGCGCGATTGGAAGGCAGTGAGTTCTTTTCTGTCTAAAAAAGTGTCTTGTGTCTAAGCGAGGCTTTAAGTCTTTGTTGGCAGTACCACCTGCAGGAAGACGACGTGGAACGCAGTCGGTGTCGGCGCGCGCACGGGCGGATCACTCGGATATCCACAGTGTCCATTCATCCGGAATGTCCAATCCCGGCAGCTGCGGATGCAGCCCACGCGCCAGCGTGTCCCAAAAGCAACCCGTGGGTGTCTTTGTGGGTCTGGATCAGCCCATTTCCACATCCGCGACCGCTTCGGTGGCATTCTGTGCCATTTGCAGCGTTGTGCGGGTGTAGTCCAAGGGCTCCACACCGATGTCCTCGTACTCATGCTTATCCCCCAGTGGGCAAAGGCCGCCTTCGTCCTCGTCCATGGCGTCGGCGGCGGTCTCCTCGTTCTCTTCAGTGTCGCTCCAGTCCTCGGCCACCTCAACGTTGACGGGCAGGTACATGTGGAAGGGGCGCTGCTCGCGCAGCCATGGCGTCAGGAAGATATGACTGGCCGTCATACGCTCCGTATAGTCCTTCCGCAGCAGGGAGAGCAGCAGCCAGCGCACCGACTTGGAGAGCGACATGGGAATCTGGACGTTGCCGTGACGTATGACCGTGATCAGGTTGCAGTTGGCCTTTTCGTAGAAGGGATACTGGCCCACCAGCATAGTGTAGAGGATCACGCCCAGCGACCACATATCCGCCGGCTTGCCCTTGTACGTGGGCTGGGGGCAGAGCAGCTCCGGGGCGGTGTACAGCGGGCAGCCGATCTTGTCGCTGAGGGTGTCGTCCTCGCCGTCGAGGATCATCGAGCCTTCCAATGATTCGTACTGCAGTTTGGTTCTGAAAGGAGGAACGGAAAAGCCGGGTTTAGTTTTGGGGAATACAAGGAGGAAAGCCTATTCATGGGGAGATGGATTGTATAAGATAGTTTCTGACTTATCAGTTCAGTGGGTTCTTATCTTTCCCTTTAAAAGACCAAGAATGGGTACCATTCTAAGCACACTGGTGGGCATGTCACCTTCAAAATTGTAAGCCCTACACACCATGTGCAATCCCTTGCATAACCCTCGGTGATTTTGTGGGGCTATTAGCTAGCGCAATATCGAAGAGACTTGGGGGACTTGAATTGATCGGCCACGGCGTTGGCGTTGGCGGTGTTGACAAGTCCAAAGGCGATTTTGGCCGCAAGAGAGATAGAGGTAGAGCGAGAGAGAGTGAGCTTCGGTGACGAAAGCGCAGCTTGCGACCCCCGACACCCATGAGCGAGTGACTCCTCCTCCGCCCGTGCCCCGGTCCCCTGCCCCTCGGCACCCTTACACCACTCCACTCCACTCCATTGACATTGGCCCACATTCGAATGCAAAAAGTAGAAAAGTAACAAAAACAGCAGCCAGCCCAGGCGAATAGAGGCTAAGAGGCGCTAAGAGAGCGCGAGTCGTCAGCTGTGAGTGAGTGACGTATCGCAACTTGTTGCTGCAACGGCGCTTCTGCTGGGACCACCGCTCCACACAATGGTGAACTATACCCGAGAGATATACTATATACACCGTAGAGAGTGTAGGTAAATATACACACGATCAAACATCCAAAGAGTCGTTCACAGGCCAGCCAAAAAAAAGCCTCGAGCTGACCCTGAACGAAAACAAGCTTTGGAAACGCGCCTCTCCTCTCCTGCTCGCACCGTAAAAAAGAGGATTGATTTGAAATTAATTATTATACATAGATAATAAAATGATAAAGTTATGAAAAAATAAATAAAACTAAAGGTCATAACCTCTAAAGACTCTACAAAATATTATTTTATAAAGCGTAATAATTTTTTATTTACTATTCAAGTCTATATTTGTAAATATTGACAAGAACTTTAGGGACACGTCATACTGAAACCTAATCAGATAATGAATTATTGCCAAAACACCGAAAAATATTTCTCCGAGTGGAGCGGTTGCGACTTCGATTGGCGGAAAATAGAGAGGGGTTTTGAGGCCAAAAAGAGAGGCTCTTTTAGGCCAAAGTTGGGGCTTTTTGGGGGCGGTGGATCTCTCTCTCTCTCTGGGTCAGACGTGCAATAGAAAATACGGAAAACCGGCAGCAGATCTGATTTAAATCACCTTGAAGCAAACACACAAAATCAAAGTATGACTACAAAAATTTACATGCATAAATAAATACGTGTGCGACTGTACATACATAGATACATACATATAGAGTGTGTATAATGCCTTCCAAGTACATATATACGATTTTAAAAATACAGAAGATCAGAGTCAGGGCCACTCACCGCATTGTGACCTTAAAAATTTCAGTTCGTTGTTTGGATGTGCCGAGTGTGTGTAACTTAAGATACGAATACCCACACACACACACCAGTGCACTGGTGGCTATTTACCTTCTCGAGTACAAATGGAAATGGACGTTAATATTCGAAATCTCATTGAATCTCATAGATACACACAACGAATAGATAGCGATCTATCTGGCGGTGTATACATATATTTATATCTCTTCCTTCCGCTGTTTTTGTTTGCATATTTGGCAGAGAACAACAAATGACGAAAAAATCAGCAGATATTTCGCCAATTGTAACTGTACGAAATCGAAACAATTGTTCACGTCATTCGGTGCTGCTCCTGCTGCTGATGTCAGTAATAAAAATCGATGATAATAAGAACGACGACGTGAGAGTGTTGTTTTCTTCGCACTGAAATACGTATGTATACTGAAAATATTTGCATATGCAAAAATACTCCCGTATATTCCAATGGAAAAGAACCGATGTGGCACCAGTGTTCTCAATATTTCATCATCCACTGTAGTATGCTCTTGCTCTTGCCAGTTCTATTCGGCGAGACAGCATTGTGGCGGGTGGCCTCCACCTACACCACCCCTTTATTGCACATGGCCTATTGTACAATTCTTAAAGTGTGGCAATGTAAGTTTCCAAAAAAAAAAGAGGTGGGCCAACATTATAGCCAGCACTGTGGCACATTGGCCCTTGCCGGAATGGGTTACAAAAGTGTGTGTACACAGTGAGTACAGTGGGAACTACATTTTAAAGGCTAATATTTTGGGAAAGTGAAACTATAAAACCTAATAATACCTGCCTTGGAGATAACTCTTTTCACATGGTCATAACAAATTCTAATTGCTTATATCCGAGTAAATATCGCTGCGATAATGGTCGAGTAAACAAAATTCTAATAATTGAAGAGAAAACACGGCCAGAAAGCCTCTCCTATCGTCGTGACCTCCACTGTGCCGCTGACGACGCGCGTGCATGTAGTTTGTCAGTATAATTGTTTTTGTTGGCCTATTGGTGATTCGATTGCAACACTTGTTAAATGTTCAATGTTACCCACAACGACGACGCCAGCAGAGCGGCGGCGGCGGCGACGACGGCGGCGGCAACAACCACATGGGCCAATAACAAGAGCAACAATTGTGGCACCACCAACACACCAACAGCCACAACAACAACAGCAACAGCAACACAAACAAGATCTCTCGCTCATAACGAGTTTTTATCGAATTGCAAAATAAAGCGACCCGACCAGGCTGCAATTGTGTGGTGTATTGGGATTTTTGAAGGTGTCTCCGTCTCCGTCTCCGACTCTGTCTCCATCACCTGGACGGACAGCTGGATGATTGGGACAGACAGGAAACGGTACGCAACGCATTGTGAACTCACCTCGCCTCGTCGATGAAGTAGAACCGCTTCAGCTTCAGGTCCCTGAGGATAATCCCGTTGCGGTGGCACACCTGGACCGTCTGGCAGATCTGGTGGAATATCGCCCTGGCCTCCGCCTCGCACAGTCGCTTCTCGTGCCGGATATAGGTGTGCAGGTTCTCGTAGACGCCAGTCAGTCCTCCCACCGAGTCCTTTTCCTGGGGCGCCGGGGCAATCAGAATGTAGGTGCGGTCCTTGGACAGAGGTACGATGTCGTGCACGGGTCGGATGAGCGGGTGGCCGTAGATGGTGCTGCGACGCAGCTCCTCGTCCTGTTGCTGCAGCTGGAAGTAGGCGCGTTGCACCTTGTGCAGGGGTTCGTTGACGATCCGGCAGAGATACTGCTGCCCGGTGAAGACGTCCACGCAGCGCAGGTTGGATGCCGTGAGATCGACGAGGTGGCGGTAGGAGGCGGGCGTCTTGGCCACCGCGGCGGCCGATATGTGACTAGGTTGGGCGTTTATCAGGTACCGCTGCTTGATTAGCTTGACCGGCTGCTGGTCGGTGGGTTCGGCGGCGATTCCCAGGGCCATTAGTTCACAGGCGCCTCCGGGCGTCAGCAGCTTCTCCCTGATGGCTTGCAGCATCTTGGGGTTGGTGAAGTCCTTCTTGGGGGTGAACAGTGATGGTCCTACGCCGCCATGTACAGTGTCCTCGCTGCTGGTGGTGCTGGTACTGCTGGAATTCATGCTGGTAGATGTGGGGGCGGGTGATGAGGGCGATGACGAGGGCGACGCTGGTGATGAGGGCATCGAATAGTTGACTATTTTGTTGGCCGCCGCCGACGCTGTACCGCTGTTCGGGCCGCTACTGTTATCCATGCCGTTTGCTTGTTTACCACTTAACTTTATCACAGTTCTTGCTCGCCTGCTTTGCTCCTGCTTCGGCTTCTGCTTCTTACTTCTTACTATTCTTCTCCGCTTTAGTTAGCTGTACCTCACGATTGGCATTTGTTGCTTCTGCTCGCTGTTTTTGTTAATTGTTTTGACATTTGGCGACGCGCGCGAATTCCATGCGATTAATCCGATCTAATCACTGTCACTACCAGTCGCTGCTATTTATGCTATTGAGCCGTATGTTCCGCGATGACGAAATCGGCTGCTAAAATGCGAAATCGCGCTGCTTCTGAGTCGATTTTAAAACAAATCAAATATGGAACGCGGAGCACGGTCGTGTGTCTTGAGCGAGTGTTGAGCGACGATTGACGAGTGGCGAATCACCACTGACTTTCAAGACCCGGCCGCCGTCCTCGCTCGCTCCTCGTTTCGATCGGGCTGTCTCGCTTGCTCTCGCTGCATGTATGCGTGAGCATGTGGCTCTCAGAGAGGGTAGAGCTGATCGATTTCTTGGCCAATCAAGCTAGACTTGAACTGTTTCTTACCTGAATTGTCTTTAAAAATGTATCTTCAAGAAATATTATAGAAAATATTAAAAAAATATTATTTTAGGTATCTTCATTTACATATTTGCAGTGGCTTTGAAAAATTATTTATTGGAAATAACACTCATGTTTTGAGTTTGATGTAAAATTCATACCTAAAGTATATTTTTAAATCATAAGTTTAAAATATTTGAATAAATAAAACAAATACGTTTTTACCTAGATAAAATGTACCTTTTCATGTTAGTTTTTAGAAAACTATTTTCAATATATTTTATTAAACTTGATCTATTTATTAATTCATATTTTAGAAACATTTATAAAATAATTTAAATTTTAAAACAATATACAATAATTTTATATGGCGACTATAATCTAGCCGTAAACAAGCTAAATGGTCTTTACCATTTGTATCTGTGAGTACGAATCTGAGAGATAGAGAGAAAGAGAGCGAGAGAGAGAGCGGACTGGCAAGCAGAGCATCGTTATTTTTGAAAACAATTGCGTTGAACGCTGAAATTCTCTACAGCCATGTGTCTTGAAATTCAAAAAAAGAAACGTCATCACGCATACATACGCGGGCAAATAAAACTTTGAATTTGAATCCACGCGATAACTGCCGTTTCGGGTATTATCTTTACAGCAACCCTTAAAACTGATTTTACATAACAAGTAATCTGCGCACTATTCAAATATTGCGGTTTATTCTATGTATATGCATTAAATAATGAAATAACCGCATGACGACTTGGAATAAATTTGAAATTTTAATATTTACTGATAAAAAGGGAAATAGGGGAATTCTTTATTGTTTATTGTTAAGTTTAAAGATATTGTTTATAATTTTTTTCAGCTATAATTTAGTATAAACAATTGTTAAAAATCCATAAAAATAATTAAGTATTCCAGTATTTAATGTCCCTCTATATTTTTCAAATTCTTCAATTCCCCACATAAGACAAGTACAGTTTAAAAACCTACATTTTCGAAAACTGTGATATATCTCCGAGTCTTTTTGTTGCCAAGGAAGTATTTCTAGTAACCCTATTTATTATCGCAAATTTTTTAATTTTTTCTAGAGACTGCCGCATTTTCAAAAGCTCACCTTTAAAATTATCGCTTTTGAAATCTGCCTCGATTTTTCTCTGTGCCTGAGTGATCATTACTCATTTGTGTGCGTTGTATGGTAGTGCAGCAATTTCATGATTTTTGCAGCTGTCCCGAAACGAGGATCACTGGGCTACGCAGGAATTACGACAGAAGGTAGTGATCAGAGATCTTTGAGGAGCAGGAGCAGGTAAGAACCACCGAGCTGGCATTATGTCGCAGGTAGATTTCTATGTCAGCTGCACTATTCATCCCCTAAGCACCAACACCAACACCATACATAGTGCCATAGTGCAGCGTTGCAGGGCTGTGGCTGTACATGCGATGCAGTTGCAGCTGCCGCAAGGTGATTTCCCACTAAAGACATCCGCCTGCTAAGACGCATACATACATAGAAACACACGGAAATGTACACGTTTTCAAATCCAATATAGGGAGCACATTTTTGGTGTTTGGGGTTTATCCTGATTGAATTTTTTTTTCGTAACGTAACGACCTTTTTTTGAAATGAAACGTCTGTTTCGGTTTCCCCATCTCCAGAATGTATCCGATAAATACGAACGAGCATGTGGGGAATAAAGTGTAAAATCGCGAACCCAGAGGTAAGAGAGCAAACAACAGCTCTTTCTCCGCCACTCCCCGTATCCGTCCACATTTTTGCATCTGTTTCTCAAAAACGTACAATATGAAGATTTTAAACAAGAAATATATATTGTAGGCACCGTGGTTCGATCGTATCGATAAAGGGGTTCTATTTCAAGGGCAAGGGTGATAGTATAGATAGTCTATAGCTCCCTAAAGGATTAGTCTGATTTAAGGTTGGAGTCTTTGAAAAATATTTCATATAAATATTAAATGAAATATAACCTAGAGGATGACATGCTGGGAACTTCCATGAGTCATTTGAAATTACCATATTTTTTGAAATGAATTTTTGAATTTTTTATCAAGAGTTCTTATACCGAAATAGAACCGGATATATGAAGAGTGCTATACATTTTTAAATTTAAGATAACAAAACTATTTTCCTCGTATTCTGACAGTTGCGGAGAAGACCCACTGTGCTTAATAAGTCCTCCAAAGAATACGTTACATTTTGAATTTAAATTCGAAAACATAAATACGTTAAACTGGTGTTGTGACCAAAACAGAGGCCGCTTATTTTTCTCTTGCAGATTTTTTTTGTTTTGTTTTGATACAAAACCAGACTGAGTTGATTTCGCTCATGGCTTTGGGGAAGGCTTTTTTCGAACGTATAATATTTGTTGTTGCCAAGGTGGCACGATAGCTTCTATAGATTTCTCCGGTCTTCGTAGTGGTTATTCGCATGCGTCATAGGCTGCGTCATCAATTCGGGATGACGCTTCGCGAATCCCCCTTCCTGGTTCCCAGCTCTGCCGAAACGACATTCCCCAAAACAAACATACAAGCTTTGTTAAAGTGAAGGTAGCCTGTTATTTTTGTTTGTAGGTATTTTTTTCTTTTGATGAACTGACTTTGAAGTTTCAGATTCGCACGAAATTATAGAAGGTGAAGTTCTGGAAGTGGAGAGTGCATCATGCAGGGCGATTACAGGGTCTGGGGAAAAAGTATAGATTAAATTGTGGCACGTGATACAAGCGTTGCAGGTATTTCCTAGACGAACTTTTGACTATCAGTTTCAGTTGAGGAACACAAATCTACAATTATACATTGTGCATGATAATCAGCAAAGGTAAGAGATATAATGCACTTTAAATATTTTTGAGCTAAAAAAATAAACTTGAAAATGTATATTTTTTAATATTATAGGAGATCCTACAAAAATCTTTTAGAAGAAGGATGACACATTATCCATAACCACTCCAAAAAGATACTTTCAGTAGATGATATAAACCTTTTGCTTAACCGAAATGAATTTTTTTTTGGCTCAGTAAAATTTAGTAAGTTGGTGTTAACCATAATCAGTGTTTCTGATCTTTAGGAAACTTTTCGTTGACCGTTGTTAACAGCAGAGTTTAACGGTATATCGAACTCGGGCATCACACCGGAGAAGATACACTCTCACTCTTTCGAGCGTGCAGTCTGCCACACAACAGGTTGTTGGCGGCGGCGGCGGCTGTTTGGAGAAAGTGCTTACTGCCAACAATAATATAAGTATCAGGTGCAATGACCACATAGCCCAGGCGGTGGTTGCTGGAAATCAAAAAATGAAATGCCATGGAAACGCGACAATATACGGTAACTTGATCTGATAACGAATAATGCCGTAATTGTGCATTTTCCGACAATAAGTCTGCCGCAAACCTACTAACAAATATTTGTCCAAAATTAGACAAGCTAACTCTAATATGTAACTACTGTTGAAACTTTCTTTTTAGAGGAGAGAAATAAAGGCATTGAACTTTGTGGCTTCTGTTAGGAGGGAAATGTGTTTCATTTGAAAAGATGTATGTTTTCTATAGTTTCAGGGTCAAAAAAAGGAGCAACACCACAGGAACACTTTCCCAGTCACACACACATTTCTGCGTAGGTGGTGAAAATTGCTGCCTTTTTTTTCTCAAGTCTCAATTGATCCCACAGATGCATTTCCCAGATGCCAACATGCTGGCAGAGGATTAGGCCATTGTTCACAATATTTGTATGAAACAGATACCTAGTAGAAGTACTCCTAGAACCCATGTTCTGGCTCACACATATGCTTGGAAATATTATTACCAGTCACGGCGTGGGAACCGGCTCAGGGATGTCCTAGGATTTCAACCGAGTATTGCAATATCTCCACGCAAAGGTAGATAATTTGGAAGACATATATTATACGGGTGGCATCGTCACAACCTAGGTGAAAAATCATTTCACATAATGGTTTATTGTCCGCGACAAATAGTGGTCACCCTACAGTTCATACTGGAACTCGAGGTCCTTTCAACAAAAAAAAAGTGGTCCGTCATGAAAATAAGTTTGTTGGGAAATAGTTCGTCTTTATGTTGAATTTAAATAGTATTACATTTGCTTCTTTACTTTTGCCTATTTACCTATTACCTATTTTTATCTATTACCTATAGTACCTATTTTTGCGCACATCATTGTATTGTAACCATTTGGGAGCTTTAAGCTCACACGCATAGCCGAAATTGCAGTGCAATGCGTTAGTATTAGAACATCACGCGATCGTTTTTCTGTTCTTTTTTATGCACGTTTTGCAAGCCGGCCGCATTCGCTTGTTGATATTAACCGCAACCGCTCGCTGATAGCAACCCCGCTTAAAGTATTGTAAACCCGCTAAATAGTGAAAATAAATGCATAAACCTATAATAAAAACCATAATACAGTCCACTATTCATAAACATAACAAATTTTGGTCCGTTCGAGCCGGATACCCGCGTTTATTTGTGCATTTACTTTTGTGAACATTAGAGACAAATTTACCGTTTTTTCGTCATGAACGCGATAATGCATAGAACGATTCAACAACGTGGTGCCTGCAAGGGGCAAATAACGCGCACCCTCAACAGTGCTGTGGAGTTTTCACAAAGATGTGAGAATGTGGAAACATTGCAATTCAAGCTGGAGCGTTTGGTCGCCACTTTCAACCACTTTATGGAGCTCTCTGATGAGTTAGTGGAATTTCACTTGGAGGAGGGATATGAAGACCCTGGATTGGACATACCCGAATACGAAGACAAGTTCTACGCCGCGCATGCTATTTTTAGTAACGCCATCAAGGACATGGGAGGTCAGGATCATGGACAGGACCAGTCGAACATTCTACTTTCAAGTACAGTGGAACGCCTATTTGAGGGACAAAACAACCTTTTGGAGAAAATTCATACTTCATCGGGAACTGCTGATTTAAGGTTTGAGAAAATTCGGATTCCCACATTTTCTGGTAAATATGAGGATTGGAGCCAGTTTAGTGATCTGTTCTTAAGCTCAGTAAATAGTAACGAAAAGCTCTCCAAGTGCCAAAAGTTTCATTATCTCAAATCATATCTGGAGGGAGAAGCACTGTCCCTAATTAAACATATTGCCGTCTGTAATGATAATTACCAAGACGCATGGGAAAAATTAGAAAATCGTTATAATAAAAGGTCGCTCATCGCTCGATCGTTTGTTCAGAATTTTTTATCGTTGCCAACCGCTAACAATTCGAATATTGCAGAATTACGCAAGGTAATTGACTCGGCCGACGAATGCATTCGAGGCTTACATGCGCTGAACTGTGACAGCCGCGATGTATGGCTCATTCATATTTTGCTGTCAAAGTTAGGTTCAGAAATTAAACAAGCTTGGGCCAACTGCAGTTTATCGGCCACTGAAGACGTCACCATAGAGGAGCTGTTCGCCTTTCTTTTCGCTCATTGTGATACTTTGGAGTCTTGTCAGGATTTACCCGCAATGCAACCCTCAAGACCAGCCCAGAGTAGACGCCGCCAAGCCGCTTTTCATGCCAGTGGATCAACTCAGTCGTCTCGCGAATGTATATATTGCCAAGGACAGCATTCTATATATTCATGCAATGAATTCAAGGCACTGGATGTAGTCAGCCGCCGCACCTTCGCCAAGGATACAAAATTATGCTTCAACTGCTTGAGTCGATCGCATCAAGTCAGGGATTGTAATTCATCGAACACTTGCCGTCAGTGCAACGCTAAGCATCACACGTTAGTACACCCGATTGAAGCAAGATCGGTTCCTGTGGCACCTGCGCACTCGACTGCCGCTGATACGAATACTGCCGCTGTTAGCCATCATATTTTGGAGAGGGCCAACAATCCAGCCCTACTGCCAACTGTTGTCGCCAATGTTATTGACACATGGGGAAACGAGACCTCGTGTAGGTTATTGCTCGATACTGGATCAACAATAACCATGGTATCTGAGTCGTTTATCCAAAGGATCGGAATTCCTCGCACGCATGCCCGCATTTCGGTAGTTGGTTTAGGTGCTAACCCGGCTGGTGTTAGCCGAGGTCGCGCTAGCTTCACCTTACTCTCAAGAACCACGACTGCATCATTAGAAGTCTCTTGTCTAATTATGAGTTCTCTAACTTCTACGATTCCAGCTCAGCAGGTCAAATCAAATGCAACTATTTGGACCAAGATTCGCAGCCTACCGCTAGCTGACCCGACGTTTGGATCTCCGGGCAAAATCGACGTTATCTTAGGCGCTGATCAGCTGTGGAACTTATATACTGGACATCGCCGAGAGTTTGGTATCGAATACCCCATCGCACTGCATACTAATTTTGGTTGGGTTATTACAGGCAGCTACACTGATGGTAACAAAGCATCTACGCACGCACAAGTTCATCACGCTTATGAAGATTTGGATTCCTTAGTTCGCTCATTTATGGACATGGAACAAGTGCATCCGAGTAAAACAACGATAGACGCCAGTGATCCCGCCGAACAACATTTTCTGAAAACACATGCTCGTAGAGAAGATGGTGTTTATATTGTTCAATACCCATTCAAGGAGCTCCGCACGCCAATTGGCTCCACTTTGCCACAGGCTTTAAACCGCTTCGCCGCTTTGGAAAGGAAATTTAGAAGATTCCCCGCACTCAAACAACAATATGTGGATTTCATGGATGATTATTTAAATCGAGGACATATGGAATTGATTCCGGCTGCTGCAGGCGGTGAGGATCCCGCACGCTACAACTATTTGGCACACCATGCAGTTTTTAAGCCAGATAGTACTACCACACGTTGCCGAGTGGTATTTGACGGCTCTGGAAAGGATTCCACGGGTCATTCTCTTAATTCGCGACTGCATATAGGACCGCCTATTCAACGGGACTTAATTGGAGTATGCCTTCGATTTCGTCAGCATCGTTATGTATTTTGTGCAGACATCGAGAAGATGTTTAGAGGCATTTTGGTGTCGGACGAACATACACAGTACCAACGCATAGTTTGGAGGAAGGGATGAAAACGCTACGCTGGATCATTATCGACTGTTGACAGTAACATATGGATTAGCTTCATCGCCGTTTATTGCAGTTCGAGTTCTTAAACAGCTCTCGAATGACTATGCCGAATTGTATCCCACCGCTGCTGTCGTGCTCAACAGAGACGCGTACGTTGATGATATTCCTACTGGATGCGACAACATCAAGGATCTCATTGCACTCAAAGATGAATTGATTCTGCTTCTTAGCGAAGCTCAATTCAAATTGCGAAAGTGGAGCTCAAACTGTTACGCCCTTTTAAAGTCGTTGCCAAAGGAGATTTGTGAGTATCCACCAGAGGATTTAGAGGAAGACCGCTCAATTCGATTTGTTAAAGTCCTGGGATTGTGTTGGGAACCAAAACCGGACTATATTTTCTTCAAATTAGAAACCCCCGCATTTACGACTGCTCTTACTAAACGCATATTGCTTTCAGAACTAGCCAAGATCTACGACCCGCTGGGTTTGCTTTCGCCAACTGTTGTTTTTCTGAAGATCCTATTTCAAGATAGTTGGCTAAGTTCTGTCGATTGGAATGAAGTACTACCGCAGCAAATATGTACACGATGGCAACAGTTTGCATCGGAAATGCATTTATTGGAAACTTGTCGAGTTCCTCGCTACATATCTGCACCACATCAAGAAATGGAACTGCACGGATTTGCTGATGCATCATCTCAAGCGTATGCTGCCGTCATCTATAGCCGCGTCGAAGTCAACAATGGATATGCTGTCAAACTGATTATGGCTAAAACTCGCGTAGCCCCTATTAAGCCTATCTCCATTCCGCGACTAGAGTTAAACGCAGCTCATTTACTCTCTAAACTGATTTATCTGGTCAAGCAATCATTAACTGTTCCTATTTCCAGAATTAATTGTTGGTCAGACTCTGAAATAGTCCTGCATTGGCTATCTTCTCCGCCTAGGACTTGGAACACCTATGTTTGCAACCGCACTGCTGAAATTCTAGAGGTTTGCCCACGCAGCTGCTGGCAACATATTCGAAGTGGTGATAATCCCGCAGACTGCGCATCGCGAGGAGTACTGCCAAGGGACCTCGTGGATCATCAAATATGGTGGAATGGACCACCTTGGCTATCTCAGTCACGTTCAGCTTGGCCACCTGTTAAAGCTAAGTTTGTTCTGTCGACAGAAGAAGAGGCCTGCCTAGAGATGAAGGCTGAAACGAAAGTTAATCTACACATTTCCGACGACGGAAATTTGCTATCTTGTATGATCAACAAATCCTCCTCATGGTCCCGCTTATTAAGGATAGTCAGCTACTGCCTTCGCTTCGTTCATCGTCTTCGTGAGAGGAATCGACTTTCACCATTCCTATCGGCGTGGGAGCTACAATATGCACGAGCTAAGATTTTTGCGCACGCTCAAGAGGAGTTCTTCAACGTGGAGTACAAGCAGTTAACTACCGGACAGCCATTGTCGAAGAAATCGAAGTTGATCCGCTACACACCCTTTTAGACGAGCAGAGAGTAATGCGTGTTGGTGGTCGCATCGATAATTCTATAGCTACTTATGACGCAAAGCATCCCATTCTCCTTCCTAAGGAATCTCCAATAGCTGGTCTGCTAGTTCGCTATCAACATGCTGCATTGTTACACGCTGGAGTCGAATACACGTTTCATAGTCTACGCCAAAGGTATTGGATTCTAGGAGCTCGGAACCTCGTCCGCAAAACTGTATTCAATTGCAAAACTTGCTTTCTGCAGCGAAGACACACGAGTTCTCAACTTATGGCTGATTTACCGGAGTTTCGAGTTCAACCCGCCCGTTGTTTTCTGCACACTGGATTGGATTATGCTGGACCTGTGTCAATCAAAACATCGACAGGCCGGACACCAAGATTTGGCAAAGCTTGGTTTGCGATCTTTGTCTGCCTATCTACAAAAGCGATTCACATAGAATTGGTCAGCGATTTGACGACATCCGCCTTTATAGCCGCTTTCAAACGCTTTTGGTCTCGACGTGGACCTATATCGGATTTATACTCTGACAATGGAACGACTTTCCATGGAGCCAAAAGAGATTTAGCTGAAATGCAACGAATGGCAATAGCTCAAAGTCAAGATGAAGAAATTTCAAGCTTCATGGCCAGCCACGAGATTAATTGGCATTTCATTCCGCCATCTGCTCCCCATTTCGGAGGCATTTGGGAGACTGGTGTGAGATCCATAAAGCTGCACTTAAAACGAGTCATTGGCAGCAGTGCCTTGACATTCGAGGAGTATTCGACCCTGTTAATTCAGATTGAAGGGCTTCTGAACTCTCGCCCTTTATGCGCACCTAGCGATCACAGTCTTAACCCGCTAACTCCTTCTCATTTTCTAACAGGTCAGCCTCTCACTTCGGTACCAGAACCATCTTTCCTGGATGTAAATATCAACAGACTGCAGCGCTGGAGACAACTACAGGCCAAGGTTCAAGGTTTCTGGAAACGTTGGAATCTCGAGTATCTCAGCACGCTTCAACCTCGCACGAAATGGCATCAAGATGCTCCAAATGTTGCCGTGGACACACTGGTTGTGCTGAAGGAGCCCAATCAACCGCCAAGCAAGTGGATGCTAGGACGAGTCACCGAAGTTCATCCTGGCCAGGATCAGAGGGTTCGGGTGGTCACCGTTAAAACCGCCAAGGGAATCTACAAGCGCCCTATTACGAAAATTGCTGTGCTTCCTTTGAACTGAACCGTCGTTCAGGGGGGCCGGTATGTTGGGAAATAGTTCGTCTTTATGTTGAATTTAAATAGTATTACATTTGCTTCTTTACTTTTGCCTATTTACCTATTACCTATTTTTATCTATTACCTATAGTACCTATTTTTGCGCACATCATTGTATTGTAACCATTTGGGAGCTTTAAGCTCACACGCATAGCCGAAATTGCAGTGCAATGCGTTAGTATTAGAACATCACGCGATCGTTTTTCTGTTCTTTTTTATGCACGTTTTGCAAGCCGGCCGCATTCGCTTGTTGATATTAACCGCAACCGCTCGCTGATAGCAACCCCGCTTAAAGTATTGTAAACCCGCTAAATAGTGAAAATAAATGCATAAACCTATAATAAAAACCATAATACAGTCCACTATTCATAAACAAAGTTGAATTTGATTTTTTTTGAGAAAAAATTAACCCCTTATTCTCATCTCGGACACAAAAGAAATAAAGGTACAGACTGCCGCACACTATTAACCTTGTCAACCCCTAAATGACAATTGTTTGAGATATCAAAAGGATAATTTTCAATAAAATAATATTCAAAAGTAGTTTTATGAAAATACAACCCTTTCCAAGTGAAGGTGTGCTTTTCCGGGCTTTTCAAAAAGGGTTTACCGTTTCGAGCAGTTTTCCCCCAAAAACAAATAAAGAAGATCCCTAATCCACGATCATGTCTTCAGGGGGGGTGAGTTCCGGTCCAGTTTTTGTCAAGATTCCTCATTTTTCACTATAGATTCGAACGAACTTTGGCCCTTTTCTCCAATTTTCTAATTGCGCCGTTTATTCGTCCATTGTATTTTTCCGCGACCCTGTTTCACCCGGAAAGGAGGCTACCATTGTTCTATTGTGGCCCTAAAGTAGCTAAAAAAAAACTTCCTTTATATTGTCAACATTGTTACACATTTAAAGAAGAAAACTTGTAAAATTTAATGAAAAATATGCGCAGTAAATGAAGGTAAATTTCAGTCAACAATAACATTTTTTTTACATGTCTCGAGACTTGAAATCTTTTCAGAAAAGCTTTATTGTTTTGGCCTAAAAGATGGCTATGCTTTGCCTAGTCGTTGTATTAAAGCAGTCTTTTTAGATTTCGAGTCTTGAGTTCAATCTTTTCCATTGATAATCCCAAAAAACAAGTTCAGTCCTTGGAGTCCTGAGGGTCGAACATCCCTTAATGAAATTCTACGCTACTACGCACTAAATAAAGCCTGCAGTCCGAAGGATCTTCGAAGTGTGCACCACCTGCTTCCTGTGACTGTGCTGATGCTGATGCTGAGATTTCCAGATATCCTTGCAGCTGAATATACGCGCCCACGCTTCTTATTAGGGTAGGTTCACTTCTTCCTTTTTTTTGGGATTTAAGGATCGTAAAAAATGGGATTCAACTGTACTCCGATCTGGTACAGACGCCTGGAGATGATCTACCATTTGAAATACAAATATTCTTTATAAGTTGTATACACGATTTAATATAATTTCGAATATATATATATATTATTGTATATGCTTATTTACACAGTTATAAATATATATTTTGGTATTGGGAGACATGTACTATGGTTTAACAAATGCCGAGTGTGCATAACTTTTAATACATATAATTATTTGTACGCTTGCGATATACATATATAATAGATATATCTAATATATTTCATATATTTAATACACCTTCTTCTTTTGGATTAGTTCACAGTAGACAACTATGCTATTTTGTGGTAAAAGGTACTCTGCCATAATAGTTACTCGTTTTCCTCGATCATAAGTTTTGTGGAATATGTCTCGTTCAACGTTGGGATTTAGGAATGCAAAGAACTGATTAAGTATAGAGATTGGTTGGTAGTCTGTATCTGGGAAGCCCAGGAAGCTTAGGAGTATCCGGAGGCTTCGTTTTCGCTCTCCTCTACAATGGACTTCTTGTCCTCCGGCCGGCTGCGGCCAGTGAACCTCTCGAAGATGGTGTGCTTGTTGGTGGTAGTGGTGCCCTTTTTGCCGTTTGTCCCCTTGAAGGAGCCCCACGCCATCTTGCCGGCCTCGGAGGTGGTCATCAGGATGGAGTACGAAGAGCAGACCTCTCCCTCCTTGCTGTTTCGAATGCCGTACAGGAAGTAGACCACCATTCCGATGCAAACCCAGACAAAGAATCGCACCCAGGTCACAGTATCAAGGTGGACCATCAGCAGGATGTTGCAGAAGATTCCCAAAGCGGGCACGAACGGAACCAGTGGCACCTTGAAGACCAGTCCTCGGGTGTTTTGGTTGTGGACAGCTATTACCGCCACACAGGTGCTGGCGGCGAAGATTATGAATCCGTAGATGAGCAGGGCCCACCAGGTGCCGGTGTACAGTTGCGTCCAGGAAACCTTCAGCTCCACACAGATGGCGAAGCTCAGAAAGATGAAGAGGATCACGGCTACGGACACCACGGATCCGGGCTCGAAACGACCCAGCAAGGGCTCCAGGCACCTGAACTGGGACTTGAGGCGCCCGGCCAGTACCTCCTCGATCATATCGCTGGTGGGCGAGGAGGTGTCAATGCTGGACTGCGACACCACATCCTCGTCGTCATCATCATCGTCGTCATCCGGGCTGGCTGCCACCGCCGGCACTCGAATGGTGGTAATCCTCTCCATCGGCCTGTAGCGCAGGATGATCACGCTGGCCGAGACGATGGTGTAGGCCAACAGTGTCCCGATCGACATGAACTCTACGAGCTTGGCCAGGTCGAAGACAAGGGCCAGGCAGGCACTGAGCAGTCCAGAAACCACCAGGTTCAGCAGCGGAACCTGGGTGGTGGAATTAATTTTTCCGAAGCAGCTGAAGAGCAGTCCGTCGGAGGCCATGGCGTACATGCACCGAGGCAGAGCAAAAAGGGATCCCAGCAGGGTGGTAGTCATCCCGCAAAGAGCTCCAATCGAGATCAGGTACTTGGCCCAGGACAGATTCAGCTGGCCAAAAGCCTCCGGAAGGGAAGCGGCCGGATTGATCTCGCTGATGGGTATCATCAGGGTCAGAGCCGCACTGACCAGGATGTAGCCGATAGTCACCACAAACAGGGACAGCACCGTGGCGATGGGTATGGAAACGGCCGGGTTTTTCGCCTCCTCGCCGGATGTGGCAATCGAATCGAATCCCACGAAGGCGTAGAAGCAGGTGGCCGCTCCGGCAATAACGCCTCCGATGCCGTACGGCAGGAATCCGCCCTCCGCCTCCGACCAGTTCTTGGTGTCCGCGTACCAGAAGCCCACGCTGATAACCAGAATCATGACGGCTATGTTCACCAGGGTCAGTAGACTGTTGAAGACCGCCGTGGCTTTGACTCCGCCGGCCAGGGCCGCCGCATAGACGATGCACACCACAAAGGCCAGGATATCAGGATACTGGGCTAAGCCCGGCTCCTGAATACCACCTGTTAGCTCCAGGGTGGTGTTTCCAATCCAGCCACCCAGCATGGAGTCCACATAGCCACTCCAAGCCCGGGCCACCGATGCGGCACCAAGCATGTGCTCCAGCAGGATGTTCCAGCCGATGACGAAGGCCCAGAACTCGCCCATCGAGATGTACGTGTAGACATACGCAGATCCTGCCTTGGGCACTCGCGTTCCGAATTCCGCATAGCAGAGGGCCGCCAGCATGGAAATAATGCCAGCCAGGACGAAGGACAGTATAATGCCGGGTCCGGCCATCTCCTTGGCCACCGTTCCGGTCAGAACATAGATGCCAGCGCCAACCATATGGCCAATGCCTGGGGGCAAGTGGAGTATAATAAAAATTGGGGGGATTATAAATCAGCATAAGAGTCAATATTTTGAAAAAGATAAAGAAATATTAGTTTTGTAAGGACCCTTAAAAGATTATTGAATTTAATGTTAAGTATTTTGAGGTATAATTAAAAAAGAAGGACTTGGGAGGTATAGCCCCATCCATTTTATATGTATTTCGTGTACACAAAAAAAACATTTTCCTAAATAATAGCTTTGACTTTGAGAATTATTTTAAAGTAAATGAAAAACAATAAAACATTTTTTATTGTTGAGGAGTAATTAACCTTTTTCCAAAGTCAACAAACACATAAAATTTTTTAGTACTCACTACTATCTAACTACAACCTTTTGAAACAATAAGTCTCGTTTAAACTTTAAAGTGTTTAAGAGTTAAATCTATAGTAAAAGATACATTTTTATCTTAAAGATATTTTTATTAAATACCCAGCAGAGCGATGTCAAAGGTGTTGAGACACCGATTCAGCGGCGTTTCCATGACGTCACTGGGGACCGACTTGGTGCGATTCATTTTGACACAAAGTCCCGACAATATGTGTCTGAGAATCGCACGTCTTGAGCTCGGCATCCTGGATATTCCGTTTGAAACCAAATCCGAAGGTACAATAGCCTTGCAGGCAATCAATTGAGATTGGAATTACAAAAATAAATACTATTTATTAAATATTGTGCGGCACTCTCGACACTTTCACTTGTTGTACACGAACAGCTGTGACAGTATCGATTTTTGCATCCATTTCCAAAGCTCCATGTCTAACTTTCAGAATGTTTACCCATGGGAAGGAGCAGCTTTTTTCTAGGAGCTTTTTTTAAAGTGCCATTAAATAGAAAAACCGAAGAGTACAAGAACTATTTCATTTTAGACATGGCCTTAAGGTATTTTTAAAAACGTTGCAGTATGCTTGGGAAGGGCGGTATGTCACCAAGGGAGGGCTAAATCTTAGCCAAACATCACCCAATATTTAAGGGGAATACCCTAAACGATTCGGGGATCGATTCTACACAAATCTGCATCCAAATCTGAGAACATAATATTTTTTAGATTTTTTGTCAAATTTTCTGGAGGGTCCCCTGTGAAATTCCTCAAAAATGCATGGAGCCACTATATGGCCTCTAGCGATGGCTGTATCTTTGGCAAAACTTATCCGATTCATGAGCGGAATACCTTAAACGATTTGTAGATCGATTCTCCACAAATCTGCATCAAAATCTGAGAACATAATATTTTTTAGATTTTTTGTCAAATTTTCTGGAGGGTCCCCTGTGAAATTCCTCAAAAATGCATGGAGCCACTATATGGCCTCTAGCGATGGCTGTATCTTTGGCAAAACTTATCCGATTCATGAGCGGAATACTTTAAACGATTTGTGGATCGATTCTACACAAATCTGCATCCAAAGCTGAGAACATAATATTTTTTAGATTTTTTGTCAAATTTTCTGGAGGGTCCCCTGTGAAATTCCTCAAAAATGCATGGAGCTACTAAATGGCCTCTAGCGATGGCTGTATCTTTGGCAAAACTTATCCGATTCATGAGCGGAATACTTTAAACGATTTGTGGATCGATTCTACACAAATCTGCATCCAAAGCTGAGAACATAATATTTTTTAGATTTTTTGTCAAATTTTCTGGAGGGTCCCCTGTGAAATTCCTCAAAAATGCATGGAGCTACTAAATGGCCTCTAGCGATGGCTGTATCTTTGGCAAAACTTATCCGATTCATGAGCGGAATACTTTAAACGATTTGTGGATCGATTCTACACAAATCTGCATCCAAAGCTGAGAACATAATAATTTTTCGATTTTTTGTCAAATTTTCTGGAGGGTTCCCTTTGAAAATCCACAAAAATGCGTGGAGCCACTTTATGGCCTCTAGCGATGGATGTAACTTTGGCAAAACTTATCCGATTCATGAGCGGAATACCTTAAACGATTTGTGGATCGATTCTCCACAAATCTGCATCCAAATTTGAGAACATAATATTATTTAGATTTTTTGTCAAATTTTCTGGAGGGTCCCCTTTGAAAATCCTCAAAAATGCATGGAGCCACTATATGGCCAGCGAAGGCCACCAGTCCTTTTGTATGATCTTTTTAGTGTAACTTTACCCATCAGTAAGTGATAAAAAAGAGAATAAGCATTCCTAAGAAAACACAGCAAATTAAAACCGTAGACGTTGGTTGCCCTTGAAGAAGGTTTAGATGACTTCCTTTTGGAAGCTTCAAAGTATGCAATTTGTTTTGATTTCAAAATTGACAAAGGCGTCTTTAAACGAATATAAACAATAAAAACAAATTGCAGCATACTTGGCGTACTCTTTGAATCCAACTTCATTGATCACCTGTGTGTGTTTGTCTACAAAACCGGAAATTAGATGGCCAAAGTAATTTTCTTTGATAAAATGAGTGTTGTTGCAATATGGTTGCTATGGCCCAGTCCATTGATCAAGTTTTCTAAATGTGGTCTTCCAGTTGACGGAATGCCGTTGACTGCTAATTATACTGGAAATCATAATTGAAAGTAATGATTATTACACCTTTATGTTTAAAACTATCAGTATTTCCAAGCATGTATTGATTTATGGGCGATCCAATCAATTTTTGTTATATGTTTTAAAAATTTATTTGCGTAGAACGTCAAACTTGATGGTCGGAAATGCCTTTTTTTTCAGGCGTAGCTCGTTTGTGTATTTTACGTAGTTTACGATTGGAGTTTGGGAATGATATTGAAGTATTTCTGTAGAAGAGTTGATTCACTGACGGAGACTAAGACGTCAAAAAGCCAGAAGATAGACGTATAATTACTTGGTTGAATGCGAAGCACTAAAATTTATTTTATCCAGCATTAAGGTGTGGCCCAGCTATGAAAACTTGTTAAATAGCAAGAGATATTAACATTTGCAAATCTCTTTATTACCATCTACATATATGACATAAAGAATACTTATGCTAATACTATATGGCCAAAAAGGTTGGCCGTTTTGTCTCACCCTTGAGGAGGCCTAAATAAAATTTTCGGCAATAACCATTACTTTGGGATATTTATGCACATGTCCGAAAAAAGCCTAATCAACTAAAATTCAATGAAATGTTTTGCAAAATATAATACATAATGATGAAAGAAATAAAAATTGCAGTCTAGGTTACGTGATGACTTAGTCGGATGCTTTTATCGCGATACTGTCGTGCATGCATTCGGCAAAAGGGAATTACCTTTGACGACATCCATCCATTCAACCAACCATCCATCCATCCATGAATCCGTCTCCGTATTCTTTTTGGCGCCCCGTTCCCATGGCGACAGCTTCGTCTCGATCTCCATCTCCATCTCTCGCCATGACCGTTGCCATTTGGCTAAAATCTATTGGCATCACGATGCGGACGCTGGGCTTCCAAAAACTTTGAATACTAATACCTGTTAGGGATGACCAGCCAGAGGCAGAGGCACCAGCTCTCAACCTGCCGCTACTATATGCCGGTTGTAGTTGCATGACAACATCACCGTCCATCCCACTCCACCTTCACTCCACTCTACACCGCCACACTTCACGGATGGGGTCGTTACAATGACGGATTTTGACTCTTTGGCCCTAAAAGCGCACTGGCGAAGGTGCAGTTTTTCGGCTAAGCCCGAAATGTGCCAGTCGCGCGCGCGCGTTTGGGTCAAGTCAGCCAAGTCAGTGGCTAAGACGCCGGCTAAGATGTGGATGCTGCAGATGCTCACGCGTCGGCTCTGCCCACGAACTCCAAATGGATGAATGAAAAAATCAATAGGCTTCAGCTGAGAGACTATGGAATGCTCTTTTCAAAAGGGAGTTTCTTTTGAGAGATTTAAATGGGGTTTTAGACTCATTTTGATAATATTTTAAAAACTAATATTATTAATTTTACGTTTAAGATTGATTTTTTAGTTTAACTTTATGGTTCTAGATAAAATTCTGATATTTTATGATAAGTAAATGCGAAATATTTAGCTTCAAAGTTATAATGTAGAAATATTACTCATACGACCTGTTGGAAAGCTTGCTTTAAATTTGTTTGTAGAACTTTGCTAAAACATTTTTTAAAAATCATTACAATTTATGGCTTTAAATTTACAAAGTTTAAGGAGTAAAAAACTAAAAAAAAAATATATATTTCAACTAGCTAGAATATATTTTGTATACAATACATAAGAAACACTTGATCATCTCTAACTCTTTCCCAATTGTATAGTCTTACCTTTTATTACTAATAAATTTCTATAAAAAATGTGAATTCCCCCATCCTGTTTCCTAGTTTACGTAGAAATTAATAAAAATTAATCTTTTCAGCAAACAACCTCTAACATTTTTAAAACAGAAGTCCACTGCGCTTGACGTTTTTATTTTTTTGTGAGGTATTTAGAATTTAATAAATCTTAATCGGAATTGTTATTTAATCTTTTGCCACAGAATAAATTTAGTCAACTGGCCAATAAATCGTAATACCCATGTCCCGTTCAGTGTGCGTGTATAAAACTCCACGAGCAACGTAAAATAAACATCAATATACATACGTACAGGTATAAGCTACTAGCATTGCTGTTTTTGTTGTCGTTTTTTTGTTGTTTTTTCTTCAGTTTTTTTTTTGTTTTTTGTTAGTGTTTTATTTTACTTGCTGCGGCTTTGGTTTTTGAGGCAATATCCAAAACGATTTTTGTTAACTCATACGCCGTGTGTGTATATAAACGAAGACGAGTCTCTTAAGCTTTTAGTGCGGCAACGTCCACTTCGGCTGCTGCATCCCAGCGATTTTTCCCCCTCAAGCAAAAGTCCACAAGCCAGTGCAGTAAGTCCAGTGATAAACCAATCAATTGCCCGAAATTGGCCAAAAACTAAGCGAAAACCATTAGAGTGAATTGTTATGGGCCTCCGATCAAGTGCTGCCAATTAATACGATCGAAAAGTGAACCAAGTTAAAATATTACTCAGTGTGTAGTGATGTTGGTTTAATTAAAATAAAAAAAAGTATAAACGATTTTTGGAAAAAATATGTAAAAATTAAGAAATCACATAACCAGACAACTGGCCAACCCACGCGAGATGACCTTGCTTGTAAAATTAGCCGGGTCAACTGACTTGCTGTTTTTTAAAACAAAACGCACATATATTTATTCAAAAAAGGAATGCCTGTGATGAAAGTAATAATTCCAAGACATTGTAAAAAAATGTTTATGGGATTTCTTTATAAGTATTACTCAAAATAAAACCATTTCAACACGGGGATCGGGTTAAACCCGATCTACGGATTAAAAACCTTCACGGATATTCTAACTGCGTATTTTTTTTTGTTTACTGGAACAAATTAGCTTCGGAGAAGATCAATTGAATCGAACATTTCGGGATTATTAAATATTATTCTTGTTCGTAAATTTGTTTATTCGTTTTTGTTTGTAATTATTTAGACCCGAAACAAGTTTCACAGATCCGGTGCCAGAACAGAATGTCATTTGCATAAGTCAATAATTGTTAACTGTATTTCATTTGGCTAAGTACCCTGAAATTTTTTATGAAGGTGAAACCTGCTCCTGCTATATTATTGCATACATTTTTTGTTCTCGGCTTAAAAAACGTCAGTAGAAAATTCAAATTAGATTGCATTTAACAAACAAGCCTATTTTAAATTCTGTGATCAGCGCCGGCTTACCAAATCAGCACATCTTGGCCAAACTTGGCCATAACACAAATCAAGATGTGACCATAAAAGATAGCCACAATGCGAGATAGCCGCATTTCACCAATTTGTCAATGAATTAAGTCCAAAACTAAAACGATTATGAGAACCATGAGGCGCTATGTATAATCAATCTTCGTTCGATCGTTAGCCGGATCATTCATGGCATTAGGCCATCTTATTTAGTAGACACCTGTATGGTAACACACAATATGAAAATACGTGCCTATGCATATTGATATGGATAGTGGAGCCTCCGGAGTCCGGACTAATCACCTGCTAGCCGTGATTAATACGAAGAAATACGCCTATGCGAGATGCTACGAAATGTCAAAAGTTCAGGGTGAAGCCATCAATGTCCGAGCCGTTTTTATTAACTCTCTGAATGGTTGGCCAATACACAATTGAATATGATTGTTTATTTTAAAGCCGCGGGCGGGACTATTCCACCGCCAACTATTCTCCTTCTATCTTTCAGTTTCGACACCGAATTTAGCAGCTTCGTAGTAATGGCTTTTCAACCTATAATTGACCAATTAAAGTTCCTTTAAAAATATGAATAACTACAAGTCGTCAACATAAATTGACTCGAAATCAAATAAACCATTAATGCTTTTGTTTCTGAATTTAAATAAATGACCTGCTAATTTCGAGCTGGAAAATAACTATATCAAGATAACTGGCGAACATTAAAAAATGGTGTATGCTGGTTTTCAAGACCAATTTTCTGACATAGTGAACCAATTTTTATAAAATTGATCATAATTATACAGTCATAGGAGGAGAAGAGAAAAAACCTGCAAACTAAGACATCCAAGCCACCAAAACCCACAAAAAATTGGGTCGTCGGAGATTAGGCGAACGAAAGGCAGGGACCGAGAGAAATAACATATTAATCGCGTTGAATATGAATCGGATGTAGTATGAATGGGGGGAGTGTTTCGTCATAATCTATGCTACCTCTTGCTAAATTTAATAGGTTGTTTTATATATTTTGGGACCGAGACGAATTTTATTTGCAGAAATTATACGCCAAGACCTGCCAACTGGGATATCCGAGAAATGATAAGGGTTTTAAGTAAATAATTGAATTTAAAAGCTGGAATAATTATATTTTATTTGTTGAGACAAAACATTATTTAAACATTACGTAATATTCAAAAAAGAACAAATAGAAATCTTCACACGCAAATCATCCGTAATCAAAAGGTACTTTTAACGTCTCGTTAGCCTAATGCTTGGAATAACCTAGACAAAAGGGGGCACAATGAACACAAAATATACAAAAAATCACCTAATCATCCGGGCTAACATCTTTCGTGAAAAAAACAAAACACATCATACCACACAAGCCATCAAATTGCAGAAGCCAATGCCACACAAAAGGCACCAAATCGAAGCCCCTTTTATCAACTGCGGCTAAGCAAATATAGGCGTTTGGCGTTCGTCACTAACGTATTTGCTTAGCCTGCTACTACTCCCTTTGCTGTGCCCCGAGCGTGTGTGTGTGTTTTGAATTTATGGATTTTGAAATCGGCAGCTTTTTTCTTTTTTAAAGGTTAGTTGTATTATTTAAAAACCCAAACCCGTTTTCGAGCCGCAGTCGGTGCAGCACCCTCCGTTCACCGTGCAAAAGAGGTCCGGCTCGACTTGGCTCGTGCAAATACTCAACGGCATGCACTCAACCGTAATTAGCGATAAAGAAGATCTTACCTCATCTGGGAGGGGAGATCTGGTCTGATGTTAAATACTAGACTATTCCAGTCTTGTGATTTTATTAGTTTTAACAGCTATCTTTGAGATAAGCCCCTGGGTTGCCCTTTTTCTTTGAAGCTCATTAATGAATCACGATGGTTACCTTTATATCTTCAACACAATTATGCAATTGTCCATAACTTTTAAGTCTATAAATTGGCACATTAAACCTACTGCCTGTCATTGAAACTGCATTTTATTATTTAATATTCATTAATCCCACTTGAATCTTACAGAGACAGGACTTAAAATACACTAATCATGGTCAGATTCGGCCACCTTATCGTGTGGGCCTTGCTTTTGGTATGTCCGATCATCTGTACTTATCTAGAAATCATGTAGTTTATGGTTATTATTTTGAAATAACGTTTAAGGTCATTACTACGGGCACTGATCTGAGCGGCGATGACACTCTCAACGACATTCTGAGCGGTCTTGAGTTTGACGACGACTCCTCCTCGACCAGATTAAGCCGCGACACCTCGTTCTCGGCGAGAAACATTGAAAAGATCGATGTGAAATGCGACCAAGGTAATGGCATGTTGGTGGAGGTGCAATTCTCGGAGAACTTCGAAGGAGTCATCTACAGTCAGGGGTACTACAATGACCCCAAATGCAAGTATGTTATGAAAAAGACTTAATCCACTGATAGTTTCTTGATTAATTTTTAATTATTAATTATTTATTAATTAGCTATGTCAAGGGTGATAAAGCTGGCCGCAGCTTCACATTCACAGTGCCATACGACGGATGCGGCAGCAAGCCCTCGTGCTCCGTGTGCGCCTCCATCGAGAACATCCTGATCATCCAGGACGACAGGGACATTCAGAACAGCTTCGATGTGGCCAGGAAGATATCCTGTAGCCGCGGCGATGAGAAGGAGAAGACGGTCTACTTCAAGCCGTTCGTTGTGGACATGTTGGAGGTTATTTCCGTGGATACTCCCAGCGGTCCGGTGGAGTGCTGGATGGAGATCGGCACCGGTACTCCGCCCAATGTCAGACCCATTCAGGGCACACTGACCCTCGGCACCGACGTTACCTTCACCATCAACGTCAAGCACTCGGAACAGGCCTGGGACGTCAATATACTTCAGTGTTATGCCTCGGATGACATGGATTTCGAGGCCCAAACCACGAAGCGGTTGCAGCTCTCAGACAAGAGGGGGTGTTCCATAAAGGAGAAAATATTCGGAGAGTGGAAGAAGTACCAGGCGCAGTCCAGTCTTACCTCAACCTACTACAACACCCTCAAGGCGTTCCGATTCCCCGATCGCTCACAGGTGTATCTGAAGTGCGACATCGAGCTTTGCAACGGAGCCTGCAAGCGAGACTATTCCTGCGGAAGCCTGCAGACTGGCCCATGCACCGAAGGATCCACCGATCCCCAGTGCCTTCAGGATCATTTAATTGCATCGAAGACAACCCCGAAACCCCGCTGCTATCCTGGTTCCCGAGACCCAGAATGCCAAAGGGCGACTACCCTGCCACCCACCACAATTAGGATTCCCATTGCGTCCACGTTTGCACCCAAGCCGCAATGCTATCCTGGTTCTCGGGATCCAAGCTGTGCTGGCACACAACCGACACCGAGACCGCGGTGCAGTCCAGGTTCAAACGATCCGGAATGTCAGCCAGCCACTTACCTTCCGCCAACCACGAGGAGAACCCCGATCACCACACAAAAGCCAAGGTGTTATCCAGGTTCTATCGACCACGATTGCCAGCCCGCGACCTATCTCCCCCCAACAACGAGGCGAACTCCCGTTACTACACCAAAGCCGAGGTGTTACCCAGGATCTCCTGATCCTGCCTGCTCTCCAGTTACTAGACCTCCTCCATTGACTACACCTAAGCCAAGGTGTTACCCCGGATCTCCTGACCCAGAATGTCAACCTAAGACAAGACCTCCAGTGACTACATCCAAGCCAAGGTGCTACCCAGGGTCTACCGACAGCCGCTGTCCCCAAATCGTGACAGTGCCTACAACAAACCAGGAGCCCAAGTCGACTTGCTACCCAGGATCTAATGATCCCGATTGTCTCAACTGCTACCCTGGTTCACCTGATCCACGATGCCCCAAGGTGGCTACTACTCAAAAGCCAGGATGTTATGAAGGATCTGATGATCCAAGATGCCAGCCAGCAACCTATTTACCTCCAACGACTCGCAGACCAACCACTGCTCCTAAGCCAAGATGCTACCCAGGATCAACGGACCCAAGCTGCCCACAACCAACTACTCGGGTACCTTTGACAACATCTAGGCCAAGATGCTATCCAGGATCAACGGACCCAAGCTGCCCACAACCAACTACAAGGACGCCTGTAACTACTTCCAAACCTAGGTGTTATCCAGGATCCACTGATCCTGAATGTCAACCGGCGACTAGACCGCCCGCAACCACACCTAAGCCTAGGTGCTATCCAGGATCGACGGATCCAAACTGTCCCCAACCAACTACTAGGACACCCTTTACAACACCAAAGCCAAGGTGTTATCCAGGCTCCGACGATCCCGATTGCCAGCCCGCCACCTACCTACCGCCAACAACGAGGCGACCTCCAATAACTACACAAAAACCAAGGTGCTACCCGGGATCTCCTGATCCTTCCTGTACTCCGGTAACCCGACCACCTTTGACGACTTCAAAGCCAAGGTGTTACCCCGGATCTCCTGAACCAGAGTGTCAGCCCAAAACAAGACCACCTGTGACTACATCAAAACCACGGTGCTATCCAGGCTCAACTGACCCTGAATGTCAACCCGCGACACGACCTCCAGCAACAACACCGAAGCCTAGGTGCTATCCTGGTTCAAATGATCCCGAATGTCTTAACTGCTATCCTGGTTCGCCAGATCCAAGATGTCCAAAAGTGCCTACCACCAAGAAAGCAGGATGTTATGAAGGTTCAGATGATCCTAGGTGCCAGCCTGCCACCTACTTGCCACCAACTACTCGCACGCCGACATTAGCGCCTAAACCAAGATGTTATCCCGGATCAACCGACCCAAGCTGTCCCCAACCAACTACAAGGACTCCTTTGACAACATCTAGGCCAAGATGCTATCCAGGATCATCGGACCCAAACTGTCCACAGCCAACTACCAGGACCCCTTTGACAACATCTAGGCCAAGATGCTATCCAGGATCATCGGATCCAAGCTGTCCACAGCCAACTACACGGACGCCTAAAACTACTTCCAAGCCAAGGTGTTATCCGGGCTCGACTGATCCTGAGTGCCAGCCCGCAACCTATCTTCCACCTACGACAAGAAGAACCACAATCCCTCCTACTAGGCCAAGGTGCTATCCAGGATCCAGTGATCCATTCTGTCCACAGGTAACAAGGCCTCCATTGACTACTTCAAAGCCAAGGTGCTATCCCGGATCGACGGATCCGAGTTGTCCCCAACCAACTACAAGAGCACCATTGACAACACCTAGGCCAAGATGCTACCCAGGATCGTCGGATCCAAGCTGTCCACAACCAACTACAAGGACTCCTGTCACTCCCAAGCCAAGGTGTTATCCAGGGTCGACAGATCCCGATTGCCAGCCAGCAACATATCTTCCACCAACAACACGAACTCCAGTTACTACTCCAAAACCAAGATGCTACCCAGGATCTTCTGATCCTGTCTGTGCGCCGGTGACTAGACCTCCAGTGACTACATCAAGGCCTAGGTGTTATCCCGGATCTCCTGACCCAGAGTGTCAGCCTAAAACTAGACCGCCTGTGACTACGTCAAAGCCTAGGTGCTACCCGGGCTCAACAGACAGCCGTTGCCCACAAATCGTGACGGTTCCTCCTACAAAGGAAGAGCCAAAGCCAGCTTGCTATCCAGGATCGAAGGACCCAGAGTGCCTCAACTGCTATCCAGGTTCCCCTGATCCGAGATGTCCAAAGGTGCCAACCACCAAAAAGGCCGGATGTTATGAGGGATCTGACGATCCAAGATGCCAACCTGCCACGTACTTGCCACCAACTACTCGCACACCCACAATTGCTCCTAAGCCAAGGTGCTATCCCGGGTCAACGGATCCAAGCTGTCCACAACCAACCACAAGGACACCTGTAACCACTTCGAAGCCGAGATGTTATCCGGGATCGACAGATCCAAGCTGTCCACAACCAACCACAAGGACACCTGTAACCACTTCGAAGCCTAGATGTTATCCGGGATCGACCGATCCAAGCTGTCCACAACCAACGACAAGGACTCCTTTGACAACTTCAAAGCCGAGGTGCTATCCAGGCTCAAGGGATCCCAGTTGCCAACCAGCGACTTATTCCCCACCGACTTCAAAATCTCTCATAACAACCTCTAGGCCCAGGTGCTACCCAGGCTCCGACGATCCGGAATGCCAGCCAGCCACATACCTTCCTCCCACCACGAGAGTGCCCGTCACTACATTGAAACCAAACTGCTATCCCGGATCCACGGATAGTCGCTGCCCTCAGAAGCCTCCGACAACACCAAGGCCCAAATGTTATCCCGGCTCACCTGACCCAGAATGCCAGCCCACAACATACCTCCCACCGACCACTAGAAGAACCACTGTGACGACGAGCAGGCCACGTTGTTACCCTGGCTCCACTGATCCTGATTGCCAACCAGCTACATATACTCCCCCCACGACTAGAACTCCTCCGACTACTCCCAAGCCGAATTGCTACCCAGGTTCCACCGACAAACGTTGTCCCCAGGTTATAGTAACGACACAAAGGCCCAGGTGTTATCCCGGCTCACCTGATCCAGAATGTCAGCCCGCCACTTATCTCCCGCCAACAACTAGAGTAACCACCAGAACTCCTGTGACTACTTCCAAGCCGAACTGCTATCCTGGTTCCACGGACAATCGTTGTCCTCAGATACCGGTGACAACTGAAAGGCCTAAGTCAGCTTGTTATCCAGGATCACAGGATCCGGAATGCCTCAACTGCTACCCTGGTTCCCCAGACCCTAGATGTCCCAAGGTTCCGACAACCAAGAAAGCTGGATGTTTCGATGGCTCGGATGATCCCAGATGCCAGCCGGCCACTTACTTGCCGCCAGCAACCCAGCGCCCACCTACTCCCGCCCCGAAACCGAACTGCTATCCAGGATCAACAGATCCACGCTGCCCACAAACGACAACTAGAAGGACTCCAGTCACAACTGCAAAGCCACGGTGTTACCCAGGATCACCAGACCCGGAATGTCAACCGGCAACTACTAGATCACCTGTTACCACCATGAGGCCGAGATGTTATCCGGGTTCCAGTGATCCCGATTGTCAGCCGGCTACAACAAGGATTCCAGTGACTACTTCCAAACCAAACTGCTATCCTGGATCCAGAGATAGTCGCTGTCCACAGATACCAGTAACCACTCCAAAGCCTAGGTGTTATCCTGGATCACCGGATCCCAGCTGCCAGCCTGCCACTTATCTGCCTCCGACAACGTCGCGCCCGGTTCCTACTCTGCCAACCACAAGGGCACCCGTGACTACTTTAAGGCCCAAGTGCTATCCGGGCTCTAACGACCTGGAATGCCAGCTTATCCCTACAAGAATACCTGAAACCACATCCAAGCCAAACTGCTATCCTGGCTCCACAGACAGACGTTGCCCGCAAGTTCCGGTTACGACTCTGAAGCCTAGGTGCTACCCAGGATCGCCGGACCCAAGTTGCCAGCCTGCCACTTATGTTCCACCAACAACATCTCGTCCAGTTCCCACTTTACCAACCACCAGGGTACCAGTAACTACTGTGAGACCGCGATGCTATCCGGGCTCAAGCGATCCTGAATGTCAGCCAGCCACGACAAGAATACCTGTGACCACGTCGAAGCCAAATTGTTATCCTGGCTCCAACGACAGTCGCTGTCCTCAGGTTCCAGTAACGACTCAACGGCCCAGGTGTTATCCCGGCTCATCTGATCCAGAATGCCAGCCCGCCACTTACCTCCCACCGACAACTAGAAAAACAACTGTTCCAACGAGTAAGCCCCGATGCTATCCTGGCTCAGAAGATCCGGATTGCCAACCCACCACGTATACTCCTCCCACGACGAGAACACCCGTGACGACCTCCAAACCAAACTGCTATCCCGGTTCCACTGATAGTCGGTGCCCGCAGATACCGGTGACAACCGCAAAACCCAAGTCCGCGTGCTATCCAGGTTCCTCAGATCCGGAATGTCTCAACTGCTATCCTGGCTCCCCGGATCCGAGATGTCCTAAAGTTCCAACCACTAGGAAGTCAGGATGTTTCGATGGATCGGATGATCCCAGATGTCAGCCTGCGACTTACTTGCCGCCTGCAACCCAGCGACCACCCACTCCCGCTCCTAAGCCGAACTGCTATCCAGGATCCCCAGATCCTCGTTGTCCACAAGCCACCACAAGTAGGATTCCAGTTACAACAGGAAGGCCTAGGTGCTATCCAGGATCACCAGACCCGGAATGTCAGCCGGCAACAACCTTGAGGCCAAGATGTTATCCGGGCTCCAGTGATCCTGAATGTCAACCGGCTACGACCAGGACTCCCGTAACTACTTCCAAGCCAAATTGTTATCCTGGATCTACAGATAGTCGCTGTCCACAAATACCAGTAACCACTCCGAAGCCTAGGTGTTATCCTGGATCACCGGATCCCAGCTGCCAGCCTGCCACTTACCTGCCCCCAACGGCATCCCGACCTGTTCCAACAACCAGAGCACCAGTGACTACTCAGAGGCCGAGATGTTATCCAGGATCAAGTGACCCGGAGTGTCAACCCGCCACTACAAGGGCACCTCCTACTACTCCCAAGCCAAACTGTTACCCAGGCTCCTCAGATCCTCGCTGCCTTTCGGTTCCAGTGACGACACCAAGGCCCAGATGCTATCCAGGTTCGCCAGATCCTGCTTGTCAGCCTGCCACTTACACCCCGCCGACTACGAGAGTGCCATTAACCACCTCCAAACCACGTTGCTATCTGGGCTCCAATGATCCTTCCTGCCAGCCAGCCACTTATCTTCCTCCCACGACGGTGCGACCTCCAGTTACATCGGCCAAACCGAGATGCTACCCGGGATCCAACGAACCCGGCTGCCAGATACCAACAACCAGGACGCCAGTGGTGGAAACGACACCGGTCTACTGTTACCCAGGATCAATCGATCCTCGCTGCCCCGATTCCGGCTACAGGGGCACCAGTCGCATCCCGGCCACATACCTTCCCCCGTTGAGTGACCCGGGCTACGACAGGACCATCCGCAATGCAAAGACCTCCTTCTTCAAGGAAATCAACCAGCTAGCTTTCACGGATAACAATGTGTTCGAACTGGAGGATGACGACGAGGTGTCGTCGCGGGTGAAGCGTGAGCTGAGTTTCGAGGACGAGAGCGAGGATCTCCTGTCCAAGAGAATCTTCAAGCGCGAGTCCAACGAACAGCCATCAGAGCAAGAAGTGATCTCCCTGACCCTCGGAGTCAGGATGGGCATCAGTGTAAAATAAGTCGATGGAGTTCTAGTAGCCGTTAAGCTTAAAAATATTATATAATATCATCATGCGCCGATATGTATTTACCTAGAATGATATTCATTAAATATAATCCTATGTACAAATTAGAGAACTCCTTTAAAATGTCTTATCCGTCCCAGATTAAGGGATTATACCTTCAATCTCTGCACACGATGGGTTTGTACTTTAAATAATTTAATTAAATATTTCAGTAATTACATTAGAACAAACGCTTGAGCTAAGTGATGCAACTTGGTCTTAAGATTCCGGATATCGGCAGTAGGAATTGCTCTCGATGGACTCATGTGGAATCCACTCTTCGTACAACGGCAGCCGGTTCTTCAAAGTCTCGATTTCGCGGAGAATCCTCATGACATTTCCGCCAACCAGCTTCTTGATGGCCGCATTGCCCCACACCCTGTCCCTCGCCAGTTCGGCCAAAAGCAGGGCATAGCTTTTGGGTGCTCCTCCTAGACCGATGTGGTCCACTCCAGCCACCTTGCGCACATAGTTGATGGCAGTGATGGCCTCCCGGACGCTCAGGGTCCGATCACCGCAGCGCTCCAAATTGAGCAAAATGACGCCCCCATTCTCCGGTAACAGGCTGCAATTGAAGATGATTCATCAATATTCTAGAGGCTTGATGATTCAAGAATAATCTCACCTGAGCACATGATCCGGAATGGAGGCTATATTGGTACTATTGCACATGGAAAGTGGTGTGGCATTGGTCAGAAGTACGGGGGCCTTGGCGGTTTTCAAGACTGCCAGCATAGCAGCTTCGCTCAGCATTGAAATCTCCACCAGCATCCCCAAGCGATTCATCTCGAACAGCATTGTCTGCAATCGTAAAGGCAGTATTGCAACATCTATGGAAAACTAAGATCTTGGTCCACCTACCTGTCCAAATTCGTTAAAGGAATTGGTTATGTTCTCCTCGACAAGGTAGTCGGGTCGGCGGATAGCCGCTGATGCCCACGGTGTGGTGCACTCCAGACTTGTGATCGACACGAACCGGGCACCAAGAAGGTAGATCGATCGGAGAACGGCGGTACTGGTCCCAAGAGCATGGCCACCACTGATGCCCATCAGAACAGCGACCTCGCCGCGAATGTGGGTCTGCTCCATCTCGTCGGCGGACTCCACGATATGTAGAGAATCTGTGGCAGCTGTGATACGCTTGGCCTTATCAATACCCTCCAATGTGAGCTGCACTGCATCCAAATATTGGGCTCCGCATGGCACGGCAATGGGCCAGAGGACAGCTCCGATGTGGTTCTGTCGCACCTCGAACAGATTGCTGCTGTTGAGGCTCATGGTGCTTGGCGGCTTCCAGGAGCCTTCAATCAGAGGCGACTCCGTGAGCAAGCGGCGGATGAAGGCAAGACGCGCCTCCAGGAGCGAGGAAGAACGCAGTTGAAGGGCCAAGGGGATTCCTCCAGCCATAGCGATGCAAACGAGAACTAAACCAACGCCAAGTAAAATCTTTCGACCACGAGATCTCTCGGGACGCTCCCCTGAGGACTCGCTGCAGGAGTCCTTCTTGGAACTGTATGAGGGGATTCCTCCATTTGAGCATCTTATCTTTTCATTTCCCCCGCCGAACTTGGTTATCTCCGCGGGCAGTTCGATGTCCGCAATCTCCGTAAAGACAAAGCATTGCTGCTTGCAGTGTGGCTGGTGCTGGTGCAGAGGATGCACTTCCAGGAATTCGCGATTCGGTACAGGGTTCATTGCATCGCACGGGATGTCCTGCCAATTCCTTCGCGGAGATTGTTGTCCAACGGATTTGTTTTTATTCAACAAGCTTTCACTGAAGCTACAGCTTGAAACGAGTTTAATATTGATTTTTATTCAAGCTCAAGGACATGCGCATTGTCCATTTCATTTTGTCAGTATGGCAGCATCCGAGAGCGGAATATTTGAAATACTTTATGCAGTTTATCTATCTCAAACAATAGAACTACCATTTCCTTTCTTTAAAAAAAGTCTTTATATTGCAAAACTTAAAAAACTATAGGCTACTACTTTTTATGCGATGCAATAACTATTTTCATCAGCTTATGTGGCGGCAGGGACTCTAGGACGAGGAGCAGCTGAATCTGATTAGTTATGCAGTTGGAGTTCAATGCAATTTGGACGGCCTGAGCAAACCGCTCCATGCACTTCTGATAAGCTTCATCCGAATCTGGAGAAGTTTTAGATTCGCCAAGTCGTGCGCAGTAGCTCTGCAAGGATTTAACGATCTGCATGAGATCCTGGAAGGGAAGTGCCGTTGAATCGCTACTGCTTCCGAGTTGCTGGAGAGTTCGCAGAATGGACAGGTGCAGATTACTGTAGGAAGCGCGATTAGAGACTAGAGGAGCTAGTACCACCCAGCGGAGGAGTCCAGCCAATGGTGTGGCATAGGGCATAGCAATAGCTCCTGCCGGCAGTACCAAAGGTTGCTGTGACGCTTGACACAACGTTGGGTTCTCCGTCATCCATTCAGTTAGTGTGTCTAGCAGAGCATCTGGTGGCGGCGTTAATACATTAGATCTCTGGTCGTTGAGATACAGATCCGTCACTGAAACCATGAAGTTGGCCGCAAAGTGTGGTCCCACCATAGGAAGCTGCTTCAGTTGCTCCGGCGTTTTGCGGGAGTAGCATATAAAATCGCTGACTATATTCTGGGCCACCTCCAGGCTGAGCGGCGTCTTGCAGCCCACTTGTTGCATCCAGGTACCGGCTGAGGAGAGAAGAGGTGCCACGGACCCAGAAACGGCCGTGCTAATGAGCCTGGATAGTAGCTTGGACCGCTGCGGCGTCAGATGACTGCCAAACAACGACAGGAAAATTGCATTTCGGGTAGCATCGCGTCCTGGCCTAGAGAAGTACTCGATCAGCGTAATAATTAGCTGAAACTCCTGGAACAGATTTAACTGGCTAATCGGTAGCGCCTGAGACTTTCGCCCGTCGCCATCCTTTGTGATTCTCTCCAGGAATATGTACTCTGATATGATCTGCATAACTAGATTCTGTTTGTTTCGGCTGGCGATTAAGGTTTCTGCAAAATACGATTGTTAAAAAGAACAACTCTTTAATCAAGTAATGTTTACCCAATCTTGTGAGTGCCTCCACCGCACAGGTCGGATAGTTATCCAGCTTCATGTCTAGCTTTCGCAGTGTGGACTTATTTGTTTCAACCGACAAAGACATGGTTCAGCCTTACTATATACTCTAAGAATTAATAATAATAACAGATAAATAAAAATAAAGACCAAATTGTAAATATATTATTAGAGGTGGGACTAAGTCCGATAAATTCCGGTCCTACTTCTGCGATAGCTTTGGCGTCATACGGCCACACTGCTGCCATCCCGCGAAAATTCCATTTCAATTTAAATTAACTATATTTACTCCAAATCATAAAGCTATACAGGTGTACGACTAATTATGGTATTTTATACATATTTATTAAAAATACATTTTATATATAACAATATTAGGATGAGTAAAATATACAACTATATTTAAAAAGATGTAACAGTTGAATTTTTGAGCAAAGTTATCAAAATTCCATTATTTTAGACACAGATAATCGGAAACATTATAGAAAATTTTTCTCACAGCCGATTTCAATACTGACTTACTTTGCTAAATTTATTATGGTTACATAAATTCATATTTAAAAAATTGGGGTCTTGAATTTAAAAATAAATGACATGGTATTTGCAGGGCGACCCACCTATTCTCTTTAAATTTTTTTTGGTTCAAAATATTCAATATTTTTCTACTTTGTAAAATTGGAGATCCCTTATGGTTTATATACCTTAACTAAATAAATTTATGGTTACTAAACAGACACATAAGATAGACCAGACGAAAACGAAAACCAGCCAGGCGCTCGACTTAAAAGGACTTTGAAACCGGTTAACTATACCGCTTCCTAGCAGTTCCGAGCACGTTCGTCTTGCAAAGTAAACCAGGAAGACTGGGATGATGTATTGAATACCGGTGCCTGCATAGGTTCCAGTGAATGCCACCAAACTGGAGAGGCTTTCTGTGAAATATGTAACGAAAAACGGTGGCACAATGGCGCATAGTGGAAACAGCATCCTCACAAACGGACTGTAGGAGTCGTATTGAGACATGTCCAAAAACAGGGCCTGAAGGTTGTTCTTGAGGGTTATGGCAACGATAGGGAAACTGGTAGACAAGGTAAAAATGGGAAAGAGGGCCAGAAAATAATCAATGCAAATCATTAGGCCTGACCAAAAGTCAATGTACTTTAAATCGTATGGAAGAAAATCTAATGTGTAGAGGTCTTCGATTCTCTCAAATGCAAAAATACCAGTCATAGCTAGTAAAATATAAAATGCACAAATAATGATATAGTCCAGGGAGAGTATTTTGGAAACCTTAGATTTGTGTTTAAGGGGTGCCAGCAAGCTGGGCAGGGAATGGTGGCACATAAACGAGTAAACGCAAGCTCCAAAAAGGGAAGGAATACCGTAGACGTTAAACGTGGCAGGATGACCTTTGGCACCCGTGGTAAATAGTAGTTTCAACGATATGCAAATCATTAGAGTAAAAGCTGGAAATAGAAGAAACAATGTATATTTCAATGGCTTTGTAAAATTGTGTGTAGTATTACTTACCCAACCAACGAAAGGTCGCTGTAAGCATTTGCAAGTACTTGGTCTTTTGAACATTAAAAGCGGCAAAGGGACCAAAGATTAGAGTGAATCCAATTAAAAACACTCTATACATGCTGAGACGAGAAATCGTGTGCTCCTTCCAGCATGGAGTGGATGTATTGTTCTCAGAGTCTCCTGCCAAGTACATCAATCTATTTAAATCCGTGCCATTTTGATGTTCGCTAAGTAAGGCATTTAAACGAGATCAATAAAAAGGAGAAATTGAGAAATAGAGAAATAAAATACTTACCAAACAACATCCCGAAGACTTCTTGCCACGGCCGCAGAATATATGCTTAGATCTCCATATAGATATACAATCAGGCACAGATAAAACATAGTTCGGCCGAATTCGTTGAAAAAGAGCGTGGCCATTTCACCCAATTCGAACTTGTGAGAGAGCTGATAGTAGTGGAACTCCCTGTTCTGGATGGTCAGTGGTACCCGCTCGAAGTCCCCTCGTTGGTCACCGGATGCAATTGAGACCTCATCAGCATTATCGTCGTTCTCGCTATTTTCTGTGGAACTTCTGCTCTGTCGTAGAGCCTGCAGAGTTTGCCAATTCCTGATAGCATTGGCGCAAGCCATTGCTTCGATGATAAATGTGACGGTCATGTAACTGATGATGGCCAGCAGTACAATTACTATGAGACTTAGCACCCATCCTGCTTTTGCAAATACACCCGGCAGGGTTAGAGCTCCGGTTCCAACGATAAGATTAAATATGAAAATGAAGCCGACCTGAGGGTTATTGAAATGGATACACAGATATATTTAAAGAAAAATATCAACCAAAGGGGAAACTAATATTCATAATATAGACGTGGCTTCTGATCTTAGAAGCCTTTTTTGTGAGAAAAGATCATCTGGACGAGATGAGACTCTCCGGAATGTGTATATATAGCTACAGGTGTTCCATGTTCGAAGACCTTTTCTATTATGTACATATATTTTTCACAAAAAGTGCACACGCAGCAAAAAACTTTTAAGGAGGCAGGGTGCTTTGGAGGATATCGTGTATCTTATTGGACAACGTTTACTTATTCTTTATTTAAATCTTTTTCAAGACAATACAGGTTATGAAGCTGTCCAAGACTTCAATTTGTTTTATTTACAAACAAAACATTGAGGTAAATATGCAACACGGTATGTACGTGCATATGTATCTTGTCGCTTTAATTGCTTAAATTGCTTTTATATCAAGAATATCTTACCAAATTCGAATATGTGGGTGCGGCCTCTCGTCCATTGACCAGGCGAGGCATTTTTAAATGCTGGTTTCTTTGTCTTTTTGAGTAGACTTAGATATCCAATGCGCAACATAAAAAAAAAACAATAATAGACGAGATTATAGTGCTTCTAAGTGTGACCAGATGCTATCGATAATTAATCTTTCAAAATTATCGAAATCCATATAAAAATTAAGCGCGATTATAATCATTTTTAAAATTAATAAAATATAGGACTTTAATCACATATATTCCAAATATAAACGATCAACAATTCGAATTTATTTTAAAATAATAAATTTTATGTACATAATAGGCACTACATCGCAACAAAACAAAAAGTGGTTTCCATTTTCCCTAAAAGAGCATAAAGCTAGAGGCATCCACCATTTCTTTTAAAGCATTCATCTATTGCTCAGGTTGGGAGTTTAAAGTTTGTCTCTTCTTTCGGTTTTCCAATATGCTCGTAATAAAGAATTCACCGGCTTTGTAGGAGCTGCGGACTAGGGGTCCGCTTGCCGTGTACAGAAAGCCCAGTTGGTTGCCACGATCTTCCCAGTGCTTAAACTTTTCCGGCGTAACATATTCGATGACCTTAAGATGTTTGTTTGTGGGCTGCATGTACTGTCCCAATGTAATACAGTCGACGCCGGCCTCTCGCAGATCCTTAAGGGTGTTCTCAACCTCCTCGTCTGTCTCTCCGAGGCCCAACATAATCGAGCTCTTCGTGATGAGGTTTGGATTGAATCGCTTCGCCTCGGAGAGGACCTTTAGGGTTTGACGATAGTGAGCACGCCTGTCTCGTACGTAGGGAGTGAGCTTCTCCACGGTTTCAATGTTGTGTGCATAAACATCCAAGCCACAGTTGGCAATGGTTTCCACACAACTTAGATCTCCGCGAAAATCTGGCACCAAACACTCCACAAAGATGTTTGAGTTTCTAAATAAAAAATATGTATTGGCTTTTAGATATTAATAGCAATTAACTATGAATTATTCATTTACCGAGCTTTAATTTCCTTCACAGTTTTAGCAATATGCTTGGATCCCCCATCAGGCAAATCTGAAATAAATGAATACGTTAAAAACTTAAAAATATAATTATGCAAAGCTTACCGTCTCGATCAACCGACGTCAAAACAATATAATCTAATCCCCAGGATGCAATAGCCGTGGCGGTGTTTACAGGCTCGTTGTCGTCTAGTGGTGGTGGTTTCCTAGCAGTTTTCACTGAACAGAAACGACAACCGCGAGTACAAGTGTCGCCCATTAGCTAGGGGATAGAAACAAACATTTCAGTTATCAGCAAAGGTCACCTCGTAGAGACCTTACCATAATCGTCGCTGTTTGGGTGCCGTGCTCGCCACCACCCCAGCACTCGCCGATGTTTGGGCACCTAGCCTCCTCGCAAACTGTGGATAACTTGAGGTCTCTCAGCTGGTTCTTGATCTTGGCGTAGTTTTTGCCCATGGGAATCGTGGTCTTCAGCCAGGGTGGAAGTCGCAAACGCTGTTCCTCGCCCTTTTCGCGACGCAGCTTTCCTTCATAGTTTTCCCACTCACTTTTGGAGTAATCCGGATTCTGGACAAAGTCCTGAAAGTTGGGACCCTTGGCCAGGCGCTCTCGGATCTCTTCCAGCTTCTCCGCATTTGTGGACGCAGCACGCTGAATGAATTATTTAATCAAAACAATCTAGTTAGTCAGGTGTCATCACATTATTGGTGCTGTAGCTTACTGTGACAACTATCAGTGGGGACTCCACATGTCCTTTTAGAGCTCGTAGCATGGCTATAGTCAATTTAATGTACAAAACCAATTATTTATCAACAATTTAATTTGTTTTGTCGAATCTTATGAAATATGGAAATAGAGTGCCCGTAAACCTTTTGTATCAGAAACGATTAATCGATTGTACGATTGATAAAGGACATGGACGTAGAGGAAAGGGGTTGTATTTTTGCACTTCATGCAATTTTATAGCCTTTTATAGTTTGTATACAAATTAAAAACATAAATAACCAATTCTTATCACAAACAAAACAAATGTAAATAGAAATATAAATAAACTGCAAGTTTGGTCGATAACTGAGCCGCTCTTGCGGTAGTCCATCTCTAGGCTATGAGTCGCTTTTCTGCCAAAACAAAAGAAAGTTTCCTTTAAATATTTTCATTGGTTCCACTCATTGTAAGGAAAACTCTTAAAAATACTGACAGACTGCTTTAAGAGACTCTCAAAAACGTTACAGTTCTCAACACACAACTACGGCTTCACAGTGGACGGCGTCTAACGCTACGGAGGCGAACGAACGCACACCACTCATGGCTGCTCATGTCCAGGCCTCGTCCTTGCCGTCGTCTGCTACCGCGGAAGGCGCAGGCATTGTTGACGGCAGCGTGAACGGCGAGACAGAGCGTTTGGAGCGTCCTCCAAAGCGGCAGAACCAGCGAAACAACTACGGCTCCAACAATCAGGATCAACCGGATGCGGTAAGTTTCCACCACAATTAATTCACCGGTTAAATCAAACTTCAATAATTCTTTATGTTGCAGGCCATACTTGCAGTACCCAGTGTGGTTGTTAGGGATTCCGGTGGCTCCCGGCCTTCGAGACTGAGTGGAGGCGGCGGTGGCGGTCCGCCCACAAATGAAACTGAGGAGGAACAGGGCCTGAAATATGGAGCTCAGCATGTGATTAAGTTGTTTGTGCCCGTCTCTCTCTGCATGTTGGTTGTAGTGGCTACCATTAATTCGATTAGCTTCTACTCCAGTACGGATGTCTATCTGTAGGTTTAAAGTCAATCTTTTAACTATGGATTATAATCATTGGTTTCTTCTCAGATTATACACGCCTTTCCACGAGCTTTCGCCAGAGCCGAGTGTAAAGTTCTGGAATGCCCTGGCCAACTCCTTGATCCTTATGAGCGTGGTAGTGGTGATGACTATTCTGCTGATAGTTCTGTACAAAAAGCGATGCTACCGCATTATTCACGGCTGGCTCATTCTCTCGTCCTTTATGCTTCTGTTCATCTTTACGTACTTATATTTGGAGTAAGTCAAGAGATTAGAAATGTTATGAATTATAATTTATAATTATCTTTTCTAGGGAACTACTTCGTGCCTATAACATTCCCATGGACTACCCCACTGCCTTGCTGATAATGTGGAACTTTGGAGTAGTGGGTATGATGGCCATACATTGGCAGGGTCCATTGAGGTTGCAGCAAGGATACCTCATATTTGTGGCTGCCCTTATGGCTTTGGTGTTTATCAAATACCTACCGGAATGGACTGCCTGGGCTGTACTGGCTGCTATTTCTATTTGGGGTGAGTTATGCTTATAGAAGATTTGAAACAAACTTAAAATGTTTATTCCCCATCAGATCTCATTGCTGTCCTTTCGCCAAGAGGACCTCTACGCATACTGGTAGAAACGGCTCAAGAGCGAAACGAGCAAATCTTCCCTGCGTTGATCTACTCATGTAACTATAACGATAATATGCTTTATAAATTCTTCAATTTCTAACCTTTCTTTATTTTGCTTAGCCACTGTTATCTACACATATATGGGTACCCATTATACACCCCAGCAATCACAGGCTACGGCTTCGTCTTCGCCCTCGTCAAGCAATTCAACCACAACTACGAGAGCCACTCAAAATTCGTTGGCATCTCCAGAGGCCACTGTAGCCAGCGGATCACGTTCAGGTAACTCCCGACCCCATCCTCAACAAAACAACCAGAATCGGAACGACAGCAACACTCTGGCAAGTGAAGGTATGCCACTTGTGACTTTTAAAAGCAATTTGCGCGGAAACGGTACATATGCATTATATTTTTTATGATTTATCTTACTCCTTTCCAATATGTACGTCGCTTATTCAGCCTTCCGTCTATTTTATGTTTCTCTACACATTTTATTTTATGTTTAGATATGTTGGGCATATGGTTTAAAGCGCTGCTAGTAGAACTAAAGCTACATCTAAGAATTGCGAAAAGCGAAACGAATTTCTTAAATTTTAATTTATTGTTTACAGCTGAAGCTGCGGGCTTTACGCAGGAATGGTCTGCCAATCTTAACGAGCGGGTGGCGCGACGACAAATCGAGGTTCAGACCACACAGAGTGGAAACGCCCAGCGTTCCAACGAGTATCGAACAGTCACAGCCCCAGATCAGAGTCATCCTGATGAGCAAGAAGAACGTAAATATATAATATAATAATAATTAATAATAATTATTAATAATTTAATATAATCAACGATTTCCCTATTCTAGGCGGCATCAAGCTAGGTCTCGGCGACTTTATCTTCTACTCTGTATTAGTGGGCAAGGCCTCCAGCTATGGCGACTGGACCACCACCATCGCCTGCTTCGTGGCCATCCTGATCGGACTTTGCCTCACGCTCCTGCTCCTGGCCATTTGGCGCAAGGCCCTTCCGGCTCTGCCCATCTCAATCACATTTGGCTTGATATTCTGCTTCGCCACCAGTGCAGTGGTCAAGCCATTCATGGAGAATCTTTCGGCCAAGCAGGTGTTTATATGAACGAAAAGACAAGGAATTTAGTAGACACGGCCACGCAAAATGGCCTACAGTATCATAGTCTTTACAGCTTTTTATAACCCACTTCTTTATTTAACAAAATGCATAGTAACAAACAGAAATTATAAAACCTTGCGCTTTGTTATGGTTTTGTCCACTATGTTGACCAGCCAGCCAGGTTCCAGGCCGTAGAACACTTGTCTGGGATCCTTGGTGGTGGTGAGCATCTCGTAGGCGGAATCCTTTTCAATCTTTGGCAGTTCGTAGCCATACTTTTGGGCCAGCACAAGACGATCCTGGCTGATCTCTTCGGGATTGGCCAGATAGCCCCGATTTTTCGGGTTCGTGTAGTAATCCACTGCATCCTGAGGAGGAAGCATCCTGCTGGGAATTGGTACTCCCTTTTGGAACCACTTCTTTGGGTTGACAAGCATATGAAGGCTGCGAGGATCATAATAGGCGGTTCGGATTACACCTCCATTTTTCTCAATAGCCGCTATTACCGCCTCGCTGGCGTGCTGCACTTCGATGTTGATCTTGGCCTTGAAGTTATCCAACCCATCGTCGGTGAGCTGGAAGCCATATTCCAATTCGGCAGGCTTCAGCTTTAGAAGACCCGAATTACATAGGGTACTGATGTCTATGGGTTGGCTGATGTCTATGCGGTTGGTGTCGATGAGCACCTGCAGCTGGAGCAGCGAGATTGGCGGGTACTGACGCTTCATGTGGTGGCCCTTATAATACGGCTCATAGGGGAACCGAAGGTAGAAGGGCTGGTTTCCAGTTTCGTAGCCCAACCGCATAAAGTTCTGCCTCTGTCCTGATCCCTTGTTTCCGGCTCCATGCTTGTCACCACCATGCTGAGCTCTGCCGCGCTTGTCCTACCAAATATTTTTGTAAATAATGAAACCATGTACTTGTTATTTAACCGGTGGGAACTCACATTTTGTTTGGAGTTGGGATTTGGTCGCAGATTACCTATCTGGACTCGCGGAAGTGTCCGCAGTAACTTTAGCGCCTTGTCTGAGGTCTCACGCAGGTGTGCCATGTCTGAAACTGTTGTTTTCTTTAATAAAATACAATTTTAAAGGTGGAAAATAAATATTACACGAGTGGGGTACCACCAATTGGAGCGCTATCGATTATCGATAAAGGGGGACCTCAAAATACTAGTTTTTCAGTATTTTTCAACACTGCCACAGCTCCCATGATAACACTTCTAATCGATAACTAAATAAAAGCGGACAAAACATAAACATTTTATAGCATTTAATATTTATTAATATCCCAATTGAATAGCATAATTTCTTTATTAGTTTATAGTTAAGTTTACTAAATTGAATTAAGAATGACTTGTGGAACATGTCGAGGACACAAGGAAAAAAGCATAAAGTGCCTGGTTGCAGCTTTGGATACGATCAAGGAACACGCATTAAGTAAGTCGATTTTATAACTTGAAGTACTTCTGGCTTACACTCTTTACCCCACAGTGATGCAGCGGGAGTCTGAAGAGAGTGCCAAGACTATAGAAACATTAAAGGCCCATAACGATAAGTTGCACAGGGCCCTGGATATGTTAAAAGAACGCCAGGAGACCATTGTTCAGGTGGAAAAACGACGGAAAGTGTCGCCCAAGAAGAAAAAAGATGATATATCCCCACTGCCCCAAAGTCAGGACTCCCTCAACATGAATATAGCACTAAACAGCATCGACATCTCAGATGAGGACTTTGACATGGAGGAAGAGGAAAGCATTGCAGAAACAGAACCTACGATCAGTCCTCGGAAACTTAGACTTCCGACTCGAAAGAATGACATTCGGAACCTGGAAAACATGCAGCCAAATCAGGGCTGGCTCCGCAGAACGCCTAAAAACTCCGGTGTCCTAACTAAACTTTCTTTGACGCAAAAAGGCAGCAACTTGAACTTGAAGCAAACCCGGTTAAAGTTCGAAGGGAATAAAACAAGTGCCAGCGAAAAGGATGTGATCGAGGAAAGCCCCAATGTGAGCTCTACCTCAAAGCGAGCGCGTCCTCCCCGATCTCTAATACAAAGGTAATTATCAATATCAAACATCGTTCAGGGGTGTCACTAAAATCACTCAAAATAAAATGCTTTCTTGAAAAGGATTAATTTTCTTAAAAATAAGAATAAAGTCTGGTTGATTTTTATGTGACACCTTTTGCAATAATACCTTTTAATATTAAAAACAAGTTTGCAGCACCGCCACCGAGAACGGTTTAAACGCCAACGATTCGAACCGCAACAGCAGCAGCGTTAATAAGGGAACCAACCTCACATTTGAGATGAGCGAGGATGACGTTGACCCGGATTCACAGAAAATGCCGCCACCTGCTTCCCCGCCAGCTTTAAAACTCAACGACTCTTCCGATAGTGTGGTTTTGCTTACTCCTGCCACTCAGGACATAATCTTCCTGAACGATACCACGGAGGATATTAACAAAATGGGAACGATGGATATGCTTGCGGAGATTATGAAGGATGACGACGATGCCTGCTCCAACGCTTTGAGGCAATTTGAGAAAAAAATGATAGATCAGCAAAAGCAAGGCGAAAAGAATCCCACTACAACTCCGAAGGCTTCTGAACCGATTCCTAAAACTCATCACATAAAAGAAGAACCAGTTTCCCAGTTGGTGTCTGATTTAGGAAATGAATCGACAAAAATGCCAGAGGAAATTGAGAAGTATATGATGGACATGGAAAACGAAGACAGTAAAGAATCAGAGGAGGTGTTCCCCCAGCCCATTGTCGTCAAAGAGGAAAATTTGAGCTTTAAAGATCGATACAGCATTGATTGCGGGGAATGTGAAAAGGTAAGCCTTCAAAATGGCGTTTCTTCTTTAACTAAACATCTCTTGCCTTTTCAGTTTATAAACTTTATGGGCCCTAATTTGACTGATGAAAAAATTAAATCTTATTTGAGAAACTGCAAGCATATCAGAGCTGAAAACGAATCACCACCAGGATTCTGGAATCCTCACATGGTTTCCTTTGATGAAAACGATCCGAGAAATGAGGTCTTGATAGACACGCGGTTCCGTGACGGTTCAAAACTTCTACAGAAAAAATAATTACATTAGTTTAAAGCATTCCATTTATTATTCATGTTGAATTGTAACTATTTAGTTTAGAGGTTTCCACGTTTGGCCTGTTCAATTTCAATGGCCGTGAACAAAGACTTAAAGTTTCCAGCACCAAATCCCTGAAATAGTTAGAAAATCAATGACTGTACCTAGCAATAATAGTTTAAGTAATAAATCTTACATTGTGATTGTAGCGTTGAATAACTTCGAGGAAGAGAGTGGGCCTGTCCTGGCAGTTCTTTGTGAAGATCTGCAGCAGATAGCCATTCTCGTCAAAATCAATCAGGATGTTTAACTTCTGCAGTATGTCCATGTCCTCCTTGACCTTGGTGCGGCTGTGGGAAAGCTGCTCCTTAAGGATCTCATAGTAGGACGAAGGAATGGTCAAAAACTCGGTACCACGAGCCTTCAGGTTGCTCACAGCCTGGATGATGTCGTCAGTGTTGAGAGCAATGTGCTGGACTCCAGCTCCCCCATAGTATTCTACATACTCTTGAATCTGGGACTTTTTCTTGCCGTTGGCCGGCTCGTTAATGGGCATCTTCACCGTCTCCTCGTAGTTGGCCATCACAATGGACCGCAACGCCGAGTACTCGGTATGGATCTGCGAGTCATCCACCGACCAGAAGCGATGGAACTGCAAGATCCTCTCATACCAGGAGGCCACGCTCTCCATTTGCAAGTCCGGCTGGTTGCCCACCACATGATCGATGAAGTTCAGCTTGGTGGCGGGCAAGCCCTTGAGCAAAACATCTTCGGGAGCACGTTGGAAGCCTGGCAGGAAGTCTCCCGTATAGCCATTGCGCTCCACAAATGTGTGGGTGGTGTCACCGTACTTAAATAACATATATGAATAAGGTGAATATAAGGAATTTCTTTTAAGATTCACTTACAGTCTTAATGGTTGCGAATCTTACGAAGCCATTGTCATCACTTTCCTCCCAGATGTCGCGCACCACTTCGGCACCTCGCGTCACAGCCAACTTAAAGATGGCATTCAAATCCTCCACTTCAAAGGCCACATCCTTGACCCCGTCACCGTGGCGCATCAAGTGGAGTCCATGCTCCTTGTCGTCCGGCGTGTAGGCGGAGACGAACACGAAGACGATCTTGTTTTGGCGCACAGCATGTTTGGCAAAACGCCGTTCTCCGGTTTCCAATCCTTGATAGCCAAGTGGTTCGAATCCCAGGCGGGTGGTATAATAGCTGGCCGCCTGCTTGGCGTTGCCAACGTAGAATGTCAGGTGATCAAAGCTTAGAAATTTTCCGGCCTCAGGCTGCGTTAGTTAAGGATATTCATGAAAACTTGGATAATCTTTTAGGAATATATTTTGAACTTACTTTAGTTCCTTTGTCAGTATAGCTGGTCTGTCGACGAAAAAAAGAGATATAAATATTTATTAAAAAAGGTTTTTAAAACAATTTCACTTCAGTTCTTCAAGAAATGTCTGTAAAAATTGTTAGATTTTCACTTTCATTTAATTTTTTCTAAACCAATATCCTTTGAATACTTTATCGTAATAAATATCTGATTTACTGAGTCTTCTCTTTCTTTTAAACATCACTTTTCAGCACCATGGTGTTATATAACTATAGGCACATGTTTCAACCTATTTACCATTATCACTCAGACTCAATTTATGCAAATCCTCTCCTCACACGCGATAAAAATTTCTGCGATCCGTTGATCTTATACGATCTTCAAATTGATTATGGCTTGAACTGGGCAAATCAGGCCTTTATATAGGGTTCAGCCCCAGATCGTGATCAGGTGAAAATCCTGTCTTCATTTAAATACATAAAACTAGTATTTTGTTTATTTCAGCTTCTTAATATATCGGAATATCTTAACTAGCAGGTTGCTGTTTGCATATTTTAGCTCAACTTGCAGATATTTGTTTACTAGAACAGGTGGGATTGTTTTCAGGAATATAATTAGAATGAATTGCACTTTATTTCTTTATCAGAGACGTGCCCCCAAAGGGTGTAAGTTTTTATCCAAGCGGCCTTTTAGAAGTTGAATGTATGACAATTTTACTTCCCTTAATACCGTTACACAAAAACTATCTCAAATCATTATGCAAAACATTAGAATTTTCCTAAATATTCATGAGTTGGTCGTCAAGATTGTTCGCGGATCGGTTGCCAAGCCACATTGAACTTGATTCAAGTTGCGAGCCCCCAAAACCTCAACGATATGTTATCTCTCTTGTTATTGTTATTGTTATTGTTCCGATGCATAATGTGTTTCGGTATTGAAGTTGTTTTGCATTAGAAATGCTTTGAAAAGTTTTCAAAAACTGGTTACGCCACAGTCAACAAAGTTGCTTGTTGTTATTCCATGACTTTGGCACACGCTCGAGATAATTAAATTGTTTATCAGCATTTTAAAGCTGGATCAATGTTTTATAAACTATTTTTGGAATAACTTTTTATTCATTATTGCGGGGGTTTTGAGTTAAGCCATTAGACATATCCGAAATCTCAAAAAATATATGCTTAATTTATTCTCCTGATCAATTTATTTACTCAATTGTTTATTTTTTTTGGGCCCTTATTCATTTTGACTGACGATTCGTGTCAGGTGTTTGGCAACCAAGCGACCAGCCCATAAATAAACCGTTTTCCATCCTCTGAGGTCTTCTGTCCACAAGAAACAAATAAATAAATTCCGAACACATGGCGTATGAGCAATTTTAGAGTCTTAGCATTAGTGATTAGCCCTAGACCAAGGTTCCCTCCCATGCTGCTGATGAACTGACAATCCGTAAGGGATTGGATGGGGGGATATATAAAGAAGACTGCGATATGGTCGATTTGCCACTCTGGCAAGAAGCCAAATCGCTGCTTGACATTTATTATGATTGGCTTATTAGGGCCCTGCGGAGGCGGAGCCCTGACAAGTAGTCCAAAGGGGTGATGGAATTTGGCGCTTAATTGTTTCAGATGTGGAATTTGTTATTAAATAATTGGGACACAATAGTACTGATTTCATTTAAATATTATAGATTAAATTAAATCTGAAATTAAATTACATTAAATCTGATAGATTAAATCTGAAATTATATAAAAAACCGTTCTCCAATTTCTTCTGTTTTTGAAATGGAAAAATATGCATAACTCGGCCAATACTATGAAGATCGCAAAATGTTATACCTTCCCGATCTTAGAACTTGGAGTAGCATCATTTGCAATCAAAACTGGGCAACGAAATTTTTGACTCATTTTTCGAAATTTTTTAAAGGGGTAACATCATGATTTTGACAAAAAATTGAGTCAATTTTTTTTTCTTAAAAATCTTGGATCTTTTGATGCAGAATAAAGCGCATTAGAACCCTGAATCATAAATTATATTCCGTTTATGAATCGGGCTGAAAATATTAAAATTATAGATCAAAAAGTGTACCAAAAGCTTCGATTTTGGGCAAAGAAAAAAATGACTCAAATGTCGATCAAGTTTATCAATTTTCGTGATGGAAAAATGTGTATAATTCGGATAATACTTGTCACATCGCAGATTGCTATACCTTCCCGATCTTAGAACTTGGAGTAGCATCATTTACAATCAAAACTTGGGAACGAAAATTTTGACCCATTTTTTCGAAATTTTCAAAGGGGTAACATCATGATTTGACCAAAATTTGAGTCAAATTTTTGATGTTCTACTTTTTTGATCTGTTAATGAAAATGGAGGCGGATTAGTACTCTGAATCATAAATGGTATTCCGTCTTTAAATTGGCTGCGAAATAATGAAAATATTAACTTAAATGTGTAAAAAAACGCTTAGTTTTTTAGCTAGAAAGTTGTTTCATTATTTCATTTTTTTTGGTGAGAAATGGTGCATACCAAGACTTGGCAGATTTAAAGTATTATACATTTCAAACAGATTTAATAAACTTAAATCCGATTTCGAAAATAGGTTGAGAGCCAAAATATAAGCAAAATTTTGCGATATATCGTAACTTCTGCTGCCAGTGTGGTAAAACGAAAAAACGGCAGTGTGGTCACACTTGAGTCGGACACGTGCTGATTGTTTTTATGTTTTTATCTAGCGATTCCATTATTTGAAGAAAAATGAGCGAAACGAGCGGGAAGATAAAGTACCTCATAGCGGATACCACAGCCTTCATTAACGCTGTCCCCCTGAACGTGAGTACCTTGCGTAAGAAGCTTGCATCTTTGGTATTTATCCAATCTCTTCCAGGAATATGCCGAACAAGTGCTCACCGTGCCCGAGGTGGTGGCCGAAGTGCGAAACAAACGCCAGATCCGGCGACTTTGCGTCCTCCCCTTCGACCTCCAAATACGGGAGCCAAGGCCCGAGAGCGTCAAGCACTGCGTAGAGTTTGCAAAGAAGACCGGTGACTACGCGAGTCTTTCGGGGATCGATCTGAAGGTGATTTCGCTTACCTATGAGCTGGAGGCGGACACAGTTGGCACTGACCATCTCCGCACAGAGCCCGTCAAGGCTCAGACGATTGCCTCCAAGGAGAAGCCCGAGGAGCTGCAGGATGCATCCAACAAGCGGCTGGTTGGATGGTACATGCCGGAGGGAGAGGAGGAGGAAGAAGAATCTGATGAAGACCAGGAGGAGGAAGAGGAGGACGACGACGAGGAAGCTGCAGAGCAGTCTGACCCGGAAGACGTCGATCAAGTCAAAGCAGCTATAGAAGCACAAATCGAGGGCAAGACTACCGTCCCTAGTGAAGCAATTCAGCTGGACCCTGAGGAAGAGCCAAGCCAGGAGGAGCTGGACAAAATGTTTGAGCAGCTGAAGTGTGAAGCCAGCGCGGAGGAGGAAAAGGAACTAGCTGAACTGCTCGTTTCCCAGCCAAAGGATGATAACCTGGAACCAGAGGAGGACACTGTTCCGATAATCACCAACCAGGATGATGACGTTGGCGATGACGGCTGGATCACCCACTCCAACATCAAAAAAGCCAAAAAAGCCCTCGAGGGAAAGGTTGAAATAGACGTTGTGCCGCCTGTAGCCTGCATGACCACAGATTACGCCCTCCAGAACGTGCTCAAGCAACTCAATCTCCACCTGGCAGCCCTGAACGGTCGAATCATCAAGCAACTGCGCACATATATTCTCCGGTGCTACGCCTGCTACAAAACCACTAGCATTATGACAAAAGTCTTTTGTCCCAACTGTGGCAACAAGACTCTGAAGCGGGTGGCTGTCAGCCTGGACGAAAACGGCAAGCAGGTCATCCACATCAATACGCGCCGTCCCCTGACCAAAAAGTACAAGAACCAGAGCCTTCCCCGCTTCCAGGGCGGAAAGCACTCGCGCAATCCTATTTTATTCGAGGACCAACCCATGCCCCGGCAGATGCCGTCCCGAGTGGCCAAGACCAAGACAAATGCCCTCGGTGAGGACTACATAGCAGGCATCTCGCCGTTCGTGCTCCGCGACGTGGACTCTAAGTCGGCAATGCTGCGCTCCAAGGGCAATCTCAAGGAGTGGGCCAGGAACAATAACTTTGAGGAGGATCGTCGTCGCAAAAACTACAATCGTTTGTACAAATAAGTGGCGAACTCTTAGTTATTACCTTGTATTTATAATGTAAATATAAAATAATAAAATTAGTTCTTTCATTTCTAATTTCGTTGGATGAGCTCTTTTTTCAGTGGAGACCCCAAAATCCAAAGTTTTTCCCACCAATCCTGTTATTTTCGATTCAATTAATTTCTTTGATTTCTATTTGCACATTCGACACCTGCCGCAACTTGAAGCACCATTAGTCAAGAAACCACGCACTCATCCTACTGGACCTATCCCAATAAAATCCCATGGGTTGCTCTCTTCATAAAATTGACTTGGCATTTGATGGGCAAACGCATGTCCTTCACGAAAAGGACGTTGGTAAACCTTCGACGGGTCGGGTTTGTTTTGGGTTTGATGCGGGTAGCCTGTTGCGCGATGAGGATATTATATTTCCATGACATCCTTTCTCCTTTCACCACTTCCCTGGCTCTGCACAGAACTCTCTCTTTCGCGAGAGTCAGCATTGCCAGCCGAGAAAAGTTTTTCCCGTAAGGGTGGCTTTTTAAAAGGACGATTGCCAGACAGAAGGATATGAGTCTCTATTGTTGTCGCCACAACTTCGGAGCTGATGCACAGAAAGAAATCAAATTTAAATCTTTTAAAATAAATTGACTTTAAGAGTATTCTTTTTGAAGTCTAGTCTTCTAGCTATAAGAAGAACCATCTTACAAATCCTAACTATCAAGGAGACATGATATGGCGAGTTAAAACTTTAAAAACCACATATTTGCTTTTTTGAATATTTTTCAAAATAGAGTCAAAATTGTAACCCAGAAGGTAACATTTTTTAAAACCCGATTTTACCTATTTAATATTGTGGGATAACTTAGATATACTTTGTTCTTTAAAGTAGTAAATGGAATCTATTTTATTTACTTATATGGTTGCTTTTATTCTTTAATATATTTTTGTTTCTAAATTTTTAATGATATTTTTCCATGTGTAGTGTTATCGTCATTATTGTTGTGGTTGTTGTTGTTGCCATAGCCGCAAGCTGTCGCCGGTCTACGTCACGCTTTCCATATCCTTCAGTCGCGTTTACTGCGCTTCCAAAACAACAACCCGAGTTCGGAGAGTCGCAGTTATAAACACAAAAAATCACAAGTGTGTAACAACTTCCAATGTGTTATAATAGTTTAATTTATAAAAAAAAAAACGGCAAAAACCACAAAATAAAGAATTAAGTGTACTTGAACTGTCACTGATTTGTTTTGTGTAGAAACCAAAAATCATTTGTTGCCATCGCCTTGTTGTCGCTAACAAAATTTATGCTCAATTTCTGTTTTAATATTTGACAAATTAGTGTGTCTCGCAAAGCGATTAAAATCTTTACGTTTTAAAAAAAATCAAAACGATAATCACCAAATGGCTGGCCCCGAAAAAAACCGACATTTTTCGAGAGCAAAATCCCCCCCAAAGCAAGACAAAAAAGATTTTAAATGTTACAACATAAATTATACCGAAAATATACGCTCTGAAAGCATTCACTAGTTGGCGGTTAAAAATAGTTTAATTTTGTGTTTTTTTGCGAGCTTGTTGATTGATTGTTCACTGTGAGAATGATCATAAATTTGGTAATGTCTAAAAAAACACTTGGGAAGCAAAATTGTCTCGACATATGATGTCAAAACTGTTGTATTTGTGTGAACGAAGTTTGAGGGGCATTGGCGAAACGAGTTTTTTGTTAGAGAATGAGGAGCATTGTCCTTGGAGAACTTACTCACTCTCTTCCCAGCTCTAACTCTCTTTGGCTTTGTCCTTCGGTAATATCCTTCTTTGGGGTGTTTATCTACCAGACAAGGGTTATAAAACAAAGCAGAACGCAGGCGCAGCGACTCCCGAGCAGGGTGAGATTTGCATAAGTCCTATAAGGTCCTTAGCAGATGTTAGAGGTAGAGTCATACCAATGGGTGGTATGAAAAGTGTAATTTTTATATTCATGGGAATAAAAAAACAATCTGCATTATCTCATCCTAACAATGCCAGCTCTACAATTATTACCTTAAGTATTTTATATGATTAGGCAATAAGTTTCAGAAGTTAAATATTAGAGATTAGATTTCAAGAATTTAAAGAACAAACTCTTAGTATGACTAAAAGATAGTACTAGAGATCTCTTGATAATTTTTGCGATTGCGATCTTGATTTTTTTTGCGATAATTTTGCGTGTTAAAAGTCAATGGACAAATTCTGACTTTTTCTTTTATTATCAGCCATTTTGGCGCACCCTGTGTGTGCTCACCATGTGAATATTTAGGGGGAAAGTCCCTCATTAAAGACACATTATCAGGGGGAGGCATTATGCTCACTATATGAATATTAGGGGGAAAGTCCCTTATTAAAGGCACTCTATCAGGGGGAGGCTTTTCCCGGCATAATTCTCTTTCACCTTGACATGCTTACCAGCTCCCCACGCTCGATGCTCAATATCCTTTGTGTTGAGGTGGATGGCATTAAGTTCTTTGTCCCAGATGCTGTCATATAAATGATTTTTTTTTATAGTCAAGTTATTTACACCCGGACTTATGCATTTAAGTGCGTTGTGGTAGATGAAACCACATCAAGCGAAAGGCATAGGGAAAATACAATAACCGCCCACAGATCTTAAGCCCGACAGAATTTAATAGTCTTGAGTAATTCTAGAAAGTAAAGTCCATAAAATAGTGTTTTCAAAAAAAGAAAATAGATTGGTTGCCCTGCAGAGGCGGAGGGACGGATAGCAGGTTGCAGTTATACAAATAAACAAAATGTTTGAATAGGAACCAAGTGAATACTTCCTAGACACCTCATCTATGTGAGTTTCCATTTTATTTTTAAAACAAAAAATTATGAAGCGCAGCAACGATTACAAACACCACGCAGATATATGCCTGCAGATATATCTATTTTAAAGGGATCGTTCCGGGGCATTTAGGTGGGCATAAATTATAAAAATATTTCAATGTGTGTCAGATATTGTTTGTTCGGTATGCCAAGGTATGTTTTATTTATTTTTTTTTCTTTTGAAGGAAGGGGAAATGTTTCTGGTTCATTTTGAACAAATTACTGGAGCTTATTGAGTGCTATATTATTAATGGAGCATGATTTTAAGGGGAATTTGATTAAATACCTGTTGATAGTTTGAGATATTTATGTTTAGGCTAGTGTTAATTGACCGTAGACTAGTAGGGGAAGTATAAACTTTATGATTATTTGATAGTTGTTTTTTAATTTTATTAAAAATATATTATATACTGCAATTCAAGAAATATAAGTAATCTTATCTTGTTAGATGTCATAAGTAACTTATCTTTACCACGGAAAGCTAAATGCAATACACTTTTATGAAGTACTTGCATTCAACTGACGGACTTCCTACAGACCACTGAAGTCGTTCGGTTCTTTGCAGTTCTTGCACAGTGGCTTTAAAAATGTTTTAAAATATTAAATGCTTGAAAATCGGAAAGATGTATCACCTTTTAAGTTCAGTTATTTATTTAAAATCCTTTCAACTATAAAAAGGAATTTAAAAAGTCGGTAAGAACCAAAAGTTTTAGAAGGTTGTTTCACTCTTCAATAAAATCAATATATTCGAAAGTATTTTAATCTTTACACTTAAATTTTTATAAAGAAAACGTGCAACGTTCTACTCCAAAATATTTTAAATTTTGTAATATCAAAGGCAAACACTCTTAAAGTTTGTAAATGCTTCACAAATTAAAAAAAAAATAACCCTTAATTAAATCTAAATATCTATAATTCTTAAAAAAGTAAGAGCTTAAACCCAATGACAATAATCCAAGCTAACAGATATAATTTTCCAAGTACCTGGTATAACTACTCATGTCTGTTTTGGCCTATAGCCGTTTAAATATCCATTAAATTTGTTATTTGCCTTGCTCATTTACACGATCGAAATAAATATAACACTAGAGTCGACCACTGTGCACCGCCAGCGGGGCTGAAGTGAGAAGTAGCTGCGGCTTTGCTCAGAACGAATTTGCATAGGCTGGGAAGCGGACGTGTGCCGTCGATCTTGATGCGAAACCATCGCAGCGGTACGACAGATACAGATACTTTTTTATTCAGATCCTCCTCCGCCTCCTGCTCACGTGCGTGTGTGATATTTGTAACTTTAATTTATGAGATGCGGAATGCGTTGAGTGAGTCGCTGGCTAGCTGCTTAATAAATTACTACCCAGAATACCAGGCATTTTTTGTGGAAAGAAAGAAATATCAACAGAATGCTAAAGCCATTTATCAGTAACAAACGAGATGAAGGAAACTGAGATATTTTATGCAATAATCTGTGGATATGTGGAAATGTTTTATTTCGGATTTATATATTTGAATGAAATAATAGTTTGTAGCAGCAAACGAAAAGTGATTATAGCAGATGATTAAAAGAGTTTTCAGTGAACTTATCATTGTCAGAAATCTTTCTAATTGTATAAGGTATAAATTACAAAATAAATGTGTGCCCAGTGATTAACTCGAAATTGTGTTTATTTTTTTACTTGCCCCGCAGTTGAAGTTTCTTTCCAAGGAACTGGCCCATCTGACCAAATAAGTTTCCCGGCTAAATCGAATTATTCCAGTCGAAAGGAAAACGTTGAAATGCCATCAAACCAATCAGCTGTAAAGTGTATTGGACAAGAGCTGTTCGTGTGGAAAGCATCCAGAATCTGATTCATATATGTAACTGGAATCCATATTCAGATCACGACCGCATTTCTAACTTACTATGCCCGATCTCTAAGTCCCAGTCTCCGTATCCGTGCGACTTACAGTCCGTATCCGATTGCTGGAACCGCAAGACGCGCAAAAACGAATCCACAACCCAAACCAAAAAATAAAACGCCAATCAAATGATACTAATTAATGTGATAATTGTGCAAAATAAAATGATCGAAATCAGGCGGCGGGTGAACAAGACATCAAACGCCTTGGAGAGCAACGATGAGCTTGCCTTAGATTATTGCCAGAGATTACAGGGGTCAACTCACAGAGCTACAGATAAGACCTCTGGCCCGGGGGTCTGTTTGCGTTATCAACCCGTGGCCACTGTGTTCCTGCTGCTTCTCCTCTGCCTGGCACCCGTACTCGGTGCTCCACAGACCTCCTGCATCCGATGCGACAAGGAGGACTTTAGGACACGGGCTCCACATCATGGAGAAGAGTTTGTAGAGCGCATTGTTGATCACCAGGTTTCCAAGTTCCAGGCCAGGGAGGCTTTACGGAAATTAAATGAAAGTGAGTTAAAAAAAACGTATTTGTTACAGTTCTTGGGATATCCTTGAAGAGGATATGAATATAATTTTTACCCTATAAATCCTATATGTAGTTTTTTAACAGGATCCACCTTCAAAAACCTCTAAAAAATAGCATGCATATTCTTTCATTTGATAATTAGATATCCGTCCTATTTTCGTATATAATTGACTAATAACTAGCCAATCATATATGTAATTCAACAGAACTAGCCACTCATAATTCATCATCAGAACTAGCTAATCGTATAACCAACCTCAAATCATATTCATCATAATCAAGAATTTCAGAATGAGTTGTACTTTGAGAATTTATTTCGTTACACTATTTTTTTTTAAATTTATTTAACCTAAGGAATCAAACGTATAGTTCTGTAATAAATGGTTTTTTCTTACCAATCTTTCAGCCCATCGCCAGAACAATGCTTGCAGCTCAATAAATTGTACTGCAACTATTGAAAATTATTGTTTTGGACATCAGGTAAATAAAATATATAAATAAATATAAAATTTAATTAATGGAAATAAATTTTGATTACAGTTCCTTAACGATCATTGTTGGTGCGAGATGCAGCACCGAGAAGGTTAGTAAGCAAGCCCTAAAAAATTAAAAATGAAGTTAAACAGTAGCTTCCCATCTGAAAAATAGCAAATACTATGGCTTTACAATTTTTGAGAGTGTACCTTTTCACCTGAGTTGATTTTTATGACTTGCCACATGAGCCTCGGCACATGGCGCCAAACAATAATAAACAAAACTCTGCAGACTCCCACAGTAAACACACAAAAAGCCGAGTCGAGTGCCACTAACCCACTTGCAACCCATCGGCAGAGTCGCCGAGTTGGCCCTCTAAAGAGCCTCATTAGCTCATTTATCCGAGGCGGGCAGGGCAGCCGGCTCTTAACAAGCGCCACTCACGCAAGTTACTGGAGGAGATATTGTTTCCCCACGGGTGCGGATGACGCAACAGTTGGTGGTAAAAGCGACCGCAGAACTGTCCCATAGGTGGGAAGGTTGGAATCGGGCGGGTGTTCCCTGCCACTTGGCACGTGATGCGGTGCGGAAGTTGTTAAGTTTGGTCCACTGATCGAACCGCATTCTCAAGCTGCGACACGCTTCATTGCCTCGTCTTGCAGCCAACTACAGTGGGGACTCTGTGGGAAAAGTCTTTGGTTTTTCTATAAAGTGATTTTTATTTGCTTTCATTTTTTACGAGAGGAGAATTTAATAGATTAGGCTGTAGTAGATAGGCTGAAACTACAGAATATTGCTATTTCAGAAAGTAGTTCTTAAAACAGTTTATAACTATAAAATATATTAATAATTTAGTTATGAAATTTAGTTATGATATATTACATAAAGTTTATAGTTACATGAAAATTAATCAGCTTATCAAGCAGATCACTTTTATCAGTAAAAACAGGCATACCATTGAATTAATTTGGCAATTAAAGGCTATTAATCCAACCAACCAATCAAAAATCAGTAATCATAACTGAACGATAAGCTTTTAAGATAAACTTTGTTGACTGATAGGCACCCGTCCAAGGCCCTATAGGATGTATACACTGTAAGACTTACTGCGGCATTCCTAATGTCCAAGCGTCAGTTTATAATTCTTCTAGTACTTTTGTTTTTTTTGTTCAATTTTAGACTTGGCGTTGTGCAGTCGGCCTAACTGGGGGAATTTTTGTGGGTTTGGCGCTTGGCTGTCTACAGTTGAACGATTTTCTCAAGGCGTGCGTCGATTTCCATGCCCCTGTTGATTTCCTCCTCGAATGCACTCTTGTTTGTGGGGCACTCATTAAATTCAATTTTTGCTGATTTCACATTATTTGTTATTTACTTTAAGTGACTTACTTGGTCGTAACGCATTCGCTGTTCTTGGAAAGATTAGGGGTTTAAATGTCCACTTCCTTTGGTGGTTATCAAAATGGAAAATATTTATAGAAGTCTGTTAATATTTCATAACCTTATCGGCCCTTTTTTTTAAAAGCCTTCAGTTATCATCTCAGGGGCTTGTCATTGAGCTTGCACATATGTAACTGCATTCTTATCTTTATATAATTTTCTATCAAATACTTTGACTGTTTTTGGTTCAATAACTTATAACTATGTTTACTTAAGATTTTTTGCCGCTGACGAGAGCCCCTTATTATGCAGCAGGCAAGTCCTACTACCGGCAACAAAGCCAATCCATTGGAGACGTGTCCAGAATGTCAATCGGAAAACACCTGCCCTGGCAACTGGGTGGGTGGCTTGATTGGCTGCCGCTCGATGAGCTATTGTTAGGTGCCGCTTTTAGAGCCCGATTCAAATATTTCCATAATTTTACGCAATTAAATTTGACAGCTTTTTTTGTAGTTCTGTTTTTAAACATTTCATGCACGCAGCTACTTCCCATTTATTTGCATTGCTGATTTCAAAATAATTATTGACAGGTGAAATGTGAATCACGACGACTTTGAAAACGATAAAAGTCGGTTTTCATTGATAACCAAGATAATCAATCATTCGCAATCTCTTTACGATATATTTTTCAACAATCTGTCTATATGGGTTTTTTCCATGTTTTCGCTCCGAAGTCCTCACCTTGTCAGCCGTCGTTAAAGATTATTAACAATTGTCAGAGCAATCGCCTAATTGAGCTAACATATTACACGCCGAGTCCCATGTCTGTTTACATTAAGTAATAATTATTTAATTGGATAAATATCTGCGACACGCACCACCAGTAATAACTACACACATATAAGAATAGCATATTCTCTGTGTGGGCTGATGATGTTTCAATAAATATGTACATGGAACTTCATAAAATTCAACACGTTGAGTTTCCATAAACAAATGCGATTCTATAAACAGGTCAGCCGAAAAATACGGCAGGCATGTGTTATGATCGAAAAACAATGCCGTTCATATTTGGTCACTCGCCTTTAGTTTATATTTTGTGGAAAATTGTTGTTCAGTTTTCCCAACCAGTGGCCCGATATTCAGATACTATTTTATTGGTTTCCGTTTCTACTCAAAAGTTCCATAAAATTGGTATTTAAATTAAGTGTTTTCGTTTATAAAAAGTTAAGGACTTAATACCAAAATGGACCAACACATTGGCAGTTTTCAAGAATGTTTCTAGACTTGTTTTTAGTTTAATCCACTAAACGAACACATCATATTTATAGGTTTCTGTTTATGATTGACTCTGACAGCTGAGCACATAAAATTGTACGATTGGAAAAATATTGTCTAAGGTCGCATAAATCAATTTCTATAGGAGTCGAGTTGGGTGGATGCTGAAATATTTCTTTATTTTATGTACATAAAAAGTTAAATGGTTTATATCGTTTATAAGACAAGCTGTAATTAATATTATTTCGTGATTGCTTATATTCAGTCTGCTTATTGAGGTTTTAATATTATATATCCATAAAAATAGTTACTGATACCAGAATTCATGTGTATTCTTTTCAGAGGGACTGCCCTATGTAAATCACATTTGTTATGCGGATGAGAAGGTACACAAACCGTCCATTGGCTCCTGTTTTGTGTTCGCAGAAGTCAAGGAGTGCTGCTGCGCCAAGGCCTTTTACAACAAGTGTAAGTATCAAGTGCATTCCTTGGAGCGAGATGGTCGGTGGGCACGTAGGCACATCATTTGGAACCACAGTGGCACTGCTAAATGCTCATGGCACTAACACATGGGGATGGGTTTAACAAAGCGATGCTAATTTAATAATGTAAATATACACGGCGCCTTCGATAAACATGCACATACCACAAAAATAACACCAACAATGGGCGGGAGATCATGTCAATATTCTCCACTAGGCGGAAAATCGAATCCCGCTAATTATATTTAGTTTATAATGCTAATAGAAATTGCTCACACTTGGAGGGGGGGAAGGAGAGTGTTTCCATCATAAAATATAGCAACAAATCGGTATAGACTTTTAAAAATGGCAAACAATAAACTTGAAAAAGGTGATTAGCCTTGATTGTACCATATATTAGCGCTATGAGTAGTATACACCAAGAACTTTTTGAGCAGCTTCTCATAATAAACATAACACTTTGGCTAAATCGAGGGCCGACTCATAAATATATATGGGGTAAAGCTGGAAAAACAAATTTGTGGAATTCTTTTCATGAATACTAACAGCTGGCCATTCAAACTGAATTGCCATAACTAAAATTATTGAACTGAAAAATAAGAATTCTAATTTAGCATGAACTTTTCTTTTCACTTTTCCAGGGCGAGCCAATTCTGGGAGCAAGAATATACCAAAAATATTAATACCCTGGCTGATTGCATTCAGTTTAGTGCACTGGCTAAGCAGAAGGCGGTGGTTTTGTTAAAGCTGAATCGCTTCAAACCGAATTTTCGGAACAGAAGTAGTACAACATAGTCATAGCAAAGTAGGTCCTAGAAGCTAAAGCATTCAAATAAGTGTACTTAGTTGAAACGATGTCCAATGGTAATCAAACCTACTTGCTAAGCATATATTTAAGCGTTAATAAATACAAGATTGTAATCCGAACCTACTCTAGTTAGCATGCGTGTGTGTATGGCTTAGATCACTAAATAATGAAGCTGTAACTGAGTACAAAAGTATTCTAAATAGGACAACATATCGAGAAACAAAATTAAAAATTGGTTTTTGGCTTAAGTGCTACCTTTTTCCTTAGTTACTACTTTCGGTCCACTAAACCTCGAGTTCAGCAAGTCGGCCTTATAAGTCTACAGTCTCTACATTTTTTACAAGCTAGTACGGTTGTTAAGCGTACGCTGCAAGGCATTTACACAGGACAGCACGTCCTCGTAGTCTTTCGACCATTCGCGCAGATTTCGTTCTAATGTCTCCAGACGCACCTGACCCAATCGCATTCCGCCATGCTTAATAGCCGCGTAACAGGAGCATGCCAGCAGCTTAAAGCACTGTCGTCGCACTGCGTTGTGGGCATGGCTCTCCCAGTTCGGTGTACTGGCCACGCACTGCCAGGCCATGCTGACGTAATCCACCAAGGCATCCCAATGTGTGGAGTCATGCAACCGTTTCGCCTGCGTCTGCAGCACCCGCTTAAATTCGTTAAGATGCATGGACGCCTTCGAGTAGGCCGCCGCATCAGTTTTCTTGCACAGGCGAGAGGTTGGCAGGGATTTGAAGATAAGCCGCTTTGCATATTGCAGCTCCTGCTCCAACAAACTATCAAGAAGTTAAATTGGATTTAAGTTAATAAGTACAATATTATTTCTCCCTGAAAATACCTGATGTCTGGTGTTGGCAGCTGCCTACGAATCTCCTCCTCATCGCCGTTCGTTTTTATATTGTTCGTAACCAGTATAATTAGTTGCTCCTGAGAAAGACCTTGCAACAAGGATGATAAGGCTACATCTGTGTTCGTTTGACCGACCGGCCGGTCGTCCATTTTCAGCTTTTTTACTATGGGCGTTCCCGGCCACAGTTGCTTAGTGGTGGCCATCTTAATGGGTGAATAGGTTTCCATGGGCGTGGGTTCTGGGGGTGTACTGCCCATAGTCAGGCGTTTTCTCGGCGAGCTTCGTAGTATCATGCCGCTGGTCAACTGGAGGTTCTTGGTTGGTGTGCGCTGGAAAGGACTGCGCATAGAGGAGCTACTGGATCCTCCTCCTCCAGCAGCAGCACCACCTCCGTTCACCTTGTCGGGAGAAAATGTGGTGGTGAAGCGTCTGCGCCCGCGTTGGCGGATAACTAGCTCATCGGGCGAAGGCAGCGGAGAGAACACAAAGTCCTGGGCCTGGACCACATTGGCATCGTTATCAACCCTGAGCCCAAGGCCTCCTCCTCCATTGGCATTCGGTGTGTTTATTATTGCTGCTGGAGTCGGTTCATCCGGTGTCCGGCGATTAGCATTAGTCGGAGTGTTGGCCATTCGTAGAGCCTCCAAGCGGTCGGGTATCTCGGCGAGTGCCATGCGCGTCTGCAGGGGAGTCGACATAGCTTTTGCTAACTGTGGAATGCTGAATATCATACGAAAATTCTTCAGAAATGTACATATAAACATTTGCACGCCCAGTTCCTGACGTACCTCTTGGATGCCCCGATCGTTCTATCCTGCAGATACCGACAGATATAGTGCACTGTCGGAGGGATGACACTCCTTCTTGACACTCTAGTTTTTGTTTGGCTTTAGCTTTTGGCGTCCCTCCCGTGACTACAATTGCAATTTCCTATCTTATTTTTGTTTAAATTGCGCCAATTCGCACAAAGTGGCAGCACGTTCTGGAGATGATAGTTTCGTTGCAAAACTATTGTATTGTTTTCCAATACCCTACCAAGGGGTATATAAGGTTGTTGGTTCTCTTCGTTTTCCAAATAATATAAGCATTTAAAAAATAAATAAAAAATAATTCGATGGAAAACCTTAAATGAAATTAAGCCTATTTTAACATATAAGTAATGCAATCTAGGTATATAATTTAAAAGGTTTTAAGCATCGATTTATCTGCAACTATCGATAGTTTCTGTCAATCAGTATGGCAACACGGTTTAGTTTAAGATTGCCGCCCATCCGGCCACCTTTCCATTTCCAATATTCATTGGGTTAAGTTCAACGGCGGCCGAAAATTTAGTAATATGGATAATTTCCACAAAATATTAATCCAAAACATGGTGCCATATTTGGATAAAGCCATGATTATCAAAAATGGCATGCAATATTACCGAATAAAGTGAAAGACATGGTCTATCCTAAAATTGGATTGCAGAGAACATGGATTACCACGTGTTGAAATTTGAGACACATGAGGACCACTTGTGGTTAAGGTAAATTATTTTATACAAATATTACAGATTAACTATCATTATTTGAGTGATGACAACTTCATACCAAATGCAGAGAAATTATGTTGAAAAATACTTAACATGCATCACCATCTGATTATTAAGTTTATAAACCCCTTTGAAGATCATATTGGAAGAAATTTAATAAAACATTCTACTCTTTTATATTTGCAGATTGGAGAAAAATGGAGTCCAATTAAGCCCCTTGAATGTACTGCCAAAAGCCTTGAGGTAATTCTATATTCAAACTAAATATTAACTACTTTAAGTGATGATAACTTCATACCCAACTCTGAAAAAAACATGTTGAAATCTATTTAACATGCATCACCATCTGACTTTTAAATATTTTAAGTAGCATTTGGAAGTTCTTTTATAATTGTTTGTTAATTAGATATTTTCTTTATCTTCCAGGCTTTTTCGGTAAAGACTTCTCTCTGATAACCATTTTAAAGGAGAATAATGAATAATGAAAGAAGGTAATTTATCTATACTTTTCTCAACTATCTAACAGAAAACCGATTAAATTGATGATAACTTCATACCCAATCCAGAACCATTATGTTGAAATCTTTTTAACATGCATCACCATCTGAATATTAAATTTATAAATCAGCACGTAAAAATATTTCTATAATTGGTAATTAACTATATTTTTCTTTATTTTTCAGGCTAAGGAAGTCTACTCATGTTCCCATTCTAGAGGAGAATAATGAAGAAGGTAAACCACCCAATTCTTCTCAAACACTTTATGAACCAAACCCCAAATTGATGATAATTTCATACCCAATCCAGAACCATTATGTTGAAATCTTTTTAACATGCATCACCATCTGAATAAATCACTAATATATATTATTCTTTAAAATAAATTATATGTATTAAAAGAAAAATTATTTTAGTTTCAGATGAAGTTCCATAAAAAGAAGACATCTGCTATTCATATTAAGCTGGGAAAAGTTCTTAGGTAACTATTTTCATACATATCTTTTTTGATATAAATTTTTAATTAACTTTTTTTTCCTTTTCTTAACTTTTTAGATCCTCTGGGAAGAAATAAAAACATTATTGTGTATAATATATTTATTTAAAAATAAAAAATAAAATATTTTAACTGTATACATAAAAGATCTTACAACAATGTTCAACACGATCACCCTTTTTCTCTAGAACAGTCGCCCCAACAATAACAAGCCGAGGAAAAGGAACTCCTTGTCCATTCGATTCCAACTGGATGCCCCGCTGCTTCCGTCAAAGAACACCTCTTTCTGGGATGTTTTTCGCACAGCTGCTCCGCCATTAAAGTCCCGCTTCTTCTTGAAGCTCTCATAATACCAATCCATGCCATCCTTGCGGTCTACTCGATCCACTTGGAGGAGCTCCAGCTCTGTGCGCTTTTGGGCATTTGCAGCCAGAAGTTGCTCACTAGCTCCGCCCTCGTTATCCGCACTTGGCGTGGTTCGCTGGTATTCCTCCGCCGTGGGCTGAGCCACTTGTTGCTGGTATGGCGTGTATACCTTGGTGATAGTGGACCGACCACCACCTCGGAGAGGCGGAGGTGGGCCCACTGTGCTTGATGGACGTGCAGGTGTGGCTTGATAGTCGCCCGCATTCTGAGGCGTTGTGGTGGTCATCCACGACCTGCTTTTTATTTGCGCTACGTGCTCTTCAGCCGGTGGAATCAATAAAATAGTCTCCGCTGTGGTTGTCTGTACCAGTGGCGGAGGTCTCAGCAGAGTCACTGATTGCGCCTCCAGATCATCGTCGTCGTAGTGCGATTCCTGCTCCTGTTCACTGCTGGATGAGGCGTCACTTACAGGAGCTGCTGTTGTGGTGCTAGTGGTGGAAAATGTAGTTCTCATCGTGGTAGTTGCTGCTTTGGTTGTGCTAGTACTTGTCCTGGTGCTGGGCATTAAGGGCATGACTGTGGTGACATCTGGAGTGGTTTCTGTTACTTCGTACGTTGCTGTCTCAGCGCTTTCTCCACTGCTAGGAGTGGGTTTGGGCTTGATCTGTCCAGCTATTGGTATAAAGTTTCGCTCACTTTTGACTTCTACTGGTTTGTTGGTGATGTTTACAGCCTCCACCAACCCACGACGCTGCTGAGGATCATGAACGGGCATAAAACCACCCACATGAGCTGGAACAATGGGCCGGAAGCCACCCCGTTCGATGCTAGCAGGTTCCCTAAAAGTTGTCCGAAAGACCCCCACCGTTGTGGCTGCTCCACCGCTTTCATTGCTCAGTGCATCTTCCACTGACGACGTGGTGGAGTCTGTTTCCATGTATCGGTTTCTGGCCACGTTTTTGTTCCCCTGCTGTTGCTGCTGCTGTTGATCCTTCAGGTACTTTTCAAACTCGGCACTATTTGGTTGATACATCCTCGTTTTGCCGCGTCCACTGGGAAGGTTTATGTGGGCCATTCGGTGGGTGGCTGGCATGTCGTCAATAGCATCAGTTCGCTGCTTTCGTCCTCGATCCCCGAATCCGAAAAATCGACCCAAACTCACGCTGGGCAAAGGGTATCCGAAAAAGGTAAAGGGTGATCCTCCAGCTCCTTGCTGGGGCTTCCTATTGAAGTACTTCGTATGGAGGACCGTGTTGTTGAGATCTATGTTGTTATTCAGAGTGGGAGTCGGCTTAGGACGCTGGGAGGTGCTTAGCACTGAATTGGTGGTATCTGGAGACTCAGTTGCATCCACATACTGATCGTAGAAGTACTCGCTCTCGCCCGGCAAAGGTCGTTCTCCAGGCAGTCGGTTGGAGTCGTAGGCATCGCATTCGTCATTGAAATCCTCGGGCAGGTCACGCTGGAAGACGTCTCCATGCTCGTTGAGCAAGGGCAGCTGGTTGCCATCGGTTCTCTCGTTCCCGAAGACTTCAGCACCCAAGCAGAGACTCCTTTCCATGCGAGCCGCTCTTAGAAGGCGTCCATCCTGGCATTTGGGACCCGGATACGGGAAATTGGTCTCCTGCAGCCACACAGAGAGCCATTGCATCTCGCAGTCGCAGTTGATGGGATTCCCTAATGTAAAAGGAAATTTTATATAATATAATAAATCCATTAATTAAACCTCAGATGAGTCTCACCATCTACATCCAGAATGGCTATATTTCCACGAAGATTTCGGAACGTCCTTTCCTTGATGCTCCTCAGTTGATTGTTTCTCATGGAAAGGACTCTTAACCGAGGCATCGTCTCAAAGGGAGAACCCTGAAAGTTAAAAAAAGACCATTAGTGTCTATTATTTATCATTAAAATGTAGGAAACTAGTTACCTGAATCCGACATATCTGATTATTATCCATTTTGAGTTCCACCAGCCAGTTAAGAGCCTTCAGAGGCATCGTGGACACCAACTTGACACCATTGGTAGAAAGATCCAACACCTCCAGGTTGCGCATGCTTCGAAGTCCTATATTCTCCATATTCCTGAAGTGGTTATTGGAGAGATTCAGAAAGACCAGGGAATTGGCGTTATGGAAGCTTTCTGGAGAGATGTAGCGCAGCTTGTTGTACTGAAAGTGAGAGGCCAGGAGGCTTGGCAGCTCCTCAAACACATGATCCTTGAGCTCCACCAACTTATTGTCCGCCAGAACGAACTCCTGCAGCTCGTCGAGTCCTTTGAGGGCCCCCGGCTCCACAGCCCGAATCTCATTGCTACTGAGATCGAGGTACTGTAGTTTGGGGAGATTCCGGAACGTGCCCTGCTGCAGCTCCACAATCAGGTTGTTGGACAATCGAATCTCCACCACATTCCGCCATCCACCGATCACGTCGGATTGAATGCGGGAGATCTGATTGTAGCTGAGATCGATGTCCCGCAGGTTGTGCAGATTCCCCAGTCCCACGGATATGTCCAGGAGGGCGTTACCGGAGAGGTCCAGATACTCCAGAGATCGCTGACTGTCGAAGGCGGTGGGGGAGATGCTGCGGATGAGGTTCCTCGAAAGGTCCAGCTGCTCCAGCCGGCTGTTGTTTGAGAAAAAGTTGTCCGTGATGGCCTCCAGTTTGTTGGACTGCATATTTAGATTCCTCAGCTCTGCCAGGGGGAGCAAGGTTCGCTCGTCCGCCTCGCCCAATTGATTTTCCTGGAGGTGAAGCAGCTCCAGACGTTGGATTCCGATGAAAGAGGTGTCCTCCAATTGGCGCAGCTGATTCTGGGCCAAGCTCAAGACCCTCAGATCGGAAGCGCCCTGGAAACCGTGTCTGGGCAGCTGTTCGATGCGATTCTGGCTGAGATCCAGCATCCGTAAGTTGGGCAGCTGCAGATCCTTGCTGGCAGCTGCCGGAAGAGAGGATATCTGATTGCCCCTCAGGGATATGCGCTCCACAATGCGTGGTAGCCCACCGATAACGTTCTTCAGTTGGTTATAACTGGCGTCCACCTCGAAAAGCCTCTCCAACTGATGGAGTGTCGAAGAGTGAATTTTGGTCAGCTCATTGGAGGATATGTTGAGGGTTTCCAGAAGTGGATTGTGGCGGAAGCTGTTGGGAGCCAGTTCCACAAGGCCATTCTCACTCAGATCCAAACGCCTAAGAGACGGAAGACCAGCCAGTAGCTGGGAGTCTACCCGATCGAACTGGTTCTGGGCGAGATCTAACCCCTTTAAGCCCGGCAAATTCCAAAAGGGAAGCGGCAGGTCCGAGGAAAGGCTGTTGTTTCGCATTCGAAGCTCCCTCAAAGCTGGCATGGCCATCAGAGCGTCCCTTTCGATGAGCCGCAGCTGATTGTGATTCAGATGGAGTTGCTCCAGAGTTCCGTGACCCCTGAGAGCTCCATACGGCAACTCACTCAACACATTCCCACTCATGTCCAGGTACCGGAGGGTGGGCAGAGCATCCAGTAGGGCGCGCAGAGCCTCCACATGCCCGATCTCGTTGTTGTAGATGTGCACGGCCTCCACGCCGCTCCCACTGGCCTGGAGCAGGGACTCCGGGTGGATGCGCCGGATGAGGTTGTTTTGCAAATAAATCGTCTTCAACTGGGGAGTGCGCAGGAAGGCGCCATATTGGAGTTCTGTGATCCGATTGTCGTTCAGGTGCAGCTCCGAGAGATTGGGCAAGTCCACAAAGGAACCGTCCTCTATCACTGTGATGAGGTTGTGGTCCAACCGGAGTTTCTTAAGGTGCTCCAGATCCTTGACAATGCGACCCACCATGCCCACGTCGCTGATCTGGTTGTGGGAGAGCTTCAAGCTCACTAGATTGGGCAATCGGGACAGGGCACGCAAGTGAATCCAGTTGAGACCGTTGTGCGAGAGATCCAGGTTCTTCAGGGAGATCAGGCCATCGAAGAGACCCGCTTCCAGGCGGGTGAGTCCCGTTCCACCCGTAATGTGGATGTGCTGTAGCTTGGGCAGGTGCCGGAACAGATGCGGGGGGAGTTCCTGGAGCGCCCCCGTCTGGACGCTCAGGTAGGTGAGACTGAGGAGGCCCGAGAAGTCCGGCAGATGCTTCAGCTCCTCGCTCTGGATGGTGATGGCCAGCATGTTGATCATCCCGTTCAGACTCTCGGCGGGAATACTCCGAAGTTGCGGCTCCACCACGAAGATCTCCACCAGGCCGTTTTCCAGCTCGTTAAGCCACCCGTTGGAGACCCGTTCGATGCTGTTGTGCCGGAGCATCAGCCTCACGATCTGCAGGCTGCCAAAGAAGCGTCCTGGAAGAGCCGGCAGTTGGTTGTTCTCCAGCACCAGCTCGTCGATCCTCCCCTTGATGTTCCGCTCCACGGCCTTCAGGCCGTCCATGATCTGCGGCAGATTGCTGTGCGAACACCTGCACGGAAAGGCATTATCAGAGTTAATTTACGACCAGGTTGTATAATATAAAAATGGAAAATTGTGAAATTAAATTATCATTAAAAGGTGTTTTCAAATAACACGAAAATAGATTATTAAACAATAAGTGCTTACCATATTTGAATTTCTTTTCCTCTCAAGGAGCACCGACAAGGTAAAATGGCCTGCGATGGCGGACAGCTTTCGGCCCTGATTAGGCTTTGGCCAAAACAGATCAGTAGGAGGCAGATGGGCAGCCACATTATGGCTAAGTCCTGGATTGAATGGGCGGATCTGGCAGGATATGGCCAACCTGGCACATAGCTAGGAGTAAACAAAGGTTTAAACTCAATTATTTATTGGCCATTTCCCTGTTCAAATCAGGGGCGATAAGTCTATAATGGAATTCGGAAAGTAAAACTCCTTGATTAAATTTAGAAAGCAATAATCAAAATAAACAAAACAGTAATCATGTGAACACTTGCTTCGGGATACACCTCCCATCATATATTAGCTAGATTAGACGGAGGGTTCTTGAAATTAAAAATAAATTATGTTTTATTATAGACCGAAAGTTCCGCAGAACGGTAGACGAGACCCCCTTGATGGGACACATGTTCCTATCAAAATTTCCAGTTGGGTTATGACGCACCCGAAACAGCACTTGAAAAAATATAATTATATTATATTATAACCTATTAATAACTCTATTATCAAATTAACAAATTAATTAAGAAAAACTTAGAAAAGGAATAAATTTTAATTAATATATGAGGCTTAAAATTGGAAAATTAGGAGTACCAAGTCTCCAAACCTGATCACCGTGTAGGGGCCTTGATTATCTCTATAAATCAGTTTGGGCCAGCCGATAAGACCCGACTATATAAGGAAAGCCCCATGGGTGGTGACCAGCAATCACCTCAAAAATGGGTGCCATCGCATACTTGCTAGTGTTCTGCTTGGCCGTCGGCCTGGTCGCCGCCGAGAAGTCCGACTACTGTCTCAGTGAGATCATCAAGTCGGATGAAAGGATCCGTTCCCACGGCTACCCGGCCGAGTCCCACACTGTGGTGACCGAGGATGGATACGTGCTGACCCTCTTCCGCATTCCATACTCCCACAAGCTGAAGAACCAGAACGAGAAGCGCCCTCCGGTGCTCCTGCAGCACGGACTTTTTAGTAACTCCGACTGCTTCCTCTCCTCTGGACCGGACAACTCGTTGGCCTACCTTCTGGCCGATGCCGGATACGATGTGTGGCTGGGCAATGCCCGTGGCAACATCTACTCCCGAGAGAACAACATCATCTCTATAAACAGTCCCAAGTTCTGGCACTTTGACTGGCATGAGATCGGAACCATTGACATTCCCGCCATGATTGATTACATTATCGACCTGACCGGATTCTCGCAGGTCCATTACGCTGGACACTCTCAGGGTACCACTGTGTACCTGGTTATGTTGTCCGAACGTCCTGAATACAATGAGAAGATCAAGTCTGGCCATTTGCTGGCTCCGTGCGCTTTCTTCGAGCACGGCAAGTCCTTCGTCTTCAGAACCCTGGGCTCGTTGGTGGGCACTCCCGGCGGAATATGGAACCAGCTGTTGGTGGACACTGAACTGATTCCGCACAACAATCTGGTTAACCGGGTGGTGGACAATAGCTGTCACATGGCTAACTCCATTTGCAACAATGCCTTCATTATGTTTGCCAATGGCGGCTACGTGAACTCCAATGCGGTAAGTCCTGAGATCCAGAAGCGCATTCGGAAGACTAATAACTGACTTCCTATACCTATTTTCTTAGAGCTCCATGAGTGTTTTGATTGAGACACATCCGGGTGGCTCCTCCAGCAACCAGGGCATCCACTTCCTGCAGCTTTGGGCTTCGCACGAGTTCCGTCAGTACGACTGGGGCACCAAGAAGAACATGGAGATCTACGGCCAGGAAGTGCCCCCAGACTACGACCTCAGCCTGATCACCGCCCCCACCCACTCCTACTCCAGCAACAATGATGCCTTGTGCGGACCCCAGGACGTGGACACCCTGGTCTCGAAGTTCACCCACTTGACGGAGGATCATCGGGTGCCCGTGCAGAGCTTCAACCATCTGGACTTTATCATTGCCAAGAACATGAAGGAGCTGGTGAATGATCTGGTTATCGATCGCATCAACTCCTATGAGGGACGTTAAAAAAATGAAATAAAAAAATCAAACTGCAGTCGTTCTTTAAGGAAACTTCCTATCATCCTGATAAACGTAGGAAAGTCCCATTGAGTGCTGCAGTCCAGTACTTTTGAGGGTCATCTAATCTGAATAGGTCCGGGACAGTTGAAACTTCAGGTCTTTATGGCCAAGGTATTCATTTGAATTTATTGGAGGGCTTCTACTGATAAGATTCCGATTAAAAACATATGTCCAATGGTCAGCTATTAATCAAACCCTGCCTTGTCTGGATTTTCTTGCCTTATAATTTATGGCCTATTGTGTTACTACGTATATTTAATAGAATTTAATCAAATTTTTTGCATCGTGATTAGAGCCAATTGAGTTTCTTTGAATTAGTTGGAAAGGATTGATTAAATCATGTATTTTTAAGAATGGAGCCAGATTTCGAATAAAACTTTTTGTTTAACAATAAGTCGATTATGATTAGATTTCAGTTTTAAAAAGGTAAACCCCATAAAGAATTTTCGGCCAGGTGGCCAAAATGTATTTTGAAAAAAGCCCCACCGTAAGATCCTATAATCTTTTTAGGCTCTTGATTCGAGAGCTCCTAGACTCTTTTGGAAGACTAATATAATTATTTATTTAACCCCCACAACTTTGCCAAAATGGTTATGATATTTTAATCTTTTACCATCTTGTAATGCACTTCTAACGCCTCATAAACTTCTTCATTATTGGACTCCGTGGTCGTACGACAGGAAGTCGTAGACGCGATATCTTGTGCAATAGCCCCAAAAGACTCGTCTCGTCTTCATAACATTCAGACATTATACTTCTCCGTGGCATGGCTATAACTATAACTAAGGTATATTCGTCTGCCACCCACCAAAAACCGCCCATACCATGCAACTGCGCAACTCGAAGCGAAAACAAAAAGAAACTCTTTGCGCCAAGAAGCGTAACATGGCTTTTCAACGAAAATTTTGTAATCATTTAACAAAAAAAAATGGAAAAAAAAATAGAAGCAGCTGCAAAAAATCCGAATACATAGAGTGAAACGTTAACCGCCGATTCAGCTTCGGTTTTAGCTTTATCTTCTGCCACCGTCGACCGTTTCTACGCATGCGCACCGGAGTTTACATCAAACGAACCTTGAAATTATTGTCGTTTTCATCATTGTTTGTAGCTCCCTATGTACCTGCATCTATACACTGCTGTAGCTCAATCTCTAGTTGTATTTGTATCTGTATCTTTGGGGGTATCTGTAGTTTCTTTGGCAGACTGAGCTTGCACTGCACGCCTTGAAGTCACACTAAGTGAAGGCCCGCCTCCTTTGCCGCCCTCGGCCCCCTTTTCACTCGCAATTCCATTCTGTTGCGACAATTTCACCTGCTCTGATTTCTTTTTGGTCCCTCTCCCCTCCTCTAACCCCTCACTCAATTAATTAAATAACTGTTTGAGTTAGTTCAACGGCTAACGGTTCCTAAAAGCTTAGATTTAGATTTAGGTGAGTCAGATACAATCCATATGACAGGAAATTTATTACGCGAGGGCGAAAAAGGAAAGATAAGTTTTCTTATAAATGTTATTAATGATTAAAAGATTAAATGCTGATATTTTATTGCTTGGAAATATAAAATTCTTAAATAATAAACAGTCTCGTTTTGAGAAACTTTAATAAAACCACTTTTAAAATGAAACAACTTTCATTTGGGTTTTAGTCTTAAATAAAATATGGACTTTTTGAAGGTAGACTAATTTGTTAATGATTATTATTATGAAGAAAGTTAACATATGAAAAATATTATTAGTATTTCCACATTTAAGCAAACAAATTTCTACATTTATATACATTTATATATATAGCATGAAGCATTTTATTTTAAAGCCCCTAAACTTACTCAATAAAAAAAGATAATCCAATAAGAGTGTCGCCTTGTTTTTAACTTAAAACCAGAAAATGCCTTTCTATATTTTCAATCTCTTTTCTCCTTTTTTTTGTTTATTTTTTTTCAATATAAGAACCTTAAATATTATTCGAAATTGCTTAAAAAACACTTGAATTTGTTGAAATCTTATACACTTCACTTTCAAACGCACTCTTGCTTTTTTACACTTTTAATTCAATTAGCCACCATCACTTGGCTTTAATTTTGGTTGAAATTCGTTGAGTTCTCCGATTATTTGGTAGACGAACCGCCTCGTTTGGAATTCACTCGAAAACTGTTTCTTGTAAAATGTTACAGCCCAGCGGATTACTCAAGATTTCTACCAGAAATGTCGGCCCGAGCAGAGGAGCTTCCTGCTAGTGGCATGCGGCAAATGCGACGACTCTCATTTGGATTCCACACCTGGCGCCACACTTGGCTGACTCCGACTCCGAAGAAGACTTCAACTTAGAGTTGGACTCGAACTCTAGCTCTGGCTCCAACACGGAATCCCTTTGTGGACGCCGTTGTGGAGCTCAGGTGTGGCCATCTGTGACCACAGATCAGAGGTCGCTCTCCCCCGACAGAATGGGCCTGGCCTAAAGCCAACACCGTTTGGAGGAGCATTATAATGAAATTGCAAGTGAAATTATCAGAATTATGACAGTAAATCGCTGAAAAAATGAAGGCTAAGGTAATTCAGGCTTATTTTTACTTTTTCAGCTGGTTTTTGCTGCAATTATGATTAGTTGTAGATAAATTCACCATGATGTTGGCTCTAGAAATAGAAGACAATATAAGAACTAATGTGTAGATGCCAAAAAAACAAATTTATAAAGAATAGTTCTACGAATCGTAAAAGGTATTCCGCTTACAAATCGGATAGTTTTTGCCAAAGATATAGCCATTGCTCAAGGCCATATAGTGACTCCATCCATTTTTAAGAATTTTCAAGGGAACCCTCCTTCCCCATGGAGAAGGACCCACCAGAAAATTTGACAAAAAATCTAAAAAATATTATGTTCTCAGATTTAGATGCATATTTATGGAGAATCGATCCACGAATCGTTTAAGGTATTACGCTAATGAATCGGATAATTTTTGCCAAAAATATAGCCATCGCTAGGGGCCATATAGTGGCTCCATGCATTTTTCAGGATTTTGAAGGGGACCCTCCAGAAAATTTGACAAAAAATCTAAAAAATATTATGATCTCAGATTTAGATGCAGATTTATGGAGAATCGATCCACGAATCGTTTAAGGTATTCCGCAAATGAATCGGATAATTTTTGCCAAAAATATAGCCATCGCTAGGGGCCATATAGTGGATCCATGCATTTTTCAGGATTTTGAAGGGGACCCTCCAGAAAATTTGATAAAAAATTGAAAAAATAATATGTTCTCAGATTTTGATGCAGATTTATGGAGAATCGATCCACAAATCGTTTAAGGTATTCCGCTAATGAATCGGATAATTTTTGCCAAAAATATAGCCATTGCTAGGGGCCATATAGTGGCTCCATGCATTTTTCAGGATTTTGAAGGGAACCCTCCAGAAAATTTGATAAAAAATTGAAAAAATAATATGTTCTCAGATTTTGATGCAGATTTATGGAGAATCGATCCACGAATCGTTTAAGGTATTCCGCTAATGAATCGGATAATTTTTGCCAAAAATATAGCCATCGCTAGGGGCCATATAGTGGCTCCATGCATTTTTCAGGATTTTGTAGGGGACCCTCCAGAAAATTTGACAAAAAATTGAAAAAATATAATGTTCTCAGATTTTGATGCAGATTTATGGAGAATCGATCCACGAATCGTTTAAGGTATTCCGCTAATGAATCGGATAATTTTTGCCAAAAATATAGCCATCGCTAGGGGCCATATAGTGGCTCCATGCATTTTTCAGGATTTTAAAGGGAACCCTCCAGAAAATTTGATAAAAAATTGAAAAAATAATATGTTCTCAGATTTTGATGCAGATTTATGGAGAATCGATCCACAAATCGTTTAAGGTATTCCGCTAATGAATCGGATAATTTTTGCCAAAAATATAGCCATTGCTAGGGGCCATATAGTGGCTCCATGCATTTTTCAGGATTTTGAAGGGAACCCTCCAGAAAATTTGATAAAAAATTGAAAAAATAATATGTTCTCAGATTTTGATGCAGATTTATGGAGAATCGATCCACAAATCGTTTAAGGTATTTCTCTTATGAATCGGATAATTTTTGCCAAAAATATAGCCATTGCTAGGGGCCATATAGTGGCTCCATGCATTTTTCAGGATTTTGAAGGGGACCCTCCAGAAAATTTGACAAAAAATTGAAAAAATATAATGTTCTCAGATTTAGATGCAGATTTATGGAGAATCGATCCACGAATCGTTTAAGGTATTCCGCTAATGAATCGGATAATTTTTGCCAAAAATATAGCCATCGCTAGATGCCATATAGTGGCTCCATGCATTTTACAGGATTTTGAAGGGGACCCCCCAGAAAATTTGACAAGAATCGAAAGAATATTATGTTCTCAGATTTTGATGCAGATTTATGGAGAATCGATCCACGAATCGTTTAAGGTATTCCGCTAATGAATCGGATAATTTTTGCCAAAAATATAGCCATCGCTAGGGGCCATATAGTGGCTCCATGCATTTTTCAGGATTTTAAAGGGAACCCTCCAGAAAATTTGATAAAAAATTGAAAAAATAATATGTTCTCAGATTTTGATGCAGATTTATGGAGAATCGATCCACAAATCGTTTAAGGTATTCCGCTAATGAATCGGATAATTTTTGCCAAAAATATAGCCATTGCTAGGGGCCATATAGTGGCTCCATGCATTTTTCAGGATTTTGAAGGGAACCCTCCAGAAAATTTGATAAAAAATTGAAAAAATAATATGTTCTCAGATTTTGATGCAGATTTATGGAGAATCGATCCACGAATCGTTTAAGGTATTCCGCTAATGAATCGGATAATTTTTGCCAAAAATATAGCCATCGCTAGGGGCCATATAGTGGCTCCATGCATTTTTCAGGATTTTAAAGGGAACCCTCCAGAAAATTTGATAAAAAATTGAAAAAATAATATGTTCTCAGATTTTGATGCAGATTTATGGAGAATCGATCCACAAATCGTTTAAGGTATTCCTCTTATGAATCGGATAATTTTTGCCAAAAATATAGCCATTGCTAGGGGCCATATAGTGGCTCCATGCATTTTTCAGGATTTTGAAGGGGACCCTCCAGAAAATTTGACAAAAAATTTAAAAAATATAATGTTCTCAGATTTTGATGCAGATTTATGGAGAATCGATCCACAAATCGTTTAAGGTATTCCTCTTATGAATCGGATAATTTTTGCCAAAAATATAGCCATTGCTAGGGGCCATATAGTGGCTCCATGCATTTTTCAGGATTTTGAAGGGGACCCTCCAGAAAATTTGACAAAAAATTGAAAAAATATAATGTTCTCAGATTTTGATGCAGATTTATGGAGAATCGATCCACGAATCGTTTAAGGTATTCCGCTAATGAATCGGATAATTTTTGCCAAAAATATAGCCATTGCTAGGGGCCATATAGTGGCTCCATGCATTTTTCAGGATTTTGAAGGGGACCCTCCAGAAAATTTGACAAAAAATTGAAAAAATATAATGTTCTCAGATTTTGATGCAGATTTATGGAGAATCGATCCACGAATCGTTTAAGGTATTCCGCTAATGAATCGGATAATTTTTGCCAAAAATATAGCCATCGCTAGGGGCCATATAGTGGCTCCATGCATTTTTCAGGATTTTAAAGGGAACCCCCCAGAAAATTTGATAAAAAATTGAAAAAATAATATGTTCTCAGATTTTGATGCAGATTTATGGAGAATCGATCCACAAATCGTTTAAGGTATTCCGCTAATGAATCGGATAATTTTTGCCAAAAATATAGCCATCGCTAGGGGCCATATAGTGGCTCCATGCATTTTTCAGGATTTTGAAGGGGACCCTCCAGAAAATTTGACAAAAAATTTAAAAAATATAATGTTCTCAGATTTAGATGCAGATTTATGGAGAATCGATCCACGAATCGTTTAAGGTATTCCGCTAATGAATCGGATAATTTTTGCCAAAAATATAGCCATCGCTAGATGCCATATAGTGGCTCCATGCATTTTACAGGATTTTGAAGGGGACCCCCCAGAAAATTTGACAAGAATCGAAAGAATATTATGTTCTCAGATTTTGATGCAGATTTATGGAGAATCGATCCACGAATCGTTTAAGGTATTCCGTTTAAGAATCGGATGATGTTTGGAGAAGATGCAGCCTTCGCTGGGGCTATATTGTCTCTTCCATGCATTTTTAATACAATTTAATAGAAATTTATATTTTCAATACTGTTAGCTATACTAATATTTTTAAGAGATGATTCTTCAAAACAGATGAACTAAGAATTATTCTATACTTCTAATATTTGGTTTTTAAATTAGCTTTTTGGCAAAGGGGGGAGACAACAAGGAGAAGTGTGACAAGTGAGAATTCCAGTTGTTTTTGTTTTTCTGTGGGAAAACAAATAATATTTTTGTGTCCAAGTGCATAGTATTTATAGGATGTGCTGGCATATAACCCATCGACGTCATGCAGTTGAGAGATTTCCAATTGCCAAGGCCACTGCACACCCTGTAGACCCCCAGTTGACGATAAGCCACCGTCGGAAAATCGTTCCCAGTCATCTAAACTTGTGCTAATTCATTGCACTCGACTATCTCGACACTACACGTGTCCGATCTGGGTCCGGATCACCCGGCTAGTATAAATCCATTTAGGCAAATGCGGTCACTGGCAATGAAATCGAAATTTGTGTCCAAGGTTAATTTCATCTGCGGTTCAAGTGTATCAAAAAGATACTGACAGTCATTCTGGATATGCAAATAAAGATATAAGAGGATGTTGAATGGATTTTTTTAAAAATAAATTGATTTATATCCTAAAGTTTTTTTATGAATATTTGCATAGAGGATTTTAATGTAAAATTTAAAACGGCACAGTCTTTTAAAAAAAGGTCTTTCAGACCCAGCCCCCAAAAAAAAGGGGGCCTGTCCCGAAGCTCCCCTACAGATCACCCTATAAAAAGCAATTGCATAACTCGGACAATACTATGTACAATGAGTTTGTTTTTTCTGATTTAGACATGCCCCTCCACATAAAAGGAAACCCATCCAATCCATCTGAACCGACATCTGAATGTTGTTTTTGATGTTTTTGTCAACCGCCAGGCCTCCTCCACTTGGTTCGCTTTCGTTTTTATTGAATCACTTGAATATTGGCGGCCTGGTCTGGTGTGGTCTGGCCTGGCCTGGCCTCCCAAACAAAATCAGTGCGCCATGGCGACAGCTCCCCCTTGGAATTTGACTGGCTGCCAAGTAACCAACACTAACTAAACTAATCCAAATAACTAAGCGAGCTGAAGGCGTCGGCAGCCGACGGGATCCGAGTGCTCACGCGATATATATGAGGAAAACATATAGCGGAAATTAGGCGGTATGTAATTCTGAGAGCTTCATGAAAAATATTTTGCAAATTTTGAAATCAGTTGAAAATCATCACTCGTTCACTGCGCGTGTCGTGTCCGGGATTTTGAATCGACTCCTAGAATGTTTCGCAAATGCCTCGCCAACCTGGCCCTGGCTGCCCCCGCCCCAAGCACCCAGCAGATATCAAGGATAACTCCAATCATTAGCCAGTTGCTGCTCCAGCGCCGCAGTGTTCATCAAATCCCTGTCCAGGGCAGGCCACCCAAGATTCTGATTACAGGTCAGTAGCCCCTGCCACGTGTCCGGTTTATATTTATTCGCATGGCGACACGGCCCTCAAGGCTGCCGCCCATCTGTCGCGTTATATATTTCAGAATATATCTAAAAATATATATCCCTACAGGTTTATTTTGGAAATATATGTTGGTGAAAGCAAAATATTTGATTAAAAATAGTAAATGTTTTGAGGGAAAATTTTTAAACTTTTTAGATGGGCTCTTAAGTTAGTTTTAAAGGAATTATTTTATTTAATTTAAGAAATTCGTATTCCTTATCATTTTTTCCAGGTGGATTGGGACAATTGGGCATCGAGTGTGCCAAGCTCCTGCGGACACAATATGGCAGCCACAATGTGATCCTTTCTGACATCATCAAGCCCAGTAAAGAGGTAACCGACAATGGGCCATATATCTTTGCCGATATCCTGGATTTCAAGGGTCTGCAGAAGATCGTGGTGGATCATCGCATTGACTGGTTGATCCACTTCTCGGCTCTACTCAGTGCTGTGGGAGAACAGAATGTTCCACTGGCTGTAAGGTAAGGATACTAATATACATAGTGGTTTGGATTAAAAAATTACTAAGTATTTTTCTATAAATTAAAAAAGATTTTTGTATGTAATATTTATAATCAGTGTAATTATCATAATTATCAGTTTAAAAATAGAATTGTTTCTAAGACAACAATCACTCATTATTATTTTAATCGGCACATTACCTGATCGATTTATTTTTCTAAAGCTTTATAGATTAAATAAAATAATTAAATGTTAATTTCATGTAATTTATATATTTCTAGGGTCAACATCGAGGGTGTCCACAACGTCATAGAGTTGGCCAAACAGTACAAGCTTCGCATCTTTGTGCCAAGCACTATTGGGGCTTTCGGGCCCGACAGTCCCCGCAATCCCACGCCAAACGTTACGGTATGAAAACTACGGCCCCCAACTGAATGTTTGTTCAATACTGACTTATTGTCCTACTTAACAAGATCCAACGTCCGCGTACCATTTATGGAGTTTCCAAGGTACATGCCGAGCTAATTGGCGAGTACTACTACCACAAGTTTGGCCTGGACTTCAGGTGCCTCCGCTTCCCGGGAGTAATTTCCAGTGATCCACCAGGCGGTGGTACCACAGGTAGGAAATGTCTTTTTCCAATTTCCATTGCTTAAAATAACCATCTTGAAGATATGTACTTTCCCTCGTTTGAAACTGTGTCGTCAAGCGCATTTCAAGCTTTATTTAATCCAATTCCATATCATAAAATGCCTCAATTGCTGATAGTTTATGATAATCAAAGAGCATGACAATGGGCATAATTTGGGGGTGTATCTATTATGTGGATACCTCTTGACCCATTAAGCTGTTGACTAGGCTAAAGATGTTTTTTATTGAATTGCAGAAAAACTTTTATGATTTTAGGAGATATGCTTTCTTTAAGTATTTCTTTTAAACCTTATTTGAATAGTTTTCTTTAAAATCATAAAATGCTATTATAACTAATGGCATTAGCAATTTAATCTAATTATAATTTTCTAAACAATTTAAATAAAAGTAATTTTTGAAAAATAATTAAATTGTTAACGTATTATCTAGTTAATGTCTAGATAATGTTGCATACTTTTAGACATTTTTGAATTAAATAGATATGGATGAATAGAAATGTAAATTTTAAAATCAAAGTATTAAAAACAAGCCACTACTGTATAACAAGCTACTATAGATAATATATTAAATTATATTTAAATTATTTTTTTTAGATTATGCCGTTGCCGTGTTCCATGATGCCCTGCGGCATGGTAAATACACTTGCTACCTTCGTCCAGATACCCGACTGCCAATGATGTATATCGAGGATTGTTTGAGGTAATTATTTTAAAATACCTGTAAATAATTTCAATAAAATTAATATATTCTCATAACCTGATCAGAGCCCTCCTTGAATTCATGAGCGCGCCAAATGAAGTGCTGAAGCGCCGCGTCTACAACGTAACCGCCATGTCCTTCACGCCGGAAGAACTGGTGGACAAACTGAGCAAGCACGTGCCCAATCTGCACGTGATCTACAAGCCGGACACCCGCCAACTGATTGCCGACTCGTGGCCACAGGTGTTTGACGACTCCGAGGCCCGGCGAGACTGGAACTGGCAGCACAAATACGACCTAGACAACCTGGTCGACTTTATGGTTAAGGACGTGCAGGAGAACTACATTGACGTGGAGAACCTTAACAAGCAGACACTGAAGATATACTGAAACGATCACAAGATCACAGCCGCATCTAGTATTCTTAAGTACAGACATTTAATTGCATTTACCGCAGCATTTATCTAGAGAATACACTTTACAAATACCATGTACAATTTATCTTTGAAAATATAGATCAAGTTTTTCCATCGAAAGGTTAGCTTCTGATTTTATTTGAATCCAAATACTAAAACTAAGCACCTTTGTGTGTTTCGATATGCGGAACTTACTTTACTACTTAGGTAGGGTAGGATTTACAATGCATTCATTGATTCTATATCGGCTTAGGCTATAGACAACCCTATAGTTCAGATATCAGACTCCTCCTGCTCCGTGCCGCTCAGCTCACGGAAGTGATGCAGACAACCGCCATGCGTGGCTATATACAAGTCCGCCTCGGTTTCGCTGCATTTGGCATTACATTTTTGGATTTTCTCGCAAAGATCTAGGTCATTTCTTGATTTGCGCTTCCTAGGCTCAGCTTGTTGCTCTGCGGGTTCTGTAAACGAGCAGAGAGTGGAGTTTGTCCATCAGTTTTTTAATATTTCGTGTAGTTGTCGGGTTGCTTTTTCTTTAGATCTTCCACAAAGTGTTATTGCATGATAGGTCAATTTATTTTTACACAAAACTCCAAGATTGTTTCAATAATTTCATAGAATTTTAAATTACAAAACTGTAAGAGTCCTTTGTACTTCATACAACTGATAATAAAATCGGATAAGGACTAAGATACATAATTTTCGTAGACATTTTGAACTTATGGTGATCACTTTCACCATCACCGCCTTGCCGTCCAATTCCCAGTTTGGACTGTAGCTACTCGTCGTCCTTGGACCCTAATAAAAGCCTAAAAGTTCTATTCCAAAATATATCGGGAATGAGAACCAAGACCCGGATGGTATTCCTCAATTCTTCTGCCTGCGATTTTGATGTAATCATCCTTGTGGAAACCTGGCTCAATGACAAATTCAGCTCCTCTGAGTTCTTCGAGCCTAATTTGTACCATGTATTTCGAAAGGACCGAGATGCATTCAGTACCCAGTGTGAGCGAGGTGGAGGTGTGATCATCGCTATCCGTCGATCTCTTCAGGCTACACCACTGCGCCTTCCGGTGGCCGACCCTTTACTGGATCAGCTTGCGGTCTCAATCCAGGGCGTCCATGGCCCGTTCGTCATCATTGCATCATACATCCCTCCGAACAGCGCATTCAGTATATATCATGCGCATATGGAAAACATCACTAGTGTCTGTGCTAGAACGTCGGACCCTACCGCTTTGATGGTAGCTGGCGATTTCAACCTGAGCTCCATTGTCTGGTCTTGGGACCCGGAATCTCCCTGCATGCTACCTAGCAACGTTCACCAGAGTCATGAAATTGTAGTTTTAGATGATATTTTTAGTCTGGGCCTCTCCCAAGTAAATAATATTTTTAATGATTTATCCAAAATTCTTGATCTTATATTTTTAAATAATTTGATTAATAGTACAGTAGAATTATGCAATGTACCATTAAGTCCTTGTGATATGCACCACAAGCCGTTGGTAATTAATATTGAGTTTTATAGTTTTTTGCCTTCTGCTTCCCCCATTCCATATTATCATCTGAATGATACTAACTTGTCACTTATTAACGCCTCTATTTCAGCCTTTGATTGGGTTTCCCTTTTTTCGGATGGCTCAATCGATGATTGTTATACTAAGTTCTTGGTTGCCCTTTTTAATATTATTGATACTTATGCCCCTGTGAGGGTACGAAGATCCTATAGGCTTCCCTGGTACACAAAAGGTTTAAAAAACTTAAAGAATAGAAGGGATAAGCACTACAAACGATTTATATTGACAGGTGAGACTCGAGCAGGAGAGCTGTACCGGCAATTTAAGCGGGAATTTGATTTCCTTAATAAGTTCCTCTACAATCAGTATATATCCGATGTCGAAGCTAGCCTTCGATCCAATCCTAAAGCTTTTTGGCGGTTTGTTAACAGCAAAAAGTCAAAATCGGACATACCTTCATCCATATGTTATGGTAATTTAGCAGCCGACTCGGATCAGGGCGTTTCTGATCTTTTTGCAAAATACTTTGCCTCTAACTTGGAGCCGAAGGTTCCTTGGAGTGATCATGAAACTCTTCTTAGCATTGAGCCTTTTCTTAATGTGAGTAACATGGACGTTTTGGACGGTGACCTAGTTGAAGCCACTGGACATCTGACCGAGTCGCTCACACCTGACGTGGACGGTATCTCCCCATTCTTTCTTAAGAGGAGTATCGCTTCTCTTTCTACTCCCCCTTCAACTGCTGTTCTCCTTTTCGCTCTCTTCTGGTAGATTCCCCCACCGGTGGAAGATTACTTCTATATCGCCTATTCACAAAGGTGGCAGTAGGTGTGATGTTACTAACTATCGACCTATAGCCAAAATTTGCAACGTCGCTAAGATACTGGAGCGGATAGTAACTAAAAAATTGACTTTTCTGGCTCGCAATTTCATATCCCCCAACCAGCATGGTTTTCTGCCTGGGAGGTCCACTACCACTAATTTAGCTGTCTTTTCTAAGCACTGCTTTGAAGCTTTTGAAAACCGATTTCAGGTTGATGCCATTTACACCGACTTCTCCAAAGCCTTCGACAAAGTGTGTCATGCTGCCCTTCTGGCCAAATTATATAAATTAGGTATTCATTCCTGCCTATTAAGTTGGTTCGAGTCTTATCTGGCTGACCGACCTTGCCACGTTACTGTTGGAGACGCTATCTCAAGTCCATTTGTCACCTCCTCTGGTCTTCCACAAGGCAGCTCTCTTGGACCTCTTCTATTTATAATTTTCATTAATGACATCTCGTCATGCTTTCGTCATTCGCACTTTTTAATGTATGCGGATGACCTTAAAATCTATAAAGAGATTAGCTGCATTAGTGACAGTTACTTGTTACAGGAGGATATATCCAGAGTTTACTCATGGTGCTCCCGCAATCTTCTTCCATTAAACTTATCTAAGTGTTTGTTTACCCGTTACAGTAGGCGGTCTCTTGAAATCTGTACGGGTTATTCCATCAACAATTATAATTTGGCAGCTAAAGAAGAGGTGTTAGACCTTGGTGTCTTATTCGACAGCAAATTTAAATTTTCGGGTCACTTAGACTACATTTTACCTAAAGCGTATGCTATGCTGGGCTTTGTTAAGAGGCACGTGAACCAGTTTAAAAGTCCATACTCGAGCCTCAGCGTCTATGCTGCATTCATTCGGTCGAGGCTGGAATATGCCTCAATCATTTGGAACCCGGAGTGTAAAGTTCGTTCCAATAGAATTGAGCGACTCCAGAAAAAATTTTTAAAATTTGCACTTCTGCCTCTAAGGTTTCAGGATCCTGTTCCTTCTTACCAGAGCCGTTGCCTTCTTCTGAACGTTTGCACGTTGGAGGATCGGCGTAAACTGGCAGCGTTAACCTTTTTAAATAATTTAATCGTTAATAACATTGATTGTCCTTTTTTGTTGGGACTCGTTAATTTTAATGTTCCTCAAAGGGACCTTCGTACCTTTGCCCCCTTTCGGGTCAAATGTCATAGGGCCAATTATTTCTTAAATGAGCCGATAGAGCGGGCTCTTTCTTATTTTAATTCTTTGCCGCCTAGCCTCCGAACTGAGTGGGGCTCAGATAAGGGTGTGTTAAAACACAAGTTATTAAGGCATTTATTAAGTTTTTGTTAATTTTGTAGTTTTATTTATTAGGTGTAAGTTGTTATGTTATGTAGCCATGTAAGGATTTGTCCATTGGCGAAATAAATAAATAAATAAATAAATAAATAAATAAGTGATTACAATTAAACTACAACTTATTTAATAGAACATCAAGTTGTTTGGAAAGCTTACAACCTAAACTGTGTATGCACATCCAACACTTTGTGAAGGCTCTAAGCAGGTTTATACATTTTACTTAGGACTATATTGCTTCTTTTGTTTATTAAGTAATTCAATTAGGTAGTTAAGTACATTTGAGTTAGCTTGGATTTGATTGTACAAAGGGATGGGTTTCAACATCTTGATCAGAGTATTGACTGCATGATTGATTCGTTCGCTGCTTTGTTATTTTACATATTGAACTTTTTGGTTTTGTTAATTCATTTCGTTTTCTGTGTTTTGTTAACTTCTTGCTTATGACTCATGGATATACTGCTTGTTTAGCAAATAACGAGAGACGCGTCGCGGTGAACTGTTGCATGTGTTTCATACATTTTTGAGTGGGAGTACAATTACAATTCATTTTATATACAATTTAGGTTTCATATATATTCACGCGGGACTCTAAATCATGTGCGACATCATGCAACGACTCACATCACGGTTAGCGCGGTGCAAATGACCTTGATAATGCTGATGGATGCGTTGGTGAAGAAGCTGCTGCTGCTGGTGCTGCTGCTGTTGTTGATGATGCTCCTCATGGGACTGGGCCGCCTCTGCCTCCATCATACTGCCGCCGTTGGCCTGCATCTCGTAATCCATTAAGCAGGCCTGTGTTCCAATTATTTGTGTGGCAGGCAGTGAAAAGAAATCTGCAAGGTGAGACAAAAAAAAAGAGAGAAACCGATTAGTAAACGCAATCAGGGGCACTGCATGCGCAACACGTTGCTGCCGGTGCTGCTGCACTGTCGACGCCGATAGTTGCCCCAATTACCCCGATCGTTTATTTATAGACAACTCAAGCGTCGTTGACAGCGTCGAGTTGCGAATGCTGTCATTTCTTATCTTCGTTTTTTTTTTTGTTTGTTTACAGATACGGTAAGCCGGAATAGCCACTATTTAAAAACTGGCACTCAAATATGAATTTAAATTGCTTTAAAGGAAGTGCAAACTTTATATTACTTTTTATTGCTTGCACAACCCATAAGTTCTCCCATAAGCTCCTTCATTCCTCCCTATAAATATTGATTCCCACTTGTTAGATATACACACTTTTTTTACCGGCTGTTCTCCACCCACTCGCCCTCAAAAGCTATTGCGAATGCAGATTGGTTAACATCCAAGGGATGAACATTGAATTGCAAGACTCTGCTGACCTCCTAGCCTCCCTTCGCCCCTCCACGCCTGTAATTCGCAGCAAACCACCGTGTTTGGGCAGGCAAGCGCAGCGAGATAATGACTACCAAGCCGGTTTGCTTTGGCTTTTGCTTAAATTAAGTCCCTGTCAAGTGCTTATCGTCGTGAGTGCGGTGCTTTCTGTGTGCCTGCGATAGCGGAAACCACACTAAATAAATGGAAACTGATAACCCAGGTCACCAAGCCGGGCCACCGAAAACGAATTAGGCTGTGAGGTCAGCCAATTTTGTAAGATTACAATTTTTACGACACTTTCCTCGCAACGCCAATTAAATGTGTGGAAAAAATAAACTCAAGGCCGAGTGATTAACGCCAAAAATTACAGCAGAAATTATCTGGCGGCTGATTCCGGTTTCAGCTCAAGAGTATTAGGCTATTACTTGAGTAAAAGTATAACAAACACACGTGGTTCATTAAGTTTTAAAGCTATAATCAAATATATACATACCATTGCAATACTGGGCAGCCAAGTCTACATCATCGTAGCGGCAGCGCTTGGTGTACATTGGGTGGTCCACGTCCGAGTCCCCGCCAGTTGGATCATTGGGATTCAGGCGCTTCTTGCAGCGCACCTCCATGGGCATAACGACTTCCTGCATCGGTGGCCCACTTAGGTGATTGCTGCTGCTGTTGATGCTGTTGTTGTTGTTGGCATCGGCGTCAGTAATAAATGCAGCCGGCAGGTGGGTGACAGCACGTGGATTGAACGGATCGATGGCGGGACGAAGTGTCCCGGTTTCGAAATTGGCGGCTGTCGCCGGATCGCCATGTGCCCAGCACTCGAAATTCGTTAAGACCATCGTGGAAAATTCCCTAGCTGGCGCGAGGTGAAAAAAATGCGCGTCTCAACTGTACGCGATCGAGCGGCAAACTGCAGGCGTTCGCAATACCTATAGATTTCTGTATTCGGTTAATTACTACCGAATATACGCAGCAATTGCCAATGGCTGAAATAAATTAAATTAACACACGCAAGCAACGGGCCAAATCCACGACTGCGATGACGGCAACTGTTATAAATAAACCAATAAGCAAGTTTACATTTTGCCGCGTGCGCTTTGATTCGCGTCTCCGTTCGCTTTGTTTTCCTTTCGCTTTAGTGTGACCGCATGCGAGGTGACGCAATATGCTGGTAGTGTTGAAGATAATACTGAAATATACCGCAAAAGTAACATGCGAGGGTCGCAAAATAGTTCTTATATTTAATATTTTTAAAATATCAAGCAAATACTAATATTATTATTAAATTTAACCTATTTCTACCTAAACATATGTTTACATAATCCAAACACTTCAGCAAGGAAATAATCTTATTAGTTTTTACTATTTCAACAAAGAGTAGTATTACTTAATTAGAAACAACGTTATGCCTATTTAAAAAATAAGTACTTAAATATTAAAACATTTTATGTTTTCAAAACAAGCAACAAGGTAATCTGTTTAAACCCGTGAATCGTTACCGTGAACGATAACATTATTCAGTATTTCTGCTAAGCCAATACGGCCATACCATTTATCATGTGATTTGTGATTTGTCAAAAATATTTTTGATAACCGAATGGCAGGCCAAAGCAAAAAGTGAAACTATAAGAAATATTGGCTATTTTCAATTAAACTGGGTCAAAGCTAGCTAGAATTATGTCGAACAAAAACAAGAAAAGCGGAGGAGCCGGAAACGGGGCAGCACAGAAACAGACCCGCCAGCAGTCACACGTAAACATTGGCAGCTCATTTGCCGGCTCCCTAATCCCATAGTTTACTATTTACAGGACTCGCAGGACTACAGCTCTTTCAAAACAGTTCTGTTCTACTGCATGCTCATAGTTTTCCTGCCCGTTGTGACGTTCTTTGTTCTCAAAGGTTTCGTTCTGGACCAATTCTTCAGTCTGACCGAGGTTAAAGTCAATATTGCATCCGCCGTGGGCGCGGTAGTGTCGCTGCACATTGCTCTGGGGCTGTATATCTACCGGGCGTATTTCGGAGCACCCGGCTCCAAGGTGGTCAAGGAGGACTAATCTCCGCCAGGATGAAAGCCAGGACTGTTTCCCATTTCCAAACTCTATAGTTAAGACTAAAAATCGCTCTGTACATACGCATAAACAAATGCTTACATGCCATCGAGGGAGGAGAAAGTGGCGTGTAACTATCCCGTGTAATCGTTTTCCATTGCATAAGTTTCGATAAACGATGCGTGGAAAACGTGCCGAATAGTTTGTTGTCTAGTGTTTTATGTGTGTGCATAATTTGTATTAAAGAAAACGAAAATGCGTGTTCCATTCCGTAATTTTTCTATTATTGATGCTGTAACTAAGTTGCTACCGAAGCCGCGAAAAAAGATTTACAATCTTGGTGCTTGTTTCGAGCTAGTGGATATCCCAAAGGTTGGTAGTCATAGAATTTGGGAAAAGGTAGAATTTTCTTAAAGGTCATGGGTAGTAGAGATTGGAAATATCTACTGATTGCATCTCGAGAATTTGAGGTCTTTTGTTTTATTTTGAACTGTGAAGTTGTTTTTTTTAGAAACAAAATATATTAATTTGTTTTAATGACTTAGAATGAGGTACACTAAAACAATCCAAAAAGAATATTTGCTTATCCCGAAAGATACATATCTTTTCAAACCTTTTTCCCTAGAAAACCGTTAAATATTTCTATATTTTTAGTTACACTTTATGTATGAAAAATTGCCATTAAAGCTTGTTCTTATCTTTCTAAAGAAACAAATATACTTTGATGCTGGAATTCAAAAACATAAATAATCCCCTGTTTTGAAAAATCACACATTTATAATTTATTAATAAACACCGGCGCTGCCACCTGTTTGTTTATGGCGTTGCCACCTGCTCGCAGGCCGACCCAACAGCTGTTCAAGCATTTATAAGTTCGAGAAATCCCAGAAGTTGACCCTAACTACATATTTGCTAATATCATAAATTCCTAGTGTGTGTGCGCCACGCAGGAGATTTCCTTAACCACATGCTGCAGTCTGTTCCGAAGCCGTGCCATCGACGCACGTCCTTGAGGCCTGGGCACCTGCCGCAATTGATTACAACCACCTGTTGGTGCAAATACTCCCACTCACTGTGGAACAAACAAACGCAAATCCGCGGAACATAGCCACGTCTTCTCCAATCAGTCGATTAAATATGCTTCACCGACAACCATCTTATATGTGGACGCTGTGCGTTCATGCGGCCTTGATGGCCACTATGGTCAAAGGATCTGTTGCCCCAACAGATAATTTGGTCGGACGTTTACAGGTTTTAAGCTACCCACCACTCTGAGCCAATAGTTTCCTAACAAACCCTTTATTTTATCAACAGAAATCGTACAACCCCAGCCAGCTGTCAGATTCAAAGTTCCTGGAGTACAGCATGTTGTCGGATAAACTGCATCTCAGAGAGGCAATCAATAACATTATGATACCCAGGATTGTGGGCACGGGAAACCACACCATTGTGCGAAATTATATTAAGGACAGTCTTCAAAATCTTGGCTGGAACGTGGAGCTTGACAGCTTCCATGATACGGCACCCGTCAAGGGAAAGCTACATTTCCACAACATCATTGCCACCCTAAATCCCAACGCGGAGCGATATCTGGTGCTAGCCTGCCACTATGATAGCAAGTACATGCCTGGAGTGAAGTTTCTGGGTGCCACTGACTCAGCAGTGCCCTGCGCCATGCTCGTGAACTTGGCCCATGTGTTCCAGGAACAACTTCTTCCGTTCACGAAGACTCCACTCAGTTTAATGCTGCTCTTCTTCGACGGTGAGGAGGCATTCCAAGAGTGGGGACCCGACGACTCAATTTATGGGGCCAGACATTTAGCCAGGAAGTGGCAGCAGGAAGGAAAACTGGATCGAATCGATATCCTCGTGCTTTTGGATCTCCTGGGAGCTCCAGATCCCGCCTTCTACAGTTTCTTTGCCAAAACCGAGGGTTGGTACATGCGAATGCAGTCGGTGGAAACGCGTCTCGCCAAGCTACAACTTCTGGAGCGCTACGCCACCAGCGGTGTTTCCCAGCGGGATCCTACGCGCTACTTCCAGTCCCAAGCCATGAGCTCCTCCTACATCGAGGACGATCACATACCGTTTCTCCGGCGAAATGTACCGATCCTCCACCTGATTCCCGTGCCCTTTCCCAGTGTCTGGCATACGCCCGACGATAATGGCAGCGTGATTGATTATGCGGCGACCAACAACCTGGCGATGATTATTCGCCTCTTCACTTTGGAGTACTTAATGGGTGCAGGCGGGGACCAGTGAATCAGAACTGGGCCTTATCTTAACCTGACCTAATTGATATCGACAAAATGTTATAAGTTCGGACCACCGTGAAATCCTCGCGGATCTAATTGTTAACCGACTGTGTGCTTCGAGCCTACTTAAGCAGTACTGCAATGCGCATAATCCAAATATTTGAATACGCCTATATTTATGTAAAATAGTTAAATCATCGTCCTAGCCAATGACATCCGTATCTGTATATTTTCTTGTAATTTTCGGTTGTAAATTCCTTAGACATATGCGTTACAAAATATGTATAGTAAACGTTAATTAAAACTAACTCTTAACTACACTGGTGGGCAAAATTCAGTATGATTCCAGTCACATGCGACTACATTTTGCTAACCAAAGACATTTAAGCGTATCGTCCAGATAGGGATCTCCGAAATGAATATGGCATTTTCGTAAGCTAACTTAAAACTATCAAAATCTTGAAGCCTTGATTCAATACTATACAGAAGCTGAGATGAGTCAGCCGCTCGCGGGTGCGTCTGGAGGTGTGTCTTCTACCGGAGTTTGGATTACCGGCTGGGATGCTGACTGTGGCAGCGGGGACTTGGGTTTCGCCGCATCCTCCTCCTTACCCTCCATTAATTGCGCGGCACTCAGCTCCTTGGGCTTCTCCACAACCACAGCGCAGAGTTCCGAGCAGGATTTTGATTTGTTTTTGCCATGATCATGGTTATTGCCTTGACATTTGGCTGGAGAGCTGGGCTTCCGGCCATTGGGAGCATCGCAGATCTCGCGAAGATCGGTGCGCGAGTCCCGACAACAGACCTTTTCGATGCACTCCGCCGCCTGACATTGCATCAGGCACTCCAGCGACGCCGAGGCGTTCTTGTTGGTGGACGGGTAGAACTCCGGCTGGATGGTGACCGCTCCGATTCCCTGCTCGTGGAAATACGCCCGCACCTGCTCAATGATCTTCAGATAGAGCTTGGGATTCTGGAACTGGATGTGAATGGTGGCCACATATCGGTGGGCGGCCAACTGCCAGATGTGAAGATCGTGGTAACTGATGATTTCTGGAAACTTGGCGACCAGGGTGCGCTCAAAGATCTCCAGGTCAATGGAGCCGGGTATGGTCTGCAGCAGAATGAGGCACGATTCTTTCACTACGGTAAGGATAAGGCATTAGTTTTAGGACAGAAAATGGTAACTTTCTAATGGACACTTACTGTAGGGATAGCTGAGGGACACCAGCAGGACACAGGAGAAAATGGACAGCACTGGATCTATGAACTTGGCGGTGTGCTCCTCATCCTCAGCCACATAGACAATGGCAGCGCATACAATCACAAAAATCGTACTGGACACATCGCGGAGCATCTCAACAGCTCCCTGGCGCTTGGTGGCAAAGTAAACACTTCCGACTTCCGTCTCCAGTTCCTCTCGCAGCTGACGATCGTTCCTGGACTTGCTGAGCTGCCGCTGCATGGGCGTCAGCGATAGATCCACGTTACTGGACATGGGCCTCTCGAGCACCACATTGCCGCCGGGGGTCAGGTGCAGGAAGCTTCCTTGATGCAACGTGTAGCCGCCAATCAGCAGATACGTCAGTCCATTCAGGATGAGACCCACGAAGCCCAGCATCATCACAGGGATCGGCAGGTGCATCGTGTCCTTGTGATCGATATGCACGAGGGTCTGGAGGGCCTCCACCACCAGCGAGAAGGACAACGAGGCCAGGATGATGAACACAATGAGCATGGTCAGGATGTCGATTCGGGCCCAGCCAAAGGTGTTGCGGAGTTTCTCCTCCCGGCTGTCCCGCTTAGCCCTCTTTTGGGCCTCCGATTCGGCCAGGTTGACAATCTCTCCGGAGGAGCCATTCGACTTGGTCTGAACTGCAGGGGAATCCTTGGCTTCGGGTGTCTGTTTGCTGTGCTGCATGGATAGGAATTAAAAAATAAATAAATATTTAATTAATGTTTAAATATAAGCAGAGAATGGTTCGTCACCTACTCAAACTGCCATTCAGAGGCATTTTCTAACCATATTTAAGTTATGAATAATTTTGTATTAAAATGTATAAAATTTCTCTTTAAAAACATGATATTTCCCATTTAATGACCAAGAAATTTCCGATGATTTTTTGACAATCAGAACCCAAAAAATAAAGTTCATTCGTCGTCATGCTTTCTAAGCCAAATCATAACAATTGGCATTGGCCCATCTACTACATTGACTGGCAGAGGTATTTAAACGCTTCGCTGGCCACCAGCCTGCTGCTCCATTATATAAGCTTGGAATCAGCCCACTCAACTGTCCACACCTACAACACCAAAGCTGACTGACTGACTAGTTGGAGGCTTTCGATTTCTGGTGTTTGCCGATTTTTTTGGCCAAGTCTTGTTCGGTTTTCAGCTTTTGGGGTCTGGTCTTTGTGTTTTTGCGAAACGTGCTTGGCACGCTTTCCCATGGCGGCAGATATTTATGCTTTTATTTTTTTTTTACTTTTTTTGCATCTATTCACTAATAAAATATTTAACTTTGACGACTGGCTCATAAATTGCAGTTGGACATTGTTTTCATCGCAGTATTCACCTTGAATTTAAATTAAAGCGTTACAAATGGGAATTCGATTGTGATTCGGATTATTTGATAAAAGTTGGATATTAAAAACTATTTGAATGGTTAGTTTTAATTCAAAACTACTGACCATCAATATGGTGATAAGACTAACTACTTTGTAGTTAAAAATAAAAGAAATACTTCCAGAAAATCATAAATTATCCGAAAAATGCAAACGAAACTCGTTTTAAACAAAAAATAAAAAGGGGTTTGGAATGCGTTGGATACATTTTTGTGGGATTTGCTTTTCTGGTGCTTTGCTTTTCTGATCGCAATCAGAGTTCAATGCACCTGCCAGCATCTGTTTCAACTCAACACCCAGCACGCGACAGTTTCCTGGCCAAAATAAAAGCCAATCCAGACTACACAGAGGAAAAATAATATAACCAGGAATTAGTAAGCCTTTTAATCCAATTTAAGATTTTTACCACTGTCTACCAAGTCTTTGAGGTTTAAAATATATTTTTTAAATATTAAAATAAACAAAACTGGTTACCTTAATTGTAATAATGCAGCCGCCGAGTGCGAAAATATTGCACAACATGTGATGGGAGGCCATCAGTAGAGTCAGGGCGTGGGTGACATGGCTCAGGATCAGTTGGAGCACAAAGTAGCATATGGACAGAACCAGGACCACATACAGGGGGATGGGTCTGCAGCGCTGCAGTATCTCCTTCACCGGCATTATAGTATCTGTGGAGAGTAGAGGTGAGAATGGGTTTTTCAAATATTTGGATTATGCAGAGCATGTGCCTATAGAGGTCAGCACCACCTGCCAGCCAAACCCATAGGGGTGTGATCTATATAAATGGGAATAATTTATTGTTTAAACGAACTCATCAGCAGGTTGTCAGGTTTATCAATAAATGAGAGATATTTTTATTCGCAAAATGATTAACGATTAAGAGGGACTACCTTTCTAATCCCCAAAAACCTCACCGAAACTGTGTCAAGTTCAAGACTCGGTTATGGGTTAACTGAACTGCACCGATCGGGAACTCTACTGCCCTGAACCGAGCCTAACCTGCCATATTTAGGGTTCAACCCATGCCAATCGCCAATGCAAATCATATATAGACATGGGCCGAGCTGGGGCTGGGGCTGGGGCTCCTCCTCCAGCTACTGGAGGCGGTGGGTTGCATGCAAATGAAGATGCTAAATGGGCTCGTTTTACCTGCGGCTACCTCGGGGTATCTTGTTGAATTGATCACCAACGACATTGACGTAACTTTACGTGATCGCGGAATATGGCTACCGAATGTTTGTTGGCTTGTTTGCCGCCATGTAACCCCAAGGTTGAACCCTACTCGGCTTAAATGCCCTCCAATAGGGCAATTATCGGAAGACATGTCAATGCTATTAGGGATAATCCCAATAACTACTTGTAATTCATAGATCCCCCTTTCTGCTTCATCCAATTCCTGATTGATATCTCTCGGATCCACCTGGAATTCTGAATTGGAATCAGAATTCTATTTTATTAAATGATGTAACCCCTCCGACGTGGTGTCGACTCCTAAATGAGCCAATTGCATTCCAAATTGTCACACGTGCAGTAGCCCATCATTACAATCGATCGAGTGATATAATCTATTGTTTTAGTGGGCTTTTGTGGAATGCCAGTAATTAGAAGCTAACTACAAAAGCGTTAAATGGCGCCCCGGGGGCACCAGATTGTGTGCCCCGCCAGACAATCGAATGGTTCCCATAGATCCCAAACCCAGCAAAAATGTATCCAGATAATGTCGGACAGGTAGCAACAAACAATCTAACTATATGTTGTTTACGAATCTGAATACATTATGTATCTCGCAGTTGTTCTACATGCCCCAGCCGCTAAATGTTCATTTCCTCAATTTGGTTTGATTCTCGCCGGGAGGCGGGTGGCAGTGGGTGGTGGAGGCTCGAGCACGAGATAACAAAAGATAACCAGAGATACAGATACAAGCACGCATTCAGATAGAGATACAGATAAAGTGAACCCTGATTTTTATTGGGCTTGTAGTTGCCAGGGGTTAGGGAAGATACCAGAGTGATCCTCTAGATAAAGATAAAAAATATGGTGTGATATGGGATGGCATGTGGACTTTAAGCCTTAAAAGGCAGGTAAGATATGTACACTCAAAAAAAAAAACTTTAAGGAATTTGGGTCTATAAAGGTGTAGTTTTATAGATATAGACAAAGTATAGATATACCATCTTTATTTTCAAATTGAAAGGATTTAAAACATATGTATTTTTCTTAAAAAGGTTTCTTGAGAGGTCCTAGAAAGGTTTCAAAAATAATGTTTTAAGGTTAGAGACTTGAAAATAATGTTTATTAGGTTTGAAAGTCCTTTTTCCTGCCACTAACTCCTCTTTTTTCCTTTTTTTCGACATTTAGGTCTATAATAGAGTAATTTTAATGTAAAGTATAGATATACCATCTTTGTTATCAATTGAAAGAGATTTATCAAGTTTAATATCAAAAAACTTTAGAGGTCTTTAGAGGTTTCTTGAGAGGTCCTAAAAAGGTTTGAAAAATAATGTTTTAAGCTTAGAGACTTGGAAAAAATGTTCTTTAAGATTGAAAGTCTTTTTTCCTGACCCTAACTCCTCTTTTTCCCTTTTTTCGACATTTGGGTCTATAATAGCGTAATTTTAATGTAAAGTATAGATATACCATCTTTGTTTTCAAATTAAAAGGATTTAAAAAATATTTTTCTTATAAAGCTTTCTTTAGAGGTCCTAGACAGGTTTGAAAAATAATGTTTTAACCTTAGAGACTTGAAAAAAATGTTTATTAAGATTGAAAGTCTTTTTTCCAGACACTAACTCCTCTTTTTTTTCCTTTTTTTCGACATTTGGGTCTATAATAGCGTAATTTTAATACAAAGTATAGATATACCATCTTTGTTTTCAATTGAAAAGGATTTATCAAGTCTCATATCAAAAAACTTTAGAGGTCTTTAGAGGTTTCTTTAGAGGTCCTAGAAAGGTTTGAAAAATATTGTTTTAAGGTTAGAGACTTGAAAAAAATGTTTATTATGATTGAAAGTCTTTTTTCCTGCCACTAACTCCTCTTTTTTCCTTTTTTTGGACAAATGTTGGCTCTCCAAATCCGGCTTTGGGTTATTTTATGAGTCTCTTCCAGTCCGAAGTCCGAAAAATCCAGACCGTAAATCTGCGAGCCGGTGACACCTCAATTGTCAATTAGATCAATGCAACAAACTCACTCCATCAATCGCAAACCCCAACAAAATACGAAAAAAAAAATCAAATTCGGGACCAATAACATTTTGTTTTTATTTTTATTTTTTCTCATCAGGTGCATTGATTCTTGTTTTTTTTGTTTGGGCCTGTCTCTGAATACAAATGAACTTTGAAAGAAAAAAATGTACTTTGATTTTGAAATTGTATTTAATAAGAGTTTCCTATGCGGATCCCTGGCCTGTTTTTCGTACTCCCCTCCAAGCCCCTATTTTTTAGAGCATTTTTGACACGATCCGAAGGTTAGATGCCTGTGGAATTTCCAATTCATAGATTATAAATGGTATAGTTTTAGTTTAAAATTCTATTAATATCGTTAGTCTCTAGAGTGTGCTGCCAATATTTTATTACTTTGTTTTCGATGGCAATTAGCAGATGCCTACGAGACATATTTGAACGGGGTATGGAAACGCGCCAAACCGCAGACAGGTGCCGAGCTACCTGATAAGCCGACAGAGATAGCTGTCTGCGGTGGGGCTAACGCTATCTCATTCTGTGTGATTAAGTACGAAATTGGCAGGTCTGCTGATAACAAACAATTTTTGTAAACAATATCGAAACCGGCTCGGCTTTGCTATAGATGGGTTCAAATACCATCGCTATACGGGGAATTTGATGTGGAATGTTGATAGCAACTCGTGTTCCTGGCGATAAATGTTGCCAAGTAGGAAAACTATATATTTAAATAGATATACTAAGAAGTTCCCCAAAAAAATAATTATGAAGCCCTCAATCAGCTCTAACTAAAGGGCCCTGAATAAAGGAACATCTGTACTCACTCCATATACTAATTACTAACTTATAAACTCTGATTCATTATAATTTTGTCCAAAAGTGTGCAACGCAGTGAAGGAGACATCTCCGACCCTATAAAGTATATATATTCTTGATCAGGATCACCTCCTGAGTTGATATGAGCATGTCCGTCTGACCGTCTGTCCGTCTGTCTGTCTGTCTGTCTGTCCGTTTCTACGCGAACTAGTCTCTCAGTATTAAAGCGTCTTGAAACTTTGCACACACCCTTCTTTGTTTGCACGCAGTATATAAGTCGGAACGGCCGGGATTGGCCGACTATATCCTATAGCTGCCATATAACTGATTGATCCGAAATGGTATAACTTTGACGTTTTTAAAGTTAGAGAGTTCAAATTTGACATGAGAGCATTTTTTGGCAAAACATTACGACATGCCAAATTTCATAAGGATCGGCCGACTATATCTTATAGCTGCCATATAACTGAACGATCGGAAATGACCCAACTTTCGTGTTTTTGAAGATAGAAAGGTGAAATTTAGTACAGATTCTATTTTTGGTCAGTTGATCCAACCTACTAAATTTCATAAGGATCGGCCGACTATATTCTATAGCTGCCATATAACTGAACGATCGGAAATGACCCAACTTTTGTGTTTTTGAAGATAGAAGTTTGGGATATTTTTAGGTTTGGTTTTTGTATTATATTAAATTGGGTTATATTATCATATTTTCATAAGGATCGGCCAACTATATCCGATGTTTGCGATATATATCCGGTTTTAACTGCAAGGGTATATAAACTTCGGCTCCGCCCGAAGTTAGCTTTCCTTTCTTGTTTTTATTCTTTTTCATTAAATTAAATAAAGACACTTTAATTACAATTTAATGCTTTACAGTAGACGTGATTTCTGCGCCTTTTCATGAATAAGAGAGCCCTGCCAATCACTTTCTCCACATCCTCCCCAGAAACGTGATCATTTCAAAAATCTGAAAACTCACTAAAGCGATATGGGCCTATTAAAATAATACAAAAATTGATATTAACGATGATTGCTAAAGACCTCTTCAATTACCTTTAATGACTCCGCCCAGTTCATAAACGGAATAAAATAATAAACCCACAGTAACGGTCAAAAATATAGTCAAAAATCAGGACTTGATTTAATAAAGCATAGGTCTTCCAATTTTATTTCTAAATTAAATATAATTAAGATAATTAAAATAGAACAATACCAATCTGTTTTTTAATAGTAGTTTCATGAATTAATTTTTTCCATCAGTCAGAGAATAATATAATTCCCTATTCTATAATGTTTATATACAAAGCCAATAACGGTTGAGTAATTGTTTATAATATGCCGCTGGGAACCTGGGGCCCGGCCCGGAAAGTTCTTGGGCCCCAGAGCCAAGGCTCCGGATCAATTTGCATCGAATTAGCATCGTCAGAGAATTGTTTTTGGCCAAGATCCCAAGCCCAAATATAACCTTTGATTAGCATTAATTTTGGAATTTATTTTTATATCGCGCAGATGGGTGATATTTGTAGGTTTAGTAATTTTTTCGGGCCACATTTTCGCAGTGGTGCCAAGAGGCGCGAGGCGTCTTAATAATCACTTGCTAAATGTATTCACAGTCTGGCTGCTAACGAATCAGTCATCTATATCTATAGCTGCCGGTATTAAGGTGTGTTTTTTTTTTCTTGGACTCCTGGTCCTACATTTAATAGCTATATACTATAGCTTCCCAGACAAATGTTTTTCGCACTGGCCCGCAAGCCCTTATCAGGTAGGTTTTGGCTTAGAAACTGGAAATTTACCCTCTCTTTACGGCTCTGATAAGCTGAAGAAAATGTGTGGGTTCTTTTTATTTGACGGATACTATTTTTAGCCACGCCACTCTTGAAATTGCGTTGGAAAATTTGTTTTTCCTATAATATATTTTTTTTTTATACACACACACATCCACACAGTATCAAAATATTATCGGACACACGCGCACACACCTGTTGTTGGCCGGTACCGAGTTAAAAAACGTTAGTAAGCGATCTTTACTGCAGCGCGGCTCAAAACTGAATGAACCGCAAAGCCACTGCAAAATATATAGCACACCGATTTGGTGAACGAAAATACAGACAGACGAGAAAAATATAGGCGGCCGAACAAAAGCAAAAATGACCACAGCCGGCAAATCGGAACGTTGTTCAGGTAGGTGACGAGCTACTTTAGATAACAGGTACAAATTTTGGAGATTGGTCAAGGTTGGTCCTTAGACTTGTTTAATCTTGTTTAAAGTTTTTAGGGTATATTACAAAACATATTTTTATAAAATAGAGATGTCAAATTAAGAATAATATTTAAAGAATTTTATTAACAACTTTTCAAAGAAAATGTTATAAAGTTTTTATAACTTTGAATTGTTTAATACCTACATAAATTCGTTACCAGGTTCTTATCTTTTTATTGAAAGTGAGCGCGAAAGTTCCAATGTGTGTGAGAATGTGTGCGAATAAAAAATCGTAAAAGAGAGAGTTGGCGAGAGTGATTGCAGGTGTGTAGGTGACAAAAGTGCGTAAGCTTGCTGGGAATTATCAGCTGATGTGAGAAAGATTACCGCTCCAAATACAACTAGCAGATGATCTAGTATTTGTGAGAAAGAAAAGAGAGCAGAAAAGCTTTCTTCTGCTTTATAGACCGTCATTTCAAACAAATTTCAAACCACATGCACTGATAACATTTCAACCGCAATAATTTAAATTTAAATATACTATTTAAACGCTTACTGAAAACTACAGCAGAGGGATAACGATTTTTAATGGATAACGATGCTCACGGTTTTGCAGCTCAAAGGCGACTGGTAACTGAATACTTTGCTTACAGAACCAAACCGTGCCGAATTAAACATTTCACTGGCTGGAAAATTGCAATTAAACCACGCACATTAGATAAAAAGCGAGCAATTTGAGGTTTGACTAGCCTAGCTGCTCAACATTTTAATTTCAACTGGGACACGACTGGCTTATGTCTTATTTGTCAAATATTATTTACTCAACGCGGTCTAGAAGGTAATTTACGATTTAGCCAACATTAATTACGGCCTAGTAAGCAATTAAAAGATATAAAGAGTGCCAAGGTCATTAAAATCATAAACAAACCAAGATAAGAGGATTTTATTTATTAAAAATAAATATATTCAGATTATAAATATATAATTTTTGAATATATGTTACTTTTAATATCTTTCAACAATTTTATCAATCAAAAGATTTAGTTAATATCATAATTAAAGCCTTAAGTGCTCACATTAACGTACGATTTATTTGAAAATTATTAATGTTTTAATAACAAACTATTCTGAATATAGAAATTAAAGTAATGCTTTTATATATTCAAACTTTATCCGTTACATTTTAGATGGTTGCCACTTAGTTGCATTTCTATGGCAACGCTTCCAATGCCAAACTCTGGCAGCGCTAAAAAGTGACATTTGCAGGCACTGTTTTCATCTGGCGTAGAAGAAAACGGCCCCGAATAAAATTGGAATTTAAGCTCATTCTCCACCTGCTCGAGTTGGTCCAGTGCGCCGGTACAATATGGCCGCGATAGTGCTAACCCGCAACATGCAGTTGGCCAGTAAGTCGACGCCGGTGCTCCACAAACGGACCCTGCCAAATAAATTATGTAATGCAGTTTTCCGCGAATGTTGTTGCTAATTTTCGATCATCTCTCGTTTGCAGAACACCATGGCAGTGGTGTGGTTGGCGTTTTGTGCCTGCGAGGATACTCTGCCGCCGCCGCTCCTCCCGAGGATGGCCCCCGCCCACTGAAGACTACCAATCCGGCAGCGATGAAGCGCGGAACTGGAGGACGTAGCAGTTTCAACGGAATCGTGGCTACCGTCTTTGGTGCCACTGGATTCGTGGGACGCTATGTGTGCAACAAACTGGGCAAGTCCGGCACCCAGATGATTCTGCCATACCGCGGCGACGATTCGGACGTCATCCGCCTAAAGGTCACCGGTGACCTGGGCCAGGTTCTGTTTCACTTCTACAACTTGGAGGATGTCTCCTCTATCCGCGAGGCTGTGAAGCACTCGAATGTGGTCATCAACTTGGTGGGTCGCGACTTCGAGACCAAGAACTTCAAGTTCAGGGATGTGCATGTTAACGGAGCTGAGAGGATCGCCAGGTGATTAAGAATTACTTCTACTTTTACGAAAAGAGATTTATAATTCAAATGCTTTTGTGCAGAATTTCCCGCGAAGCTGGAGTAGATCGTTTCATCCACCTGTCTTCTCTCAATGTGGAAGCCAATCCCAAGGATCTGTACGTTAAGGGCGGCAGCGAATGGCTGAAGAGCAAGTACGAGGGTGAGCTGCGTGTTCGTGATGCTTTCCCCAATGCCACCATCATTCGCCCAGCCGATATCTACGGCTCTGAGGATCGGTTCTTGCGCTACTACTTTGATTTTGAAATTGTATTTAATAAGAGTTTCCTATGCGGATCCCTGGCCTGTTTTTCGTACTCCCCTCCAAGCCCCTATTTTTTAGAGCATTTTTGACACGATCCGAAGGTTAGATGCCTGTGGAATTTCCAATTCATAGATTATAAATGGTATAGTTTTAGTTTAAAATTCTATTAATATCGTTAGTCTCTAGAGTGTGCTGCCAATATTTTATTACTTTGTTTTCGATGGCAATTAGCAGATGCCTACGAGACATATTTGAACGGGGTATGGAAACGCGCCAAACCGCAGACAGGTGCCGAGCTACCTGATAAGCCGACAGAGATAGCTGTCTGCGGTGGGGCTAACGCTATCTCATTCTGTGTGATTAAGTACGAAATTGGCAGGTCTGCTGATAACAAACAATTTTTGTAAACAATATCGAAACCGGCTCGGCTTTGCTATAGATGGGTTCAAATACCATCGCTATACGGGGAATTTGATGTGGAATGTTGATAGCAACTCGTGTTCCTGGCGATAAATGTTGCCAAGTAGGAAAACTATATATTTAAATAGATATACTAAGAAGTTCCCCAAAAAAATAATTATGAAGCCCTCAATCAGCTCTAACTAAAGGGCCCTGAATAAAGGAACATCTGTACTCACTCCATATACTAATTACTAACTTATAAACTCTGATTCATTATAATTTTGTCCAAAAGTGTGCAACGCAGTGAAGGAGACATCTCCGACCCTATAAAGTATATATATTCTTGATCAGGATCACCTCCTGAGTTGATATGAGCATGTCCGTCTGACCGTCTGTCCGTCTGTCTGTCTGTCTGTCTGTCCGTTTCTACGCGAACTAGTCTCTCAGTATTAAAGCGTCTTGAAACTTTGCACACACCCTTCTTTGTTTGCACGCAGTATATAAGTCGGAACGGCCGGGATTGGCCGACTATATCCTATAGCTGCCATATAACTGATTGATCCGAAATGGTATAACTTTGACGTTTTTAAAGTTAGAGAGTTCAAATTTGACATGAGAGCATTTTTTGGCAAAACATTACGACATGCCAAATTTCATAAGGATCGGCCGACTATATCTTATAGCTGCCATATAACTGAACGATCGGAAATGACCCAACTTTCGTGTTTTTGAAGATAGAAAGGTGAAATTTAGTACAGATTCTATTTTTGGTCAGTTGATCCAACCTACTAAATTTCATAAGGATCGGCCGACTATATTCTATAGCTGCCATATAACTGAACGATCGGAAATGACCCAACTTTTGTGTTTTTGAAGATAGAAGTTTGGGATATTTTTAGGTTTGGTTTTTGTATTATATTAAATTGGGTTATATTATCATATTTTCATAAGGATCGGCCAACTATATCCGATGTTTGCGATATATATCCGGTTTTAACTGCAAGGGTATATAAACTTCGGCTCCGCCCGAAGTTAGCTTTCCTTTCTTGTTTTTATTCTTTTTCATTAAATTAAATAAAGACACTTTAATTACAATTTAATGCTTTACAGTAGACGTGATTTCTGCGCCTTTTCATGAATAAGAGAGCCCTGCCAATCACTTTCTCCACATCCTCCCCAGAAACGTGATCATTTCAAAAATCTGAAAACTCACTAAAGCGATATGGGCCTATTAAAATAATACAAAAATTGATATTAACGATGATTGCTAAAGACCTCTTCAATTACCTTTAATGACTCCGCCCAGTTCATAAACGGAATAAAATAATAAACCCACAGTAACGGTCAAAAATATAGTCAAAAATCAGGACTTGATTTAATAAAGCATAGGTCTTCCAATTTTATTTCTAAATTAAATATAATTAAGATAATTAAAATAGAACAATACCAATCTGTTTTTTAATAGTAGTTTCATGAATTAATTTTTTTCCATCAGTCAGAGAATAATATAATTCCCTATTCTATAATGTTTATATACAAAGCCAATAACGGTTGAGTAATTGTTTATAATATGCCGCTGGGAACCTGGGGCCCGGCCCGGAAAGTTCTTGGGCCCCAGAGCCAAGGCTCCGGATCAATTTGCATCGAATTAGCATCGTCAGAGAATTGTTTTTGGCCAAGATCCCAAGCCCAAATATAACCTTTGATTAGCATTAATTTTGGAATTTATTTTTATATCGCGCAGATGGGTGATATTTGTAGGTTTAGTAATTTTTTCGGGCCACATTTTCGCAGTGGTGCCAAGAGGCGCGAGGCGTCTTAATAATCACTTGCTAAATGTATTCACAGTCTGGCTGCTAACGAATCAGTCATCTATATCTATAGCTGCCGGTATTAAGGTGTGTTTTTTTTTTCTTGGACTCCTGGTCCTACATTTAATAGCTATATACTATAGCTTCCCAGACAAATGTTTTTCGCACTGGCCCGCAAGCCCTTATCAGGTAGGTTTTGGCTTAGAAACTGGAAATTTACCCTCTCTTTACGGCTCTGATAAGCTGAAGAAAATGTGTGGGTTCTTTTTATTTGACGGATACTATTTTTAGCCACGCCACTCTTGAAATTGCGTTGGAAAATTTGTTTTTCCTATAATATATTTTTTTTTTATACACACACACACATCCACACAGTATCAAAATATTATCGGACACACGCGCACACACCTGTTGTTGGCCGGTACCGAGTTAAAAAACGTTAGTAAGCGATCTTTACTGCAGCGCGGCTCAAAACTGAATGAACCGCAAAGCCACTGCAAAATATATAGCACACCGATTTGGTGAACGAAAATACAGACAGACGAGAAAAATATAGGCGGCCGAACAAAAGCAAAAATGACCACAGCCGGCAAATCGGAACGTTGTTCAGGTAGGTGACGAGCTACTTTAGATAACAGGTACAAATTTTGGAGATTGGTCAAGGTTGGTCCTTAGACTTGTTTAATCTTGTTTAAAGTTTTTAGGGTATATTACAAAACATATTTTTATAAAATAGAGATGTCAAATTAAGAATAATATTTAAAGAATTTTATTAACAACTTTTCAAAGAAAATGTTATAAAGTTTTTATAACTTTGAATTGTTTAATACCTACATAAATTCGTTACCAGGTTCTTATCTTTTTTATTGAAAGTGAGCGCGAAAGTTCCAATGTGTGTGAGAATGTGTGCGAATAAAAAATCGTAAAAGAGAGAGTTGGCGAGAGTGATTGCAGGTGTGTAGGTGACAAAAGTGCGTAAGCTTGCTGGGAATTATCAGCTGATGTGAGAAAGATTACCGCTCCAAATACAACTAGCAGATGATCTAGTATTTGTGAGAAAGAAAAGAGAGCAGAAAAGCTTTCTTCTGCTTTATAGACCGTCATTTCAAACAAATTTCAAACCACATGCACTGATAACATTTCAACCGCAATAATTTAAATTTAAATATACTATTTAAACGCTTACTGAAAACTACAGCAGAGGGATAACGATTTTTAATGGATAACGATGCTCACGGTTTTGCAGCTCAAAGGCGACTGGTAACTGAATACTTTGCTTACAGAACCAAACCGTGCCGAATTAAACATTTCACTGGCTGGAAAATTGCAATTAAACCACGCACATTAGATAAAAAGCGAGCAATTTGAGGTTTGACTAGCCTAGCTGCTCAACATTTTAATTTCAACTGGGACACGACTGGCTTATGTCTTATTTGTCAAATATTATTTACTCAACGCGGTCTAGAAGGTAATTTACGATTTAGCCAACATTAATTACGGCCTAGTAAGCAATTAAAAGATATAAAGAGTGCCAAGGTCATTAAAATCATAAACAAACCAAGATAAGAGGATTTTATTTATTAAAAATAAATATATTCAGATTATAAATATATAATTTTTGAATATATGTTACTTTTAATATCTTTCAACAATTTTATCAATCAAAAGATTTAGTTAATATCATAATTAAAGCCTTAAGTGCTCACATTAACGTACGATTTATTTGAAAATTATTAATGTTTTAATAACAAACTATTCTGAATATAGAAATTAAAGTAATGCTTTTATATATTCAAACTTTATCCGTTACATTTTAGATGGTTGCCACTTAGTTGCATTTCTATGGCAACGCTTCCAATGCCAAACTCTGGCAGCGCTAAAAAGTGACATTTGCAGGCACTGTTTTCATCTGGCGTAGAAGAAAACGGCCCCGAATAAAATTGGAATTTAAGCTCATTCTCCACCTGCTCGAGTTGGTCCAGTGCGCCGGTACAATATGGCCGCGATAGTGCTAACCCGCAACATGCAGTTGGCCAGTAAGTCGACGCCGGTGCTCCACAAACGGACCCTGCCAAATAAATTATGTAATGCAGTTTTCCGCGAATGTTGTTGCTAATTTTCGATCATCTCTCGTTTGCAGAACACCATGGCAGTGGTGTGGTTGGCGTTTTGTGCCTGCGAGGATACTCTGCCGCCGCCGCTCCTCCCGAGGATGGCCCCCGCCCACTGAAGACTACCAATCCGGCAGCGATGAAGCGCGGAACTGGAGGACGTAGCAGTTTCAACGGAATCGTGGCTACCGTCTTTGGTGCCACTGGATTCGTGGGACGCTATGTGTGCAACAAACTGGGCAAGTCCGGCACCCAGATGATTCTGCCATACCGCGGCGACGATTCGGACGTCATCCGCCTAAAGGTCACCGGTGACCTGGGCCAGGTTCTGTTTCACTTCTACAACTTGGAGGATGTCTCCTCTATCCGCGAGGCTGTGAAGCACTCGAATGTGGTCATCAACTTGGTGGGTCGCGACTTCGAGACCAAGAACTTCAAGTTCAGGGATGTGCATGTTAACGGAGCTGAGAGGATCGCCAGGTGATTAAGAATTACTTCTACTTTTACGAAAAGAGATTTATAATTCAAATGCTTTTGTGCAGAATTTCCCGCGAAGCTGGAGTAGATCGTTTCATCCACCTGTCTTCTCTCAATGTGGAAGCCAATCCCAAGGATCTGTACGTTAAGGGCGGCAGCGAATGGCTGAAGAGCAAGTACGAGGGTGAGCTGCGTGTTCGTGATGCTTTCCCCAATGCCACCATCATTCGCCCAGCCGATATCTACGGCTCTGAGGATCGGTTCTTGCGCTACTACGCCCACATCTGGCGTCGTCAGTTCCGCTCTATGCCGTTGTGGCACAAGGGCGAGAAGACCGTGAAACAGCCAGTGTTTGTCTCGGACGTGGCCCAGGCCATCGTCAACGCTGCCAAGGATCCGGATAGTGCCGGTCGCATCTACCAGGCTGTGGGGTAAGTAGATGAATCAATTGTTCCGAAACCATTTTAAGTCCTAATTCCATTTCAGCCCCAAGCGCTACCAGCTGAGCGAACTGGTCGACTGGTTCCATCGTCTGATGCGCAAGGACCAGAAGCGCTGGGGCTACATGCGCTACGACATGCGCTGGGACCCCACCTTCCTGCTTAAGGCCAAGCTCACCAGCTGGATCTGCCCCGGCACCCCAGTCGGTGGCCTGCATCCTGCTCGCATTGAACGGGAAGCTGTTACCGACAAGGTTCTGACCGGAGTGCCCACATTGGAGGATCTGGGCGTTACCCTGACCAGCATGGAGCAGCAGGTGCCATGGGAGCTGCGTCCCTACCGCGCTGCCCTCTACTACGACGCAGAGCTGGGCGAGTTCGAGACGCCATCGCCGCCCAAGAGTATCGAGGCGCGGGATGAACTGCGTCTGTTTGCCTAAGCGGATGTGCAAGTTGTCTGTGTTGATCGGAAATTTTTAGTTTGAATTTTTAAGGCGATGCGTCAATAAAGAGATGTCGACAGAGATTTACATTTGTTTTATAAGTCGTAATCCGAGAAAGGACCATGTTCTTGCTATTTGTTGTTCTGATGCTCATAGTTCCTTAAATTTACAAAATTAATGGGAAAATTACGGCTTGGCTAAAAAAAAACATTTTGTTGACTAATCAATAATAAGGTTAAATGATTAAATTGTTAATCTAAATTTAAAAGATCTAGATTTTAAATTCAATTTGAATTTTAAAATATTACAAAGATATGGCAACCTGTTGGTATTTTTTAGTATTAAAACAAAAAGCCCCCAAACAGGGTTATTAAAGAGAACAATTAAAATTGTACATTTTGTACATACATATTTGGCACTTAAATTTTGTAAATAATAGGAAAATTTTTTTATTTTTCTTAACTGAGCGAAATTAATAAAAAAGCTAAACGTTTAATTTCCTGGGACAGTGGGACCAGACTTTATGTTTCTTGGAGCTTTAGGTCTTTTAACGTGACCAGATTTTCAGTGTGTATTTTCGGGCTTTGGTTCGGACGTTCCTCGCTCGGATTTTCTTCCTTTTAGGCGACAAGGAGCTTTCAGCCGTGCAGATTCAGATATTGGCCGGAAAAGCATAGTACGGAAAATTCGATTTCCTTGGTTGTGTTTCTTTCTGTGTGTGTGTTTGCAAACATTTTGGTTTTCAGCAATTTTTGGTTAACTTAAGTGAGCGGAATAAAAAAAAAAAAACAACATTGGGTCGCGCGCGCTTCTCTTTTCGCCGTCACGCGTTTTGTGAGTGTGTGTGAGAGTGAGAGTGGGGAAATGGCATAAGTGCAGAATTATGAAAGCGGAGTACTCGCTGCCGCCGAATGTGATTTTTGAAAGGGAAAACGGAAGCAGAGACGAAGGACCAGGAACTGGCATCCAGGACGAGACCCCCAATCGGCCGTTGGCTCATTTAGAAATCGAAGTGATTAGATTTGACGCCAGCAGAGGTAGTGACACCGACCGAGGAAGGAAAAGGTCAAGAAAGCAACAACACCAAAAGCACCAAGAGTGTAGGAAGAAGAAGAGGCATCAACAGCAGCAGCAGCATCATCATACCACTACAAGCAAGAGCAAGAGCCTTGCCTTATTTTTAGATTACCTACGCCAGTGTCCCGCCATCGAAATTGTCGCCGCCTGTGACGACAGCACCGACCACGCCTACAACGGTTCGACACCTCCTCCTGCACCCACCGCCCTCTGTCCAGGCGCCGTTACCTTCCGGCGGCACACGCTTCCCCTGCTCCGCAAATACGCCGCCAACAACGGCAGCGGTTGCCATTTCGAGCATAAAACCAAAATTTATGCTCTATATCGTCACCTGGAGATCGGTGGCCCGCTCGAACAAGTGCAACAGCAACAGCAGCTGAAAGTCGGCCACATCCAGCTGCGCTTCAAGATGCTCTTTGCCGAGCCCCCGCCCAAGGGTCACGCCCATGGACATGCCCTTGGTCATCCGCCGCCCGGTGACCCCGAAACACCTCCGCCATCACCGCCACAGGTGATGCCTCTGCCGCTGCCGCTGCCTCTGCCGCTGCCAGCTGCTCTGCTTCAGGACCAGCAGACGGCGGAACTTATGTCAGGTGAGTGATTCAAGGACTTTTCAGGAACTTTTCAAGAATAAACCTTGGGATTTTTAAGATTATATCGATTGGGGGAAAGGGCCTTGAGGTTTAAAAGTAATTCTTATGATATAGGATATAGGTATAGCCACATTCTTTGGTTTTTGGCAATTATAAGTTATAATATATAGTATTATAAGATATATAGTTTTTAGAACCTTTATAATTGGGTTTATTTCAATTTCATAAGAGAGGGAAATGTCTGTCCTATAATTAGCTGGGATGATGTCCTATAATTAGCCCCGCGATCTCGAACCAAACTCATAAACATTATTTCGGAATTTCAGATGATTTCCTATAAGGCTATATAATCTATACTATAGATCTATATAATATCTATAATAATAGAACCCACATACCTCTGAAATACCTCTGAAACTTAATCCATTAGAGGTGTTCCTAACTACCAGCTGATTAGATAATTTCCATATTTTTTCAAGATCGTTTTTTAGAACCTCCTTCCCAGCTAGTCTGTCATTACAGCTGTGACTTGATTTATTAACTAAGTCCCCCTCCCCACCCCCCTGCGATTTATGGCGTGAAAATTGCATTTCCACTTTCCACTTGTTTCCAACAAAGATTTACGAAAGAGACCCCCAGACCAGTTCGCGGATGAAATGCCGGCGGTGGGGCTGCGATCGGGCATCGGGAAGCCCTCCATTTTCCACGCCGTGCTCGTCACCTTCCTGCACTACTTCTCCTGGGGCCTCCTCACCGTGCCCTTCATCGCCAAGCTGTCGGAGACCTTCGGCGATCGAGCCTTTCTGGTGGATGGGCTGGTCTTCGGGATCCGCGGGATTATGTCCTTCCTGACCACGCCTCTCATGGGCGCCCTTTCCGACTTCCGGGGTCGGAAAGTGGTGATGCTGCTGGCGGTGGCCACCACGTACTCGCCCATACCCTTCATGGTGATCCGGGGCTGGTGCTTCTTCATCCTGGTGATGCTGAGCGGGGTCTTTGGGAACACCTACTCCGCCTCGCTGGCCTACGTGGCGGATGTCACTCACCCCCAGGAGCGATCCAGGGGGTACGGGATCATGTCCGCCACCTATGGAGCCGGGATGGCCCTGTCGCCCATGCTGGGGAACTTCCTGATGAACTGCTTTGGAACCACGCCCATCATGGCCCTGTCCTCAGTCGTGGGCTTCTTGAATATTCTGTTCATCGTCTTTGCGGTTCCAGAGAGCCTGGTGGAAGGGGGTCAGTCCATGGAGGAGGCACCGCATCCTAAGCCTCAGGACATGGAGCCCTTGAAAGAAGGGACCTTCGAGGATGAAGCCCCCTTCCAGAAACTGGAGGGAAACCCCCATAGCATCTCCGATCTCATCCGAGTCCTGAGCAAGCTCTCCAAGGACCGAAGCCTCCTGGCCGTCTACCTCATCTGCTTCCTGGGAATGTGGCCCTTTGCCGGCGTCGACTCGTGTGTGCCCGCCTACCTCAAGCTCAACATGGGATTCAGCTACGGGGAGGTGTCCGTCCTAGTGGCCATGGTGGCCCTCTTCGGCATCACCTCGAATCTGCTGCTGGGCTCCATCATGAGGATTATGGGCGCCAAGTGGTCCATCCGATTGGGCCTCGTCCTGATGATGGTGCAGCTTCTGATCTTTGGATTCGCATCCAGGCACTGGGTCCTGTGCTTGGCCGGTGTGTTGGCCTCCATGTCGACCATCATCCAGGCGGCCTCCAGCACGGTGGCATCCCTCTACGCCGCTCCGGAGAACCAGGGCGCTGTCCTGGGCGTCCTCACGGGAATCGAATGCCTCTGTGATGGTCTGGGACCCGCTGTCTTCGGAGTGCTCTTCTATCTCTTCCAGGACGACTCCAAGAATCCCCACGAGGCGAAGCCCCCGATCCCAGTGCCGTTTGTGGTAGGGGCTCTTGGGGTGGTGGTGGCTCTGTTCCTCACCAGCTTTCTGAAGAAGGAGACCTCCTCGGAAAAGCAGAGGCTTTACAGGATCTTCAACGAAGAGGAGGAGGATGCAGTGGAGCATCTGACTGGAGAGAAGGAACGGGATTTGGAGAGTTTTTAATTTTTAGACTTTAGTCGTTAGTACTAACTTTAAAACTAACTATTAAAAAATATTAGTCAAGCTTCGGAACCGTAAAAAATGAAATTGCTTGGAAGATTAAGATCCATCTCTGGTAGTGCTCATCCGCTATTCCATCCGTGAGGACATGCCTGTAGTTGATCTCAAAAAGGTACTCCTCTCACTGGCCTATGTCTCGGGGATCGGGCAGCCCAGCGTGTGCCATGCGGTGATCGTGGTCTTCCTGGAGTACTTCGCCTGGGGCCTGCTCACCATGCCCATTATAGCCACCTTGAAGGAGACCTTTCCGGAGAACACCTTCCTGATGAACGGCCTGGTGGAGGGGGTCAAGGGGATACTGTCCTTCCTGTCGGCCCCCCTGATCGGCGCCCTGTCGGACATCTACGGCCGCAAGGTGCTGCTCCTGGTGACCGTGATCTTCACCTGCCTGCCCATTCCCCTGATGAACGTCAGCAACTGGTGGTTCTTCGTGGTCACCTCGATGAGTGGCTTGTTCGGAGTCAGCCTCTCGGTGGTGCTGGCCTATGTGGCGGACGTCACCTCGCAGGAGGAGCGCTCCAGGTCCTATGGTGTCATCTCGGCTACCTACACGGCCAGCTTGGTGGTGGCCCCCGCGCTGGGGAACTACATCATGAAGCACTATGGCATGCAGACGGGAGTGATGGTGGCCACCATAGTGTCCACGGTGGACGTGATCTTTGTCTTGGTGGCGCTGCCCGAGAGCCTGCCCAGGAAGGTGCGGGCCACCGGCTTGAGCTGGAAGCAGGCAGATCCCTTTATGTCCCTGCTGAGAGTGGCCTCCGATCCCAACATCCTGCTGCTGTGCGTCATGGTCTTTATGTTCCTGCTGCCGGAGGTGGGGGAGTACTCCTGCATCTCCGCCTACTTGAAACTCTTCATGGGATTTGGATTCGAGGAGCTATCCATTCTCACGTCCCTCACCTCCACACTGAGCATCTTCGCCAACGTGGTCCTGGGACCTCTGGTGAAGTCGCTGGGCGCCAAGAGGGTCATCCTGCTCGGCCTTATGCTGGAGCTCCTCCAGTTCTCCATCTACGGCCTTGGCAGGGAGAAGTGGCACATGTGGCTGGCCGGGCATGTGGCCGCCCTGGGCTCCCTGACCTTCCCGGCCGTGAGCTCCTACCTGTCCCTTTACACGGAGGCCGAGAGCCAGGGCGCCGTCCAGGGCATGATGACCGGCATGTCGGGTCTCTGTAATGGCCTGGGACCCGCTTTCTTCGGGATTCTCTTCTACATCTCGGATATGGACTTGACCGAGAACCGGTTGCTTGGACGGCGCTTCTTCGTGGATCGTATCGGAGCTGGACCGTTCCTCTTTGGCGCCTCTTTTGTGTTGGTTAGCATCCTTTTGGCCTCCTTGATCCCAAAGGAGCGGTCTCTCAAGGTCAGGAAGGTCGAGTTCTGCGCCCTGAAGTATACTATAGAATATAATGAAAAGTTGCTCAGTACTGACAATTAGATACAGTTACTTTCTAAATTTTAATATTATTATTTTAATTTTTTTTATTTAATAAAGAATAGATTTTAAAGAAAGGTGGATTTAAAAATAAAAAATATTTCTAGTTTAAAAGCATCAAGTAGCCACTTAAAGAAAAAGTTTTAAAAAAAATTTAAAAAATTATATTAAAATCTTTTCCTTTAAACTTTGAGCTTTAGAGGGTTAAGCTGTCCCGTTGTCGTCATTTATCAGCCACTTGGACGACGCAGCTTCTCAGTCGACGACCGCTGGTGTTTATTTTGGTTTTTGTTTTTATTTTCCCATGGCATTTTCCTCTAAATTATTTATAACTTTTAAAAAGATTGCTTTTTTTTTAAGCGGAAAATTCAAAACAGTTTGTTGACTCTTACGTAAGAGGCTATCTGTCTCTGTCTTTGGTTTGTTTTGCTCATTAACACGTCTTAATCATCGGCAAACATAAAATCGCCAAAAAGATAATTTATTAACAACAGAATGCAGAATGCCAAAAATAGACCAAGCTCCCCTGAAGTATCCCCAAGTACTGGCCAATCTTTTGGCTTCTCTTCTGAGATTCCTGTTTCTCCCAAGTATTTTGTTTTATTTTATTTGGCTTTTTTTCCGCCGCAAACACAGGCAAAGTCGAAAACTTTCCATTTGAAAAAGCGAATCCCCAATAAATACGTATACGTAAGGGCGGCCGAAAGAGAACCATAAAAATCAGAATATAGTGTGATATGCCAAACACGTGCAAACACGATTCACTCTCTCTCTGTACCTTGGTTTATCTCTCTCGCTGCGAGAGAGAGAGTGGGGGACAGCCAGTCTCAGTGGCGTCGGGCGGGTAAATATTATTTAACTGTTATCCAGGGGCGGATTAAGGACAAGGAGGGTAATTAAAATGGTAATAATGAGGGATTTTCTTGACTTGAATACTTTTGATGAGAACTCTTCAAAAAAAAAAGGTCATATATGTATGTTATCCACCTTATCCACCTTCTCGAACTCCGCTCCTGCCCATCCACTATCCCAGATACACATATTTTATCTCACTGTATCGTCAAGGCTTAGCTTTCTTGGATTTCTTGTATAGTTTCTTGTGTTTTTGTTTTTTCAGCCTATTTGGTGACACATTACCGGCTGCGTCTGGTTTTTTTTTTTTGCCATTGGCCTTCAAATTTTGAGTCTTGGAGGGGACCAGAGACCAGAGACCAGAGGTCCCCTTATCACCCAGACATATAAACGCACAATATGTACATATGTGACAACATATGTTCCCCCGAATCCGCAAAACATACGGACATGGGTAGAAACTATTCGCGATTTAAAAGAGAATTGCAGAGAGCGAGAATTCGTACTGCAAGCTTGCTACTTTGGGGCTACTTTGTTGCTACACAGGGAGAAATTACAGTGGGGTGGCAGCCCTACATAGTGGTGGCATGGGGTCGAAATCGATAAGCCTTGCCTTGATAAGATGGGCCTCTCCTCTCCCTCTCGCCCACGATGTGAATTTGTATGGGTTTTAATTAGCGTCCCTAAACATGGAAAGTGGTACTATAGTCAGTGGTACTATTTGAAATCCAGTTACTGACTAATACCCAGATTACTACCGGCCAGGTTGCACCATCTGAGCCAGCCACTTATGTCATTGAACCTGATGCCGTCTCTTATCAATTATCTGGGGGAACCAATCGAATTATTCGCACCAGGCGTTACCAGGCGGGTAATTCGGAAAGTATTTCCCTCCCAACCGATAACACTTTGACCTATGGCTCTAATCCGCAAGTTTCTCCCAGTGGCATCCACTCGAAACTTTGCTTCCTTCTGTCGCCGAACTTTGTCAATGCCAAGCAAATTTATGCAAAAAAATTAATTTGGGTCTGGTCTGATTCCACATTCTGCTAGTGATACGAAAAGAGCCTACTTGGGCAGAGACTTGGACTTGGAGAGAGAGAGAGAGGCTTACAAAAAGAATTTGTTTGCTAAAGATACCCTTTATGGAGGTATATGGGTTTTAGTAATTTTTGTATATTTTAACTATTTCTTAAAATATTTAAAAACGAATTACCTTTTATGAATCAGAGCTTCATTGCGCGGAAATCTGCATCAAAAAAACTGTAACCAGCGAAAAAAAAAAATTTACTCAATTTTTGACCAAAATTATGAGGTTACCCCTTTAAAAATTTCAAAAAATGGGTCAAAATTTAAGATGCCTGTTTTTGCTAGAGAATGATTCTACTCCAAGTTCTAAGATCGGAAAGCTATACCGTTCAAGGATCTGTCAAGTATTAGTCGAGTTATGCACATTTTTCCACCATAAAAGTTCAAAAACTGGAACAACATTTTCAAAATTCATTTTTTCCCAAAATCCAAACTTTTCAGGCACTTTTTAGTGTATATCTTAACTATTTCGTAACCGATCGAAAAACGGAATACCATTTAAGAATCAGATCTTCAATACGCTTTAAATTGCATCTAAAGATTTTTTAAATCGAGCAAAAAAAATTTGACCTAATTTTTGACCAAAATTATGAGGTCACCCCTTTGAAAAATGTCGAAAAATGGGTCAAAATTTAAGATGCCTGTTTTTGCTATAAATGATTCTACTCAAAGTTCTAAGATCAGGAAGGTATACCATTCAAGGATCTGTCAAGTATTAGTCGAGTTATAAATATTTTTTCACCATAAAAGTTGAAAAACTGGAACAAGATTTTTGATATAATTTTTGTCCCCAAAATCCGAACTTTTCAGGCACATTTTAGTGAATATTTTAACTATTTTTTATCCGATCGAAAAACGGTATACCATTTAAGAATCGTATCCTTAATACGCTTTAAGTTGCATCAAAAGATTGGAAAAATGAAAAAAAAAAAATTTTACTCAATTTTTGATCAAAATTATGAGGTCACCCCTTTAAAAAATTTCAAAAAATGGGTCAAAATTTGAAATGCCGCGTTTTGGTAGAGAATGATTCTACTCTGAGTTCTAAGATCGGGAATGTATACCATTTGTGAATCTGTCATGTATTAGCAAAGTTATAAATATTTTTCCACCAGAAAAGTTGAAAAACGGGAACAACATTTTAGATATTTTTTTTATTCCCAAAATCCGAACTTTTCAGGCACTTTTTAGTGAATATTTTAACTATTTTTTATCCGATCGAAAAACGAAATACCATTTAAGAATCAGATATTTAATACGCTTAAGTGTGCATTAAAAGGTTTGAAAAAACGAACAACAAAAATTTGACTCCATTTTTGACCAAAATTATGAGGTCACCCCTTTGAAAAATTTCGAAAAATGGGTCCAAATTTTTGTTGCCTTTTTTTAACAGAGAATGATTCTACTCAAAGTTCTAAGATCGGGAAGGTATAACATTCAAGGATCTGTCAAGTATTAGCCAAGTAATGCAATTTTTTAACTTCGAAAGTGGTAAATTTTTTTAAATATTCTTGAGTTGATTAAAATATAAACTTTAAAAGCACTTTTTAGTAAATATTTTACATGAAACTTTAACTTAACTTTTTATTAACTTCTATTAAAAACTATTTTAAATATATTTCTGAAGAACTTACTTTGTTTACAAAACTCGAAGTACTTAGCTCTCAAACTTTAAAACAAAACTTAATGCTATAAAATCGAGAATATTAAAGCTCAGGTAGGGTATCCATAGTGCGATGCTTTTAGAAGAAATCAAAACCCAATGCTCGAGCACGTGAGAGAGAGAGAGGAATGCGAGGCAGAGAACGCGATTACGGCGGCTTTTCTTCCGCTCCTCTTTCTGCCGGCGTTTTCGGTTTCGGAATCTCAATTCAAAAGCCCACGTCGTAGAGATCGGTTCGCTATATTTTCGCTCCCCCCACAACTGTAAATCCGCCAAAGACACGTGAATTGTGAGGCAATCGGAACTAATAGTTTCCATTTCTTCCATGTCCTCACAGGCAACACCAGCAACATCGAGCTAATGGAGGCCATGAAGAAATTGGACGCTGATCTGGTGGCTCTGTTCGCCACCGCCGCCGCTGAGCCGCTCAAGAAGAAGCAGCAGCAGGTGCTGTGGACTGAGCCGGAATCGGAGCAGATTCCCGACGATTTGGAGGAGGAGGAGGAGCTGGTCATAACCCCGGAGATATTCCGACGCTGCAACGGCCTGCAGCTCCACTTGGAGGCACTCACCCTCCAGCCGGAAGGAACCCAGCGCATGGAACTGGTCCAGAACGAGGTGCGACCCATTTTCACGGTAGAGTGCCAGCTGTCCGCCGACTTGATCCGGAAGGTGCCCCGCGCCCCGATGTTCCACATCATGCAGTTCGAGTCGGAGAAGTTCCACAGCCTGACGCAGTGCACCCGCTTCGGCCAGACGGCCCAGCGGCAGGTGGACATGGAGGAGAAGGACTGGGAGGATCTGACCGCCACCGCCGGCCATGTCGACTTCACGGTCTGGTGGCGTGAGCCCGGCACCTGTCTCAACGAGATGCTGGGCATGGGTCGCCTGGAGCTCCGGGAGCTGTACGAGGCCTCGCTGCTGGAGCAGTGCAAGTGCATTGCCATCAAGCGGCGCGACATCCACCTGGGCAGTGTCTATGTGAAGATCAGCTTGCTGCAAAACGGATTGGAGCAGCAGGGATCGGATCAGCAGCACCTGGGTGATGGAAAGAACGAAAGTGGAAACAAGGCAGCAGGTGAATATATATGACTAATGTCGTGTGGTCGCCACCAGCAAGAACAACTGATTCTTGGGCCCCAATACCGAGTACAACTGATACTACAAGCCGAACCACACGACCACCAATACTACTTCTACTACCACTACTACTACTTCCACCACCAAAATGTCCAAAAACAAAAACAAATCCAAAACCAAAAACAAAATCAAAATCAAAAACAATATCAAAACCACAATCACACGCACCACGAGCTGCCACGCCCACGCCTCCTGCACTTACTCTGTATATTATTGATTGCCGTTATTCAAGTGCTGACCATCATTCTGTTAATAAATAATTTTCATTTTCAAAATAGAAACCAAAAAAAAAAACAAGAAAAAACAAAAAAAAACCAACAAAAACAAACCAAACAAAATCTATTTTGTGTTTTATGTTTTTTTCCATATATTTTTTGAAACATTTATTTTATTTTTTCAACAGCTTTGTTTATGATCATGGGGCACAGTGGGTTGCAAAAGGGTATTATGAGGAATTTTGAATTTTTTACATTTTAAAGAAAAAATTTAAAAAAATGTTTAAAGAAAAAATTTAAAGAAATTTTTAGGTTAGGTTTGAAAATTTAATTTTTGATCTTTTAGTTTTAGTTTCAGTCTTATACTTTTGAGAAGGTTTATGATTTCTTGAAAAAATTATAAAAGAAAGCTTATTTGATATTTATTTGTATTATTTTAATATTTTAAAATTTTAAAAATTGAAGTTTAAGGAAGTTCTGCCTTTTCTTTTAAAGAAATTCCCGAAAAATGAATATTTTTGATGTTAAGATTTACTTTTGTTACTTGTTGTACATTTTTTTAATATTTTAATAATTTTTTTTTAATTATTGTTTAAAATTTAAAAACATTTTATTATATATTTCCTGGTTCATTTTTTTTTAAGAAATCCTAACCTCAAAACCTGACTTTAGAATCATTCTTTCCACCCCCACTGTGCCCATTGCTTATTGATGCTTCTGTTATTGGCCAGATTCTGGATACGTCTGGTCTATTCTTAGGCCACTCTACTCCAGTGGTCAGTGGTTGTCCGTTGGCTGAGCACGTGCTATAACCGATTCGACCCGGTTTCACCCGCTGATCGGCGCAATCTTGCCGTTTCGCATGAGCTGCTTTTTGGGTTCTCCGATCGATCGATCCCGCCTGTCGTCAAGGCGATAAGCCTCCGGAGCTGCGAATCCCAAAGCTTATAACGCCAACTGCGCAAATCAAGGTCCACGACAGGAACTTTGAACTGTGATTAATGGGTAGATTCCCTCACTAATCCGATCCTGTTTCTCTTCCAGTTAACTTGAACTCGAAAGCCGACATAACACCCCCCCAGCCACCGCCCCCTCCGCCTCCGCCTCCCCAAGCCAACAGCAACAACAAGGCCATCCTGGACTGTGCCAACTTCATGGCGGAGACCAACAAGGTTCGCCTCCTCCGGGGCTACCTCTACGTGGGTGAGGTGCGTGCCCAGTCGCCGGAGGACCAGGCCGCCTGCCAGGAGGTCTCGATGCAGCCCTTCTGGCAAGAGCAGCTGCTGGAGCGGAAGATCGACGACAAGGGAGCCTTTGGACTGCAGGATCAGTTCGCCATCATCAACGATGTGCACTTTCTGGCCTGCGTGGAGCGCCAGCACCAGGATTTGGAGGTCAAGCCCCTAGGCGGAGTGGTGCGCCTGCCGCTGCACCAGTTCTTCATAGCCTACAGGGATGCCAGCATCACCAATCACCTGTGCAAGGGAAAGGTTCGAGAAGATGGATATATCCTTAAAAGGATTCCCTTTTTAATGTAAATTATTTCCATTTCCAGCTTCCGGTGATTTCCATCGATGGCTGGGCCCCGATTCTCAGCCCAGAGACACAGTCCCAGTTGGGAGAGCTAAAGGTGCTCCTGGCCATCGGAAGCGAGTCCCAGATCGCCCAGCTGAGGCAGCAGCGCGGCCTCGAAGAGGACATGATTATCCCAGATCTGATGGATGTCAAGGCAAAGGAGGAGATGCCGCCTCCCCCAGCTCCGCCAACAAACAACTTTAGCTTCCAATTGCGTATTGTTGGGGCGGCGGGATTGCCCCTGAATCCCGGCAAGACCAAGAAGCCGAACAAGCGTGGGCCCAAGCGTTTTCCACCCAACGAGCCACCCAACACCTATGTCTCCTTCCAAGCAGCCAGCTGCAACAGTCAGACCTTCATGTCGCCCGAGGGATTGGTCTACGCCACTCCCATCGTGCAGAAGTCCATTGAACCGCAGTGGCTGAGCAAGTTCCGGGTGGAAGTAAGTGGTGACTACCGGACCAACGTAAGTGCTCCAAAAACTAGAACTCCGATAGACACTAACCCTACTCCATTGCAGCCCCAAAAGCTCTTCATTTTGAAGTTGTGGAAGAAGGCGGTGGGTAACCAGGATCCCAGTCCCCACGAGGATGCCATCATTGGCTTTGCCGCCCTCAATCTCAACGAGAAGCAGCCGAACGGAGGCTTTCCCAGTGGCTGGCACAACATAGTCGACTTCAACGGGCACGTTACTGGGGGGATTGAGGCCCATGTGGAGCCCATACCCCCGACTGTGGATGCTGTGATCGAGAACCTCGAGAAATCCATGGAGCTTACGCATCTCCAGATTGGCCAGGCCATCAAGCGCAAGTACACCGAGCTGGAGGAGATTTCGCAGCGACTCCGCTCCCGACTGGTGGACGTTACGGGGGAAACCTTAAAGTTCCCGGAGTTCGATGTAAACGCCGCCCTGGACGACTGGCAGCAGGAGGGGGCGGACGACGATCTGGTGGACGACTTTGAGCGGGCACTGCGCACCCCGACGCCACCCAGCTCCCCCACGCCCTCGACCAGCAAAGGCTTGACCGGCTGCGCACAAAGTCCCAGCAATGGCACTGGCCAGGAATAGCCCAGGGCCATAATAAGTCAGTTAATCATGCTTTCTCCTCTACCCACATCTCGATATTGTCTCTGATATTGGCTCAAGCTGTAGTAGCTGTAGTTAACCACCTAGTTGTAGACTATGATAATATACACGGAACCTAATCCGATATTGTGCTGTACTTAAAAATTGGCATCCCGATTTGCCTCGATTCACCGTCTTATGGCTGTCTATATAGCATAAAATCAAATCTGAAACCGATCACCCAGCGATCGTTTCATTGAGTTGAAAATTAAATTGTCGATTAATTATTGTTTTAAGTCTCGAGAGGATTTCCCAATCTACCCAATCTAGCCCTACCTACACACACACACACACCAACCACACAGAATATGTATTAGTTTCGGAACTGTGTTAATCACCTAAGTATTTAGACACTATTACTTAATAAATATTAAATTGCTAATGCAAAGTAAACAATCTATATTGTGTTTTTGGGTTGATAAGGAACATGTGCATGGGGTCTATATAGTCTATATTATATATATAATATTATAGACTATAATATAGACGGCCTATGATTCATATTTTCTCAGTATTTAGTGATTTTAGTCTCCTAAAGTGGTAATAATTTGGTTAAAATCCATATAATTGGGTTAGATCTGGTATATAACAAGTTAATATAGAGGTTAAAGGAGCCTTTTATAAGGAAAACTTTAAGCTTCCACTGAATTCTACTGATTTTTAAACAGAAATCTTCGATCTCAACGAATTGATTAGCACAACTTGATGAAATTCCCAGCTATTATGACTCAGCCCGTGGGAGAAGATAATAAATATTTATAGAAAAAAAAAACATTGTTAGTCCAAGAACAGTCTCTAGTTAAGAACTTAAAAAAGTACCGATTTTAAGGTTAGTTAAAGTTCAAAGCAGCAGATTCTTAAGAATAGGATCATTTTCAGCTCAGTAGAGGATTTACTAATCCTTATAAGTAGGGATTAAACCATGGATAGATCATATTAAATCTACACCCCCTTTAAATCTCCCTATAATCCCTCTTACCCTCCCAGATTCCAAAGACATTCAAGATCTTCTTTTAAATAGATATTGAAAAATATTTTAATATAAAAATTATTACAACTATTGTGTGTTGGTTTCGTTCTTTTTTTTAGTGGGGGCTAACCCCTCCCTCACATATTTATATTTTATATATACTTTTTATATATATTTCTTCATCTATATGCTAGAAAATCAAAACATTTTACGAATGCACAACAGAAAGTATGTTCTGGATATACAGTATGATTGAACTACAATGTGCCTACAACAGTGATCATGATGGATGACGATTATTGAAATTCTTCAAATGGAGTTGGATCTAAGTGGGGGCTAAGACAAGGTGCTACAGCAAAACATATATATAAGATGTATAGAGAATGGCCTCTACAAATGCTTCTCTGTATCCCTTCACTCGCTGTGTTAATATATAAAACTATATAAAGTATGTTTTTAAGAAAAATCTGATCAACCCTCGCCCAATGGCCTGATTTTTAGCTCTTTAGCTTACATATTACGTTGTTATAAAGTAATGCATTTAATGAGAAGGTGACGAATGGACTTTCGTTGAGAAATTCAAGTGAACTGGAATACGGTTGGCTGTATATATATATATATGTATACTCCGACTTCTTATATGGAACGCGCTTCAATGTTCTGTTTTCGATTGATGTGCATATTGATAGATTGAAATCGTTTATATATTTTTTTTCTGTTGCTTTTTTTTTTGTTTATGGCATCTTTCAGTCAATGACCACACGGGTAAGGAGTATGCCACGCTTGCTCAGCCACAATCTAAAAATAATTATCAATGATTAATTGAGAGCTTCTTGATGATATCAGGGAATACTCACCCGAAACCGGCGCCCAACAGCAACGAGAGGACATTGGTCACCAGCAGCGAGTATAGAATTTCGCGGGAGAACAAGGAGTTGGCGCCCAAGCGCTTCAAGCGAATGGAGTAGCCAGTGGTAGTCTTCTTTTTCTCCTCCTCATCGCCAGCATCGGCGCTCACAGGCTCAAAGTTCCAGCTCCTAAAACAAAAAAATTAGGATTTTCAGTTGGTATATAGTTAAGTTAAGTTAGCATAATTAACATTCATACTTGGGTGGCTGCTCCTCGGCATTGCGATTAAAGCTCTTCAGCCAGTCTCCGTTGTCTGGGTTCTGTTTATCTCCAGCCTGAAGACAAAGAAACGCATTGAATTACACGATCACCTCGGATACGGTTCGTTTGGCAGCACTCACCTTGGTCCAGTAGTTGATATAGACGTTTCTGAGCTCATCGTCCGGACAGAGCTCCGACTGGGGGCTGTTCGGTGGGCTCTTGGGGCTGTCTCGGGGCGTATCACGACGCGAGCTGGCCAACGAGACCACCCGGCTGGACTGGTTCGATTCGCGCTGGGCCTCGCGCAGAAGGCGCAGATACTCCTCCCCATTGTTGAACGGCAAGGGGGTGATTCTGTCGGGGCTCTTGATCCCAGCCATGGCAGCTGTTGTGCTCAACTCGATCCAAGATTCTGCAAGAAATTAAGAAAAATTTGGATTAGAAAAAATATATCATCCATCACTATATTCACATGGAAGCAGGCCAGCTGAGTCCAAATACCAATATTTTTTTTTTTATCTACAGTTTGAGAGTCCACAGTTTGAGAGTCTACAGTTTTAGAAGAACAATGCGCGGCACTTTTCTCAAAAAGAATAAAACAGCGTCACCCCTTCTGGACTTGTTGGTGTTTGCTTAAACGTAACAACAACAAAAAAAAAGCACGTTGTTCAGTTCGTTAGCTCATATATATTCATATATATATACGATAAGTATAGAGTATACAAGTCAATGTGTGCTTGAGTGCCCGTGCCCCATTGATAAGGCTAAAAACCCCACTCAACCCGTACAATTTCCGTTCAATTTCGGCGTTTTGTATACATAATGTGCATCGTACATATATAGAGGCACACACATGTTTTGTTTAGACTATATTTCGATGCTTATCATCGACACGGAGGAAATTTCATTTTCAAAACAATAACAAAACCGAAACAGCCGATTGCAGTATGAAATGGGAAGCGTGCAGGTTACATGACTGCGATAAGAAATACAGTAGTAACTCTAACAATGCTAACAAACAGCCAGAACTGATTTAGAATTAAGTGCCTCGCTAGTCAATGACTAAGAATAGTAATTATTTATTTCACAACTTCTTTTAATTTTTTTTCTAATCTATAGAGGTAGCACTGTCGAATTTCGAATCAATTACAGAAGACACTCACGTGGCAGACCAATCATGCTGACAAACGAATACTAAATGCTGCGTCTAGACGTCCAGGATGATACATTTATGACAGTTTTTAGCAACAAAAAAATTGCATTCAAAACGAAAAACCCGCCGGAAAACAGGTAAACAGTTGGTGGGTGATGCTCTTGCCGATTCAGGTAAACAAGAGAGTGACCGTTATCGGGAATCCGGGTTACAGGTACTCGTACAAATGTGCAGCGAAAATGAAAACAAAAACAAACGCAGAAGCGTATCTAAGGGTGGCATGGCGAAACAACTGTAAACTTGGCTTGCTGACTCACGGCACGTAGGCCGCTCTGCTCTCTCCCGGCATCACCGCCTCACCTCTCTCTCACTCCCCTCCAGCTGCCATCTCTTTTGCTCCTGTGTGTGGGTTATGTGCATCTGTCCGAAAGACCCTGAGTTGGGCCCATTGAACCGCCTCTTTATTATAGGATGACTCCTCCGTATCATATTATATTTTTCGTTACACAAAGAAAAAGCATCACCTAACTTGACCATGAATTTTGGGATGTCAATTGCGATTTTATCTTTTCAGAGTTCAATAGTCCTTTCTAGGTCACTGAGATAATTATTTATATTTTTAAGAGATTACGATTTTAAACAATACTAAAAATAATTGTATTTTTTCCCAGTGAGTAGCATGTGAGTGCCCCTTGGATCTGATAAAGTAGTCGGTCGGCCGAAATATAATTGAAGCTAATGCCAAAGTCGCAATTTCTGGAAACGACCGATAGGGAAATGCCCTCCCACAAAATACATATTTATTTACGAATTATTTTTGCAAACAATTCGGACGGCCAGACAAAAAGGGAGCAAAATAGGGAGAGGTGCGAAAAGAGAGCGGCTGCTTGACGTCAAGCAGGCCAAGTGCAAAATAACAAGACATGACATGAATGAATGAGTCGTCGTCGTCCGTTCGGGAGGAGGGGGAAGAAGTGGAGCTACCGGGAGGGGGCTTGACAGCTTCTTTGTTTTCATTCTCCTTCTGCGGCGGAGTTTACACTTTTTTTTTTTTTTGCAAGTTCTTTGTTTTTGTTGCGCTGCGCAAGAACAACAACAAAACAAAGGAAACACAGAAACGGAATCAAAATGCAAGCAAAGCCTTGAAATAGAATATGGGAGATGCAAGTGCGGCACATAAAAATGCGGATACAAACAAATCACAAACTATATCTATTTATAGTTACAGCCACAACTACGCCAGCACCGCGCCATAACGGGTTACTGTGTTATTGTTATGATTGCAAAAAAAACAACAATACGAAACACGAAAGAAAGAGCAAAACAAACAACTTACCACCAAGCAAATCTTCTGTAGATTTTGGTGTCGTAGACATTTTGTTTTTGTGTGTGGGTAAGCGTGTTGAATGCTCAACACGTCAACACTAAAGATAACTTGTTTTTGCTTTTACTCGGATTAAATCAAAACTTTGTTTTCAGGAATTTTTAGTCAGAGGTTTTATTCGGCCCTTCCTTGTAAATATGTGTGTATTCGCTTGGGTGTTAGTGTATGCGTAGGAAAATGCGTTTTACTTTTGTTTGGCGCTGTTTCTCCGACGCTGCACTCGATTTGCTACAATTTTTATACGTTTGGCTAAAGCTAAGCAAGCTTGCGCTGAATATTGCAACTTTTGTTTAATGCTTCGTGAAGCGGCTGAGTCTAAACTAAATTAAACACGAATTCGCTTCTACGCACCGCCTCGAGCTTAATGCGTATTAAAAAACGTTTGTGTTTCCACGGTTGCTTTAAAGGGGACCTAAGCAGTGTTGACCAACAAAGAAAAAATTGCAAATGCTTGGCACTGTAGTTGGCCACACTAAAAATACTGAAATTAACTCGCCGGGTTTCAATATTTTTCAGCCGTTACTCTTATAGCCGTTGTGAAATAAAACTTGTCATTTTAAATTAGTTAAGAATTTAAATAATAGAGGACACTTCCGTTTTTAAGAAGCTTTCAATTTTAGCCCGCCACCGACAGAGTTTAACATTTAAATTGGTCACACTTTGGCGCGTTTTTTAAACAAAATTTTAAATTTATTTTCATCTCGTTTTTAAAAACAATTCGAACGTTTCCAAATCACTTTTAGCCACATTTCGCACAAAATAAAAGTTATTTCCTTCTACTATGGTTTTGGGCGATATATAAAGATCCTCTTGCGGATTGTACTGAGCGCGGCCCAGTAACTTGAGAAACTCGTGGCGTTCTCGTAGCCGGAATTCCCGCGATGCCAGGAGCTCAGGACACTGGACAATCTGCGCGTGGGAAAGGCCCATGTCCTGGTGGATGTAGCTGAACCGTTCAATAAGATCATCGGGAGCTATAAATTAAGATAATACTTTAAATTTCAATTTTTAATATTTGTTTTCATTTAAATACTTACGAGTCATCATCAGTCGCGGTCGGCGAACGATTAAAGCACTTAATTCCTTGGGACTGAAGCCCATTTCTTCCCTCAAGGTAAACACCGATTTCCTCAGATGTTCCATGTTGTAGGTAATAACATTAGGTTCTTTGGTGGCCAGCAAACGAAGATCGTGACCACTCAACCGGAACTCTTTTTGGAAATATCCTAAGCGGCGGTCAACTCGCCTGGTGGAGAACATCAGCCAATACGGATTCTGAGTGAGAATTCTGGCTCTGGCTTCATCTGAGAACCTCTTGCTCTTCAGGTATTCCACGCGGGTTTTTAAATCGTCCAGATCCTCCTTGAACAATAGTGGATTTTTGGTAAACATCCTGCCAAAGTTGTCGGGTGAAACTCCCTGATCCACCAGGAAGGAAATGTGTGGCTTGACATTCTTTTCAAAATCCAGGCCAAGAACAAACTGACCCAGACCTTTACGCTTTTCTATGCTGTGCAGATCCACTCCAAGGTCAATAAACTTTTTCAGGGTACTGGAGTTATTGACATAAGCCGCCAGATTAAAGGAGGGCACATGGGCCTCCCGTTTCCCAAAATCGAGAGCCACCTCCTTCGAACTTTCGCGAGTAGGCTCTGCAGCTGTGTCATGTTGGTTGGTGGTTACATCTGTGGGCGTAATAAGTCCTACTTCGACTTGTTGACTCCTCTGTCCTCGCAGATGCCGTAATTGAGCAGTAATAGCCGTGTATTTTGCTGCATTTTGTGAACTTTTTAGGTTGTTACGTATTGCTGAGAAAAACATGTCTACAGCGTTGCCAGATAGATAGTGCGGGAAACTATCGATATATCAATCTATTCGAATCATCAAAATATATTTATATTTTTAAAACATATAAGGGTTTTACGATATTTGATAGTAAAAATATACTTTTTTAAAGTAAATGACTTAATTTAAAGAAATATAACCATTTATCTAGCATTTTTTATTGAAATTAAAAAAAAAGCCAAAATGTCATGACTGCTATCGATGTTTCAACTTGTTGCACATACTTAACGATATGTTGATCAATCTTTGACAGCCCTAATTCTGATCTGATCTTGGATTTACTATTGTCTTTGCGGGAGTGGAAAAAACCGCAAGAAGTAAGAACAGAGGCAGTTATCAGTTGAGTTCAGAGCCAGAGCAGGGCTTAAGCAGACCTCACTTGTTGAATACATCAAGCCAGTAAACATGGACAAGCTACGCCGCGTTCTGAGTGGGGATGAGCCCACACCTGAGGAGGAGAGCAGCATCATCACACAGGTGACGTACTAATTAAACTCTTAATCGCTGATTGCTCGGACAATCTATGTTTTAAAGAGTCTTTTTCAATAAGAACGCCCCCGATCACATGGGGGAAACCGAACTGTGACTCAACGCTTATCAGTAGAATTCTAGCCCAATATACTAATTCGTTTTATTAATGCAGATTAACGACATGTCCACTTTGAGTTGGTCCACTCGAATCAAGGCGTTTTGTATTTGCTTTGTGCTGGGCATTTTACTTTCGCTGCTGGGATCTATTGCCCTATTTTTGCATCGAGGAATTGTGGTCTTTGCGGTTTTCTATACCCTAGGAAACATAGTCTCGATGGCCAGGTAAGTCGATGAAGGCTTTGCACAGATTAGCTAATGAGTTTCACTTCTCGGGTTACAGTACTTGCTTCCTGATGGGTCCCTTCAAGCAGATCAAAAAGATGTTTGCCGAAACCCGCCTGATAGCCACCAGTATCGTGATCGTGGCCCTTATCATGACTTTTATATCAGCCATAGTGGTAAGGTTTAGCCAATTTCTACCGCTTTCTCTATAGACATCTTGTAATTTGGATTTCAAAGACGCATTTAAATTAATCTCCTTTGTTCGATTTTATTTTGTTTTAGTTGAAAAAAGCCGGACTGACGCTTATATTCATTATCATACAATCCCTGGCCATGACCTGGTATTCGCTATCGTACATCCCATATGCCCGAGATGCTGTTAAAAAGACCGTGTCGGCATGCTTCGAAGTCTAACACCCCCTGCGCTTCTGTACATAATATGAAATTCTAGATTGGTTTGTAACTTAAGCTAAGAGACAATTAAATCGTCTGTATTAACCTAGAAGTAGGCCGTAGAGATTCCTTTGTATTTCGCTTATTAACAAGTATTTTCTCGTTTGTCTTTTAAATAAATATATATATATATATATATACCTTTTATACATATATATATTTACAAGTTTTGTATTTAATTTAATCAGTACAGTTTTCTTTAAGTGTATGTACATAATCTTCATGTTTTGGTTTTTCACTTTTGTAGAATGGCCAGATCCACTTTGTTTCTGTAGTTTTCATATATTTTTTATTCAAAATTACTTTTAACTAGCTCTCACTTAAGTTTCTTGTCTTTTTGCGGCGACAATTTACCTAGAAGAGTGAAACGAAAAGGCATTAGATCAGAAGTTTCGGATACAAAAGCTAACAAATAATTGGTTAGACTATTTTAATTTTAATGTCGTAGTGCGCAGTGCTGGGTGCATCAATGGATCTACTCCTTGGCACTTGTGCTTTTTGATTTTGTGGCAAGGCAGTCCAACAGAGAGAGTGGAGAGAGAAAGACAGAGGGGGAGAGAGCGCAAGGAGAATTCAAATTGAGATCAGAAAGTCAAGAGATCATTGTGGTTAACCATTTAAAGAGCCAATGTATCAAAGTAAGTTAATTAATGAAAAAAGAAAGTTAATCTGTTGAGACTAGCAGGCAACATCGGATCAGATCAGGCATTTCCCCATGTTGCCTGCTGGTGACCCTATCTAGACATACCTTTAGATGGCGAGGATGAGATGGCAGGAGAACCTCCTTTACTGTTTGTTTGAGTCGATGAATCCTTTTTAAGCTGCCGTTGCTAAAAAACAATATATTTTAATAAGCTTCAATTGTGAAATAAGAAAAAGTCATCACTCACCTGCCACCAAACAGCCAGGTACACAAATGCCACCGAAATTAGCACTTGGATCGTCAGCCACAGGACAATGTTGATGGCTTGCGTGCGCTCAAACAACTCCTTGCCATTCTTGATGCACAGAATGGCCTCGGAGACCATGATGGCGCCGTAAACCCAACACTGGGTGCCGACTCTCTTGCAGCGCGTATCAGTGACATATACGTAGTATTGCCTATAAAGATATACGTTTTAAAAGTATATCTAAATCAGTTTTAAGTAGTACCCACCTAACTGAGGGCGCAACAAACAGTCCAATGAATATGAGGCGTCCAATCACAATAAAGTGATCTGGCGGCATCTCGAAAATATGCTTCAAGAAGAACGTATTCAGCTCGGTGACCTGCCAGAAGATAACCAGCTGTATGACTGCTGCGAATCGCATCGCAGTGGACTTGGGATCCAGCCATCGGATGGCGGACCAGCTCTCGGGCGTGAACTGTAGCATGGCGCGCTTGATTTTGCCGGTTGTGGTGGATATGTCCTTGATGCTGGCCCACTTGTACTCGCGCATCTCGAGCATCTGGCAGATTTTCAGGCCCATCCAGATTCCGAGGCCGTTGCAGATAATCACATCAAGAATGAGGGCATCCCACCAGCACTCGATGAAGTTGGGCAGTAGATGGGCGAATGTGATCTCGGTAATCTCCCACATGACCGAAATGGCCCACAGAATGCCCATGTGACGGATAAGGATGGCCTTGAAGGCCCATCCAAGGAAATGGCCCCAGGCAAAGACATCCAAGTGTCCTTTGACCCGGTCCCAGCTGATGTCCGAGCAATTAACGCCATATTCCTAAGAAGAATATAAACATAAGTAAGAGATACTAGTGAGATATACTATTTTTTACCTTTTCCATATCTATGTGAAAGTTTTTCAACTTTGGATCGATCCAGTAGAATATACTCCTTATGGTTGGATAGTTTTGGAACATTAGAAATTGTAACGTGAGCAAGTACAACACCGAACATCCAAACAGAATCCTCCAAACGGCGGGATGGGGGCGAGTAAACGGTCCATTGGGAAAAGCTATCACGGAAACGATCAGAAAGAAGAACACAATGCAGAGAAGGCCGGCCCAGAGATTCTCATCGACGTTCGCCTCGTTCCTGTAACGATAATGCAAAGCAAAGTGGGTGAACTTGGCTCCCATTGTCGCCACTATTTCGGCGGTCGTAGTATTCCTCCTTATCAGCATAGCACGTTTTTTCGATGGGGTTTCGATGAGGTCAATGGCACGATAATGATGTTGCAAAAACTAAGTACATTGCGTATGTGTATTTACTTGACTTTTAGTTTCTTATAGTATATATATTGGGTATATATATATATGTTTTTCGGCATTCTAAACCTTGGGGCTGTCTGGGATGACATACTTGGCATTGTGTGTGTGATTTTTCGTTCAAGTGCCTAACTCATTGACTAAACTAATCGATGAGTTAAAAAACGCACATGTTTTAGATTTTAGACTTTTCTTTCCTAATCATTAAATCATGTTATATGGTTAAGATAAGGGGAATCTACCGAAACCAGCATGGATTTATGGAAAATCACTAGGAACGATCTTAGAAGATTGATATTTTGGGAATATTTTCCAATTATGTAATAAGAACGAAATGATCTTTGGATATATCTCTATCTCTAGTCTATCATATAATAATAATAATACCAAAAACAAATGATGTAACTATGGTAACCCCATAATATACATATAAAGATTAAGACTAAAAGTCAAAGCTATCTAGAGGGCTTTCCCGGGGTTAACTGTGTGTGCTTTTGGATCCGATTTTGACAGCTGCCTCACCTGACAAAGGCAAAGTACATGACCGCGAGAACTGATACCGCCAGCAAGGTGATGGTGTGCGGTTTGTAGAAGAAATCCAGCGATATGTCATCCACCGGGCGCTCGTTTACGATTACAAACGTCTGGGCGATCTCGTCCTTGCGCTTTCTTCGCGCTCCGGCACTGCTTCCACTCCCGTCGCTGGCATCTCTCCTCTTTGTGGGTGTGGCCGGGGCACTGGCCGCCCCCGACTTGTAGGCGGGATGGTCACCATCAGCCGCCGAATCTGCCGAGGTCGGGGGGCTGCCACGTGAACTGGAGCGCTTTTTCATCGCACTAAATTTGATTATCAGATGTAAGCGGATGGCGTGATGTCGTCGCTTTTACTTTCGCCGTCAAGGTGCCTGTGCCCGTGTCCGGTGGTTGCTGTTGGCTGATTTGTTTGGAATTCGATGGTCAAGAACATGCGGGGCAGCAGCGGGTTGCGCAACATTCGATTCTCCAATTGGGCTCCTTGCGGATGTCAACGGTGGCCGTGGACGCTTGCCTCGTCTGCTGTCGGTGGTGTACGGTTACCGGATCCTCACAGGCCGTTCGATCGCCGAACTTTTATTTTATCATTCGCCAGCAAAGTTCGTTGTTGTCAATTAACATGCTGCGCGGCTACTTGGACCAATAAAAATCGACACTTGCCGGCGGTGTGGTTGCCGGAGTTTGGAAATTCGCAGTCTGATAAGGTGGTGTTGCCAGACGTCGCGCAAGATGGGGTGTTGATAATATTTAATATTGTAAACAATTTGTTAAAACGATATTCTAAAACTTTTTTTAAGTTTATTTGTATTATTATTATATTTTTTATTATCTTGGAAGAATCGCTCGCAGATTTACCCTTAAATTAGGGACTGTTTTTTTTGGAAAGCTCATGAAAATTGAAAGATATTTTGTTATATGAAGTCAACAAGCTATTTTATCGAAACTTATTTAATTCAAATTTAGTTTCATTAACTTCTTATCAGTAAATGAAACCGATATTATGAATGAAACCCGGAATGCTCTTCTACACATCTTCCATCCCTATCAAACAGCTGATTTCACTTGTTGTTCGGCCAGGCCATCCGCTATTTGTTTTGAAGTTGGATAATTTTGTTTTTAATAGAAGGAGGCATGTTGGACAAAGTAAAAAACGTAATCGTAGTGCTGTCCGGAAAAGGAGGCGTTGGCAAGTCCACCGTCAGCACACAACTGGCTTTGGCCTTGCGTCAAACTGGCCACAAGGTAATCATCAAACCCAACTATTTCATCACAACATGATGCGGCGATTTTAAATATTGTATTTTATTAATCAGGTCGGCTTGCTGGACATAGATCTATGTGGGCCCAGTGTGCCGTATCTGCTGGGACTGGAGGGCAGCGACATATTCCAATGCGACGAGGGGTGGGTTCCTATTTACACGGACGAGAGCCAAACCCTGGCCGTGATGTCCATTGGATTTCTGCTGAAGAACCGTACTGATCCGGTAATTTGGCGTGGTCCTAAGAAGACCATGATGATCAAGCAGTTCCTCACCGATGTGAAGTGGGATGAGTTGGATTACCTGATCATCGACACTCCTCCGGGGACATCGGATGAGCACATCACCGTGATGGAGTGCCTCAGAGAGGTTCCCTGCAACGGAGCTATCATTGTGACCACACCACAAGGTGTTGCCCTGGATGATGTACGGAAAGAGATAACGTTTTGCAAGAAAACGGGCATTAAACTGCTAGGCATTGTTGAGAACATGAGTGGGTGAGTGGGAATTCCTCAATCTAATGATGCTGATAATCCAAAAACACCCTTTTCAGATTCGTATGCCCGCATTGCACTTCCTGCACCAATATTTTCTCTTCAAATGGTGGGGTAGAGTTGGCTAAGTATGCCCAGATACCACATCTCGGCACCCTGCCCATCGATCCTCGTGTGGGAGTCCTGGCTGGCACCACTGCTTCTGTTTTGGACGAGCTGCCGGATTCCACTACAGCTGAAGTGCTGCGAGGACTGGTGCAGCACTTGGACGGATTAACTCTAACCGCCTAAATCCAATAGATACAGGAATACACTAAATAAAAATACATTCTTTCGATTCGATTAACTTTGGTTTTTTATGTTTATTTTTTTCTTTATTCAGCGGCTAAAGTATAATCGTAATATTAAGATGATAACAAAGGAATGAGTTTCCTTGGAAGTTAAAAGGTGCGTCTGAATGTTTTATCGAGAATGAGTGAGAGAGTGCTTGTTTGTTTCACAATCAACTACAGTGGTTCCTAGTAATACTCTTTAAATTTTCGTCCATTTACTATTTGAAACTATCACAAGATCCCAATAGGATTCATTAGTCTTGATTATTGCCTAGCTTATCCAATTTCTAAAATAATTAAAATGCAAACTTAATTTACGAATTTGGTATACATTTCTCTAGCAGAGGGGAAGATCAAAAGGTATGTCAAGATCAAAAATCACTTTCTTTCGTTAAGATGCCCCGCTGTCCGTGTATATCCATATAGTGCCACAAACGCCTCCTTCCCTCTATGATCTGCGATGTATGAATATTCTATAGATAGATGTTCCCAACTCTTTCCAGACTCAGCAGGTAAAGTCCGTTTCAAATACGTCACTTGGCGGGGCTCCTTAATAAAATTAGTCGTAATATTAGTAAAGTATACGGTTCAGCTATCCTTCTATTCGGAAGTCCTGTAACCCAAAGGATAACAGAAATTGGAGCACAACTGAAGGAACCGTTTTAGACCCGTGTCGTCTCTTTGTGAATATTTTCCCCCTTCAAGATGGTCAAGAACGGGTAGACCTCCTCCGGGCCATCCTCCTGGGGCTGAGTTGAGGTTGGTTTGTATTCGACTTTATCGCTTTTGTCTTTTATCCCTTTGATCACTATGAGCACTATCCAAATCACTATGCAGACTAATGGAATAAATATTAAAATCATATAGAAGAAATTGAAGTTGTCCTGTGTCTGGGACTCTTCAATGGCATCGTTTTTGGTGGCTCTGCGAGTTGGTTCCGAATCGCCACCCTCCTTCGTCTGGTTTATAACTGGTGGTAGTTCCGGAATGTACGGTGTGTCTGTTACAACCGGAGAACGCACCGTGCTTGCCACAGTTTCAGTGGATAGCTCATCCTTGTCAGTGGTCTGCTCGGTGCTCGAACTGAAGATATCTGGCTCTTCGGAAATCTGATCCGTTGTTGACGAATCGAGATTACTGAATGTGGTTGAGTCGGTCGAGCTCTGAAGATCAAAGAAGGTTGTTGAATCCGTAGAAGTTTCGCTGAAGTATTCAGAGCTGCTGGCCATGGCTGTGGTGCTATCATCTGTGTAGCTCTTCACAGGGTTGGGTGTCGAATCCGTGAATTCTGTGCTTTCACTGAAGCCTTCAGTGAAATCCAAAATAGGGCTAGTGGAGGAGCTTTCTGTAGACACCTCTTTCGGTGCTTCGCTGGAAATGTCTGCCTCCTTCTCTGGGCAAGTTGGACAGCATTCGTTATCGTGATGGATATACTCCTCTGGTTTACAATCTAGGGGCTTGCACCAGTACTGGGTGCAGGAGATATTCCCCTCTCTGCAGTTGCATTCTCTGCAGCCGTGCTCCTCCGTCCAGGAGTCGCCTTCGGTTTTCAGTTCTTTGGATATATTGGACCAACAGTCCCTGGGCTCTACCAGGCAGTACTCCACACAGTGTTGTAGTTCGGAGCACGCATCGCACAACGTACACCTGTCCAGATAGTACTTGGCGGATGTGGTATTGTCTTTGCAAACGGGTGCCTCCTCCAAGCACTCAAAGACGGGGCATCCATTGGTGTCCACTCCCTCGCCCATCACGAATATCGGACAATGGGGCTCCTGACAGGGAATGCACGAGAAGCCGTCATTGTAGGTGGGCCAGTCATTATGGTCGGGGGGGCATTGGTAGGGCTCGATATCATCCTCCGGAATAATGGGTTGGGCTGGAATACAAAAGATAGTTAAGAGTTATTAAAATGAATCAGATTTTTATTTGTTCTACGATGTTGAAAGGGAAATCGATACCCAAACAAAGGGAGACGACTACGCATTCCATACTGATTCGAATGCCCTTCAAGCTCAATATTAGCATATCGATTGATCGTGAAAATCACATTCCGCCCAGTAAACTATATAGCCATGAATTATTCAATAAATCTTGAGGTAAATTTATAAAAATGGCAATTTGATTAGGCACACACTTTCAGTTCAATTCCAACAAAGAATACCCAATCAAAACAAACGAAATGGAATTTATTTTTGGTGGAATACAAAGTACGCCACTCTCCCAGTGACACTCTCGTTTATCATTTATTTATTGTTATTGATTTTTGACATTTTATCATTGAATTATAAAAGCGGGGAAGACGACGCCGAGTGATCCAAGTCCGAGTCCGAGTGATAAAACTGGGGGAATGGCAAAGTACAATAACAGTATCGCGATGAAGAAACAATTGCACTCCATCGATGGATCGATCCATTCAATAATTTCGTGGATAGCCCCCAATTGCTTGTTCAGAATATGTGTTACAACATTGTTACAGACTCGGTCCCCCGATCTTGGAAGAGGGCTATAAAGTATTTTTCCCGAAATTGACGTCACTCTGTAGGTGAAGCGCAGTTAATTGAACGTAATTTAAAATAGATACAAGTTGTTGGTTTTGTGCTTCTTGGGCTATCAGGTCGGGCCGATCTATATATGACAGCCGGCAGACGGGGCAATTATTCATGTGCTTAGCTATATGTTCGTGTTTGGTGCGGGACTTGTTTGATTGAGAAGCGCATAGAAGGGCGCTTCGTGGATATGTCAGGGAACTTTGCGTGCTGCGTTCAATATTCTCAATATTTTGAATATTTATTGGAATTAATTTTGAAGGTTGAACACAACTCCCAGTCAGATATACAATGTTGTCTAGTTATAACTTTAAATTATTCATACTTTTCCAGACATTTCATTCTGAATCTGTTTTCTGGGAAAAACAGTTTTTCAAAAATATAGAGAAACCCATAAAATGCCCAACTTGACAATAAATTTAATATGGGTATTCATCGTGTATTGTTTGGTTGCTTTGCAGTGCGAGTTTATTGACCCGAACGAATAGTAATCATTTTTTAACGCCTTTAGGTCAGCAAAAAAAAGGTGAAATAAAAAATGATAAAAAAAAATTAGCTTGGCTGTTGGAGAGGGTTTCCAGGTTCCAAAGGTTGGCAATAATTCGATGCAAATTACCTAAGCACATATCCGCCTCATAAATGGGTCGGCGGCGTTCATTAGCGGAGATCTCTGGGCGACAGCAGTGATTATGATTATAAAGAGAGGGGAGCACCATCACCAGCATCGGTAGTGCCTACTTACGTCATCCAACTGGCAGGCAGGCAGGCCAGGCCAGGCCAGGCCAGGCAACAGGCACCAGTCAGCCGACACGGATACAAGTTAAAGATACAAACACACAGATACAGATACTTTGAAGCTGCAAACGCGGCGATCCATATTTCTTTTTGATTGATCTACAGCCGAAGGCCGAAGGCATGCAAAAATGCAATTCAGGGAGCGAGGAGCAGAGGAGTACGAGTATATCGGTTCACACAAACCAGATACAGATACCACAGCGACGTGTATCTCAAAAAACGAAATAAATTTCAGTACAATTAGCGGTCGCTTATTTTTGTTTTGAATTTTAATTTTTTTCATTTTGGTTTTTGACACGCTGCCTGTCAGCACCTCGTTGACATGCAAAGTTACTTAAAACAAAACAAACATTACATGTAAGAATACTACTAAGGGGAGGAGGGCGTCCCCCACTCTGGGGAACTATGGAATTCGAAAGGTCGACATGGAGATGCCAAAGACCAACAGATCCGACGGAGTAATTAGGAATCGTTCGAGTTTGTAAACACTTTTTTTTTTGTCTTCCCCTTCACGTCAATCAACGAGAACATTGAAAAATTGTCGCTTTGATAATTTTCTGATGGCGAATCTAATGATGTGTCGGGAATTATCATATTTTCGTACACTTTATGGTAGTTTGAGCGGGCATTTTGGTCATTATTTTGGTCATAAACCTGTGACTTTAGGAAGACAATGCCAGTGATTTATAAGCGTATGAATCACAGTCGCAAAATGCTGTTTTTAGCCAACTATTTAAATACATTTTTATTTATTAAATTCGAAAATAACAATCTGCAAACTAATTACTATTTATTGTCCAATTCCACTACTAACTTGCCTGAATTTGGAATACTTTGTTCAGCGGTTCGTAAACAAAAGCTTTCAGAATTAAAATAAACGATGACAGATGTGATTTAATCACACTTGAATTAAACGGCAATATAATCCAAGTATAGCGTGCCAAAAAAATGTGACATCAGAGCCCCCCGTTCTATAATCAGCTCTAAAGTTTGCAATGAATTCTATGCTAGCGGTACGAACGTAATCAATCTTATTTTTTGAACATAGCTCACACGACCCGGTGGTGGTAAGTAAGCGTAATTTATGCGATTTCATTTAATCTTATAGAGCATATAGTAGAACATATAGAGTAAGTGTTTGAGCAAATCTTTCCGCATAGCTACCAGACTTGTCTGTTGGTTTCACTTCACGGTTGGCATTACCATTAGCCATTAAACATTGGCCATTAAACCATTAGTTGGCAACATTAACGTGGCTTCCCTTTGCTAATATTTTTGCCTCTTTTGATATATAGTCGTAGAGGTTGTAGAGCAAACTTTTCAAGTGGCTAACAAATTCGTTAGAACTGCGTAAACAAAACATTTTTGCTCTACGCTTTCCTTTTTTTGAATATATATAGCTTTTTTTTACGTTTAAGCTGGCCGCGACAGGCGTAGTAAACCTTATCTTAATTATAGATCAATTATAGTCGAGGGCTACCAGGCGCACATCATTAATTATAAGTGCAAACCGTAGTTGAACATATGGGGAAGGGTAACATAAGCTCAACAAATGGCACAGAAAATGAACTAATTCATGGCACGGTTCTATTTCAGTCAGCCATTCTTCCAAAACCTCAAACACTGACATTGAACAATGTCATTGAAATATCGGAATGCACCAAAAATAGGCAATTATTTAATGGCCAGAATTATGCAGGAGCCCCGCCTTGAATTCTTGATGTGGGGCCGGGTGTCCCCCGGCGATTATTTCGTACAAATTGCACAATTACAATTAAATTATACGGCACAACGTAAAATGCCTGATTAATCACACAAACAAACCCACCATCCCCCCAACCTAGCTCTGGAAACAGATGTGCGCTGATATACCATTTATATGTTTTCTATACAAAATAATAATAATAATTATTTTTTAATAATTACTGCACTGGGGCCGCAATGTGTCTTTCCGCGGATGGTGGTTAGTATGATGACTGAAGCCATTCTGCCTGGATTATGCGTATTACTGGCCATTGCTCTGTGGCAGCCATCTCTGGCAACCGTACGTAGATGAATAAATTAGTTTTTTTTAAATATGCAAGGCATCTTAAAAGTGAAAGAGTGCACCTCTTAAAATGTGCCATTACAATACCATTGAAATACCATAATAGATGCCAAAATTAGCTGGCGTGACTAAGTCTATGAGTTTATGAATTCGGCATACGATGCGCATTTATTTTAATGGGCCAACCCACTTGTAGCGTGATTTCGAGATACGTTGGCGAGAGATCAACTGCTCGGTCAGTGATCCCGCCACGACAGAGGCCTTCCGATGCGAAATCATCGAGATGCCCAGGCGGCAGGGGAACTTCCTCAACACCCTGCTCCTGCTGAAGCGTCCCGTCCAGAAGATGTGGGTGGAACTGAGTGTGGGTCAGATCGGGACTAGGAGGGATCGCTTCCTCCAGCAGCTGATCAAGATCCGAGTGGATGGCTGTCATCTAATCAAGTTCCGAAGCAAAAATCGCATTCTGAATGCCGTGCTGAGAAAGCTACTGCAATCGGGAAACTATCCAGACGAGTGTCCACTCTTGGCGGTAAGTTTTGAGACTCACAACCTTACATAAACCCCATTAACCCCAAGTCACGTGCGAGATCTGTTCAACAAACTGGATTTTCCAGTCTTTACTTCACTTTCAAAAATTTAATGCAAATAATAAAATGTAAAGAGTAAAGAATACTTTCCCATGTTAAATTTATGACCTACTTCTTCTGATAAAAATCTGATAAAAATTCCCTCAAACCCTTATCGCGAGCAGGTCGACGCTCGTCAACAAATTATTCAAATATTCTCCCAAATAAACAAAGCTATCTATCGGATTGTTTAAAAATACACCGCCGGCTATCGTAAAAAAAGCGAAATATAAACAAATAAGCATAGATATATAAACACAATTGCGTTTTAACATTTTAGCGAATCTACCTCGAATGAAACCCGAATCGATTTCCAACAACATTGTATCAGTTACATATTTGTGCTTTTTTTCCGCAGAATGTAAACTATACCTCCACACATTTTGCCCTCAATCCGGATCACTTTCCCGCCTACATGCCGGACATGAAGTTCAACACGAAATTGGTCTTCCAGCTGAGCAAGACCATCACCCTGATCAGGGCCAGTGTGGACGCCGAGGTGATGAGACGTTCCTAATCCGAAACATTTCAATAAAGCACAACCGAGTACATAAACCGATACACTTATGTATGACTAAGACTTTGGCCTGGAAGGAGGATGACTAATGGCTCCGGTATGGGGAATGTGCATAATACACACATGATGAAGATTAGACGCTCTCTCCCACGGAATCCATGAAATATATCTATTTTTATCAGTCCCTATATGGCCATTCCTGAAATTTCACTATCATGACTTTCAAATAATTTGCTCCACTTTTTTGATGGCCAACAGCGTGATTCATAGCTCTGGAATTTGGCAAGAAACTGGTTGACTGATTTCTGCACTTGGCTGCTAATTAAACATAAATACATAGACCCCTGGGGTTAGCCATTTGCTTATCAGAAATCCGATTAAAAAACTATTTGATTCAAGTTTCTTCTCATGATTCAAATCTGAACTTTGCCCTTTGTGGTCAAGTGACTCAGCTACCTATAGGGGATACATATCTTAAACTACTCCCGTTCAGCGTTGGGTTTTATTATAAGCAGCTAACTGGGCTGATAATGCCAGTGCACAAATATAGTAGATTAGGCAAGAGCGCAGGCCCCTTGTCGAGTGCCGGCCAATCAAATTAAGGAATGACGTGAGTCTTTCCACAAAAGAGATTTCGCAGGGCAATTCTAGAAGACTAGAAACGGCTTTCTTCAAACAGCAGAAGAAAAGAAAGAAAACACACAGTCTTATCCTCAGGCACTTTCAATGTCATGATCACCGAATCTGTTTTGCATTCTTCTCGCTATTTCTTTCCATTGAGAATTGTACTTTGGTGTGGCACGTTTATTCGTAATTTTTATTCAGAAATCAGTCATCAATAGTGAGGGCTAGAAAACTCCTCAGAACAAAGAACCTTTGTCAAGGCCAGCCATCAAATAAAGAAAAGTGTTCCCGCCCACCCACTTCCATTCCCATTTCCTAGCATTTGCATTTCCCACCACAAACCACAAAGTTGTGGAAATGGTGGGGGCAGGGTGACATAACCCAAAACCAGCTAGACGCCAATTTCTAGGTCAAAAGTCTCCCCTAGTAACAGAAAAAAAGGTAACATTTTTGGGGTTCCGAGTCACCTTTGTGAGGAAATAATTACACTTTGAGAAATAGGCTTCTAAAAGTCTATATATTAGGGTTTTCACTTTTGTTTTGTAATCTTTAATATTTCAATAGTTGTAAGGCTTTTTAGGTAATCATCTATTACAACGACTTCCATATTTTTTTCAAGGTATTCCATTGCAATTACAGAAATTCATTGAAAACTGTTTCGGGGGACTGACCAGCCCAAGGGTGGAGAAAAAGTTAAAAGAGAACAAACGGCTAGAACCCGGCACGCTCTCCTATTGTACTGGCCTTTGTAAGTTCACTTATCGTATTGATCTGGTTGGAATTTCTTTGGCAAACAAGCGTCTGGGCCTTGTTAGATAGTTGTGGGGACTAGTAGAGGGTTTTTCGGATCTATACACCACACTATTATCCCTCCAAAGAGGAGCATTTTATGAGTATATTAACTAAAATATATAAAAAAAACCCCGCAGCAGTTGAAATGCACTATTTTTGTACAATATAGATATAGTACGTAGCCCCGAAAGGGGTCTACAACACAACGAGTGTCTGTCGGTGTGGCGGCGTACTCGCACACCGAGCAGCTGATAAGACCAGATTATGATGGAATTCCATATAAAAGTTGGCTTCGCCACTCCTGGACAAAAATCAAGACAACCAACCCACTCCACGCCCAAGGTTAGAAATATTAGATTTCTTCAGATTATCATACATATGTTTGTGTCGTATCGTATCGTGGGTAAATAGGGAAGCACAAAATAATCTTGGGTTCCCCTACAGAACCCACCAACTGTAGAATGACAAACAAGAGACACCGCTGAGGAATGCGGCAAACAAAGTAGTTTCTTAGGAATTTGTTCGCTCTTTATGAGGGATATGCAAAAACTGAGATAAATTGGATAAATAATGTACGAAATACACCTGTTAAGTTTCAGCTGCTGCTTACAGAATCTGGATCTGTGTGTGTCCTTGATTTTCATTTAAAATTCAGTGACGCAGTTTACAAGACCCTATTACCTTTGCTATCAAGGTCGGAGAAACAGAGGCTAGCGAAAGCCAAATAAAAACAAAACCAAAACCAAATAATAAATAAACAAAATTTTGAAAAAGCAAAAGAAGGTAAGAAAGTAAAGCCGAATGGGGAATACCTTTTCTTAAGAAATTCTAAAGAAATTAATGTTAAAACTATCTAAAAATCTACAAAATTTAAAACTAAATGGACCTTTTTTTAAACAAAAGAATGATAACCTTTAAAAAGTATAGAAATAAATCTAAAAATACATTTAAACAATTATGAACAATATACATAGTTAGTCTAGAAAACTTCAAAACAGACCTTAAGCTTCTCCATAATTTAGAACTACAACGCCACACTTTTTAACAAAACTGTAATACCCTCTGTTAGGGTATAGAAATACAACCGAAAATACAAATAAACACAATCAAGCTACGCTGTCATTTGAATTATCAATGAAATTTCGGAAACAAAACAAAGCCAAGCCAAAACAGAGAAGCAGAACGAAATTGGCGCGCAACATGTGTTTTTGGGAAAAAAAAAAACAGCAGAGATCTAAAAATTCACATCATATGTACGTCATGACCGAGACACGTCATGAGATAAATCAGATACATATACATTCAGATACATAGTTGTATATCCCACTTGATGCTTTGTTTATGAAAATATCTTAATTTTGGGAACTGAGCGAATAAAACGTAATGGACTGACCTATGAATCACTTTATTCAGAAACTATTTTTGGATTATGCTACGTACGTATGTATTTACTTACCCAATAATTCGGCAATCCACAGGATCATATAAAATATGAAGATCTTGATGTCCATGTCGGTGCGAAAAGTTAATGTCCAAAGTCCAACGATAATTGCACACGTGCACTTTCGTAAATTTCAAAAGGCGTCACAAAAAAAAAACTCTGGAAATAAAAGTAACAATTAGCTGGATAATAATATTTTTTGATGCAACCTTAAGAGTTTCACCACAAATGGCAATTTCCAAAACAGTGCAGCTCTATTTATAGTATAAAGATTATATAAGCTTTTATCTTTTATAAAAGCTTTATCTAATTATTTGCATAAAAGTAGAGATATCGCCTTTTATGTAATAATATTTCTTGATGCAACCTCAGAAGTTTCAAAAAAATGCAACTCTGTATATATCTAGATTGTAGAACCTATGAAGTTTATCTTTATATTTGCATGAAAGTAGAGATATCACCCTGCCTAGCACCCTTTTTGTAAGTGCGTTTTTGGTTTGCCTTTGATTACCATGGAAGTCGCAGTTGTTTTCTTCGATTTTCGATTTTCGAACGATAAGTGGTGTTATAACATGTGCCAAAACTGATTGCCTGATAACCCATCTTTTCTACACCACACTTTTGTCCATACATTTATATCTCTACAGTACATACTACCATACAGTTTGGCTCGAAAGAATAGTGCTGAAAGTGCAGGTTCTTTGTGGCATTTTTTTGTGAAATTTAAGGTGCTTTAAATATTCACTCAAATCGCTTCAGTAAACACTTTTTTACTTTTTGAAATTTCATAAAATGTATGTATATTTGCGACGAAGATTTCCGGTTAATATTCCATTTCACAATTCAGATAGTCTGGAGAGTTTCCTTCGATTGCATTTGCATGTATAATATGTATACTTATGGCTTTGTCTGCTACCGTTTTATTTTTGTCGGTTTCAGCCCAGGCAACCGAGTGCAGACATGCAGTAATTAAATTTGGCTGTGGGCGGCGTTGGGGAACTCTGTTAGGTGAACGAGGCGACGCCTTTGGGGCGCCACAAAATCATATTTTTTTCCATTCAATATACATATATTGGCCAAAATAAAAGGCTAATGGAGACACGTGATCCACATGCGCAGGTCGCTATATGCACATGGCGGAGAAATGAAAGACACTTGCAGACACTTTTCCCATATCGGCCTATTGGCCAATAAAAAGTGAGCGAAATACCAGCAACAACTGTAACTGTAAATCGAGGGGAACTACTACGCGAAACTTTGCACTGAAATTGGGTCGAACTGGCCTACGCAAATCTCGATTCGGATTTACCTTCTTTTTTTTTTGGTTTTTTTTATTTTTTTTGGATTTTAACTGATCCAAAAATAAAACTTCATTGTAGTTTGGCTTTTCAATTGACGGTTAGCCGTCTGTCCATTGCTTTGTGTTTCTTTTCTTTATCAACTGTTTGTTTTTCGTTATTTTGGCCGCAGATTGTTGGTTAATGTTTCTTTTTTTTCGCACAACGCAGTAAACAACCGGACCGTACTGCTCGCGTTGGCCGTGTGTTTGGGTTTGAGTTCGTCGTTGCTCGTCGTTCATCACCCGGTTCGTAAATGCTTGGCGAAAGAGTGGGGCTTTTGCCAGCGATTTCTCTTCTTGTTCTCTTTAGCTTATTTGGGCTCTGCGGTGATCTTGTTTGTGTTTTTTGTTATTGTTGTCTAGGTAAATAAAAAATCTTAAAATGCGTAATTGAAAAAACAGTTTGGGGAATACCTAAAAATATCTTTTAAATGGGTACCTTCTTAAAATTTATATTTGGTTACTGAAAAATCTTCATTTTATTCTATTTAACCTTCTTATAAATCTTAAAAGCTTAGGATAAAACAATATGTTTACGTATACTTAATATGCGTATACTTAATGTGCATTTACTTCGCAAAAATGCGCATACGCACTGTCAGCTTTTGAATGAAATGGCGCCAAAATACCTGGTCATATGTGTTGGGTAAGGGATAAATACAACTGTTAAGCCGTCGACTTGTCTCTGTTAATAACATTTGTCTTAGGGCTGCCAGACTGTTAAACTGAGTAAGTGGCAGCCGTTCCTCGCTGTAAAAAGTTTGTAGCATGCTTTTTGGGATTTTTGGGTAGCATTATTTTTAGTTTTGAATTAAAAAAAAGGTATTTATATGATATTTAAAAAGTTTTTAATGATTAAATTCTAGAAATCTATCTGTTAATCTCTTGTAAAGATCTAAGCTTCATAGAAATAAGTGGACTTTCTAGAAATACTATTTTAAATAAAAGTTGTATATGTGAACAAAACTTTAAACAAAACTACTGCCTTTTAAGACAAGTTTTATTATATTTTCTATTTGGAATCTTATAGAGAAAATTGGAATTAGTGTACCTAATATTTTAATTGGAGTATATCCACAAATATCTTAGTTTCAATATAAAAGCAAAGCAGAGTAGAGTTATATTCATTTAACTTTATTCGTTTTAAAAATGCCAATACTTATTTTTTAAAACCGCCAGTCGCTGGTAACGACACTGTAATCTAATCCCAAGACCGAGTTTATGAATTATGCAAGTTTGTGTAGACAATCTCCTCGTCCCGCATTAATTCGCATTTAATTGATATTTCACCTGGACCGGCTCACGCATCTTTAAGCATGTTGTGGCGCCGCTGACGTTGACATTTTCCCGCCTGCTATTTGCAACATTTCTTATTGTTGTTATGGTCGCCGCGTTGCAGCAGATGCTGTTGCAGTTGCTGCTCCTGCTGGAGTTGCAGTTGCAGCAATGTTGGCTGCTACCGAAGTGGCAGGCTGGCCTGGGAGCTGCTGTCATTGGCTGCACTCACAACTGGCATTGGTAATTAGCACGCGCGCTGCTAATTAACACTTTCTTGACTCTCCGAGGCTCGAGTCCACTTCACTCCAAGCGTGTAGTGGTGTGCGTGTTTAGGGGCCGCTGGCAATTCCCCGACGACTGCAAATTGCACGCGTGGCGGCTGCACCACACACCGAACCACCCTGCCTGCACCACCGGCTTGAAAGATTGCTCCTGGGCTTCGTTTTTTTTTTCTGTGGCTATATGCCTCAAAGCGAAAATGCCGCCGCTGGCTGCAAAATGTAAGCCCAAAAATGGTCAATGTTTGTTTCGGTTTGGGGGCTCCTAGGTGGTGTCTCTTTTTGGTCCTGCTGGCTCCCCCCACTGAAGAGGAGCGTGAAATTTTAATTGTGCCTTTCGGGGCGTTGTCGTTTTGGTCGATCGGCCGCCGCCTCGACCCGAAATAAAGATCTCTTGCGGCGCACACAGCTCATCCCGGGGAGATTCTCCTGCCTCATCCTCATACTCACCCACCTCTGGCCGCCGTCAATGGCCTGCCGAAAGTTGTTCATGCCAAAAAGGTGCAAAAGGCCAAATAGTATTCTGTTGTTTATGTTGTTACATGCCTCGTTGCCTGTGTCTTTTTAGCCAAGAAAAAATGTCCGCTGGAATTCGCCCGAGCCCCACAGTTGAGCTTATGAGATTTGGTGCAGAGGAAAAAAATTATTCTGTAATTCTTCTAAAAAGAAAAAATTTTTTAAAAATACTAATGAACTAACAATAAAGTTTCTTTTAAATTTCCGAGATTCCAAAATAAAATCTAACCTAAATCTTAATCTATTGCACATTTTTCCCTCAGTGTACTTACCAAGTTTCCCTTATTTAAGAGCCACTGTGACTGCACCTGATGCCATCCCACCGGCCTGCAGTGCGATCATCTTAAGCAGCTTTAGGGTTATTTCTTTCTGACCAAAGCTGGATCCGAATCTGAATCTGAGAGGCTTTGTTGCTGTTAATAGTCGCTGCGGGCCAAATCAATTCCGGGCCCAACATGTTGGCCTGTCAGTTGGCCACCCCCCACCGCCTCCTCTCACCCTAACCACCAATCCTGGCCATTTTATTGGTTGACAATAAAAGCGAGCCAGGCCAAAGAGTCTCGGCCATGCCATGCATAATAATTATAATCCATTTAATTTTTGCAGACTCCATCGTTGGCAATTCCATCGATCATTTTGTAGGCAAGAAGTACAAAAAAAAAAAGCCAAGCAAACAGCCAGAGAGCCAACAACCAATGGGGTCACGTGTGTGCGCTGACCTCCGAGACTTTTCCGAGTTTTCCTTTATTTTCCTGGCTGGCATTGTACGTCAGTCAGTCGAGAAAGCCGAAATGCCAAATATCTAATACGACGCTTCCACCGAAAAGATCGAATTCATGGAATTTTCGCATAAAGCCACAGACCAGGTCGTATCCTGCCCGCAGCCACTCCCCCTTCTGCATTTTGGCCTCCTCCTTTGCGTAAGCCAAACAAAACGACGCGACAGGTGAATCGGCCGCCCGTTGACTCGTCCCGTCCCATACGGGGATTTTTTTTCTGTTTGGTTTTGGTTTAAGTTTTTGGATTTTGGACAGACGGTCAAGCCAATTCGAATGCAAAGACCACGACCACGACGACGACGACTATGTTCCAAACTCGGTTTGGGAATCAAGATGAGACGGGATCGGGATCGACGGGCTGCCCCATCCAACTGGCATCCACTTTTTTTTCTTCCTATTTTGTTTTTGGTGTTCACATGTGCCAAATGATGTCGATGGCGGCGGGCGAGGCCAATTGATGGCACAGTGCCTTGAGATTTGGCCAAAAAGGATACAGAATAGAGTTTACTTCGACAATAGGTATTTTTTCATATTTTAAGACTTTTTAGAGGTGCCTTCATACTAAACTTAATGAAATAAAAACCTTTCAACTAGGTAGAATCGAAGAAAGTATAAGAAAGTGACGATAAATATAAGTTTTATTGACGAAAATTATACATAAAAGGGAATTTTTTCAAATATTATTAAGTTGAAATAATGTGATTTAATATTTTTAGTCTCATTTTTTAATAGTTTCTTGCTTATTAAACTAGATAATATGGTTAAAATACCTGTGACGAACGCTCAAAAATGCCTAAATTCCGGTCAAGTTCCACTGTATCCTTATTAATACAGGCATACTGCGTGTTTGTACGCCTGTGTTTGTTTTTGGCCACCCGCTTGCAGCTTCCCCAGCTCCTGGAGGGGGATCTTCGAGGGGAGTGCTCTTGGCCTGCTCCTGCTCCTGGTGCTGCCGGAGCCGGAGC